GACAAGGGGAGTCAAAAGTCGGTAAAGTCGAGATGAAGTGCCGAACCGGCGGAAAGGAGTGACCCAAGGAGCTGGTTCACTCTCAATGACCGAAAAATCCAAGAAATTTACACTTTATGATTCTGAAGGTCAAATCCTGCAGGTAAAACTGGAAATACTGTAGATGCGGTGTACGGTTAGTTACATGGAAAAGTACGTCCATTGTATCAATTACAGAGTTCGTATGATGATCATGAAAGGAGCGGCCCCCACGACCCACAGCAGTTCATTGTAAACGCGGCGGGGGTTAATATGAGTGAGGACAAAAAGGTCAGGAAACTAGAAAAATCGGTGAGACCATCTTTCATTGAAAATGGATTAGGCATTAATTCGACCAACGTCATCGTGGAAGCATGACTCCTGTGATAGGTACATACTTCTTGTTTCAGACCTGTTGCGCACTGAGTGAGGCGCAGTGGAGATCCACTGATGATGTACAGAATAATGATTGAATCTGAAAAAAAAGGATCTAAGATCTCGCTGAGAACGTGACAGCAAAAGTCCGAAATACTGTAGATGGTCAAAACGACTATCAAAGGCAAAGACGTTAGGATGTCAGGACTAGGTATCCGTGGGAATGTCAGTTGTAGGACAACGGAGTGCGGACTCTATGACAAGGTACACATGGTGGGCCTCACCGGTAATCTACACTCGATAATACGAATTTGTTTTGCCAATTGACACTTGGAGTATGTCGAGTATCAGCTGGTTAGAAGTCGCAAAAGCAGGCCGCCTAGCTGAACAACGTGGCCCTTCACATCCTCGGGTATAGGTCGCGACGACAAGATGTTGGTCCTATGATCAGAACTCGGTACCTTTGACACTATGTTTTCTTGTTGACTCAACATACGTTATACGAGTGTACATATGCATATAAAGACTTGTGGACTTATCTGAGTGGCTATAGCGATCTTTCATGCGAGTAATATCCTGCTAGTAACTGATATTATACTGACATGACAGAGAAGCTTTGTGGCAGGGATACTCGTGGTGATTCATGAGACAAAAGACGACAATCATTCCTCTGAAAGTGTTTGGCTAAGAACACAGAGACCATCATCGCTCCACGGTGGTTGTGGTTTCAAGTAGCGGTGACAGCGAAGCTAGAAAAGGAGATCAAGGTCAGGTTGGACCTTCCCGGGAAAGATTGCCCGTCCGTCACGCGACGAGATGATGACCACCCTGATCAATTGAAGTTAGCTCCTTAGTTTATTGACTTCTCAATCTTGGTGCTTTGCAAATTGCAAGCCACTCGGATAGATCGGAAACCTTGGATATCGGACTGATAGTGGACGCACATGGGCTTCCATGGGCTTCGGGCTTCTGTTACAAGCAGACAAAGACGTAACAGGGCCCAACGGGCGGCTGCGATGAGAATGTGCCCTGAGTGGCGAGCACCTGGAACAAAGAGACGATCTCGATGACTTTCATTGGCCTTTTGTAGCATCTTGAAGGGAATTTGCATCCTGGCTAATATGTCAGTGCCAGGGTGTTTACCCGCATCTCATAGCATTATTGTATCTGTCGGCGACACTGCTCCAAGAAGGTAATAGTCATGCCACATGACACACAACTGTTCAGAGTCCATGGTGAGCGCGGAAGTGGCGGGACCGGGATTCACATTCGACACCGATCTGTCGCCTGTAGTAGATTATGAAAAGCGTTGAAGAAGTCACTGCTGAGACAGGATAACTACTAGGTTAGAAGCTAAGGTACACGTCTGTCAACGTCTACACCGCCAACGTTGATTGGTACAGATATCTCCTCGTAGCATAAGTAAGTATCTTCAAATTTGCAATCAGACCAGGCCGACATGAGCATATCCGTTTCGAACATATAGAGAGCGCAACGGTTGACCATTAAAAGTAGCAAAAGACGGTGAGTCCGTTGGGCCCCTAACGAGATCGTCGAAGACTGAGGATGGGAGAAGCGCAGGTACAAGTACAGGTACTACATGCAACGCGCACCGCAGCTGGTCATCTGATCATCGAACTCCTAGCCCCATCTTGCATTTGTCAACTGTCTCTACGTGGTGCAGGAACGCTTGGCCTATGGAGACTTCTATATCACGCGCAAAGCCCTGAGTCATGTCCACCGTGCTGGTGCCAATGAAGGAGTGTGGGTGTGAGGGCGCCCGCAATGCGGAAGCCACAGCGCGGGGATCCCTGCATAATAGAGTGTTCAGTGTTGTGGTCTCGCATTGTGATCATGTCCACGATGACCGAACGTGCGTATGCGTCACTTCATTGTGTAGCATTCCCTCGCAATACGTGGCTTTCCATGCTACGTTGAAAAATTGAGCTATATGTTACCAGACATCACGATCAGCTTATATCGTCTGATCAGTGTTCCAGTTATCTCCCTTGTCCTCTCTCTTTTGCTTGACGAGGCGTCCGGCCTCACAGATGGCACGTGTGCCCGTGAGCCTCCAATTGCTAAGCACCGTTGTCTACTGCCCAACGTCAGATGTCTATTGGTACCTGACGAGATCGCTCTCACCCAAAGCAAGAGGCCGCTCCTACAATAGCTCACCCCAAATTGGGTTGCATTCGACCTGAATTGAGAATTTCCCTGTCTGGTGCCAAGAAGAGTACAGAAGGTACCACCACATGCCCGTCTATGAGAAAGCTGAGTCGTGTATAATACAACGGATACTGTTGAAACCTGGAATGCCCACCTGCCGTGGTCGTGGTCGTGGGCGTGGTAGCAGCTCTGACATGGAAAGCAACAGGCATGCGGCCAAAGATGTCAATGCCGAGAACAACGCTCAAGTCTCAACCCACGGTTCCCCCTGTGGCCTGAAATACCGGCTCAGCATGAATGTCTCCAGTCCACACTACCAGCTGTTTCAGAAGCCACGGGTTTCTCCATGTCTTGCAGTAAACGCCGTCCACAAGACTGTCATACTGCGCAGGTGTCGCACCACATTGTCGGGTTCTGACACAGACAGGGGGATCTCCCTCTCCCCCGAATCAGATGTGGATCACAAAATAATGGGTTTACTATTTATTGATCGGTAGACGACTCAAGTCCCATCTTTTACCTACTGTATAGGTCGGCTCCCTCGTACTTTGGTCGCAATGAATCGGCTAATGGCGAGTGATTCAAAGATCTGATCTTATCGGCATCGACTTCGAATGTGACCGAAGCAGCGGCTCCACATACACACCCAACTTAAGGTATCTCGTCAGTCTGACTGAGGCTTCGGTACCCTGACACGGGCGGACTCCCGACTACATGGTACAAGTCTGACCTATCTACCCGACTCGCGTCGACGGCCTCATGACTACGAGTCAAGACTATTCAAAGGTCTACCGCCACAAATGCGATGTGGGATATGCATCGACGATCATGAATGACTCCGAGATACAGTCAAAGCGCGCACGTCGAGATCTGTGCCTTGGAACTCACTCGAGGAATTGATAAGCCAGGTTAGCAGCAGCTCCATCCCATATGCACAGCCTTAGTTGATCAAAACATTTGCAGCTTCGCCGATGCTCTTCGAAGCTCATCCTTCAGTCATATCAAGGCAATGTGGAGCTCGGAATCGACCAGGATATCCTGGGGTTTCGAGGAAATCAGTGTCAAGTGGGCGTAACCACTCTTGTATGCTTGGATAGTTTCCATCGAACAGAGTTCCTGTGTCGACCGATCGGATCAAGACTCCTTGAACCTAATCGTTCAACTTCAAACATTTGAAAGGTAGTTATCGCATGGGTTGGATACATTGAAGGCCAATACCTGAGAGGTCGGCTCTATGATGTGTTGAGAGTTGAGACGCACAACAATCGAGCCCCGCTAGCAGGGCGGCCCCACCAAGAGTGTTCATGTCTCTTGTTGAAACCAAAGCAAGCGTGGAGCTGTGGACAACTTATAAGACACTTTGCTCCTTTGAACCAGTCGAGTACGGTCCTTGACATTTCCGCCACTCTCGAGGAGAAGCTGTTCTAGTTCTGGGCTGCCGTACGTTCATACGTTGTAGACCAGCTACAGTAGCTGACTGAAAGGTAAGATACCAGCCCTTGCTGGAATTGTCCCATTTTGTGTACGTCAGCGGTGCTTGGGACATTTTAGCGCGTTGACACGTCCCTTGAATTTTCAAGCCGAGCCTGTCTCTGAACCTTGGTGGGACCAATGGAATTGGACAGTTCCATGATGTATTACAGTGTGATGGCTCCATGATGGAGCATTCATTAGATATTAGGTGGGACAGGACAGGGTGCTTCAAGCAACTAGTCAATCGTTCATGATGATGATGGAGGAACTTGACCCGAACCACAAACGTCTAGTATTACGTAGGCTATTGCGAGTCAATTCCCATAGAGCCCTTATGTCTTGGATTAAGGGTCGTGGTCCTGAGGTAATTCACATGGATCTTGCCGAACTCGTTCCATGTCTTCTTAGTAGTATTCTGCCGACTAAATGAAATTCTTGAACCACAATTATCAAGAAGACTACCGGCCCTGCTGGACCGTCGAAACGTAGTTAATTCATCATGTTCTGCGCTCCAAATTAGGTAGTGTATACCTGGGGTTCCACGGTAACATTCTTTCCACTGCTCCAGCTGGTTCGGGAAGAGCGGTTGACATCCGCGAGATCCAGTCATAATCCCATCCAGGGAAATCCTTGGAAGCTCAAGTGTGCCACCCATCAATTGGCAATGACGAGCTCGACCACAAGCCGATCTGACTTAGCCGCCAGGGGCAGTGCGGAACCTTGCAGTCTGATTCCGTAAGTCTGGAACGGGAAATATGCCACTTTCTGAGGTTAATCCGCGCTAGTACTACTGTAATTTGCCCGCGAAGCCAAATATGTCGTGGAAACGAGAGTAATTACTGTACATACTACATACAGGGACCGAGAAGGCTGGTAACGTGGTAATGTATTGATGCCCCATCCAAACCTGACGCTGTACCCGAAGATACAAGAGCCAGACTGAAAAGTCAAAACTTATCCATCGCCTACCGTCGTTTCACCCGCCGGGGCGGTTCTGGACTGGCCTTCCCCGACCAACTGGAAGTCTCCCCAGCATCCGCGGTGGGGGCAATGCAGCCCCATCGGAACGCAGGATCCAGTGCCGCGGTGACGGGTAACTTTTCTAAAACAGAAAATTCCATCTGCTCCTTCTTTCGAAGCTGTCCGCTGAGTGGCTTGGGATCAAGATGATGGGCCGAGACATTTCGCTTTCCCCCCCCTGCGAGGATTTTCGCACTATTGAATTCCCACTCGATCATGTGAGCAGTCGTTTGTCCCTTCTTTGTCTCGCGGGATCGCGTTTTTGCTCCATACCTCCTTTGTTTGACGGATGCTCCAGTTGGAACTGGAGAATTTGGCCTGGTCATTTCTTACAGGTTACTAGTCTTTGCAAGGATTTGATTTTTCGGCCTGGTATTCTTTTTGTTCTATCATTCAGAAAATATGATCGCCAAAAGGCTGTCGCCTCTAGGATATTAAGATTTGCGGTCACACGCATGATCGACATGTACTCGAAAAGTGTAGCAGTAGCCTGGCTTTGAGCGGGCCTGGTTTATGTGAGCTTTCCATACTGTACAACAAAGCAAAGAATATCTCAATGCTTCAAGGTAGAGTGGAATAGTGGATCCTGAAGTGGACTGCTTGACTCGTCCGCACTCCGCACTCACAGCACCAACTTCTCTGTAGTCCGCAGTCTGTACCAGATGATTTGCCCATGGATATACATACAAGAAGGACTTACTGATTCCTTATCCAGTCATACTTACCTAGGACCCTTCAAGATGATATCATACCTGGGTCCCGCAGGTCATTATACATTATACAAGGTCGCCTTGGAGGTTTCCTCTTCGGCCTTTCATACAATGGCACAGATGAGATACCCATGTTTACTTCCAAATCTTGATAGTAGTAGCTCAAAACACATCATGAGGTAGTAATTAAGTAAAGACTCGCCTCCAGGTTGAGTGTCTATTCTCAACGATTCCCCATCGCTTGATCTCTGAGATCTTCCGCCCTTGAATCGAGCTATATCAGAACTCAATTGTGCATAGTCTCAGCCCACAGCCTGCTTTCAGCGACCGGGTACTTTGGTTCCGCCGTACGAATGGACAGGTGCTTTTGCCCGGTGACTCTCGTACTTTTTGATACTGTGCTCCCGAACTTCCCGAGCGCCTGAACGATCACCCTGGCCAGGCCCCTGGGTGGGGGAGGCGTGGCGATCTGTCCATGATCTATCACATTTTCCCCTGCATATCATACTGGGGTTCATCGATATGTCAAGAATGTTTCGATCACCACCTCGTGATGGTTTTTACGTATCATCCGAGGCTTCGGTGCTGTCACTTTTGGAGCCCTGTAAGACATCAAGTTGGAGGATTCCCTTAGGATTTTTTTTCTTTCTTAGCTGGAATAGCCCTGGTGACAAGACCTCTTTCTTACGTGTCTTCTTCATGAACGTGCAATCACAGTACTGTAAGTCCTTGGATGCTCGTACAGCTCCAGACAAAGTCATCTTTGACACGATTCGAGTAAGCTTGACGTCTCCTGCTCGGGACCTCACCGTCTCCAAGTGGAGAACCTCTTCCCCGCACCGGAGACTTTTCGACCTGTTTACATACTACAGCAGCTGCACATGCCCAGGCCTGTTCCATGGACAGAGTCGGTAACTTGTAGCAGCCTGCTACCAACGACCGGTCATTTCATCTGATCAACCCATCTGGTCGGTTCTGGCTCTGTGTTTGCTCCCAATCTCGGTGTAGATGCGGAATTGGGGCCCCGAGGGGGTGAGCTGTGTGGCGCCACACCTGTACATTAGTGGAATGAAAGTGGCTAGCACGTTGAATCTTTCCCCAATGCTGATTCTTGGGCCGGGGAGAGGGTCTAGTGGCTTGATGCCTCTGCATTTTCTGGGACGAAGCATCTGCACGAAGTGCGCAAGTGCCGGATGCAGTGAGCACGCGAGCGATAATCCAAATGTCTCCATGTATGCCGAAGCCTGCGCCTCCAAAGCTCGGGCTACCCCCGCAGCATTCAGTAATGTATATCTGCATTTGCATCACCTTGGAAAAGTCTGGTAGGTGTGACAAATACCGACTGGTCGTCTCGGGTGTAGACATGCCTCTGTTCTCCAAATGCCTCGATTGGGGATGTCGTGGGATGAGCATGTTAATTCCGAGACTTCGGGCTGAGATACGTCAGCATGGTATTTGGTCATTCTGAAGCATTCATATGTCTAAGTTGCGTCAGAACGGGCTTCCCCATTGATAGCCATCATCAAAAGGCCCGTGCTAGAGTTCGGACGTTATAGCATTGACCACAAACATTATTTTGTGTTGGAGAAAGGCCATCCGGTTGTAAGGTCAAGTCCGTGTGTGGAATCTCGACTTGTCCATTGATTGATTCCACTAACCAAAGGTTGAAGTGCACGAAGAACACATGCTTTGTCTGCGAAATTGGGACGGTAGAGCTCCAATGTCATCACAAAATGTAGGACCCTTGGGTCTAGTGGGGGATACTTTTCGAGAAGACCGACAAGCCCCTCGGTCTTCGTGGATGCGAGGTGAACCATAAATGTCCAGATGTATGAAGGTCTCAGATTGCTGGTCTGTCCGAGAGATCGTGTCATGACCTAAGTACATTTGACTTCACTGTGCCCCCAGCTACTGTCCTCGATCTTCCTATGAAGGTGCATAGGCCGGGGTTAACCTCGTCACTGATTAAGCATTGCATTCGTAAATTCAATGTACAGACGACATTGCGATAATTCGATGGAGGCACTCGCGTCAATGACGAACTCGTAAGTGTAGCTAGCACTGGGCATCACATGCTCCCCAGAATCGATTCAGCAGTGTAGGCAGGCATATGGGAGACAACATTCACTGCGGAAGTTGCGGTGTCTCTGATACGGTCCGTCTTCTCATCAGCCTTTGGTGTGATTTGCCATTTCAACATTCTGTGGTAACATGAAGTCTTGACCAGAAGCGCTAAGGTGAGCAAGCGATATCCTGGTTTTCAAGCTGGTCACTCCACATGGAACAGCATAGATGTAGCGATCGCATAGTCGAATAGATCGGCACTGATTGAAGCCCTTCTCCATTGAAATTGTCCATGCAGTATCCGATGGTGTTTCGGAAGGTAATCCAAGTAGTGTCAGCTCTTAAGATAGAGAGTCAATCCATTGCGGAAAGGGTTCGCGTACGGGATAGATCGCAGGATGAGACCATTAACCTCACAACGCTCTGGACTGGGGACTAGTGGACTCAGTGACACTGATGTTCTGATAAGCCAGAATTTCATGCGGAAAACGCTTCGGGCAGATATCTTCAGCGCATTGGTAGAACAAGAATGCTTTGCGATCGTGAGACGTGAAGCAGATACTAGTACGAGCAAACAATGACGTAGGGCGTTGCCAAACTTGAGCCTAGATCCAGCGTGCACGTGATAATATCCTTATCGATAGACATGATCGGTCGGCAATCGTTAATGACATTCGGTCAGACTCTTATCGATTTCTACATTGTTGCCATCCACTCGAGCAACCTTTACTGTACTGTCACCTCAGACCTGGCGTGGCTATTCCACCAATCGTCGGCTCTTCGAAACTCATTGCTCGCAAAGGCACAGAATGAGGTGTGTTTAGGTTCTAGATGCGAATCGCCATGGCAGGACCCCGAGCTGGTCTCAAGTTGCTCTTCCGATCGGGGCTCAATAACTCCCCAGCAAATCACTACACAAGAGGCCTCTTTCAAATAAATCTGGCATCAGCATGCCGAAGACGGCAGAGCACTTTACCAAAACATCAAGTCACCAAAGAAGAAGCTCCTGCGTCGAATCACACTGCCGACCTGTCACATCTAAATCCAGAACCGGAGGACTACTCGCGGTTCATCTTCCAAGACAAATGTCATGTCACAGTACATGCTGGCCCAGGTGGAAATGGATGCGTCTCATACCTGCGAGAAAAATACATCGAAGAGGGACCTCCAAACGGCGGTGATGGTGGCAGCGGAGGCGGGATTTACATACAAGCTGTTGAGGGGTTGACAAGTCTACACAAGCTGGCACGCAGGGGAATTATTAAGGCCGGCCGGGGAAAGAACGGCCAAGGGAAGAGCAAGGGAGGAAAGAGGGGTGACGATGTGCTTCTACAGGTGCCCGTCGGGACCGTGGTCCGCGAGGTTGAACGACACGACCCTGTCGCAGAGGAAATTGCTCGGAGACGAAGAGCTAAAGCCGAACCTGTTGACGAAGAGGAGGCTGAGTTCACGCCCATCGAGTACCATCGGTGGATGCTACATCCTGGCGCTAACCCGTCTGACTTTCTAACGGTCAAATTCCCACGACTCAAACCACGAAGGCAAGCCATCGCCGCTATGGAACCAAAAGCGCCCATATATCTCGATCTCAACCAACCCATGGATAAGCCCATGCTCCTTGCCGCAGGAGGTGCTGGTGGGCTAGGCAATCCGCACTTTGTTACTCGAACAATGGGTCGGCCGAAATTCGCTTCGCGGGGCGAAGGCGGCACAAGGCTGGAACTTGACTTTGAGCTCAAGTTGCTTGCAGACGTTGGACTAGTAGGAAAGCCCAATGCGGGGAAAAGCACGCTGCTTCGGTCTTTGACTAACAGTCGCACTCGTATTGGAAATTGGGAGTTCACCACCCTCTCTCCCCATATTGGAACAGTGATCGTTGACAATAATACGGGCCGCCGTCTTGTCGATTCTCCAAATGGCACCCGTCGAACTCACTTCACTATTGCTGATATTCCCGGCCTGGTAGAAGGTGCTCATCTCGACCGAGGTCTTGGACTTGGCTTTCTTCGTCACATTGACCGGGCTGGAATCTTGGCATTTGTTCTCGACCTTAGCAACGGCAACCCAGTGGAAGAATTACAAAAGTTGTGGCATGAGCTTGCAGAATACGAGCGCCTTCGAAGTCTTGAACCCGCATCTGTCGCTGAGGAGCAGACTGGTGTGATTGACTGGGAGCCGTCTGACTCCGGGCTTCCGGAGCTCAATCGGCCACGCCAGCGAGACATTGAAATGGAATACTCTGATGGGCTAGGTTCAGGACAGCCTCTAAACTATCAGTCTTCTGGCTCCTTGCCTCCACTCACTATGCCGCCTCTCTACACAAAACCATGGTTTGTTGTCGCTACCAAGGCGGATCTGGAAAGTACCCAGGAGAAATACCACGCTCTACAAAGATACCTATCAGAGGTTGAGCAAGGCACCACCAGCCATCCGTCAGGAATACAAGATGGATGGAGAAGCAGGCTGACAGCTGTTCCAGTCAGTGCTATCAACGGCGAGGGCGTTACTCGCATTCCCAAGCTGGTGATGCAATATCTGTCGTAAAGAATGCCTTGCGCATCACATATGTTTGCTGTACGTCAAAACCACAACGTGGAAATTGTATATTAGGAAGACATCTTGACTTAGGCCATGCATCTGTATAATATTTATAGAATTGTGTTTCTGGTTCTGAATTCACATCTCGATCATCACGATCAGACTACACGGATACTACAGTGTTTGATACTATTAGCGCAAAGGGCTCATTATGTGTGATCAGGCAGTCCTCCCTCAACCAACTTGAATGGGCCCTCAAAGATGCAATGAAACGGCCATTTCTTTTGAGTCATGCGGTGTCATTGATCCCACGTCAATCTGAATTCATATACATGGTGGCTAATGGCTCGACACCTGAGGCATCACATTGAATCAACCTCCTCCCCAAGGAAAAACACTTTTCCGGCTTTTGCACACAGCCATCATACAACGACACCATGAATATTCCCTCACTTCTACATCTTGCATTATCGGCAATAGATACACCAAATGCCGATGACCCGATTCTTGAATGTCCAGACGATGCACGATATGCCTTGACCCATTGCTTTGAAGAAGCACTAAAGCTTGCTGATGAGAAGCTCCACGTTTTTCCATTCAAGGATGTGCATGCCCGCTGGCGTCGTCTGTTCACAGATGCCTCAATTGTCAAAGCCTGTTTGATCATCGCACGTAACTGTGACTTGCTTTATTCGCAGTCGAAATCTTCAGAGAATGACGAGATCGATACGCCAAAGCTCATTTCCGACCTCCAGAATGAAGTCAAAGAAGTGAAGATCTCTCCCAATGCTCCCTGGCTTCGAGACGTCACTCATGTGCTGGACAATGCTTTGCTCATGACAGGTGGGATACTTAGAGAAGAGCTTATCGAGGCCACCTTTTCCAGTCTTCAAGCGGCGACACATGATGATTATCCCTCGACAGGCCATGGCGCCGAACAGTCGTTACCCTCACGCAAGCGACGTAGGACTTCATTGTCAGTGTTCCCAACTGAGTCCTCACCAACGCCGCGACTGAAGTTTCCAATCCAGCGTGTCTCTGCCCCGGAATTTGATGACATGATAGAGCACATCCGTAAAGTTCGCACCCCTTTGGTCATCACAGACTCTGTGGACCACTGGCCTGCCATGTCATCGCGGCCTTGGAGCTGCCCGCAATACTGGCTGGACCGCACTTTTGATGGCCGTAGACTTGTCCCTGTCGAGGTGGGCAGGTCTTACACGGATGAGGAATGGGGCCAAAAAATCATGGAATTCGGAGAGTTTCTAGACAAATACATCTTTCATGGTGAACTCGACTTCGGCAAAAAGCACCCATACGGATCCAGTCAGCCTGATGAAAATGGCGAGAACAGTCAAGGAGAAGTAGAAATTGGCTACTTGGCGCAGCATGATCTTCTATCTCAAGTCCCTGCATTGCGAAAAGACATTGGGATTCCAGATTGGTGCTACATTGATCCACCAGGCCCCGAGCGTGGTACTCCTCTGTACTCGACAATGAAGCGACAGGAGTCAAGCTCTGCCTCTGCCTCTCACGCACGCAGCTCAGCCTCGGATACCGCGCGTGAGGATGCGCTCCGCGCAATTAATTCACCGGAGAATGACTCTGATGAAGACACGCTCATGAAATGTCCAAAAGATCCCATCATCAACACCTGGATGGGACCTTCGTGGACAATTTCGCCCCTGCACCATGACTCATATCACAATGTCCTCGTACAAGTGGTGGGTGCCAAGTACATTCGTTTGTATTCGCCACACACGCCTGCGTCTCAAATCCATCCCCGAGGCGAGGAGTGGGTCGCTTCTCACGAGGAAAAGGAAAGCCAACCGGTTACAGATGGAGAGCCTGCTAAGAGATTGATTGATATGTCCAACACGTCCAAGGTTGACGTTTCTGCTATCGAGCTTTCCCCAGCCGAGGCAGACCAGTGGGAAGAGATGTGGCCCGGCTTTATGAGCGCACCTTACGTCGAGACTGTGCTGAAGGAAGGTGAATGTCTGTACATACCTCTCGGATGGTGGCACTACGTCCGAGGGTTGAGAGCTGGTGTTAGCGTTAGCTTTTGGTGGATTTAAGAAGGCCAGGGAATCCATCCACTTTGAAACAGGTATATCAGTGGCTAGATCCAATACAGGGACCGGAAATCATCCATTAACACAAGGCACTCTGTTCTCTTTGTTGCGGCCTTGGGAGTCCGCGTGCATTTATCTGCCTTGAGTTTAGAAGATGGGTTGTCTGTCCATCCTCATACAACATCGTCCACTCTGGCTCAAAGAACCGTACCGCTTGCCGTGGGCTGATGTCATGTTTACACCCATCCTGGAGGCACATTCTGATTATTTTGGTCTTACCCCTTGCCCTCGTCTGTTTCGCATGCTTCTCCCTTCTTTCTTGTCGACCCTTTTCGCTTCGATGTATCTATTCCTCGCTTCCTTAAAAGACACCATGGCCTCCTCGCTGCAGAATCCGGCAACCAGCAGCAGCGCTACTCGCAGGGCGAACTATGCACAAGCGGTCAGGGTTTCCCCTGGCGTTCACGAGGATTTCAAAGCCAACGGCTTTGACAGGATTCCGACTAGGCATAGGGAGCTTGTCCGTCGCTCCCGGCCTTAGATTTACTGGGAGGAGTACTTAAAACCATGACATGAGATCCCAAGCAGCACCATTTCATGCATAATTATCAACATGAATGTTAAGAGAATTTGGGGATCTGTTACTACTCATTTGTAATATCGAAGAGTCCGGGCAGTGACAGACATCTCTGCATAATCTGCTGGGTTTGGAATAGCTGTAAACAGAAACAGACGTTCCATCTCGATTTTTGATTACAATGAGTCTATTCATGTTTCAAACAAGTCTCGAACGGCCATTTCTGGTTTGACTCTAATACCACTTTTCTACCAGCTCGCAAAGTGTGGATTCACCACCAACATTGCCCGGGAATACTACAAAGGGAGCTCCGCGATGGCGCGATGTAGGCTCGTCGCATCGCCAGAGCGGTACACCAGGCGCAGCTTGTCCAACGATGGTAGCACGCTTGAAATTCAGACCTTTCGTCGCGGCGTCGGAAGACGTAATTCCACCCTGCAGTTGGCAGGTAATTAGCTTTCACGGCGTCTTGGTGAGGTTATGCTTCATAGGTTGGAGATATAGCAAACATACCTTTGCAATGATGTATCGTGGCCGCACCTCTATGCTTTGCAAAACCTTGACCAGTGCCTCTGCAACGACCGAGCCAATCTTCAGTGAAGAAAGCTCATCCGAGCCGGTGATCAATTTGCGACTGGTCATGACAAGTGTGTCTTGCCCCGACTGAAGATATTCTTGCGTCTGCTTGACGACCTCATTTACAGTCTTGGACGCACTTTCCGGTGAAGAGATCAGGTCGTCGACCTGAATTTCGATGATGGCGAGTTTCCCCGTGGAACCAAGGCGCTCAGTGAGATACTTCAGTTGAGCTGTCGTCTTGGGGACGTAGGATCCCGCCAGAATGAGGCCGCCGGTCTGACGCGGAGAGGGCAATCGAAGCTCTGAGGCTGAGATGGGAGCTTTGGAGCGAATTCCGAGACGAGTCGATACAAACGCTGCCCCAGTCCGGTAGATATAATGCTTCCCCTTTGCCTCGGCTATATGAAAAGTTAGATGTCAAGCTTGAGAGCGAGTAGGCTGTGTGCTCTGGAATCTAACAGCAAAGTTGTGAGACACGCAATACGCACCGAGTAATAGCCCCGCCACAAATACATGCATATCAGACTCGGCGGCGGCATTGACAATAACCGCACCGTTGGCTGGCATTTGAAGCAATTTCTCGCAGACATTCTGGGGGCCGCCGAGACGAATGTCTTTGAAAGTGATCGAATGAATCTGTTCCTCACGCCACTTTCCGGGGGCTTTCTCCTGAATATAATCGCGTAGGTTTGAGCTCTTATAGCCGAAAGTGGCATCCTGCGCAAACGGTGTCGAGCCCGCCGGTACGAGGTCATCCCCCTCCGCGACGTAATGAACATCATCTATCGTGAAGCGACCACCTTGGAAAAAGAACGGCGCCAGAATAAGTCCATCTGCAGGCCCAAAGACTGACTGCGCAACATCTGGCTCAAGAGGGAAGTGCCCGCGCAGTGTGCTATCCCCGCGTAGTACTATGGTGACTCCATGGCCAGTTTGCTTGGCCGCCGCCTTGACGTTTTCGCATATTGTTCGAATAAGGATCTTGGCTTCTGCCGGTGGAAGTGCGCGAGAATTGGTCAGGATGAAGAAGCCGCGCGAATCGGTCTGAAACTCGGCTGTCAGGGTGGAAATGTCCCATACAGCGAGTACGGATATGTCATGACAGGTTTGAGTTCCAGTTGGATCGTCATCGAGCACAACGAGGCGATTGATTGAAGAGGTGGTCAGAATTTGAGTGATCTGGTCTTGCGCATCTGCGGAGTACTCCGCGGGAAGCTGTGCAAACGTATCTCGCCGAGCAATCGTGGGGTATTGACGAATCTCGGGCATTATCGCCATAGTGTACCTGATGAACAGACGCAGAGAAAGCAGAAAATTGGCAATGAAAGTCTTGCAATGGCATTTACGATAACGCAGAATAAGTCAACCTTAAAAGACGACTTCTTGAGCTGTGGGTTCCGAGGATTCGGAGAAACTGCGAGGTAAATGCGGGGATGTGAGGAGGAAACAAGTCGGAGAGAACGCCGAGTCTCCGTCCGAAGTTGTTGGGTGGTACAATACGTACGTCAACGTCCTGAAAAGCAGGGGTCTATTCATCGAAATGTAGATCTTTTGAGATGGCTAGACTATTATATGGGAAATGAAGCGTCGTTTGTAGCGAGTGCGCCCGAAGACAAATGCAACAGAAACGGCACCTTGAACGCCGAGGCCAACCCTGAATGAAGACCTCAGATGCAAGATGATGCAAGACAAGAGAAGATTTGGGTATGAAAGGACAATGAGCTTGTTTCAGCGAGGGTGAGGACGTACTCAGGCTGAGTTTCTGCATCGACAAATCCCCGTTGTCGAAAGCAAGTGCGCCCTATCGCCAGCTGACTCCTGATCACACCCTCCTTTCCATCGACCGTGGAGAGGAAGAGAAAGCTCACCACCAGTATGGCTGAGGAAACAATAAAGAAAGAAAAGAAAAAAGCAAGATACCGGATCGTAGACTGCGTAAGTTATGATGATGGTGCGGATGAAACAGCTCAGCCAACCACGCTGCGGAAGCTGAGGGCTTCAAGGAATCCTCCGAGGTCATCCTTTTGAACCTCGACAACACAGTGGTCAAAAGAATCAATGCGGACGCGTGCGTTGGTCTCTTGCACCACCTCTTGGAAGGCAATGCCAAACCGGTTGCGCAGGAGATTCTTGTTTCCACGAGGATCTTCATCCTCAGACTCCGATTCAGAAGACGATTCGGACTCTTCCGATTCCTCGTTTTCAGCATCGTCATCGTCCTGTTCCGCCTGTTCTGCGGCGCGCCGTGCCCGTCGTGCTTCTCGTTCCTTTTGCTTCTTCTCTCTTGCTTCTTTGCGCTTCCGTCGTTCCTCTTGACGCTTTGACAGAGCAGCGAAATCGACTACACCGCCGCCTCCACCCGTACCCACAACGACATAGAGATCCCGGTCTTCGTCAAGTCCAGCGAGAACAAGAGGAGTACCAGCTGCTCTCTTCCGCCCAATCTTGACGGAGTCACCTTTGTCGCGTTCCTGAACTTTGATGGCCTCGGCGATCCAGAGAGCCAATTTTGTCAGCGCCCCAGCATTGGTGAATAATTTCACATCAGGGCCATCTTTCACAACTGCAATTCGGAAAGCTCGGAGATGACGAATCTGGTGCTTCGATAGAAGAGAAGTTCCGGTGCGGAGAATGGCGCGATGAAGATGCTGAGCTAGTGGGAGTGCCTCCATGAGAAGGGTAGGGGACTCAGACGTAAGCGAAAGAGCGTCGTAGGCAGTCCAGAATCGAGGCAACAGACTGGCCAAATCAGATCCATTGGGACCAAGCTTGGGTTCGGCGTCTTCGTTTGATGCTGGTGGCCGGGAAATGCGTTTGGCGTCCCATGACCCCGAAGCTTCATTTGGACCAACTTCCAGCATGGCGCCAACGATAACGCCAACATCTGTCGCGGAGAGACAAGCTTTCCATCCCCAGCAGCGGACGAAGCCCCAGCCCTCGCGTGAAGTAGCATGTCCACCCGAAGTTTCTGGAGGGACCAAGCCATCAAGACCATACATGGGCGCATACTTGAGGAGCCGTCCCCGTAAGACCCGCTTCAGTTCCATGTCCATGTGGGTGTAGTTTTGATGGCACTGACTGAGGCTGACACCCATCTTAGCCAAAAGCTTGTGTAGACGCTTGCGTCCATTTTCTGTCCACACATGAAGTCTTGTGGCCAGGTACGGACTGTGCAGCATACTGTCATAGAGCGACCAATGGCGAACTAGTAAGAAGCGCGGTTCTGGGGATAGGCGTATAGAAGTGTCTGTCGGCGACCTGGCTGTTGTTGGGATGACGCCATTGATTTCTCCTCTGATGTCTCGATCCCGCTCAAACGGATCTGGTGGGTTCAATCTGTGGACTTCATCTCTCAAAATTTGACGGACATGCTCGCCCCGCTGTCCACCCCAGCCCGCAGAGCCTCCCGACTCAGAGGTGCTGGAAATACCCACGCCAGTCATCGTTCGACCACTTAACTCCAAGCTTGAAGCGCCGATGATAGCCAGCCAAAGGAGGTCGTTGTCCTCACGACCGAGCTCAGAAGCTAAAGAGTAAACAAGCGATGAGATTGGCTCAGAGTACGAAGTTCCCGACGCATAGTATTTCTGCAGCACCGCCTCGTGTCTGCGCTTTAGGTTTATTAATCGACGCTTCAGTTGGCTTGTGGATGGTTGTTGAATCTCAGTCGGTGAAGGAGAGTCCGAGGCTGGTGTAGGAGAACGTGATGAATTTGACGAGTTGATCGCGGTTCTTCTTCGATTACTTGGAGACGAAACAAAAGACGATCCCTGTGGTGCATATCTCGTCAGTAATTGACCCTTACTTCAACAATCACGGGGGTCTAACCGAATTGCTTCGCTTCCGTTGTCGAGGAGGCTCGTCTTCTTCATCTGATTCTTCGCCATCCTCCCGTTCCGACCACGACTTGCGTTTCTTTGACCCGGGACCAATATCGTCATCGTCCTCACTTAATCCGCCGGCACTCGCATTGTCGTCGTCATCCACCTCGGGCATCTCGAGTAATGCGTAATACGCTTCGCGCTCACTGCCGAGTTCCTCTTCAATGTCACCGTCATCGAAGACCACAATGCCGCCATACTTGGACGTGTAGGCAGGGGTGATGCGACCTTTGTCCACGCCTCTCCCGCGCCGCCGCGCATTCACATCAATTTCCGCCATTGCCTGCCCTATGCCCGCTTGCCCGCCAAAAACATTGGCCAGGTTCCATGGCCGTCGCGCGTCAAAGACCCAGATTTCAATACCGCCAAGGTCCTCCACCTCCTCTTCTGCAGAGTTCAGGTTCAGGATCTCACCAAGGTCCACCAGTCCTCCAACACCGAGACAAATGACCACCCCTCCGCTGCCACCGTTGGTGGTCTGCATTGGCTGGACCAGCTCCTCACCAGCGCGTGCGAGATCGCCATATCCCGCGACTGGTTGGATTTTATGAGGGATGTAATCGCGCTTGAGTAACGCCGTGAGGATTCGACAGGCACATAACGCGTCGGGTTCGAGCGCGACAAGGATTAGGACGGGTGGAGATAGCGGATGGTGGGATCGAAGAAGTTGGAGGTATAGGTGTGAAATGAGCTGCCGTGGAAGATACATGGCCAGCTATGGTCAAGGGCTAGCAATGCATACAAGCCTGAACATGAATGAGAATGATCGGTGGCCTCCACGTAATTGTTTTTGAAAGGAGACAGTGGCAGCCTGGGTTTGTCTGCGAGACTCGTCGATGTGGCCGAGACGAAACCCGTCCCAGTTTGGCAGGAAAGCGGCTATGCGCGACGCGTCGTAAGGCACGTGCCCCGAGATTCCATTCCCCGTCGCCTCGACGAAGACCAGCATTCAGCAATCTCCTCTTAGACTACTCCCTTCTTTTTTTTGGGGGGTGAGATTTGCGCATTCTGGAAAGAGCATTATTCCTTCTTGCCACGGACCTCCATCACAAACATATTATGCATGCAATTTGTCTAATCTGAACTATAGAATGGCCGCGAGCGACTCCGCGGGGGTGGTAAGTATGGACGAGCCAATCGGAGTGGAGCTATTCCACGACTATCGACCACGCAAATAGTCTACAAACTACGAAAATTAGATTGCCTTGCTTGGAGACGCAATGGTGCGTAGCGCGATGCCAAGTTGAATAGACAATTTTTAGAAGAAAGGGCTGCTTAGATGGCATCATTATTGGAAGTCTATCCATGACTCGCTTTGGCAATATCCCAGAGCAGGCATTTGATAATCTGCAAGGGTCTCGAAGATCTACGTGCATGTGATTCCCGTCGTATAAAATTGGGCACTCGCGTGCCTCGCTCCCATTGACGGTGACCATTTCAACGCCTTGCGCCTGCCTATGCTATATACAGAACTTTGGAGATTGGTGAGGAATATATTGGAGAAAGGACGTTGGAACAACTGCCTATGCGCTTCGACCAAGTATCGTGCCCGCCACCCAAACGGCGGTGCAAGCTCCAACAACAGAAAGGCCAACGAGGCGCTTACCCCAGCTGCTTTCGTCGGCCATTTTGGTGGGACCGACTGCTCTTTTGGTTTTCAAATGCACGGTAGACGAGTGGGCGTCTGCGCTTGGAGATGTTGAGTTGCCGATGATGGCGGCGTATTCGGCGTCACGCGTCCGCCACTTCTCGATAAGCCGCGCGATCTCAGCAAGGTCCTCTTTGAGCGATCCCGGGTCGGTGGCATTGGCGTTTTCAATCTCCACATCTTGTACATTGCCGAAGAAATCCACCACCGTACGCAAGCGACCTTCCTGCTCGCCGCCGGGGAAGAGATCCCAACGGACACCCGGCTGCGAGTGAATCTTTGACAAGTCGTAAGAGTCAAAGAGATCTCCTAGGGTCAACTTTGAGTTGGCACTTGTGACCTGTGTCTCCAAGAATTCCAGCACGTAATAGGTCCAGCGATCGATGACCGCAACGCCAACGTCGTTGTCCGCATGATGAGAGTACGACGACTGATCAAGCTCACTGGAACCTGTGGCGACGATGTTCGGCGAATAGAAATGCGTGAACATCGTGTTCGCCTGGCATGTGTCAATCATGAACAAAAGTTCATGGTAGCGCTTCTTCTCCCACATTTGTCCGAACGCATCAGCCAAGTCCCACGCGCCAATCTCTTCAGCGTCCTGGAATTTGAGGAATTGGTCTCCTCCGTGACCTGTCATGTAGACCAATACATTGCTGCCAGCATCGGATCCGAGTCGCTTGCTGCGAGGCACGTCTTCGTCCAACCGATCGGTCAACAGGCGGATGAAGTTCTCCACTGTGACTTCGTACCCCCGATAATCAACCTCGATGTTGTCGCCGTAAAGGTCCACTGCACGGTCGGCATTACTATAGACAGTACCCGGAAATGCGTTGCGTGGGTTGCAAGCCATATCATCGGGAAGCATGAGAATGATCTGAGAATCGGGAATGCCGAGGCGCTTCACGGTACGATAAAGGGACAAGACATTAGCGAGATGGCGGTAGTTGAACCAGAATCTGGATGTTGAAACGAGTACAGCCCAATTGGAGGTATGCTCGGCATATGCGGTTCCTATAAACAGCAGCACTGAAATTGCCTGAAGTAGTCGGGTGAAGAGAAGCATGATGGCGGACCCGCGATCAAGGAACGAGGGGTGAATGGGTGTAGACAGGAGGATATCGTGAGACCGCAAAGTAGGAAGAAATTCCAGTGTTGCATCTGGGGATCAGTCACCTTGACATACAAGAAGCAGAATTGTCAGGTCATCGGGCCGTCAAATCTGATTTCAAGTCCAAGTCATGATCGTTGATCGCATCAATGTGTAGGGGGTTAGCGATGCGCAGTTCGACTGTCCGGGGCAGGAGAGCTCTGACAAATGGCGCTCCGGCAGGACGATGTCATGCCTGAAATCCAAGGCTTCACTAATCACTTCATGCCAATTGCTTTGTTGGAAATTGGTAGTTGGCCCATATTGAGAATCGCCGACAGCTTGAAGATGTGCTCCAGTAAGTAATAGAATTATGATACCAACTGAAGGGAACAATCTATCGAGTCTGCCACATTGCCCTCGCATCCAATCCCCAAGCCTCATGGCTGCAATGTTTGACTTCCATAAAGATCTATACTTATCGATAGGTCCACAGCGTGACCGCCTACGTCGGAGTCGGCATTACTGTTTTGCAGATCGGATCATTTACCCAAGTCGACGCAATTTTCCTCCTGTGCTTCTCGCAAGATTTATATATTTGCCTTCACAGCTGTGCGAGCGACATCACTATCTGAAAATGGGAGGCAAGAAAGCTGCGGGTGAGAACTCGAAAAAGGCCGCTGGCAACGCTCGCGTGCGCATGACCCCGCCCCCACTACCACATAATCGAAGCTGGACAGTCGAGATTAACAATTTCTTTAGAAGGCCGACGCTGCTGCATCGAAGAAGGCAGCTGAAGATTCCAAGCGTGCCGCTGAGGAGGACAAGGAATGGTCCAAGGGAGCCAAGGGTAACGCGAAGAAGTAAGTATCACAAACACATGTGGTGGGACGTCCAGCTCTTCGCAGGTCATTTGATAACATAATTTTTCTACCTCCACCTGCAGGGAAGACGCCGAGGCCAAGAAAGCTGAAGCTGCTCGCAAAAAGGCCGAACGTGATGCCCTCCTCGCCGCCGAAGAAGCTTCCCAGCCCGCCAAGGCCAAGGGCGCCGGTGCAAAAACAGCCCAGAAGAAGACCCGCGGCCTCGACCTTTCACAACTCGATGAACCTTCCTCTGGCAAGCATAGCAGTGCCCTGAACGCTTCCGGTATTGACAATGCGCTTGACGCTTTGTCCCTTACGAGCAAGGATACTTCAAAGGTTGAGCGCCACCCCGAGCGTCGGTTCAAGGCTGCATATGCGGCGTTCGAGGCCCGCCGCCTACCAGAAATCGAACAAGAGAACCCTGGTCTGCGGCGGCAGCAGCGAGTGGATCTCTGTCGCAAGGAGTTTGAAAAGAGTGAAGAGAATCCTTTCAATCAAGTGCACGTTGCTGTGAACGCCTCCAAGGACGAGATTGCCCAGGTCCGGGACGCCGAGCGGAAGAAGACCGAGGGTCGCTTGACGAAATAAAGGGGAGGTGCTTCACTTTCCGACACCAGAATTCCGGAATCGGCGATGATCCAGTCGACATGCATCTTGCAACAAGTCTGATTGAAAACATATCATGACATACCTGCTGTTCGCGTCACGACTTGTGCTAATCAGATGCTACAATAGCGCAATGGCGGTGTTGATTCTTTTCCCAAACCTGAGCAGCTACTATGTGAGACAGAAGCTCTGAAAATTTTCAGCAAAAATCTCCTGCTAGAATAGCGAACCCTTTAATGGATTTTGGAAATCCATATATGCATATAGATTTATGACGAATTGAAACGATTGATCACTAGCTGAGATACGCGAGGGCTGGCATACAATGTGCCGTTTGGACTGCCGCCATATGTCTACAGTGATCGTAAGGCGTCTGCCACTACATAGGCAGATCAACTACTGCCTCCTAATTGACACTTTACTCTCCCTCGATTGTCGTCCTCTTCCAGCTGAGTTGCCCGCGGGGAAACCAACCCTGAGACAGAGTCCCATATTTTCAAATAAATCCAGAGCGCATGAATGAACCTCAGAGAGAGGGCGAAAGTGTATTGACGGTAGGTCAGATCTGCTTATGACATAATTGCTCTCACATCCCACACATACAAATTTTCATCCCAGCCGACACTAGCACACCAACCCTCATTTCCAAACATACACCAATCGACACCCGTTACAAACTCCGTGTGTCGACCCATCCTCCCAAGCTCTGACCCAGCAACTGGACTCACTGGGCCAGACCGCATCGGGTCCACATCAGCAGCACCGGTGGCTTCGGATCGATCGTCCCAGACGCGGCATGTCATATCGTAACTGGCGGAGAGAAGAACATTGGACAGGTGTGGCGACCACGCCAGTTTCTTCACAGCATAGTCGTGACCAAGCATAATGGACAACGGCCCTTGCTGAGGGGCACGAATATCGAATGTGCGGATTGCGCGATCAACACCAGCAGTCGCGAGAACCGTAGGACGGTATTTATTCCAGTCATGCGTCAAAATCTCAGCTGGCTGAGTAGCCGCTGGAGGGAGGCCTGGCTGACTAGGAATTGGAGGTGGCATTGGAGCAGCATGGTTGGGTATTTGAGCAACAAGGTGATTTGACGCTGAGGCTGGCGTTCGTAGATCGAATAGGCGCACGTAAGAGTCCGATGTGACACATGAGATAAGTTCCGGGTTATGAGGGCAAAAGGAGACGGAGTAGGTGCAGCTGTGTGTTGGTAATGTGAGGAGCGACTGCTGTCGATGAGGCGTCCAGACCCGTACTGTGCCGTCCCAACTACTAGAGCAGAATCGATCCTTTGCCACGAGATTCCAATTGACACTGAACACTTCTCGATTGTGTTCCTTCCAGTTCATGATTGGGAAATCATCGGCCGTCGTATCGTAGAGCTTGATGCTTCCATCGCCCGAGGCTGTCAAGACTTGGTTTTCGTGAATTTCTGACCAGGCAAGATCATATAAAGAGTCTTGCGTGGTAAACCTGTAAAAATTTCCCAGAATATGAGCCAAAACGACCATTCATATTAAGTGTGCAAGTCAAGCAGAGTTTCTGTCAAAAAGCTGTTAGAGGAGAGGGTTGCATACCATTTAACGGGTACAATACCGTTGGCAGTGAGCTCAAGAACATAAAGTCTGCCATTCCCCACTAGCCCAAAATTTGCTGCGCTCGCGACAGCTAAGCGATTATCGAAGAAGGGCGAGTACTTCACTGCGCTCCCATTGAAGCCTTGGGTGCGGTAGTGCAGCATTGTGAGATACCAAATCCGTTGGTCTCACAGATTGGCCTGGGAAATATAGAATTCGTCCTTTGACTGGAAGAAATCAAATGGGCGACGGTCTGAGCGGCGTCAAACTGACAGCATGATTTTGAGGATTTCGTCGGAGGTTAGGAAATTAACCGGCGAGGAAGATAGATTGCGGGGAGATCAGAAGCGGGTTATGCCGAGGTCAGTCTGGCGGCGGACAATCTTATCGTGCCTTATCGTAGCCCTATCTTATCGATCATTGATGGCCCTGACAGGGTTCGTGGGGGCCGTAGTACTGTACCAGCCTACTAGGTGTACCTGAGAATTGGGAGCCACGTCCAAATTTTCAAAGAAAGGAAGACCACATTTGCCCTGTATCATTATATCGACCGCCTATTAGTGCTGGAGGTAGGCTCACCTGAGGAACAACTGGTCCATCCTGATGTCTGATTTCAGGAATCCATCACAGCTGCCTCGCAATGCACAGTTTCTGATTGGTCACTTATAGCTCAGTCATGTGCTGATAAGCTGAACATCCACCACGGATTATCTTATGGCGTCGTGCAGGTATGACGAAACGCAACAACTTTGCAGCTTCAACTCCTTGCAACTGGCAATGACTTGTGAGGATGATGTAGGCGAGAATGATCAGAGATGGATTCCTTTGTCGTGAAGAAGAAGAGGAGACGATCCACTTCGCCCGCTGAAGACCACAAAGTGCGCCGAACAGAAGTGTTGGATACCTCACCGGTACCCGACACCATTGGCGATGACTCCACAGATATCAAGATCGCCATCTTGCTCTCGCTGTTTCCTGAACTCAATCAGGAGCATCTTCTTGATCTCTTGGTATCATGCGACGGCTCTGTAGACACGGTCTCTGAGCTCTTAGCATCTGGTATTTCGACACACACAAGACGTGGTAGCACGAGACGAGCGACAAATGCTTCAAGCTTGGGCGCTCAGACATCACTATCATCGCACCTTGTTCACAAAGCAAGCGACGGCTCGATTGCGCCATTCAAGGATGGTCCAGCTCACAGAAAAGCATTACGTACTAGAAAAGGACAGACTTTACACCTCTACTCACCCGATGACGTGGCTACCTACACCCCATGTACCATTATACATAATTTTCTCCCTCCAAAGCAAGCCAACGCCTTGCTTGCCGAGCTTCTGCAAGAGTCGAAGTATTTCTCCCGATATGAGTTCCAATTATTTAATCGGACAGTGAAAAGTCCACATACTGGAAGCTTGTACGTCTCGACTCCAGAAGAATATCGACAACACGCTACCGAGTATAGGCACGGCGGGACCTATCAGTCCAACATTCGACAAGCGACACCGGAGCTTCGCGCTGTCTCCTGTAAAGTCCAAAATGCAGTCAACGAAGCGATTCGAAATCGCATTCGCGATTTCTACCCAAACGGTCAAAAGCTCAAGTATCAGTCGCCAAAAGAGTGGAAGCCAAACGCAGCCTTTGTCAATTGCTACGATGGTCCTGCAGAAAACGTAGGCTTCCATTCCGACGACTTGACATACTTGGGTCCGCGTGCAACGATCGGGAGCCTGAGCTTGGGCGTGGAAAGAGAATTTCGCGTTCGTCGAATCCTGCCACGAGACGAAGAAGACGAAAACGACGACAGCGCAAAGCAGGCAGTCATTCAGGGAAATGGCAATCTACCAGCAAAGAATGCCTCTCAGCGCCAAGGACCGCTCACCTCCCGTGCGGACGCACAGGGTCAAATCTCAATTCACCTCCCTCATAACTCTTTGCTCGTAATGCATGCGGAAATGCAGGAGGAATGGAAACACGCGATCACTCCTGCTCAAACCGTCTCCCCTCATCCGATAGCAGGAAATCGTCGGATCAACGTCACTTATCGCTGGTTTCGGGATACCTTGCACCCCAGATCTACACCTCGATGTGACTGCGGTGAACCCACGATACTCCGATGTGCTCAGCGGAAGCAAGAGACTAGGGGTCGTTATATGTGGATGTGTCAGGCCGGATCTACGCCCGGCAAAGAGAGCTGTTCATTCTTCCAGTGGGCCGAATTCGATGATGACGGTGATCCAGTCAGGACTTATAAACGACAGGATGAGAAAGACCTCGTGACGCTGGCTAATTTTACTGCTTCTCAATGATCTGTCTTACTACTCTTCCTCGTCACTGTATCCAACTATTTTCATGAACGGTGTTCTATTTGCCTTCGAGTTCATTCACAGCCGTGGAAGAAATGTCTCAATAGCAAATAACAATGCGGTCAATTTAGACGTCGGGATCGATTTTCACCATACGGCAAGTGTTGTGCAAGCGAGTTCAGAAAATCTAGTAATTCAGAAATCTTGTGCGCACCTGTAGTGATGAACATTAAGAATAATCTCAAAAGGATCGACACAACGATCAACTCATCAATGAACGTCAGCTTCGAAGCAAATTCAGCTACTCATATGCTCATATGCTTCGGCAATCAAAAGCTTCGAGTCACAGTGAGGTGGGTATTGATATGGATGGTATTTCCTGGTGGCAACAATGAATGCTTATAACTCAGTGAGGCCGCCATCACTGGCTGCACAACCTCATGGGCATATTCAAGCAATACGTCATCGATGCGTGTCATCAGATCTTCGACAGGAGCAGGGTCGTCATATTTTCGAGAGGAATGATGAACATGGCCTCTTTGCCGGGAGGCAGGCTGTAATAGAAGTGGAATAGATGTCACCCACGTTTCACCTGGTCGAAGAGACATGAGCTGATAGTTGGCTGGACACGTCTCGACGAGAGAAGCGTGAGCAGCGGAAACTGAAAGACTCAGTTCTGACACAGATCCTGGGCGTATTCCCGTCCGAAGGTGGCCAACAGCTTTGGATACCTTGCGAATGAACAGGGCCGCTCCCGAGTAATCGTCTCCTTCATGGATATCGTAGCGAATGTGCCAACCCGATTGAGCACCCGGACGATCCACCGGTAGGCAAGCGACCGGAGCAACGGTATGGACACCAATTGCATGATCAAGCGGTGGAATGCGCAGACAATCTGGCGGAGCAGCGGAAACATAAAACAGATGACAGAAAGCCGGCCGTGACGGAGTACCGAACATTTTCGTGACATGCTGAAGAACAACACCAACATCTGCCAACTGAGTCACCCGCGACCTGAGTTGACGATTCGCAAATCTTTCAAGACTTGATCGAACAATGTCCACGGAATGGAAGCCAAGAGGTAGCAATATTTCAAAGCCACGGTCAGTGCTCGGGTCCACCACAGCTAATGCAATTCTGTCGTGCTCATGAACAAGGTGAGATGCTATCACGACAGATGCAAAGTTAATCTGCGCGCTTTCAGCTCCTAGAGGCCGAGGTCTTTATGAATCAATCAGTCATTTTATTCAGGCATTGATATCGGATGAATGTTTGTAACTCACACTTGATCCAGGAGAATGATCACTTCGAGAGGGGCGAGACCAGAAGGACCTGGGCAACTATCTGAGCTCACATCGGCAGACACCTGTACAGTTGCCCAAAGTGACTCTGACCCTCCACCAAAATGAGATTTGGAAGCCAGCACACTGACATCAAGAAAGGTAATGGGCAAATTCAAGGGGCACAAGAAATCTGGTTTGATTTCAAGATAACGATTTGGCGAAAAAGGTTCATATTGTGGTGTTAACAGTCTCGATTGATGCGATGCGCCCGTTGGGAACGACGGAACAGATAGGGTAAAGGAGGTCTGCGAATCGGAGCTCCAGCGGTCCACAAGGCTCGGCGACAAACGATGCTGAGTTGCAACGGGGACGTTGGAAGTTTCGGCGTCTAACGTTCGCTGATGCTATATCAAAAGCACCAAGATTAGCACAGATAGGTCATGTGTACGCACCAAACCAATGATGTCGGTGAACATGCCCTGTCGACAAATGGGTCGTCTTCTGACCATTGGTCACAAGATTCGCTGTCTTGAGAACCAAGTGCGGTTTGATCACGAATCTTCACAATCCGAAGTTCGAAACTTTCACTGAGGGAAGGAGTTCTTGTGGATGCTGCGCGACAGTCCGTGCTGTCACTCAGACTCGCGACTATAGAGGATTTTCGACACGGTATTCTTGGGTAACGCTTAATGGAAAAGGGGGTGCGAATTGCTGGCGACCGAGGTTTCTGTGTCTTGCGCGGGCGCATCACCATGTTTTTTGTGGGGGTTGGAGACCTAAGCATGTTCGCGAGGGTGGATGGGCTCTGGGTAACCAAGAATCTCATCCGTTGCCTGCGTGGAGGCTTGGCTGATGTCGCTTTCAGGATCTGAACAACTTCGCTTCCTGTTGTAAGCGTGCCTCCAGTTAACCAGACGCTCCAGCCAAGCAGGCTTAGTGAAGCAACAACTCCAGCACACCCAGCATCTAAGATGGAGACGGCAGCTGCAGCACAATGACCACGCGATGGCTATAGCCACGGCGACAATAAGAACAGCAATCGGAACCAGAACCAGGCAGATAAGTAATGCGGACTTTTTGAAATCCAATAACGAGAGATTGGGCATTGTGTATAGGCGTTGGAATGTAGAAAAGATCAATTGGCCTTCCACAGAGCAATGGAAGACTTGATGTTATGTCCCGCCATGGCCGCGAAGCCCAAAAAGGTAAGAACGATACGCAATCAACTTGGCAACCGACAAGAACGATTTGCAAGGCAAGCGCAATCGATTAGATCTCGCTAGTCACTTCGGCTATAGTCATCTTCATCCGTTCCTTAACTAAGGCCCGCGTGGTTTCGTCCATTCGAGAAAATCGGATCTGACGCACATTTAACGTCAATTCAAAAGAGCAATGGGAAAAGTAGACTGGATGCTTGTCACTTACTGTTTCTTCCCCCACGCCTCGAGTGGAGTTTCCGAAGAGCATAGCATCTGAGCGGCTTGCCTCGATCTCGTCTCGAACTCGCCGTGCCCAAATTCCGTCCCAATGCCAATCTCCCGGTAGTCGTGCCTGAGAGCTGTCTCTTGTTGAGCGAGTCGCGCCGAGCGTCCCTCGACGATGAGCTCTCCATGCATGCCACGCACCAGAATTCCCTGCGGCATCTTGGGGCAAAGAGTCGAGTACCTCTTCGTCCTCAAAGGTTGAGCGAACGTACGCCAGGAGCTCTGCAACGGGCACATGTGGTCTCGGCTGATGAGAAGGAATCACGACAGGGGTCTGCGAGATACGGGTGGGTAGGTCGTCTGTAAGAACTTGGTCTGCCGGCTGCTCTGTCGAAGCTGTGCTGTCTGAAGCTTCAACACTGTTTGTATCTGCTTCACCCGACGTAGACCTTGTCTCGGGTGTCACCTTGAACGACTGTCCGCTGAGATTCCGGGTCGACTTTCCAGACACCAAGTCAGTCCTCTTGGCTCTACCAAACCAATGGGGAAAGCCATGGCGAAGGCTGAATCCCCCGGGTGGGAGTCGCTCTTCGTCGGTGGCGCTGACAGGGTCATCGCTGGCTGCGCCTGTACTGAAGGTATATGTGGTAAGAGGTACAATGAGAGGGTGGAAAACATCGGTCGCGAATGTGACCAAAGGCGGAAGATCAGGGTAAGTGTCGGGGAAGCGGATCTGGAAGCGAAGAATAGCTGAGGCATATGGACCTGAAGGCACGGAAACAATTAGCTGCCATGATCTGTGTCCGTAGAAGAGCTATACCCGCGGAGAGTATCACAAACCAGAGCGCACGAAGACGACTCCACTCCATAAAGTTGGATCTCCCGGCGCAAGGGTCACATAGAGGCCAGGAGGTGCAGCTCGTCGCAAGCTTGCACTGTGAAAGGAGCAAGAAGCATTAGCTATGTCAGTTTCAGGCCCCAGACAACACTCGGGTGAGAAGCCACTCACAATTCCAGGTGAAGCTGTTGTTTCCGCAGAGAAGGGATGCAAGGTAGCCTCGTGGTCGACATGGCGAATACAATTGACCCTCTTCTAGAAATCTGCCCACGGTCTTCGAAGTGAACTCGGCCAAGCTCCAGATTCCCTGTTGTCGGAGATGTTCCGCCGCTCCGACACGTACTAAAGTCCTTATCGAGAGTCTTATCGTATTTCACCTAAGTACATAACTCAACACTTGGTGAAAACTGCTAATTTGCATTGTTCAGTTTCTGGCAGGGTGTCGGGCACAAAGGCAAAGATACGGATCTCGGTACTCATGGGAAGTAATTCTTCTTATTCTAACCCCATGATCTTCCAAGTTGACTACCGAAGGTAGGTAAGTGCAGAGACGCAAGCTTTATTAGTCATCTGTGTATCTGGCAGTCAACGCACTGTGACTTAGTCTAAATACGCTCCTCAGCCCGGGTTGTCCACCATAAACAATGCAATTTAGCCGGCCAGATGTCCCTCAGCTGTAAATGCGACCCGACCGTTCCCGAGAGATTCTTCACATTCGTCGTGAACACACTCGTCATTGCAAAAATACAAACACCGTTCATAATCATCAAACATGGAATCGTCCTCCGATTGAGAGTTGCGATCAGAGTTCCAACCCAGTTTTCACCAGGCCCGCTTGCATCATGCCTTCTCCAACACCATCATAGACACCGCCAGCGATGCCTTCTATCCACCAGCTGGCGAAATTTCCAACCGCGATTCCCAATTTCCCTTCATTGAGCCTTAGAACAGCCGAGCCAATACTCGCACCGCTCCTGCCCAAGCCCTCTGCGACATCGAGAGTGCTCGCGATAAACCGCTCCGTAAGTCGATGTGATCGCTCGTACTCATATGCCTTGTGTAAGAACAATTGCAAATACGGCAGCACGAATCTGATGAAAATGAAGCATTGCACGATCATTGAGGCGAGCAGCCGGTGGAGATATGATCGCGGGAGTCGATCGACCTCTACGCCCGGGGTCGTCTGGGCTTGCAATTGTTGCGAATTCGGTGAAGATGTCACTTTGTCTCTGAGAGACTCGGGTAAACGGTGCCGAAGCAGGACGGTCTCATCTGGAGTGAGATCGGAAGGCAATGCATCAAGCAAGTACATCACGGCACTGACGTAGAGCGATCGTACCAGACGACCATCCGCCTGCGGTCTTTGAGCCTCGTAGCCAGCATTGCGGAGGAGATTGAAAGCTGCAAGTCGTTAGCAGTGCAGTCGTTTGTATACGTCTGCCTCCATGGAGGAAGGCCCACTTACCCGGCGCAACGCGATTCCATCGCAAACCGGACTCGGTCTCGTAGTTATCTGGACAGCCCACCTCTTCCCCGAGCGGGCTGATGGAACCTCGTGACTGAGAATCAAAGGAGGTCAGATCATCGCTTGCTGTAGAGGGTCGCTCGATTCTTGTGACAACTGGCTCCCAGGTCTGATGCTCGTCGGGAAACGAGGATACAAACGAACTCGACGACTCCGCCGGCAAGGACCCCCGGGATGACTTTTCGGCAACGGCTCCGTGGGACGAGTACAGTCGGGGAAGCCGGCGCCGAAGTACAGCCGGCATGGGCAGATTTTGCAGACGTGTGTACTCCATCGACTGTTTTGAATGGCAGTCAAAGCCTGCACTTTGATTTTGGCCCAAAAATACAGGTTGTCGAGATTGGTAGTCTCCAGTAAGGTCGAGGTCTAGTGAAGGAGTGTTCGACAGGTGCCAAGCGACAAGCCTAAGAAAACGGACGAAGGATTTCTGCAGCTGATAAGCGCCATCTCGAAGGCCAAAGAGCTCTTGCGTGCGTGGCGTCTAACATGATGTTGAGCGCGAATTTTCTTTTTTAGTCTTAGCCTGTCCACCTACGAACAATGTCCAGTCCTACGAAGTACCGATCACAAGGTATAGTTCATCGCACGACACATACACATATCCCGTGTACCTGTCTGTACCTGTACATCCGGCATCATCCCGATTTTTTGCCTGGAATTCGGTGACAGTAGCAATGTACCATCTGTGGGCACATACAGTATGTGCGAGCGACTTTCACATGTCAAGCCGGCACCATCTGATATGCTGATAAACAGAAAGGATCCACTAAACCATCAAAGTGGGGGCTTCTGACTCGGCCGGCTTCTTCACAAGTTCACATCCAGAAGTCATGACTGTAGTACTTGCTCTGGAAGCGAAGATGAGGATAGTAGTGGTGTACTGCTGTCCCGTGCACACTAGAGTGGCGACCGAGAGAGCCGCGTCTTTCTAAATAGTGCATCAAATGATCAAGTACTGTAGGTGTCGTTGGTTGGGGCTCGGGCTCGGGCTCGATCTGCTACTGTACTTGACACAAGAATGCCGCGCCCGTGATGCTTCTGGTCTCACACAATGTGTCCATTTGATCCAGCAGAATCACCACGCATACGAATGCCGAAAACATAAAGTCTCGACTGATGACATGAAGCATAGAGAGGTGTGGATCTTAAGGCTGTTCCACTTTGACATCTGCCCGTGGTCGTGCGAAAACAGGTCCTCGTCCAGATATGGTAGGAGCCGCGGCAGATTTTACCCGCCGCGGCTTTGTGCCCTACTTAAGAAATGAGTGATTCGAGGTCAAGCAGGTAGTCAAATTGTGAGACGTAGCGAACATGTTCCAGTTTCGAGAAGAGGAAATTACGGACGTTGATCATCCAACCAGGAGATGGACACCAACAATTTTTTTTAGCAACGGTGTTGAAGGGGGTTGGTAAATTGATCTTTGGGGAGTCTGGTTGCTTGTCCTCTACTGGTTAAGGTCCGCGGCTCGGGTAGAGTTTGATGAGCCAAACCAGTTATGCGCCCCAACGACCCAACAAACCCACCCGCTCACAAAAACAATAAGATTCAAATGCATACCACCACTCTCGCGTTGCTAATCTGGTCGCAAATTTCATGAACTCTGGGAAACCCTTCTAATTCTCGTCACTATGGCATCCTATTCAGACATTCTGTGCCTAGCAGCCTTTGTGCTCTTCCACACTGTCATCATTGCTTTTGACTTCTCCGGCTTGGCAGTCAATCCCTCCCGCAGCCATCATACTCCCGAGACCCAGAGTCATGATGGATCTGGCTAAACCGGGCATCCCTCACTCGGCTCGACCTCCTCCCCGGGTTGAGTAGTCAAACAAAACCACAACCGTTGGACTGTCAAACTTCTTTGTCCGGCTTTTTGAGGCTCCCAGCGATGTTCCAATGGCCTAATATCTGCTTGTTACCATGACATCTGGCCTCAATCACGTACAAGCCGCCAGCCCTATTCAACGATCTGACCCCTGGTCCCACCTACGTCCCCGGCTCGACCCCGAATCTCAGTCCACAACAACAGCAACGAGATCAGTCAGCGCTGCACCACACGAGGCCATCAGTTCATACTCTTTTTGACATGGGCGACGTCAATTTGCTCGTTGAGCTTCCTCGGGCCGCTTTGAAATCCGACTTGGCGCGCCCGAGCATTTGCTGTGTCATACAGTCATATACAGTCATCATTTGAGTGTCATCATCTGTCACCAGGTCTTATGTTCTCTTGCTCCATGTGCATACGGCCGGCATCATCACATCTCGCTCTCAGCTCGACAGTCACTTCCATCGAGCGATACGATGTCTGCTCTGGACCTGGGAGACACAGTTCGACGCTATCACAGCGCGCCGATCAACCAGAAGGACCATTCCTCTGCTGATGTTGAACTTCCCACTTCGGATGGCACCCTCACTATGACCGGGCTTTCGTCAGCCATTTGGCCGAAGCAAAGCATCCCAAGACGCAATTCCTTATACCGGAAGCATTATGGACACCAACCGAGTTTGACTTGCAAAGTGGATAGATCTTCATAGCCTGTCAGCGTGAGCGGTCCGATCCTGTGGTTATTTCCTCGTGGAGAAGCCCAATCGCTCGGTTCAAAACACAACCGTGCTCACCTGTCTACGTGTATCACCTGCACTTTCACCCTCTGGCGTGCATCGCATGGCAGTGGCAAGTCGGTCTACAATGTTAACGAACGAACCGTCAAGACACACTGTACCGCCATCATAAGAAAATGACTGAAACACACAAGTTTTTGCATTATCACTTAATAATCCGCAATACATTGAATACTCAATACACAGCTCACAAAATTAACAAGATGCTCCCATCTTTCATAGTTATCCAAGTCAACACTGTATAAGCCGGAGAGGCCGAAGACTAGGCGTGTCCACTCGTGTGGACAACGTCGTACAACCAATTGAACGCTAGGCTCGTGCCTCAGCCGAGTGGGTCTCGGTCCAGCTGGACCGGTGTGAGTGGCGCAATCATGTGATCTGCGGCGTCGGCACTCCGCCGTAGTGTGGGTCTCCTCCTGCAGACCGGGGCACCTACCAGGTTGGCAGGTACTGTACCGGACCTGAGTACAGGTTGTATGACATGAAAATTAGGCATGAAATTCTGGCATAGAAAATTTGCAGTCTCCAACCACACTGATCTAAAAAAGATTGATTCCTTGAGCTCCGATAGGGGGAATCGAACCCCCGGCTGCCGTGTGAGAGACGGCGATGTTAGCCACTACACCATATCGGAATTGACTGGGAAACAGCTGTGAGTACGTGACATGATGGTAAAGATTTCACATGTCTATGGGAGGGCCGAGAGGCGCATAGCACCCAATTTGCAGAAAACTTTGGTTACAGGAACGAGTGTCCACCCAGTGCTGTTGCGAGCAACACTCTGGGGACTGGCGGGAGGGTATGTACATGTGACATGACTGAGGTCAAGTCTGAATTGAGTAAAGCTAAGCTTTCCATGATATGCCTCCTCAACACTACCTAATATTCGGCGTCGAGTGCATTGAAATGCAAAGGTCGTGGAACTCTTCGTAGATGTCCGAGGCGACGCCTCTTCAGTCTTATAGACTTCGCACCATTAATGGCTAGCTAATTAACACGTGCAGCATCCGTTCAGAATGCATGAAGATGGTGGTCAGATACCCAATGCGCCCTATGTACCAAGTTTTTGTATGTCGCTGGTAGCCAAGTTGCCACCTACTGCTCCTTGGGTCTCTCAGGGAGCTCTTGTTGGGTTTGCTCCGCCTGCTGTCCTGGAGCAGCGCCGGGGTGACGCGAGCCCCTATCCTTGACCTTCTTCTGCTTCTTCTGCACAACAGGAGGAGGGTAGGCCTTGAGCGTGATTTCTTGCCATTCTGGAGAGGCCTGGTAAGCATCGTAGATGGGGGCCATCAGACGAGTCAAAGCCTCGGCCGCCGCGGGCTTGAGGAATTGCGGGGTCAACTAGACGAGCGGTCAGCGTACGAACATCTTCTTCATTTCATTATGGGTTGAGAAACTTACGACATCGTTGGCATAGTCGTCCTTGAGTTGTTGAATGTCGGTGTAGATCAAGGGTTCAGCGTCCCGGCGTTCAACGCGGAATTCCTTCTTACCCGCGAGGCCGGCTGCGGGCAGAAGAACAAACTCAACCATGGCGATGATGCCGTTGTTCTCCACAATCTTGGGCGCCGCTTCGGACTTGCGAATCTTCTTCGCCACAGCCTCTGGCGGGTCGAGAAGATCAATTTTGCTATCTAATCTGGAATGAGCGATTTGTCTCTGTCGAAAGCCGTGGAGGTTGATACGTACCTTCGACACTGGAACTCATCTTACCACCACTCAATCCAGCGACCATGGGTGTGATCAAGTGAGCTCGCTAAACAAACGTCATTATCAGCGTCATGTCGAGTAAAACACGTGCCGGGCAAAGACCATCTAACCTTGCGGTAACCAAGCTTGGGAAGCCATTCCGTAGCAGCCACAAAGAGCTTGCGCTGATCGAGACCTGGCATTTCGTTAGCAGTGTTTCCAGCCGCGTGACGTGTGTCTTCGAGCTTACCTCCGAGCTCAGCATCGACCTTGAGGTACTCCTCATCGAGGACCTGCAGGATCGGGTAAAGCAGTCCACTCATGGGGGCGTTTGTAGATTGCTTGACGATCTCAGCACCGGCCTTGCGGCAGTCGTGCTCGGAAGTCAACGCAGCCAGCCGGTAGACATCCATAACATAGTCGGAGTTGCGCTGGTAGGAACTGCCGAGGACAAATTCGAGCTTATCGGTGGAGACACCGACAGCCTCGAGAATGGCCCGAATGACCTTCTCATAGTATTTCACTCGATTCTCGACCAGCTCGAGAGGGGCCTTCATCGAGTCCAAGAAGGCGTGCACATCGGCGAGGAGAATGACCACCTCGCATCCTGCCGCAAGGAGCTGGGCAATCTTCAAGGCAGCAACAAAGTATCCAGAGTGAGGACGGCCAGTGGTAGCGGTACCTGCAAAGAACAATCGGCGCTGAGTCAGTGCTTGAACTATACTGAGCCACGAGTATCACAAATCTTTCTCACCCCAGTAGATACGAGGGCTGCGACCCTCTTTGAGAATACTCTCAATCAGTTCTGGGTTGAGAATTTCACCCAGATTCTCACTGATGAGAGCGAACCTTTGCTCTGCAGACATAGACATGATGGCAAGCACAATGCAACACTTGTGAAAACAGATGAGCGAATCAATATGAGGGGCACACGTAGGGGAAAGACTCACATAAAAATGCCAGCGCAACCCCGCAGTTTGTCCGGCAGAAAAGAGGCGGCACGTGGGGCGGTCCTAACGAGCGAGTCATCATCCGTAACCCCGGGCGTTTTTTAAGGTACTTTGGCGCCGGACACCGCGGACAGAACCACTCGGACGCCGCGAACAACACCGCTCGGACACCGCGGCAGATCGCTGTACTTATGCAGTCAACTCCGACCTCAGTTTCCTATCGTCGTGTCGCCGATCCTGCGTGGATAGGTGCTATCATGCAGTTGCGTTTTCTATCAACTTCAAATCTTGTGAAACCACACCATGATTTGGAGACTATCGTCTATGACTAAGGTATATTCTTTTATCCGATGCAACGAGAGAGTAACCGTGAGAGCGTTGGGTTTGCAAATTTCTCTTTATGCCGACACAGTACCACTGATCTACCGTCGTGAAGAGCAATGCGAGCTTCGATCTCGCCACGTACAAGCGGAGCGAACTTGAGCTTGGATCTTGGATCTTGTGGTGGGGTCCGTAGAAGAAGTGGCCAAAGCCAGCGGCTCGTCTGCTTTGCTGTCAGATACAGTATCGTGATGAAGCCCTTGGCAGGTATCGGCGAGGTGGGGGCATGAGGCAACGAAGGATCGTTCGTACATGCATCAATTCAGGAGTTTAGTCTCCTTACTGGCCGATCGATGCTAAGTTCTGATCTTCAAGCCTCACCGTTCTGAGGCTTCTCCAAGATTGAAGCTTTTCAAGAAGGTAGATTGACCACTGTAGAAGATCAGTCCCACTCGCATAATTCGGTCGTCCAAGACCTTGTCACCAAGGTATCATTTTCGATTGATCCCCAACCTTGATTCAATTGATCGAATGAAGTTACCTGGTACCTTCGTACCTAGTACCTACTACCTAGTACCTACTATACAATAATGCTTACTATGGCCACACGATGTAGAACTGAGGCTTTAGGGCCAAATGATCAAAGTAGTATCTCGATGGCATCGGCCCAGGACAAGGACATTCATCCTACTTCTGCGAGGGGCTGAACACTTGAGCCACGGTCGGAACCAGCAGATAGAATTCAACCTATCTTTCAATCTCAAATCCAATGACGAGATCTTCAAGGTAATCGATCTTGTCGGATGTGATATACTACGTATGGAAACGAACCTGGTGTTCTGCCTCGATCGGTTGACACAGCGTTCTGCCAGTGAGCAACACAGTAACATTCATGATCACCAGATGAAACCACCTTCAGTATGTCGGAAGGCACCAAGGCTGCTAGGTGCGGGGATAGCAATGAGTAAGGCAAGAAGCAGCCTCGCAGCAATGTGAAATTCTGAATAGTAGTAGACTACAACCAGACTCTCATTTCGCTTGGTCAGTCCCACGTCAAAATACGATGCCGTGCTGGGGTCCAGAGCTCTGAACGTCTCTCGAGACAGCTGCGAGTGCGTGTGCCTGTGCGGTAAGTAACTGACAGTAGTCTCACTTACTCTGGCAGAAGAAAATCACGTCATTGACGTTACCATGGGATTGGACTTGGCTTGCCAATCAGGTGAAATCAATTGATCCATTGAGAAACAGTTCATAGTCATACACTTTTAGGTCGGTCTCTCAAATGCCGGAGTAGGGAATTGGGAACAGGCAGTGAGACCTGCAGCTCCCCTCGTCGTCAAATGTGAGTCACGCCATGAGATGCTTTGCTGGACGCCGATATCGCGTGGCACAGAAACCACGAGGGCCCCCCACTCAATTGACTCCGCTAGCGTTTGGCAACAAGATTGCCAAGACCTTTTCACCGACCGGTCCCAACCCAAGACAAACGTGGTCAAACACAACAAACATCCCATATCAACTGGACTCGCAACACGCTCGATTCCCCACCTCCACGCCGCGTCGCGGCAACTATTGCCCAAAGCAGACTAGTTCTGTCACGAAAGGGCGTGGAGCTGCAGTCGCTCGCTTTTGTGGTCACTCGGAATCTTTGATCACGTCTCCGAAAGAGTGATGACTGTTCTCGTGTATGCGTTAGAATCATCTGCTCTGGAACTTCCAGCCAAGTTCCGTTAGTGACGTGACTATGGGTGAGGAGTCTGTGTATACTGTATACTCTATACTGTATAGTGTATACGGCCCGTGGTCGGATCTAATTGTGAACAGGGTTCCCCCCACTCATTGCTTGATCCACCGAGAAACGAGTGCGCTTCATGATAACCTCTCACCCTGACAAGATAGCTTATCAGAAAGGAACGCAACAAGACGCGGCTCTTCGACCCCTCCTCACGCGCTACGCTCAGGTTTCGCATCGCACCACGATCCCCAATCAGCTGCGAGTGCGCGGGTCCGCGTGGCTCCAGATCTCAACAGACTTCCGCCAAAGAGTGATTCATCGCTGAGAATGCCCCGTTGCCCAAGGAGTTTGGAATAAATATCGGAATTCGGACTCCACTGGGCCTGATTATTCACCAGAACGACCGCTTCAATCAGTTCCACCTGGCTGAGGAGTCTTGCCAGTACCCCAGATTGGCAATGAAACGCTTCCTGCACAAATCGACTAATCGACTGATCAACTAATCCATTCGAAGCTTTCACATCTTCTTGCTCGGTAGTCTGAGCGACGTCAAAGTATTCTCGTCATCTGAGTGGTCAATTGCTAGTCTCTACTTCTTCGTGCACCCATTCCTCCCATCTCAAGCCCGTCTCTGCTCTTTGCAGGCGCGCGTGGCTCTCAATGGAGTACTTCGATTTCGAGGGTGCCTCGTCCACCTACGGATCCTATGCTCCAAGCGATGATCTTGCTTCCCTTGGCCAGGTGACTGACCAATTTGAGGAGCGGGATGATGACTTTGAGTCGCTACTGATGGACGGCACCATTGCGCCGGAGTCGGCCGAGCGACATGGGGGTGGCTCTATCGGCCCCGATCAGGACACCGGAGTCTACCCCATGTTCCGCGCCCAAGAGCCCTGCGACTTTTGCCGGCATAAGAACTTGGATTGTTTTGTCGCTAAACGTGGGATGATGCAGAATGAATGTACCTGCTGTATCTCACTCCGCCGTGGTTGTAGTTTCCTCCTCGATAAGGTCACTGGTGCCTTTCTTGAACCTCTCCACCCGGTGTCAGAGAACGCTTTGACGACCTCGAACAATTTTGCCATCGACCAGGAGATCAAAGCGACGTCATATGGAACCGTCGAGGACGAGCCGGATGTGTCATCTCGAACGAAGAGTGCACGATTCTCACGCAAATCCATCACTTTTCTAAAGACCTGGCTTCGTGATCACCACCACAACCCCTACCCCACAGAGGCCGAAAAGGAGAATTTGAAGCTGGCCACTGGCCTCAGTCGAACACAGATCTCAAATTGGCTTGCCAACGCGCGAAGGCGCGGCAAAGCTCGGCCTGCTCTCGGATCATACCTACCGGCATCGAGAGCGGTCGATATCCCCGGCCAGGCGCACCGCCCTCAAGACACGACGTTCATGACTCCTCTTGAACGTTGGAAATACTCTCCTCCTGAGAACGAACCGGCTGCTATAGGTGATATCACTCGCGCCTTGGCCAATCCTCCATTCGATTCGTCGCGTCAGCGTTGGCCTCAAGGCGGTCACGTGCGACCCCGTCGTCCAGGGTCCAGTACCAATGAGTCAAGTCACGCAAGCTCAGAGCATAAAAGATATACCGCCTCGGCCAGTAGTCTGGATACCAGTCGATCATCTTTCTCTGACAGATCTTTTGTCTCTGCACTCTCCCATCGATCCTCTCCATCCTTCAAATCAATGGATCGTAAAGAACGTCGCCGCCGCCGCAAACCCTCTCTACCAGCAAATACTTTTAATCAACAAAAGGTCAAGGCAGCTCGACCATTCAAGTGTACCTTCTGTACGGACTCCTTCGCCGCCAAGTATGATTGGCAACGCCATGAGAAGTCCATGCACTTGATCTTGGACAAGTGGATCTGTTCACCTTTCGGGGGTGTCACTGAAAAGGATGGAGTCCCTTGTTGTGTTTTCTGCTCCGCGCCTCAACCCGACAGGAATCATCTCGAAACGCACAACTACTTGGGTTGCCAGGAAAAGTCTGTACAAGAACGAACGTTCTACAGGAAAGACCACCTGAATCAGCATCTTCGACTGATGCACAATTCCAAATTCCAGCCCTACATGGAGAAATGGCAAAGCAGTATCTCCGATATCAAGTCCCGATGTGGATTCTGCGGCCTTGTCATGGAAACTTGGAAAGATCGCGTGGATCACCTCGCAGGCCATTTCAAGAATGGTGCGAGCATGGATCAATGGCAGGGAGACTGGGGCTTCGAACCCGCAATTTTGGAAAGAGTCGAGAATGCCGTTCCTCCATATCTGATTGACTTCGAATGGAGATCTCCGGATCCTTGGGGCGGTGCTCAAGTGCAGGCGGATGACGCGTCAGCTCAACAGTCGTCAGGTGCTACTCCCAACTGCTACATGCACATCTCACGTGTACTCACCACCTATGTTCGTGATCAACTGGCTCAAGGAATCATCCCAACCGACGACAAGCTGCAGGCTGAAGCACGTCGCGTAGTCTACGGGGATGACGATGACGGCTGGAACCAGACTTGTGCAGACAACCCTGTTTGGCTGGCACAATTGAAACGAGACACTGGCCTTGATCCTCTCATTCCAAACCATGTTGGACTAATGCCTAGTCACGGGATGGAACCACCCTTTATGGCTCATATGCACTCGCCGCCGCCTGATCTCGCCAGCAATGCAATGACGCTGGATGTGCGTGCCGAGCCGATCACTGGTCCATCCGTCCCATCCCCCAGCCTTCAGAACTCCAATTATTTCCCACTGGGCTTCACGCCCGTTATGTCTGCTGCACAGGGAAGCCTGGTCAGCACCTACATTGGGAGCACAGGGATCATTGCACCTGGCATGCCGGCATTTGCGTCTAATTGGAGCGGCGGCAACTCAATACAGCCTCACTTTGACTCGGCTGTTGGTGAGGACCGGCAGCCTGATACACTGGCGCAGATACGATTTGACCATGACTATCTTCAACATGCTCATGGCGGGTTCAGCGAGGCCATGGCGCCTCATTTGCATTCATTGTCGTCTCGTACTCAGATTGAAAGTCAAGGCACAGGAAACTCGCCGTGGCAGAGTCCATTCATGGAGTCACCGCCGCTTGTCGATGATTCAGCTGTTCATCCAATTGCAGCTCGCTATGCACACGGGGAATTTCCACTTCCGTCACAAAACGGCCAAGCTGGGCCCCAACGAGGTCCAAATGACTCGCTCGAGTTCTAACCTTTCGGCCCTCTCATATCTTTTTTTTTCACTTCCGTTCTTTAATACACGTGTACTCGCGTGGGACCGGGAAAAGCACCGACATAGATTGATTATGATACCTGATGATTTGGAATACTCCACAATACCCCTTTGATGCATGTTCAAATAGATGCAATCCATGAAGACTTGATCACACATCCATGTAGCAGATTAGTTGCATTTCCAACTAGACCGCGAGAGCATGTCCTGCTGAGTGACGGGCTGACCCTGATCCTATGTTCGTATTTGCCGCCCTTGGAAGATACTCTCCGTTCCTGAATTGTCCCACACACGTGGCTGCAACACTCTTTGTCAGGTTGTACCATGCAGGCAGATTCTCACCTTCTGCCTCGAAGAAGCATTTCACCCAGCATTCATTGTTAATTTGCAATCTCCACGGAAGCCGTCCTGGATCCAACGTCTCTCAGAGCCCGACCAGCTCCGGCGACTGTACGTAGGATGATCGGATTCGTCGGGCCCATTTGGCCCAGTGTTCTGCGCAGCTTCCAACACATGGGTTCATCTTGTCTCAGACACTGAAGGCCTGGACAGAACCCCCCACGGGCCTCTGAGTCAATCACTTTCTGGAGATCTGACACAAGCACTGTTTCGGCAACCCATTTGTCATTCGCCTTGGCCTTCCTAAAGTGTGCTGAGCCGAGGTCCATGAAGTGGAGTCTACTTAGGGCTCTGTATTACTGCAAAAGAGGCTTCCTCCGGGGGGGGGTATTCGCTCTCAAATCTTGCAAAGCCGAGAGATCCACTCCAAAATGTGGGAATCTATCGTCCGTCGATGGATTGAATCGAAGTTCAAGGCATCCTGGCGTACTCCATAAACAAATTAGAAGGGCACTTTTCGCCCGTGACTCGTTATGAAGACCGCGCTGTTTATCGGGCCTTTTTTCTATCCGGCGTCTGGTTCAACGACATCATTTTGACTCCTACGTCCATATACCCTATCACGTTGGTTACCAGGGGGTTTGCACCTTTCAATTGAAGCAAAAATGGGCTGCAGTATCCTCAGCTTACTCTCATGCAGTCCATCAAGTGTCATCAGGAAATGCAGTCATATGATTGGCGTCGTTCTGGAGCCCGGATCCAGCATCCTCGCAGCAAGATGTATGCTTGACTCATACTATGGAATGCACACGCCAATGTATGGAATTATCCACAATCAGGCATTCTTTGGCTTGCCGTATTCCTCCTGGCCGATTGATGGTCGCCGATCAGCTATGAAGATCGGGGATTGTCTCATTCAATGCTGTCGGGCATTCACTTTGCTCAGCCCGGTGTCTTCACGTGGCGATCACACTGACGACAGCTGAGCTCCCATAAACCCCGGTCTTAATGTCGAAAGGGCGTATTCTGAATGCACAATGGCAATCTTGTGATATGCCTTAATCGTTAAGGACTCAAGAGATCAGAAGGAACTTCTTTGCACTCAAGGAATGGAAAAATCAAGCAGCATATATAGCTGGAGACCTCTCCAGAAAAAGATCTGGTACGACACCACCTTCGAGACCTGGGCTTAATTTGAATACGCCATCGATTGCAAAGTCATCATGAAGTGCTTGATCTACCTTATTTTGTGTTGCACAGAGTGGGCTCTTGCCTCTACTGTCTACTTCTCGGCCCATTTGACCTGGGCCAACCATTCGGTTGCAGGTGTACAGCGTCCGGTAATTCTTACCAATGGACAGTATCCTGGTCCCGAGTTACGCTTGAACCAAGGCGACAATGTGATTTTCGATGTGTATAACGAATGTCCTTTCAATGTGACAGTACATTTCCATGGTGAGAAGACACAGCCTTCCAGACACGAGGATGAATGTCCAGTTTTGCTTCCCTTACCCGCAAGCTTACACAGTGCCATGGGATGCGCATCGCAGGTATTGAACAAATTGGCACTCCATGGTCCGATGGAGTCCCTGGATTATCCCAGCGCCCCGTCAAGTCCAACTCTGCATTCCGCTATCGTTGGAAGGCTGATCAGTATGGCGCGTATTTCTATCACGCTCATCATCGCGGTCAAATCGAGGATGGCCTCTACGGTCCGATCTATATCGTGCCGTCGAGCTCCGTGACCAAGCCTTTTAGTCTTATTTCAAGCAATTTCTTCGATCAGGAAGCCATGAAGTTCGCCGAGATCACCACCTCACCTCTAATCTTGTCAGACTGGCGCCTCGTGACATCCGAGCAGGTCTGGCACACCGAGGAGGCCGCCAATGTCGATGCATTCTGTGCAAATGCTCTTTTGATCAATGGCAAGGGCTCGGTGACTTGCCTGCCACAGGGTCTTATCAATCAGTTGACTACGCCCGAACAAAAGATGGTTCTTGGGAACGAGACGTTGACCGATATCGCGTGAGTAATCCTCGATCTCCCTTACATGCTCGATGAATAGTCTCGCGTGCACTGCGACTGGATAAATCGATGAGCGAGTCATGTTTCCACACTGACACTATTCACACCAGTTGTTTCCCACCAAATATTGGACAAGGAGGACCCTTTCCTCAAAATCTCAGTGCTCTGCTTCCAACAATGTTCTATGGGTGCACTCCAAGTCAAGGCCCCCAGCATGTCATCTATGCAGATCCCCTGCGCCGATACATCAGTCTTGATCTCACCAGTGCAGCAGGCGTGATCGACCTGGTGTTTTCAATCGATGAGCACGACATGTGGATATACGCAGTCGACGGGCGATACATCCAGCCTGTCAAGGTGAATGCTCTCACTATTCCCATAGGCAACAGATACTCTGTTCTGGTGCCAGTCGACAAGACCCCCGGAGATTACACCGTCCGACTGGTGAGCGGGAGCATCCAGCAAATTCTCAACACAACGGGCGTACTCCATTATCAAGCCCCAGACTTCTTGCGCCGGCCGTCAAGACCCTGGATCACCATGACCGGTGGCAATGCCACGGCAAACACCGTCTTTTTTGACGTGAGCAAGATTGTTCCTTATCCCGCGATCGCCCCGTCCACTGATGTTACCGCCACGTATATCCTCACAATCCACCGATTCGGCGCATCATACCGCTGGACCCTGGGAAACAGCAGCTATGCCTTGGAACTGGAGGAGTCTCAGCCTCTATTGTTTAATCAGACAGCCATACCCAGTGACTTGATAGTTCGCAACAACAACAACACATGGGTCGACCTCATCATCCAAGTGGACGCTCCGGCTCAGCCTGCGCATCCGATCCACAAGCATTCCAACAAGCATTTCGCCATCGGTCAGGGCCTGGGAACATTTACTTGGTCGTCCGTCGCGGAAGCAATGCAATCCATCCCAGAATCTTTCAATTTGATTAATCCTCCCTTCAAAGATACAACGCCGACCCCGGCTTCGACCACTAGCGCCAGCTGGCTGGCGCTTCGTTATCATGTGGAGAATCCGGGGGCGTTCCTGTTACATTGCCACGTTCAGATCCATCAGAGTGGCGGAATGGCGTTGGCTTTGTTGGATGGAGTCGACGAGTGGCCCGACATTCCGGAGAATTATTTGAATGACTCGGGGTTCTAGAAGATTTCAAGAGTTGAGGAGTGCGGAAGGATCGAGCAACAACACTGTCGGGTAATTCTGTATCAAACAAACATGCAGAGGGTCTTGAAGATGGCAGTGGACCAAGTTATATATGCCTGTCTAGGGTGAGCAAGGATTCAGACTGATCACATTGTTGTTTCTGTATTTTGTCGGAGCGATACAAACCTTACATAGTATAAGTTCATGGAAATTGACTACAAAGGGCTGGGTTTGCGGCGTTGGAATCGAAAACATGAGATTGGCCAGTAGACCACGCAGTACAACCTAGTGGACCTCTTTTTATCTTCGGTAATACATCGCTTCTTACGCTCATTGTTAATTGGTCAGCGCACAGTAAGTACCTAACATTCTTAAGATAAAATGACTAGTAGCGAACTTAGACCTGACTTCTCCTGATATCGAGAGACCGCACGCAGAGTCGCGGAGGTTTCCAGAATACCTTTGACGAGGTCCAACAGTATAAACCTCGAGCATGCAATCTAATTGATGACCTCCGTCCGGCAACGGTTCAAACAACGGTTCAAAAGTTGAATATTGAGAGGAAAGAAAATGGCTATTTAAATGACATACGTATCGACTAGGTAGTGATTTGAAGTGCGGTAAATGAAAGTCTCAAGAGACCAAAATGAAAAGACTCAATGTTATCTGCAATTTCACTTGATTTGTACATCCAAATTATGACGCTGAATGGAAAGAGGAAGCAAAAATAGAAATTGACTGTCATAAAGATACCAGAGTAGGTAGGTGAGCATCAAAAGGAATCGCTTCCGACAAACAATGAGCAAAAACACCTATAATGTTGTTCTTCTGTCCCTGTGCTGATAACGATTTCAAAGGGGAAAAAAATCAAAAAAATAAACAGAAAACGTTAATACTTTAACTCTTCTCGTTCAAGTCGTGACAAATTGCGTTTAAACTTCGTTCACACTTCGTGTCCTTGAGTTTGCTTCGTGTCTGAATCTTCCGCGGGGACCCAAAACGAAACACGCTCATTTTCATTATTATAGCTTTCAGATGTGGCGCACTTGCTTTCACTGCTCGCTTGGTTCATCAAATTTGGGAAATGCCAGAGGCATATCTCGTCGTCAAGAGCGGCGCGCTTATCAGGCGAGGAAAGGTGCGCAAATACGCTCGGGCTGGGAGTTGGAGTTACTTCGGCGTCAGGAACGTTGGCATCAGAACTAGGATCAAGCGCCCCTTCTGATTCAGAACTGAGCTGCGCTTCCTTCCCAGTGATGGATGTGGTGGCCACGGGTTCAGTGGCTGTCGCCGATTCAGAAATCGAGGAATCATTTGTTAAGCTTGCTGGCTCATCGATCCTTACAGGCTCAGCATTCTCGATAGGCTCTGGAAGATTATTGATCACTGCGTGCTGACCAAGTCTTTCCGAATCTGGTGTGATAACTGTTCCATCGTCCTCTGTAGATTCTGTCCCTACTACAGGGTCTCGCAAGGAAGACTCAACAGCGCCAACAGGCTGAACAGACTCCACTGCCTCAAGAACATCGTCTTTAGATTCGGGAAGCTCTGTATCCACAACAAACTCAGCGCTTGGCGCGGGATCAATGAAGTTCTCAGCTACCGCGGCCTTCTCAAAGGCCGTAGAATCCTTGTTCACCACCAGTCTGGCTACTTTCGGGGCTTCTGCCTCAAATGTTGGCTCGGGGTTGAGTGAGATGGGCTCGGAAGGCACGGCAGAATGATGAGCAAAAGTCTTCGCGGCGTACGACTGCACAGGTATATCCGTCGCATGAACAGATAATATGACGCTTGAGGCAGGGATAGAATCCTCCACGATGCTCACATCTGCAGTGCGTGGTGGCAGAATTGCAGTGCCTGTGTCTGCCCCCACCTTGGCTAAGACGGAATGCTCCAGGCTCGTGTCTTGCGGCGCCGAGTGCAGAACATCGATCAGACGATTATCTTGAGAGCGAGATCCAATGGTTAGGAACGCAACTAAAACACTCATCACAACGAGGGCAACATTGCGCCGATCTGCAGCTAGCACTCGGATGTAGTTGACCAATAGAGTTTGTAGTGCAATCTCATTATTCGCCTTGCGCTCCGGCTCGACTGGTTGGCTTTCAGATTGTTGAGAAGTACTGCGAAGCCCGTCACTTGTTTTGGAATTTGCATTTCTCAACATATCGGGTGGCATGTGGAACGGCGTTTGGAACATCTCCATTCTAGGCGTTGCCCTGTCGCTAAGGGTGAATGGTGTCTCAGGCAACTGTAGAGCGAAGGCTGCACTTTCTTCTTTAAGTCGCTTCTCCAGAGCGCGTCGCAGCTCAGACGGTAGCCATAAACCGACCTCAACGTCGACTTTCTCCATCTCTTTCCAGGCGGCGGCCCAGGCGCCAGCGCGCATTAGACCATTTGCGGCGTACACACGGATTTCCCATTTTCGGTTGATATCACTCTGGTGAAGAACGTGTCGCCCACAGTCCGGGCACTCATCTCCTTGCTCGCCGTCTGTGTCGCTTTCACTTCTGTCGGAGGCTTCATCGTCAGAGCCCACATCTGCTTTCTCATGGCCGAGGAAATGACCTCTGTGTACGAGCGGACGTTGCAATTCCAAGCTTTCGAGTAATCGCTCTTCCAAGACATCATAGAGATCTTCTGGATGAGAAATCAGGACGCCACGTTCACGCAGAACTCCCGAGCCAATCTTATCCTGGAGACGCCGCCACCGCTTCCAATATTGAGGGGGTAACACCTCCTCAACAAGCCTCTGATTTTGCGGATCCGCTGCACCGGGCACTGGTAAGGACGGAGCCAGCAGTGTACAGTGTAGCAGAACAAGTGGGTATTCTTTCTTATTGCTGGGCTTTGGGTGGGTGTTCTTTTGTGGATAGGCGGTCGAGCGTTTCGGATACGAAGTTCCAGGAGAACGAATACCCTGATGCCGCCGCGGTGGCGTCAGGTAATCATCCTCCTCCGCTTCATCTTCAGTATACATCTGCATTGCTCGAACAGAACTAGGCTTTCGAAATGCAGCTTCTCGCTGTCGAATTGTGCGCATGGACTGAGGCGATCTGTCGAACCTTCCAAATTCGGCCTCGTCTTCCTCCACTGTGTATGCGGGTGTTTGTTTCAGGGGTCCGCTTCCCGCTAGTTCTTTCAGCTGGCCCACAGGATGGATCAATACTGATGCGGGGATTGACGAGATCGAGGAACGGCTTGACGCTCGGGAATGTATGTTTGCCAAGTCGTCTTCCATGGCATATTCATAAAGATCCCCTGCGGAGTGGCGATTGGAAGAGCTTGAAGAGTGACCGTCGTCGCTCCGTATCGCGTAGCCTTGATTTTCATGAAGTGCCACTTCGGTGCAATTGGGTATGTGGGCTGTTTCGAGGGACTGCACGAGTGACTCCTTCATCAGGTGAGAAGAAGGCTGGGGACTAAGAATGTGATTTGAGGATTGAGCCTGGGGACCAGCATGATCATGATCATTACTCATTTGGGCCATCATTGAGACGAGTAACACAGAACCTTGAGAGAGGCATCCATGGGAGGAGTTTGAATTTTGCAAATCAGAATCCCACCGGCATTATGCGAGCATCTTCAATCTTAAGACGTCTGTGCTGATCCCATGATGTTGACAGCGGCTCACCGCCTGGTTGTGCCGGGCAACGACGAGGCCGGGCGCTTCCCCGCCTGGTCAGTTCCCGAAGTATACGAAGGGCCAATCAGCCGTCGCTCTGTAGGGCGCCACGATCAGGGGTCGTAACACCAAAGTGCGTCATGAGATATGACGAGTCCCAGTCTCGACGTCGGCCGATTCGGGCCTCGTTTGAGGCAACAGTCTAAGAGTCAACGTACTTGACACCCTTCTTGATTTGACCACAACCCAACTCATGAGGGGCTGAAACAGCAATGCTAAGGCTGGCACCGTCATGGATGATACAATCACCAAGCAGGGCAGATATGACAGGGGAAACATATGTATTATGTACAGAGATTTTCAACAGATAAGAAAAAATTGGGTATCACTGAAGAGAACGAGCAAGAGAATCACAGACCATCATTCGGATAACTCTGCGCATCACCGAAGAAGCTGAGAACATCCTGTGGAAGATATTCTAGCCACGGCAGGATTTCACTGCTTGTAAATGGAAACGACTCTTGCTGCTGTAGATCATTCATGTCAACTTCATGACTTTCGATGATCATCGAGTCTTTTTGAGTATCCCGCGCAGTAAGACCGGCACGAGGGCTATGATTGTGAAAGGATTCTTGTGCTTGCTGGAGTTGTGGGCTAGGCAAAGGGTAGCCATTGCCTGGGATTTGCGTGACTGGCATAGAAGCACTATAGCGAGACGTTGAAGATGGCTCAGTTGATGCGGCATACACCGAGTCCATTCCTTGAAAGTAACCCGAGGGGTTGTTTCGTGACCAAGTCGACCCGATATGTCCGTGAGATGCAGGCAGGCTGGACGTGGACTGATCCGCTCTGGCTGAAACGAAGCCATGGTTGTACTGGGAATCACCAAGGGTTCTTCCAGACGCCGATTCGACTTGATTAGACGGCGTTTGATAGAGTAAACTGAGATTCGGCTGTGATGAATTGGTTGCTCCGGTCAAAGCCCAGCCAATCGCTATTCAGTTTGCAAAGTTAGACTCGCACAAACAATCGATTGAGAAGATAGCCGGGGCAAAAAGAGTAACAAAAAGGAAGTGAAACACACCCTGAGATGAATCGATATTGGACGCCGGATGCTGGCTAGTGTTATCACCAAGCCTGTGCGATACCCCGCGGGTTTCTGGTGAAAGATGACAGGGGTTTCTTGCTTTTCCTGGGTCGGATCCGGCATGCTCGGGCGAGGCTGTTTCCACAGTATGTTCCATTTCCTCGGCGGTGTAGAGAAGTGGATCAACAATGCCTTTGGCCTTTTGGTCGAGCACAGTCAGAATGTACCTTGTGCCTTTCCAATACATGTCGAGAGCTTGAAGGGCTTTGTAACAGCGCTGGTAATTCTCTTTCGCGGCCGTCGCCAAGAGGGTATGTTTCGCTGCTGAGTTGCGCTGGGGAATCAACGGAGCTTCCCACGAAGGTGCTGTGAACTCACTGGACTTTCCAGTAAGCAGAGCTTGAGTGCGTGCAGGCGAGGCTGCTCGTGACGAAGGTGACGAGTAATACGCGCTCTCCATCAAGAAGGCACATGCTGCAATGTACATTGGCTGACTGGTGAAAGGGTTGCCAATAAAGCTCTTTCCATCTACTAACTCTGAAAAGGATAGTATGTCGGCAATCGTCTTGGCCGATGACATTGAGAGTTCTCGACTATTTGGGTAGAGATGCTGTATTGAGCCACCGAAAGAGTGGAGCAGAGTAGGCTGATGAAGAAGGACAATCAAGGTGTGGAACCACTGGCGTTTGACACGATCAGAAGGAGATCGAAGCGCACGAATGGTCTTGGAAGCCACTTACAAAATGCAGAAGAATGAAATTAGTTCCTTCCTTAGCCTTGACGTATGTTTGGAAATTAGCCGCATTGAAATGGAGGCGAGGAGACAATCGTTGATAAATGCCGGTCAAGTCGCTTTCCATGTTGGCCAAACGCTTGAGCATGTCCGCAGTGACGTTGTTTGTGTGCCGAATGCCATTGATCAGATCAGTTACCCTGCCATACAGATGGATTATACGAATGAGAGGGGGAAAAGGTGCCGGCCATCCATTAGGTAGCCGAGACTCTGACTGGAGGGGGAAGCATAACTCTATGTCTTCATCGCGCAAAGTGACTGGTCGGCCTGTTCCAGAGGAAATGACGCGGTCGAGGAAGAAGATACTCCAGAACGAGTCTACTCTCTCCCGTTCATGGGCACGTTCAGCATTCATAGACGGCGACGCTGCATCAGCGCTTGATTCAGAGCTCCAATCATCGTATTGCTCCTCTGTGAGATGACCTGCATGGCCTGTCATAACGGCACTGGGGGTCACCCCCCTTTGACCGTAGTTGTATTTGAGCCCCTGTATCTTTTGCAAGCCCAGGTCTTGGGCCATACGAATGGCAATTCCAAGATACATCCAAAGACCACTGTCGTGGTTGGACCCGAACTGCTCGTATGCCAGCAAAAGACACGCTTGAACGGCTGATAGTGTCGGACAGGAGAGCGCGTCCACAAGCGCATTCATGGCTCGATGCGCGAAAGGCAATCCTCGGTCAAAAAGATCTGCATTTACTGGTGGCTCGGAGCCATCAATCGAGGGCGCCTGCGGATGGCCAAGTAATGGATGCTGAGAAAACCGGGCCGCAAGAGCACATACAGCGTCAACCAACATCGACTCGACTTTTTTACCTCCCAAATCTGAAAGAAAGCGATCTCGTTGTAGGAATGGAAAATTGCAACCCAAATGGGTGAAAAATAAGTCACACAAGTGTGACACCAAATTTGACACAGGCAGAATGTCATCTCGGTCATAGAATGGGATTGTGTTGGTGTCGCTATCAACCCGTGGGGCAAGTGTTGTCTCCATAGTGGACACCACTTTGTGGGGCTGCTTTGGGCTTCGCAGTGGAGACATCGACTCTACATTCATGGTTAGTTCTCTCATGGGGGGAGCTTGCAGGCGTTGCAGGCGAAGCTCATGGGCCTGCTTCAACACACACCTGACGACATGGAAGCATTACTCTTCCGCGAACCTCGAACTTGAACAACCTGGAGCGTGCGTCAGGTTTGAACGATAATCCATAAGATGTTCCAGCGATCTCACCATTTGCTTGAAACCTGGCACGATTGCAGTCGGACCAAAATAGCGAAAGTACGGTACGTGTGTACAGCTGCTTGAACCCATGGATGTCCGGCCTGTGAAAACCAAGTCCACTTCGATCAGCACACGGTGCGGCGAACAAGTGACAGATCACTGTCAACGTACCGCTTTCTGGACTCTTGCCCATGTCGATGGCATCCACATCTTTGTTCGCAGGAGATGTCGAGACAACCTTGCTTGTACGAGAGGACCGATCAGGCACGCCTTCAGGTGCCTTGATTCGGCTGGGTTCCGGCGAACAGCTTTTGGCGGCTGTAGATTGGCGCTGAGCCTTACTTTGGGGGCCAGAGGGGACTGCCTCAGACCGTGCTGCAAGATCCGCCGACGCTCGAGGATGCGATGGTGTATCATTGTATCCGAGGCACGCGTGCTTGTTCTCAAAGCAAGTCTTACACACTGTCGCGATGGCGTAAGCGGAGGGATTCTCAAGGCCAGTTCCCCGGCGCATCCTTATCTCATTTACCTGGTTGCTCGCCCGAGCATCGAATTTTGCGCCTGCGGCATGTTAAGCAGCTACCGAGTTTGCGCACGTGTCAGAAAGCTTGCCTCAATTAACATTCAACATTAATACCTGATGCGCATGTCACTCACGCGGCGTTGACTCTTCGACGCTTGGTCTGGGGTTGCCCGTCGGCAGAGACGAACCGGATCTGACGAGGCGCAGACACTTGACCGTCATTCTTTTTCTTTGGAGGCGACGGGCTCATGACGAGCGACTTTCTTGTCCACGACCCTTACTCCATCAGGTCTCAAATTGTCAAACGCTGATCGTGTGGGGACAAGGATGACTCGAAGGAGCGTTGTCAAGGTCGTGCTCGAGGGATCACAGGGACACGCGGAGTATTTTGCGGCTGTCAAGCCCGCGGGAGAAACATTCGACCGATGAATGAAACGCTAGGTTGAAGTCATCAGTGGATGACAGAAGATCATAGAAAGGTGACAGGTCCTGGTCGATAAACTTCCAGAGGGCGCGATATTGTTTCAAGCGTAGTGAGGAGAAATGGAGATGCGTGGGGAACAGGCCAGGCCGACCGGTAAATGTGCGGGAAAGATACTGGACGCGAGAAGCAATCGCGGGGCAAAGCGCATAAGCAACCGAGTGCAAGTGACTATTCCTCTCAATCTCGAGTGGAAAGTACAATAGGGGGTAGCGGCTTGGAAGAGAGTCAACGAGGGACAGGCGCCGTGACATTACGGGGGAGGTCAGGTGGTCGAAATTCTTTTTTGAGCAATTCAACGCCGCGCCACCGGGGAGTCCCAGTGTGGGGAAGCTCACTTCCTACTTCGATTGACAGCGAGGCTGGTTGACTCCTATTTCTGAAAGTCCTATCCACGACCTCGGGTCCCAGACCTACTATATGCAATTTCGATCTGCAAAGGACAATTTATACGACAGATGAGACTAAGGGCAGTGAGAACCCAGTGATGCAGATAAACTTTTGACAAAGACCGAGATAATCACGGGCAAGACGCGTCCCGTCTGAGGTATAAATTGGATACCTCAATCTGCTTGCTAGAGCTTACAGTACTACCTCGTCTCAGGTGGCTATCACTTACATTATGTAGTATGTACTCCGAACATCCAGGCGGCCAGTTTGACTCCACTTGCGTCTGAGGGAATGGATGCCCGGACGGGCTCGGAATGAATATTCTTATCCCATTGACTGGCGAACTTGAATCCCGCATACTGGATCGAAGCTATCACCTCAGTACCTAACAATCTATTCGTGAAAGGTACAACTCATAGATCTGTCGCTCAAATCCCTCCCTCTATCTCCGCGCCCATACCTCCATCCGTGCCAGGTAGGTAATCAGAGCATACCTGGCGAGAGCCACGTTAACGTCGACATCGAAAAGTTGGATTTCCCGAGCTTGAAACCGTGGTAGATATGCCCGGAGTTGCGGACATCAGGTTGAACTCTAGGTACTCAAGTCCTTTCAGAAGGTTCCAAATGTCTCCATTTCCAACGGGTTGGCATATGCAGATCCGATGCACATACGCCCAGACTAGTGACCTGCATACAGCACAAATAAGCTTCGATTTTGATCCCATCAAAGATTCAAGTCGGCCGGCGACTCCATCCCCACAGGTGGTAATCGATGTCAGTATGTCTGTAGTATATACTAACTTATGTACATTGTACAGTACTTGATCCGAACACGACCCCAATTTGTACCAAGGAACTGTTCTCAAGCGTGCTCTGCCCACGTGCTTGGAAGACGAGTACCCCCGGTTCAAGATGCACACATCTCAACAGATCAAATGTAGCCTTGATCATCCAATTGACGGTTGAAATCCTTTCAAACCCTTCGGCAAGCTTACCTATCGGATTGAAATAAATCGCACTATCATTCTGGAGCAGCTGATCATGTGACCACGGCAACATGAATACATGAAATTAGATTGCGATGCCAGCCTTGACTGTAGGATTGACTATAAGTGGTCATGTCCTACTGCAATGCGGTGGCGACAACAACAATCGGTCTTGAAATCGGCGATCGCTGTGGCACTTCCTCGGGCCCCACGCTTGGATTGGTAATAACTTACGGGAGATGCGGGATGACTTTGGCTGCGATGACGTTCCTCAGCTTATCGGCAACTCCATAATCCATCTTACACAATTCCAGGATTGCAGACCGGCTGTACATTTCTGCATCAATTGGACCTTGGGTTCACACATATTTGAATGCACTCTCTGACAAGAACGTTGCGTGTCGGCTCTCAAATTTCTGTCAGACCTCGGTAAGTACTAGGAATACCAACGGGGCCACGATTGGATTCCCGGTAGACCCCCCCCCCCCGGCGTGCTTGTTCGCGCAGGTTCACCACATTCAGAGCAAGTCAGACTGACTGGATAAAATCCTAATGTTATAGCCTCGCTCACTTCCAGCGCACCTCTACGCTATCTCACTTCTCTCGATCGTTCAGTATTACCTATTCCAGAATGGGCCACCACCCTGATTTTGAGCAAGTTCAGGCTTCGCGCCCGGACTTTAACCACGAGAAAGAAGTGGTCGTCTCCAAGTCGCCCAACCCCACGTGGAAACAGGGCGATGGTGCCAATGATGGAGGGGAGTCTCTCAAGAAGAACCACGTCGAGATCGACCCCTACGCCGAGGGCCGTCCCGTGGCCAACAACTACAAATTGCTGATCTCCGGGATGGTGCCTCGGCCCATTGCCTTGGTCAGCACACAATCCGCGGACGGCAAGACGACCAACCTGGCACCTTTCAGCTACTCGCAGGTGATCAACCATGACCCGCCATTGTTCACCGTGGGATTCGCCGGCTCTCTGGAAAAAGCAAAGGACACCCTGAGGAACCTGAACGAAACCAAGGAATGCGTGATCAACATCATCTCCGAGCACTTCCTCGAAGCTGCCAACTCCACCTCGATCAACGCGCCCTATGGCTATTCTGAGTGGAAGGTGTCCGGTCTGACCCAGGCCCCGGCCTCAATTGTCAAGCCCGCCCGTGTGAAGGAATCTGTGTTCGCGATCGAGGGCAAAGTGGTGGAGGTGAAGGAGTTCCAAAGTCGCGCCAACCCTGGTCAGGCCAGTGGTGTGCTGGTTATCATTGAGGGAGTCCGGTTCTGGGCGCGCGAAGACGCTATCAACGAGGACCAGAGTGCTCTCGACCTGAACGTTCTTAAACCCATGAGTCGCTTGGGTGGTATCAGTTACGGTCGCACCACCGATGTCATGGAGATTCCTCGCCCGCAATTCGAGTCCTGATCGCGACGTCAGAGTGTATATAGATAGCGATTCCCAATGGCCACGCTGATGGATATTGATATCATGAAACACCCTCTATCTTTGGGAGAAATCACCTGTTCGAAGAGTCGAGATCGGCGGCTCCCATTTTGAGGCTGGAGAAGGAAAGACCCGGGCGTTGCCGGGACCCCATCCTTTCTGACAAATAAATAGTGTTGTGCAGGTGGATGCCAGGCGTAGGGGTCGTGCCCCCTCAGCTTATTGAAAGGTACGGCATCCCATCTCAACACTCGGATCTGGGGGTCGATTTGAATGACGACATAATCAGTCTCAGTAGCCTCTCCTATCTTTCGATGACAAACACAGCCAAAACGAAGCGGTCGGTATCCCAGAAGCTGTGTCACGAAGTTGGAGAACCGGGGTAGAAGGTAGAAACAACATCATGGTACCTCGTACACTATCTCCAAAGCGGGGTCATGAGGAGAAGCTCGAAAAGTATAAAGGAGCAGGGTGAGCTCCAAAGCATCGTTCGAGTGGTACCTGATTGTATCACATGAACCCTTTGTCCAGTATTCAAGCTTGCCATCCTTCTCAGACCATGTCTCAGTCAGACTTTGAAACCTACAAGCTCGGAGACTGGGAGTTGCAAAGTGGAGGGAAAATCGAAGATGCCCATATCGCTTTCAAGGCCTTCGGGGACCGCAATCTCCCGGCGATCGTGTATCCGACTTGGTTCTCAGGAAGTACGTTATGAACATTTAATCAAGAGATGTACGAACAGAACTCTGACCGTTTGATATCTTTCCTGGACAGCCATCGCGGACAATGTCTGGCTCGTAGGGGAGGACAAGACTCTCAACCCCAAGGAATACTTTATCATCATCACTGCCCTGTTCGGCAATGGACAATCATCATCGCCTTCTAACCAGAGCCAGCCCAAACCGTTCCCAACAGTCACTTTCTATGACAACGTGCGCGCCCAGCACGAACTCGTGACCAAACACTTCGGCATCACTCACCTCCGTGCCGTGGTGGGTTGGTCGATGGGCGCGGGCCAGACGTACCAGTGGGCGACACAGTATCCCGAATTCATGGACATCGCGGTTCCATTCTGCGGCTCGGCAAAGACATCACTCCACAATCTGGTCTTTATCGAGGGAGTCAAAGCTTCCCTCCTAGCGGTGAAGAATGCACGCTCAGCGGGGCCGGGCAAAGACAGAGTGCAGGAAAGCGCCGAGGAGTCGCGAGCATGGAGTGACAGAGACCGGGAAGTTGGTCTCAAGGCCATGGGAAGAGTATATGCCGGATGGTAGGCCTCCAACACGCCGTCCGCCGCCCGATTTGATGATAACACGGGCTAACAAAGCATACAACAGGGGTTTCAGTCAAGCATTCTACCGCCACAAGCTGTACGAGACGAAGCTGGGGTATAAAGACCTTGAAGACTTCTTGCAAGGTCATTGGGAGACATGGGCCTGCTCCAAGGGTAAACCTAATCGACGACGAGGTTGGATTTCCGTATTTACTGACAGAAATTTAGACCCCGAAAATCTGCTGGTGATGATGCGGACCTGGCAGCTAGGAGACGTATCTCAGCAAGCGCCCTACAATGGCGACTTTGAAAAGGCTATGGCCTCGATCAAAGCCAAGACGCTGGTCCTTCCGTGCCAGACTGACCTATACTTCCCGTATGATATCTCGAATGGCTCACAAAAAGTAACTCATGGATGACAACTGACCTGAAACTTTGTGCAGTCCCGAGGACTCGGAGTACGAGGTCGCTTGCATGAAGCCTGGAGTCGGCACGCTGGGAATCTTTCCTTCCATTTGGGGACGTAAGTGCATAGACCTCATAAGCCTGTGATATACCTTCGACAGAAAAATGTACTGATTTACCATTGAAGACTGGGCTGGTGGTCCAGGTGACAGCAAGGAAGATGTTGCATGGCTGGACAAACAGATGGCTGAATTCTTTGCAGCAAACCCACGCAAAGCATCCTGAGGCGGACAATTGTCACTTCATCTCGGATCGGTTGTCACGACATGGCTCCGCAGACCGACGTGGGTCAGGATGGCTCGTTGATGAGCTGCCTCTCAAGAAGAGTGAATATCAATAGCCAGTCACTGCAAGACGCAATAGTGAATCGAGGAATGTCTGCTGTGATTCCACTGTGATTCCACTAAGTTCTTAATCTTCTGATAACAAGCCAATATGACCACCTGCACCTCCACATTGTGTGGTATAGGTATCAAAGCAATACTAACCCGAAAGCTATTAGAGGAGTTACGTACTATCGTATTGAATATGCTGCAGCTATTTTACCTTTTTTTCTTTTCTTTTATTTTTTTTTTTGAATCTGCCTTCTCGCAGACCAAAACATATTGGCAGAGCTGAGCGATAAGATGCTAGCTGAAATTCCGCTCGACGGGCGTTTGTAGAAATGGAAGGCTTCAGTACTCAGTGAGTCAGTAGGACTAAATTGCCAATAAATGCATCTATCATGCAGGGCGAGTGATCGACCGAGTATGTAAGCCTCCGGTTGATTCCACCATTCCTGAAAAGGAACCTTTGAACGTACCCGGCCGGCGAAGTGGACCCCCGGAATGGATCTTTCGTGGTTGAGGTCCTCATCCTTGACCCGTCATTCACTCTCAACCGCGCACCCAATTTGCATCTTGTCCACCTCACCATCGCGCAGAGGCACCTTTTCTTCGTTTGCGCTTGCGTATCTCCTTTGTCAAGTCGAGAACCGGGACATCAAATCTCCGACCCGAAGAGGCCTCTTCCAGTTATCAATCGTCCTTCCGCGCTGTGCCCGAGGACCTATCGCAGACTCGAAGCTCGTCGCTAACCCTTTGTTCGTTGATACATAATGGCAGCGACTGGAAGACGGCAATGGGGTGTCACGCCTCCAATTTCCGCAGCTCTCCCTACTCAGGAAGAGCTAGCAGCTAATGACGACCTCATCGCGGAGCTCAAGGCGCAAAACAACTTTGAGCCGCCTGCTGACTCCGAACGCAGGTGAGCTAATGTTTCTCCTGTCGAGGAAAAGAGGTCGCAACAGTCGAACTAATCACAGATCATCTAGAATTCAAATGCTTCAACTCTTGCAAAAAGTGGCTCTCGAATTCGTCAAAATTGTATCGCGAAAGAAAGGCCTGTCACCCGCGGCAGTTGAGGCCTCGGGAGGCAAGATCTTCACATTTGGCGGCTACCGACTTGGCGTCTATGGACCAGGTGAGCTTGGAAACGTCTACATATAGTCACAGTTGAATGCAAGCTGATTTTCTTTTTCTGTTGATCAGGATCCGATATCGATACCCTCATCGTTGGCCCAAAGCACGTCAACAGCGAGGACTTTTTTGCGGACTTTCCTCCTCTTCTCTACCAAATGGCGCCCGAAGGAGTCGTTGAGAAGATGACACCAGTGCCGGATGCATTTGTACCGATTATAAAGATGGAGCTCGCCGGCGTCAGCATCGATCTTCTCTTCGCCCGCCTGGTCATCCCTTCAGTACCGATGAATCTCGATCTTAAGAATAACGATTATCTTCGAGGCTTGGACGAGAAAGAGGTACGGTCTCTGAACGGGACACGCGTGGCAGACGAAATTCTGGAGCTGGTTCCTCAACAGAAGACATTCCGAATTGCGCTTCGTGCAATCAAGCTCTGGGCCCAGCGTGAGTCCCGACCCGGCCACTTGTGTGACACCGGTTTGATGCTTATACTTGTGCCTCTTCATAGGTCGCGCCATCTACGCGAATATCGTTGGTTTCCCGGGAGGTATTGCATGGGCAATGTTGGTTGCCCGAGTTTGCCAACTGTACCCAGCTGCCACCGGGTCCGTCATCGTGGGCAAGTTCTTTAGGATCATGAACAAGTGGGCGTGGCCTCAGCCTGTTCTTCTCAAGCAAATTGAAGAAGGTCCACTGCAGATCAAAGTCTGGAATCCCAAGGTAAGGCTGCTGCTCGAGTTACGCCGTGACACGACCTGGACGCAAAAGCTAACTCTCGGTTCAGCTTTATCACGGTGACAGGTTCCATTTGATGCCCATCATTACACCGGCTTATCCCTCCATGTGCGCCACCCACAACATCTCAATGTCCACGAAGACTGTGATATTACGTGAACTTCAGAGAGGTGGAGATGTTGTTGATAAGATCTTTGCTAAGCAACTCTCATGGAGCGATCTTTTCACCCGGCATACGTTCTTTACAAATGACTACAAGTATTACCTCAGCATCACGGCCTCAAGCAAGACGAAGGAGGACGAGGCTGTCTGGTCTGGCCTTGTAGAATCCAAGCTCCGTCATCTTGTCGGAGCTCTCGATCGCAAGCCTGTCATTGCTGTCGCGCACCCCTTCCCGAAAGGATTTGAAAGGGTTCATCACGTCACAAACGCCGAGGAGCTGGAAGAGGTCAAGAACGGGTTCACCAAGTATCAAGCAAAGGGAACCAAAACAGAAACCACGGACGAGATTAAAGATCCCGCCCATCAAGCTGCGGCGCAAAACGGAATGGAAAACGCTGCAGTGTTACCGCCAGCAGAAACACCAGATCAGCCCGAGTCCAAGGCAGAAGGCACAACTCAGACTGTGTATACCACTACATACTATATTGGCTTGGAATTGAAACCGTTGGAACCTGGTATGGCTCGACCCTATATTTTTTTTCTTTTTTTTTACATGACGTTGCGTACTCCGTCTTTGTGCAAACATGCTTACTCTTCCCTAGGTGCGTCCCGCTCTCTGGACATATCCACCGATTCGCAAATTTTCAAAGCAACGTGCACGTCGTGGTCAGGTTACATCCCTGACATCCATGATCTGGCCGTTACGCACGTTCGCAGGTATGTTCATCGAGACAATCTCGGTCTAAGCAGTTTCTTTGGCAATCGTGTTCTCTAATAAGTTTCAGCTTCGAACTCCCTGACGACGTGTTCCAACCTGGCGAGACACGGCCCACACGGCCAAAGAAAAGAGTGATCAAAAAGTCAGAAGCAGCTGGTCAGAAGCGTCGGCTTGGCGAGATGCACGTAAGTTATGATTATCGAGTAAAAAAGATCTCACCATATCCAGCAATATTGCCGACACCTTCGATAACGCCCCTCAAGTTCCTCCAAGAACTGTCATCTTCGCTCTCACGCTTTATCTCCGGAATCACTAATCTTAGATCACGCCTAGGATTCCTCACTGGATGTTTCCCAAGGAGCACCAAAGCGACAAATCACGCCGAGCAGCTTTTCCAACTACGCTGCGCCTGCGTAAGGGTTTGATCTTTTCTGCTGTTTACGGCGACTGATCACTTTCCCTTCCCTGGTAAATCCGAGGGCTGGCCCCAAATACCGACGACAATGGAAGCAACCTCCCAACTTCAACTTCATTCCCATCCACAACCGGGCCTGAACTCTCACTTTTTGTTCCGAGGTGAGGCACGAACTACAAAGTGTTGTCCCTATCTCCCATGCCTCTCTTCTCATCGACCAGCGATATTCACAGCCGGCGTATCACAGGCTTGCTGAGGATTCCCACCCCCCGCAACTTTCAAGAGCTCAAGGTTGGTCTACTTTCCATATTCTACCACGTTCAAGATTATCTCTTCTCTTCACCTTTTGAGTGGAACGCACCAGATCTAGTAATTCTCTCGGTGAGAGTTCGAGCGATTCGTCTGGCCGCCATTCTCCTGACCTTACGTGAGGTCTTCCGCCCGGTCTGCTCACCACCTGTATGTTACCTGAGAGCCGAGACAGCTCAGGACGTCCTGGCTTCGGTGACAGGTCCGTGCCATTCCCATCACACATCCACACTGTACTCATAAAGGCAGGGATCCTGCAGCTTTTTAATCAGGGTAGTTTAATCAAGCGGTATTGTCGCGCCGGCGGTGCGGCTCAATCTTATGTGCTCTTGGTTGTGCTTTTACTTTTGTAGCTGTGTAGAGTTTAGACTACTTGTGTCAGCCTTTCACATGGCGTAGTCCCACATTCTCTTGCGATAGTCCTGGAATAATATCAGAAATCCCGCATTGAAGTCTTTCGCATGGGCAGACTTGCTTACCAACATGATGCTGTCTGATCCGTACAAGCGAAGGACATTCGAGGGACTTGCGAGCCATATAAAATTTTTTTTTCCTCCCCATATCCATCGAACGATCAATAGCTAGCATCTATTTTAACAGACATCATTACGCCTCTATCTATACGCGCAGCCGCAGCAGCAAGTATAGACAGCCAATCATGCAATCTGAGAGACATGTACTTTAGACCACCAAAACCTAGTCTCTTCTCTCGCCCACTCGTCCCGAACAAACTTGGCCGAAGGGGCAGGTTGACCCCCAATTAACTCCTCGTTCCCTTCCCCGAGAACCATCGCACAAGGCTCACCGGGCTCAAAGACATCCCAGCTCGGCCGTTCGGAGAACCGACCCCTCATAGCATTGGGATCTCCATGCGTAATGAAACTGGTCACATACGCATGCAGCGTTCCCGAAAGATCTCTTTGGGAGGTCGAGATGCCGGTGATCTCCTTGCTGAATGTTTCGTAGAGCATGTTGTCCCCGTGATTGGCGCGACCCACGACCGTGCGTGGCAGAGCCCAGTGATACAAGTAGACAGGCACGCCTTGTGTGGCTGCGAAATCAGCCGTCTGACGGACGGGCGCAATGTAGGCGTAATGAGCATACGCGGCTTCGATCCTTTTGAACTGGGGTCCCAGACCATGCGCTGTGCGGGTTTCGGTGTAAGGGGATGTTGGGCTGACGTTTGGATCAGGATAGAGCTGGTCGATTTGGTCCAAGTCCGAGGGGGACAGCGCCGGAAGGAGATTGGACCAGAAGGTGCGGAACTGTGACGGGGTGGACATCTTTTTGTCCACGTACATTGATCCTTCGTTTGTAGTAAAGCCCGTCATGATGGGGACTTTGTTCCAGAGTCCCGAGGTCCATGCTTCGAGGGGGCTGCGGGGGATGAGGTTGTCGTCGATGACGGGTTGGAAGGCCCAGCGCAGAGAAGGGTTGTATTTGTCGAAGATTTTCTCTTGGGCATGGATCAGGGTTGAGCTGGGTAGGGATCGTAGGAAGGGGAAGATTTGGTCCTCATCTAGATTTGATGGGCAACCGACTTCATGGAGGAACTGTTGGAATTGCTCTTCGTGGAGTTGGGCGTTGTAAAGTCGAATTGCTCGTGATGTTGGCGCACCGGATTCCATTATGACTCGGTGAAAAAGAGCGGAAGTGCCTTCTTTATAATTCAAAAGGTGATGTCCAATCTTATTATGGTCCATCAGTGTATGTCCAACGAAGGCATAATGTGGGATTCAGTCATGATAGCAGGAGGGCAGGAAAGAAAGAAACCTACTGAATGTGCACCAGCGGACAATCCAAACAAAGTCACGTTGGCTGGATCTCCACCAAATCTAGCAATATTCTCCTGCACCCATTCCAATAAATGAACTTGATCACGAAGCCCCAAATTCAATATCCCTTCTTTCTTCGTCAACGAGGAAGGCAGGAAACCCAAGGCACCGAGTCGGTAGCCAAAGCTGACACCGATAAACGATGCCTCGGACCATGCGACCATAGAGGCGGTGTCGTGCATTCTCGCTGATCCGCGATTGAACGCGCCTCCATGGATATACACCGCCACTGGCAAGCTGTCTGTCGCCAAAGTCCCAGCGGGTCGAAAGATGTTCGCGGTGAGACAATCCTCGCTTTGCGAGAGCTGGGGTCCACTGGCTAGCAAGGCTTTGCCTGGGGCCATGGGTCCATATTGAGTGGCGTTGATTGTGTCGTTGGAGGGGGATAATTTTTGAGCTGGTCTAAAGCGTCTGTCACCTGTGGGTGGTTGTGCGTATGGAACTCCAAGGAAGGCGTCTAGAGTGATGGGAAATGAATCATTCAATTGGGTGCCGATCACTCGACCCTGCGAGAGGAATACACTTGGTTGAGGGTTTGTCGAGGTCATAATCTCCATGCGAGGTAATTGATGCACAGATCTACTGAGTATCTCGATTGCAATCTCGAGAGTTGATTTTATCAGAGGACAAGGTGAGGAGAGAAAGAAAGCATGCCAGCTATGAAGCAACCGACCCTTAGCCCCGGGGCCTAAAAGTAGGTCCGAGAAGGTCGAGTCAAGTAGCTTGCGGGGGAACCATGCGAGTGGAGTCGGTGGAGCCAGAACGTAGAAGACCTGCCGTGTCTGATGGCCGTGATTCGACCACTCAACACATTTGAAGATAGAGATGGCCAGATAATGTTTGTTGAGAGGAATGTCGGCTCAGTGGAGATTCTCCCTTGATCCTAAGTGATTAAGCAAGGCAAAGTATCCCTCTGTCGTGATCATGGTAGCATTTGACGAGAACCTGCAGGCAACGAACGAGCTCCTAGTCACTTCAATGGACAAGATCTCTCGTCTTCTATCGGGGAAGACCTGAATAATAGTCGAGAATATCCTGTTGTAACCAGAAAGTACAACAGAGCAATTCTCAATCGACTGGTCTGACTAGATCAAGTCTTGCTATCATTCTATCAGTACGCTGCCACCAAGATAGTGGACGCTAGTAGGTAGCGTTTGGGATATTTAGGTCATTGCGCAGAAGATTAGATCTTATCGGGGCGATCTCCAAGTGAATGTTATCAGAGCATTCCAGCTCAAGTCGCAGTTTCAGCAGACCTCGTTGATAACAAAATTGCCATTGATTCATCTCAAAGATATACGCAGTCATTCCAATGTCCGTCGAACAGCGTGGAAGATCCATCGTAGGTATTCAGCTTCAATCCACACTTGACGCCCATTCGATGGATGTTTGATTAGCAACCTCGCCGGTCAGGTCCTATCTAGGGAGCCAGTTTGGTCTCCGGTGAAAGAATATTGGCGAAGTGCTTCAGCATATTAGATTATATCTTTGAGACGACTACCTGACTCGTTCTCTACATAACCCCCGCCACCAGTCAGGCATGGGCCATTGGTATTTTCAGTAAGTTGAAGCCCAAAACAAGATCGGCACGTGGGATACGTCTACCGGAAGGGAGAATGGTATCCATATTATTAGGTACTCGGGACATATACCTTGATGAGCATTTTGCTCTGCTTGTGTTCACCTTTACGGCTGGACTATATACACATTGTACAGTCCTGCCACGATTACTTTCGATAGAGCAGGTAGGAAACGCGGGTGATCCTCAGTCGAAAAGTATAGTGGCAGGACTGTAGACCGTAACGGCGACGAAGACGTACTTCATTAAAATTTCCATGTTTCTAATGGTATCAACCTTTGCTGCTTCACAAGACTTCTCTACACTAAACCCGAAGCAAGCCTGGAGGCAATTCGGGCACCCGTCCTACAAACGAGTAGGACACATCAGCTTTTGTACCGAATTGGCACCAAGTGCATAAGTTGCCCAGGACCAACCTGGAAGTGAGTGTAAGGATGCACGGGCGTTTTAACAGTGGGTTCAACTCTTAACGAGGGGCGCTGGGTTCAAGACTCACAATCTGCCGTGCTGGCAGATCACCATGGAATTATCAAGTGCTCGGCTCGAGACTTGGTCAACATCAGAACCACACAAGGAACATCCAGTGTGACAGGATTTTGAAGGCAGTCTTTCTTGGTCTCAGAACGACGGGAAGACGTTGTTCACATGCTGTTCGAGAATTGATGCAATCATTTCCCCCAAGACCTGATCATAAACTTGATCTTTCTTAGTGTACACGCTACATAAACCACATACTGAGCCCGAGTCGAGATCGCTCGAGTACATAATTGGACCAACGATATTGACCAGACAAATATAATCCAAGCATGAAATTTTTTGCGGGGAGGGAAAAATTGGAGACATTTGTATTGTACATCGTTTCAGGGAGGGATGAACAAAGGGGGTTGTAATCGTGACATGTGGAAAGAAAAAAAGAAAATAAAAAGTCTAAGGGTGGTCTCTATTAAATCCTCCTCAACTCTCGGCAACAGCAATCATTTATTTGCCAATCTCGACACCACCGGTGGCACCGAGGACACGCTTGATGTCACCGTAGATGGCGAACTGACCGGCGGTCAGGGAACCAACCATGAACAGACGGGCACCGATACCGGAGTAGGAGCCACGGAGACCGAGCTCCTTGCCGATCTTGATCAGACGAGAGATGGTACCCTCACCGGGAGCACCCTGGGTCTTGTTGATCTTGGAGAGCATGGTGTCGGCGGGCTGAGAGACAACGGCGGCGGCGAGACCGGCAACGAGACCGGAACCCAAGTTGATACCGGTCTTGGCACCGTCGGAGAGGCTGTTCTTGTCGACCTGAGCGTAGACGGCCTCAGAGACCTTCTCGAAGACGACGAACTTGGCCATCGTGTAGGGGACCCTAAGGTGGGGGTAGGTGAGCCAATTGGTTCCCGATCTTTTGAGGAAACACACAACTTCGCATGATTTTGCGAGATGGCTGTGTCGAATAGAACAGGGTCTGAACTTACTGCTTGAACAGGATGGGTCCGAATCCAGAGTAGAAACCGGCGATACCCTCCTCCTTCATGATGCGGCTGAAACCACCGAAGAGACCGTTGGCAAAGCTGGGCTGGGAGACGAGACGGATACGGGTGGCCTCCAGGGGGCAAAGGGCAATGTCGGCCATGAACTCGGCGCAGGCGGAGGAGGCGAGGTAGACGGCAGTGCGGTTGTTGGTGGCAGTCTCAAGACCGAGCTGGTTGATGGCCTGCTGCTTGAAGAACTCGTAACCACCGAACTTGAAGGCACCCTGGAGGAAGTAACCAGCCGCGGTGGGACCGAGACCGGTCAGGAGGGCGCCAGCACCCTCGTTCTGGATGACCTGGCGGAAACCACCGATCATACCACGGTTGTAGGTCACCGGGTCGAGCTGGATACGGGTCTTGACGCTGGATTGATGCGCGCATGGGTCAGCGAGAAGATGGTCGATGGGAAAGGGAATTGCCCGTCCTTTCTTCGCGGAATTGCAGGCGCACGTCACGACTTACACATCAAGAGGAGTGACAGCACCGTGGGTGACACTGCAGCACACGGCACCAGCGAAGGCGAAGCGGCTGTAGAGGGCAAAGCCCGACTTGGGCTGGTCCTTGGGGGCGGTGATGGCAGCCATTGTGATGAATTGGTGTGGAGGAGGAGAGAGGAGGGGAGAGGAGAGGAGATGGGGAGGATTGATGATGTTTTGAAGATGAGAGAGAAGAGGAAAAAGCGAGGAAGGGGAAAGGGAAATTTGCACAAGCCCGGGAATGAATGGGGCCGCCCCTTCGAACCCGAAAACTTTTCGCGGGCCAATCAGAAGATGCAGCGGGTAGCCATCGGCAACACACGGGGGGAAGGTCCGCCGCTTTGGGTCGACTGGATTTGTTTTGGAGGATTTCCTTTTGTGGCATCCACCTTGTTTACTGGTCTCGCTGCCACAGTCGGTACTTGGTTGATTGCTTCTGGATCCTACAGACATATTTGCGTACACCGCAAGGTGGACAAAGATCATCGATCGCAATGGACAGAGTAGGATCGACAAGATTCTGCCACAGAACAGCGGGCGCTGGCTCACATTACCTAGTAGGACGACGACCTGTCGAGCCTCTTCCGCATGTTGAGGTCACGTTTGCGATGCATCTTTTCAGGAGTACATGCAGAGACTGCAACGGTTCCAATTCTCCAATGAGTGAGCACGGGCAATGTCAGCCAATTGTGATTCGACAGACACCCATTTAGGAAAGGTAACCTACTACGTATACTTTGTCGCGAAAGCACCCTGGCCGATTCTCCAGAGCTCTCGTTTGAGCGACGACGAACACAAGATGGGCAAGGCGATTCCGACGACTTCTACTAGGCTCAGGCTGGTATCTGTTGGAGAAGGTCAGAAATGGATCTCAGTTGCGCTGGACTTTTATACATCAAAAGCCCTCTCCAACAGGTCCACTCTGGCCCGCTACGCTCCCTGTAGTACGTCACTGGGTGTTTCCGGGAGGGTCCTGGGCCAGGCTTCTCGGCCTGCGTGGAGATCCCTTCACCGCAATGCAATCACGGCAAACATATGCCAAATTCTCAGGTTCAATTTGGGATCTTCCTGTATGTGCAACTACAATGTGCAGCTGGCCCGAGTGCCTGACAGTGCCGGCAAGCCAAAGAGCCAATGTCGATCAAGTAAACACCAAGTTGATACGATCACCCAAGTCTGTGGCGGCCGGGCCGCCATGGAAGAGACTCGGGAATCGGGACACTCGGACCGCTTGGCGTGGACGCTGCATGTTCGGTCATTCGGAAGAGTCGCTCTCTTGAGGACCGCACCCGCTCTGCCTCTCCGTCTGTGTGTAAGGCACGGTGGTGATCATGCCGAGTCGAACAACTTGCCGCTAGTACATGATGCGGTGAAGATCCAAGTAAGTGCTCGAAAAGAATAAAAAAAAAATTCAGACTTCAAGGACGCTCGCACGGATGAAGCCCCACCACAGACGGGGATCGTATGCATCGCGATACAAGAACAGATGTAAGTTGACAGCCTTTGAACCGGCAGTTAATGTAGAATCTCCATTTTGGAAACTTACTGAATTGTTTTGACCACAATGACATCAATATTCAGGCTGTGTTGGTCATAACACATGAAACAGTGTTTCTTGGCATCTCAAACGTGACAGTTGGAAAAACTCCTCCCAGTGAGTCAAGACGGGGAGCGACGACAAAGCATCCTGGGCCTACTCGCAATAGTGAGCGATGTCGGCAATAAAGAAAATCTCCAAGTCGTCAGCCCGGAAGTCCTTATGAACGCCGATGAGAGCGTTCTCTTTGCCCTGACCCTCAAGCCGCCAGACTTTTCGAAGTTCGCATGGATAAGACGGCCATTTCCCGGTCTGCAAAGGGAAATAACAAAGGCTTATAATATCCAACATTGTACAGAAGGTAACGAATCAGTATTGATAGCGTACCTGGTGGACTAAAAAAGTGTTCAGGTCTTAGAGAAATATACCGGGATAAGCGAGGTAGCCTCGAATTCTATCTACATCAGGCGATTTTTGGGTGATAGCTTAGGCGATACATGGTACCTAGTACTTTAGGTAACTCACAGAAAAGTACTTCGCCCTCGAACGCGATTGCTCCATTGCTTACGGGAAGCATAATGCATGGCCGAACTATTCCTTCGTCTCGCCACTCGTTTCCAGCCCGTCCTTTCCAAGCTTAAATCTGGTCGGTGGATCGATAGCCAGCCAGAAAAACCAGGGTAACTCGGAGAAAGCGTTGTCGAATTTGATACAAGTTCAACCGTACCTAAGAGCAAGTTTCGTGAAGCCGTCCTCGCTTCGCTTAAGCGAGTCTTCATATAGTTCAGTGAGATAAAGGAAGGCACGTTCTGCGTTCCCACTCATAAGGAGGTTTGGGTGGACAGTCAATGGTGGGCTTGAAACGGACAGAGTCGACGACGAGGAGGGGGAGTGGATGGAAAGGAAAAGAGACGGGGCTATATTACAATGATGGAAATGTTCGTCCTGGACGGAACGCATCATGGAAGTCGATATTACTTCAGCCCATCGCGGACATCATTGACATGGCGCCGCCGAAATTTGCCGATGATCCAGCGGAGTCTGAGAATGTCCTCAAGAGGGTGACTCAATTCCGGAAACCTTGAATTCCTACTAGGAGCCTAATACTCTTACGGACGTGTGGATGCGCTTTGTTTGTGCTTGTTTCGAGGCGACGTCAGACGTATTCGTTCGTTTCCCACTGCGCATATAAAAGCCAAACGATCAGATGTTCGTGGTCTAACTAGCGGGTCATCCACAAAACGACAGTTTACTCTAAATTTAGACCAAAACGGGCGAATTGAGTGCATGTGTACTTGACCTATGCAAATACCTCAACAACGAATCTCATCAACCGGTATAAAAATCCCCGTCAGTGCTCAAATTATGTCCCACCATTACCCTCGGTCTAAATAATGCGCTCAGCGAGTCCGTTACAAGTTTCCAATCTCCCATGTCCCCAAATACGGACGATCCTGATCCTGGAATTGAAAAAATGGATCACGAGTGACTTCCATATAAGAAGCATCATTCTGCAGTCCCTGGGGAGACCATCCAAACACAGTCTCGGACAAAGAGCCCTGAACTAAAGCGTCATCAACCGAAGCATTGATCGAAGACAAAGCGTCATTTCTCCATTTCTCACTCTCCTGAGACTCCGAGGAGAGCCGATTCGGTACCGTGCTCGAGTACGGTGGTAGCGCTTGGCCACCATCTAAGGTGTCCACTGGTCTCAAAGGGTGGTGAAACATTTCGGTCTCAACGGTGACATTGTCCGCTTGGAGAGACCGATCATTAAGCAGCTCGAAAAAGGACGGCTCGAAGAGACGTTTACCAGATGTATGGGATTGCTGCTGCGAGGATGTTTGGAGCAGAATGTCCCACATTAATGCGGTGTCTATGGAAATGGTTCTCCGAGGCATTCGTGTATTGGTCGATCCTGGACTCACGGCAAATGCGGACCGAACTAGCATTTGGACCTTTTTATGCTGACGATGCGAGGGTGGATCAGCTAATTTCGCATCGAACGCGAGACCCCCAAAGCATGGTTGCTTACAATTGCCCTGCTCATTGGCCATTTCCCGGCCAAATGTCCTAAAAAGTCCACGCACTTTTCCACTTTCTGCTGAGCAGACGCACTTACTGCAGGATCTGCTGCACGACAGTAGTACAGCTGGATGGTGAGAGCGATGGCAACTAAATGGCCGATTGAGGGATCCGAGAGTTGATAGTTCTTTTCAACAAGCAGGTCGATCAAACGCACCGTCCAAGTGGTATGGATCAGCGCCAATTCCGACGATGTCCTCCAGAAGGTATTGGGCACTGACAGCTGAGCGGATTGTTGAGGACGCCATGAGTACAGGAATGGATGATTGATGACGCTGTGCACAGCGTGATAGGTAAATTGGAGGTAAAGCCATGGACTCCAATACCCACGATCTCGTTGGAGTTCATTTGCAGACCGTTCATAAATTTTAACAGAGTCCCATCGGTGCGTGGTAGGGAAGTTCGTCTCCAGGTCCATCAGGTGAGCTCCAATAATGGTATAGCCAGACCTACTTGACCAGGGCGGAGTGAAGTGCCCACTGGCACAGTGGGATATGTAATGTTGAACTTCACGCCAAAGGGAGCCTAGTTGTACCATGTAGATCCAGATACTGCCTCTAGGGGAAAGAGATCCACTTTCCAGAGGTATCTGCGGAGGCGCAACACCCATTTCAGATGAATTGTCATTATTCGGTGTCATGTACCGTGGTCTCTGGACATCTTGAAGAATGTCGAGCGAGAGACATCTCGGGCCAAATTGCTGGTTCAAAAAGCTGACACTCCAGAAGAGCCTACGCCGTGCGTCCAGATTTGGCGTAGACTTGCCGCCATGCTGCTCGATATCAATGTTACCACATTTGATCAAATTGGTGACTAACCCAATATGTACCCAAGCTAGATGTGTGTCGTTTGCTGGATGTGACATGTTAGCGACTATTTCAGACGTCCAGGGCAGGTGCGGACCTACCAACGTACTCGGCCAGTGCGATACAGCAGAGAGCTTGCATCGTGGACATGTTCACGGTGCCTCGGGCTATTCGAAGATTGATGATACCATGTGCCAATACTGTATACTGTCGACAGAGCTGGTCTGTTTCTGTGTCGGAACCTTGACGAGGCGAGTGGCGCAAAGCCAAACATGAGATGCCATAGACTACCTCATCGGGGAGATTGGTTGTTGTCACGAAATCGATCGGGTCGAACAACCACAGGGGCTGCTGGTGGCAATACTGCAAATAGAGAGCGACATAATTCTTTATCTGGTCCTGCGCGGGCAACTCAACCATCGTTGACGCTGATTTTATTCTCTCAACAAAATTTGATGCCGTGGACATCACATGGTGGTCTCCTTTGTCGGATCGATGTTTGTTCGTCCCTCTTCTTGTGGGCTTACTCCTCGTTGTATCATCAGTGGCTGACAGCTCACGAGTATTCGGCGAGCAATTCGATCTTTCGCCGTCAGCATCAGCCTTGGCAAGTTTAGCAAAACACAGACTCCTCTGAGGTCTCCATTCATACTCACGTTGATCGCTCGAGAACAAGGTTTATCTTCTCTTCCAGCTGTTGCAGCCGATCGATCTGAAGAAGTAAGGACAAGAGTAAGTCACGCGCCCATAGTACGTTGAAGCTACTTTCTCCTTACCCATGCACTCTCGCCTCCTGCGATACCTTCCCACAGATCATAGTTGCGACTATACTGACAGCTCTGGCTGAGCCGAGTACATGTCGAGCAAGCTGGGCGCTCTCCTGGGCATCTCGTCTTTTTCCGTCTATGGTGGATAGGACAGATGGTTTGTCAGCACCGGTAATATGCACTTGAAGGTTACTCGAGGAAGTGAAGGGAGCGGGGAGGGGGATAACTAATTGTGGATGAAGAGTATACCTGCAGTTTTCGCAGGCCTGGTGGGATCGTTTACTAATGCGAGAACTCATCAACGACATCTGATGTACAGTTTCAGCCTAGATAAGGAGTAACCCAGATGACAAGTGCTGCCGTGGAAATTCTTCTGATTTAGTAGATATGGAAGAGACGGGGTTATCGGGCCCCGAGCCGAATGTTCGGAAGGGAAGTCGTCAACAGGTGGAGGTCCAGACTAGTCCGCCTCTGCTGAAGGACTTGCATTGATACTGACTCATAATAATCAGTAACAATTGATTGGCTTCAATGTACGCTGCAAGGCTATCGAGAAAGAAGTTGCGCTTTGGTGGAGGGTGAAGTGGGGGTGTCGTGTGACAGGAGGTTGAAGAGCTCCTAACCTTCCAGGTAACATGCAGAGAAGCGACGAGCGAACTGCCCGCCAATATCTCGGAATCAACTGACGCCGAGCCGAGGATTTCTAATGTATTTTGTATGTACTGAATCTGACTCTTGCGCATTGACTCGCTCTGTATACTGTGGCGATGCGGTCTAGAGTCGGGTCAAAAGCTTACAACTCAAAGCAAGTCAGTAGCACCTAGCAAGAGGATAGACTTATTCGTCATCGTGAGTTTTACTGCTTCATGTATCCTCAATCGGGCAATGTGGTTCAATTGTTCTGCTCACAAGTAGGAAAGATCAATCAATTCCCAGCGCATTGTTGGATACTAGAATCAGTGTCGTCCGACGGGCGACCATCTGACAATCGACGGCCGATTACCACTCTAGTTTACGGGATCCACGAGCAGAGCATGCAAGTTGTGAGCAAATGTCCATATCTTCAAGGATAGTTGATCCACTGACGCGCGGACGGGCAGGCCAAATTTCCCGTTGAGCATCCCGCTCCTTCCGATGGTGATCTTCGAGCAAGCTTCGCACGGTCTTCTGGAAAAACAGCGGGGCGCTTTCCAGCTCTGGGTGAAGCTGCCCATTGACATAGACACCCGCGCTGAGATTCCTCTGGGTCTCGTTACAGAGCCACTTGTCCTCGGCTAGCACTCGCTTGAAGAAGGCGTCGATGTGCTCAAAGGCCTCGTCGGTTGCGTCTACGTACCGATAGACTTCATATTCCATTGAACATGTGGTTGCCGATGTGGGGACGCAGCGCATGATGTAGAAAAAGTCGGGGCTTGTAGGAAGTGTTAGTTGTAGAATTCTGGCCGATTCATTTTTTATAATGGTCGATCAACTCACGAGACGGTCATGCACGCATTTGGGAAATAGTAGGTGCTGGCGTTCTTGAGGTCCTGGTCCACCTTGTCACTCTTCGGTCGTGAAAAGTGCTGAATGTGACCCGGAGTAGGAACGGTATAGTAAAACGACAGATCGGCAAGGTTGGCAACGTCCGGATGTGCGACACTGCAGTGGTAGCACTCATTGTAGTTGTCCGCCAGGGTCTTCCAGTTGTAATCGCCATCCATTTGCCAGGTATGGTCAAACTTGTACTGGCTGAACTCAAAGCTGGCAAATCGCTCTTGCGTATCAACACCATGGAAATCATCATTCCACGGCACGGGACTCGTGGAAGAATCAAGATTCACCCAGATGAAACCGAGTTGATCGACGTGTACATGAACTGGGTAGAGGCCTTGGTCATCTTTTGAAAATCCCGGGACGGTGTCAAAGCGAGGCGCTTTTGCCAGCTTTCCGTTGAACCCGTACGACCATCCGTGATACCTGCACGAGAGAATCTTCACATTCCCGGTATCGTCAGATACCAGTGGGAAAGCGCGATGTCGACAGATGTTGTGAAACCCCCGAATGACACCGGCGCGATCACGACTCAAGAAGAAGGAGTATCCCGCTTGGTGAAGTCGAAGATAATCTCCTGCGTTGACGAGGCGAAGCCGATGAGTTACCAACATCCATCTCTTGGAGAATATGGCTCGCCTCTCAAGCTCATATAAATCTCGAGAGCTATACCATGATGCTGGAAGACTCTTGGTTGCGTGGTCCCGATGTGTTTCTCGAGGTGAATCGTTCGACCAACGTCCAAAGAGCGAGGCCATGAGTGCTGCCATGATGAGTGTTTCGCGAAGTGAAGGGTCTGGGTAGGCTAACCCAAGCTTTTTTTTTAGCACACAGGATACGAATGCTTTGCCGTTTGATCGGCTACAGCCTGGTCAAATCCATGCGACATCATATTGCTCTTTATATTATACATCACAACGGTCCAACATGCGGTCCGTATGGAGAATGAGGTGATCATCGTGATGCTCTAACCCGGCCTGATGCAAGCGGAGTGACTCCGTTTCGTGTACTTCCATGTGTACCCCAGTAGTAGGCTCACCATCCGTTCCCCAAGACCAGGCCCCCACGCGTCCCTCGCCGCGCCTATCAAAGTCCATCACGCAAAAGGCCGTCCGTCGGCACTGTCCGGTCAGCTGAGCGGGCACGTGTCCGAGGCCTGACAGCCGTATGTTGATGTCAGCCAGCGAGCTTGCGTGAACTGCCGTTTGGCACACAAGGGTACCGAGGAGTCGCAACCTGAGAAGGGGAAAAGGTGGGCCGCACTACTACTCGACTCGTGCCTGGTTGGCAAGGCGGCGCACCCCTTATTCATTGCGAGTCATTCAAGCCATGACTCTTGACCGCTCCGACGACGACATATTGGATGACTCGAGACCAACTTGTCCACGTGATGATTCTCCCAAACGATGATGAGCCTCTCGTCGTAAGAACTCGAGGTTGCCATGTGGACAGGCATGGGCCATCACAGAAATGTTGAGGGCATCAAGGTTCAGGGAAACAAGAATCTGAGTCTCAACATTTCCTCGATCAAGAACTCGTCGTATGTAACGTAACGGCTGTCGAAAGTCCTCGTGAAAAAGACCGGCTTGGCTATGAACCTGTCTGCGATGCGGCTTTCAAGATGATGCCCAATCTCAGTGGAGCCATCCACGGCGGATTGCGATCTTGATAGATGTGGATCTGCCAAGACATCGTGGGCTTTTGCAGAGCATCAAGTGCTGAGGATACAGTTGGACGAAAAGTTGGATATCGTTGAGGTCTTATTCACAATGTCTATGTGACTTCACTTGTCTAAGCTAATTGTACATGTCAATTAGTCCGGCATCTTCTCGTCCCATTATGAAGGAAAAATACTACTATCGCTTTGAAACCCATTACCTACGCTTCTTGCCTAGATCAAAGCCATATAGAAACAGTCTATCAGTGATATCCCGTCGCATGGACGTCAACTACCAAGATACTCGGAAACGCTCTCGAATGTATCGTTTTCATCGATTTCATTTGATGATCCCTTCAACGCAGTTCGAACACGCCCCCCTCTTCCACATATGACGATGCGCCCGACCTCAAGTGGAGTCGGAGGTGGACGGGCGGCTCTCTCGCACACACCTATCACAGGTGCGTAGTAGTAGTGAGCCCGAACGACCTTCATGGATCGCCCCGGTCATGCTTGCATCCTTCCAGCCATCCCAGCTCGTGCCGGCGCTGAGCGACCGAGCGCAGCGGCTGCTGATGATCTCCTTTTTTATTTAAAATTTTGACCAAGCCTCTCTCGCTTTTCCTTGTCAGGCACCGTCTCGAACCCACTCCATAGGCTTGACCGCTGGATTGGTAGGGCTGTGGACGTGATGATTGGCTTAATAGTGAAATTTGGGTGTTCAGGTGTTAAGAAGCGGAGCGGATGAGATGGAGAGTTTTGATTGTGCTGATTTGGTGGCGATCAAGTGGTCCGTAGTACGTAGTACGTAGTACGTAGTACGTACTACTGGTCAAATATGCATGCACGGCCAGGGAAGACAGAGGTAGCTGGTACAGGCCACTCTCAACGAGGTGGAATGAACTGCCGGTCTCAGTAGAAGGCGCCTCGAAGGTCCGAGGCGTTTGTCCGCGATGACGTAGCCATCAGTGGTCTACTACTGTACAGTCCACAGCGTACACTGTACAGTGCACTCCCTTGTACAACAGTTGTAGTAGTAGGTCACTTGGTGTAACTTAGATTGTCCATTCACGTTGTCGATAAGCCGAAAAGGAGACAAATCTCGTCTCAGATGAGGAGGTGTCTTCGCTCTGCACCTGTCGCAGTTCCCCTGTATGACCATTTCAAAGCACGCTGTACATATGTCCATGTCTATCATGTGATGAACTGATCGAGTTTTACTGACTACTGACTAGTACTGTACCTCTGTATAGTGTATCGTATATAAGGTAGTGTATAGTGTGTGCTACTGTACTGTATACTATCTGATATGGTACTATAGCCAGTAGTCACATTTAGATCAGACTCCAAAAGTGACCGAAAGAGCCTAAAGCAGACCAGACACGGGCCAACCGTGGATATGAGCCCGTCGACAGTCGACCGACTTTGCGCACGGGTAAATATGCAGCCCCGCCGATGACGGTAAGCTTTGCACGGTGCCTCGAACAAGGCGGCCGGGTCTTTCGAGAGCCTATCATCGACCACTGCTCGGGACGACGGTGCCGGACCAGATGGGGGATGGGCAGTCGGACACGACATGAGTACCTACTGTACATGTACCTTTAGTAAAGTAGTACCAGTCCGAAGGGGGAAGAGAGAGGAAGAGAGAGGAAGAGATGAACACTATCATCTGCATCGCTGACCATCAGTCTGGAGATGAGCTCTGCCTATATTCACAAGGGAGAATGAATGGTTCTGGACTTCCAGCGGGGGACTCAGGACTAAGGACTCAGGAGTAGTAGTCATACGTAGTATCACGATACAGTATTTCCCACACTAGTCGAAAATGGGAAGAAGAACTCTGGTATCAGGTGGAGTCTCCAGTCACCCTGGGCCCCTCCCATCCTCATCCATGATCTTCCGTTTCCTCACGGTTCTAACTTCTGGGCGCGTGCCGCGGAGTTTGTGATATGCCCCATTCATCGTCGGCCTTGTTGGACCAGACCCACGTTGCCGGTCTGGCACAGTCACATCAATTCCCTCAAAGAGTCCATTACTGCAGAGCCCCTCCTTCGTTCCTCTCGGTCTGTCTTCCTGTCGTTTACTTAAACATGGCCCCTTCCCCCTCCCTTTCCGTCGCCCCCACCTGCTCCGATTAGCACTACATTAGCGCACTTTCTGCGACGATCCATACATTCGTCCATCGATCTCGTTGCCTCTGTCTCCTTTGATAGCAGACGTAACTCTTTTCTCATTATTGCTCGCTCATCTTTCAGGGCCTCTCTCTCTCTCTCTCTCTCTCTCTCCACCTTCACTTCTAGTCCTCTCCATCATAAGCTGTGATCTACACTCCTCCACCATCAGTGATCATCTCCTTCCTGGTTCGGTCCCTGAACTGCCTTCACGGCTCTTCACCATGACCCAACTACGCCTCATCCGCAGCCGCAGTAAACAGGCGGCCTCCATCCCCTCGGAGGATCCCTGGCGCAACGACAACCCGTTTGGGCCCCCGCCGATGCAACGCTCCCCCAGTCACCACATGCGACGGTTACGCGAAACATTGGCCAAATGGTCCCCTTCCGCCTTGGCGGAAAAGGAGATTCTTCGCAAACAGAATCAATATAAGATTCCGCTCACCCGTCGCAATGTGGATCACTTGGTGACGGTGCAACAATGCGACGAGGCGATCCGGCCCACACGGACGCCGGAGATTCAAGTGGTGGAATGGCTGCAACACGTCGCTTAAGGAAGCCGAAGAACGATCGCAGATGGAATGGCAGCGGAGAGCCCAATCCCGAGTCGCAAGAAAAGACACAGCTGATGTGAAGGACTCGGAGATGATCCGAACACGACCTTTCTTCTTCCTCTCTCGTCATTTGTTTTTTTGGGGGGGGGGGGGGGGGGGGATCTCTTTCCGATTCCTTGCGGAAGAGAGGAATTCGAGCGAAACATTGACAGTCTTGGCACATCTGAACTATTTGTCCGATGGAGCACGGGTGGAGCACCCTTGCTCCTGACTCGCTCAATTGTTCTCTTACTCAACCGGGCATATCCATCTTATCCCTCTTTTTGTTCTCCTTTTCGTCTTTCGACTTGCATCGATTGCTGAACGGGAATGCCTTCTTGCTCAACTCGGGTTGTTTGCTGCCGATATCCCCCGACCTCTTGGAGATCCGTCAATGTACCTTTCCCCGCATGGAACCCCAAACTCAATCCGCCTGCCCACCTTCCAACCCTTCCACCCCCTTTGGGCCTGGGCCGCCGAGTCTAGACTGGCAAGATCATCATCATCATTCTCTGGTTCACGCTTGCTTCCCTCCTCGTCTCTTCCATCTTCGTGGCTTCCGCTCGTTCCACGGATCCAGGTGGAACCATGTCGACAAGCGAGGCAAGAGTCAGAGGATCATGAATCACTCGGATAGGGCTGTCGGGCCCCCTCTTCGGCCTCCCCAACTTCTTTGTAATATTCATCTCATCCACCGGAACAAGCCTTTTGGCACATCCCCTGCCCTGTCCGGTCTGTCTGGCTTCCGGGGTGGCCCTCGCATGGAAGCCAAGTAGTTCCAGAACGGGCTTGAAAGTTGAAATCTTGGCAGTCACGTCACCCTCGACTCCACGAGCGGAAACCGGGGGGGGGGGGGAGCAAGTTGATGCAAAAGGTGCAAAGAGGGCCCAAACAGGCCATTGGTATGTGTGCCAAGCCCCAACCGACTCCGAGACCGACTTCTTCATCTCCCCACATAATGGCTGCCACGCCCATGGCCCATTGCAACGTCGCACTGGAATCGGACCCTCCTCCCTTGCAAGATGCTTGCAAAATCTCAACAAGGGCAATCTTGGCACTTGATGTGACTGTCGCCGGCTTGGCACATTCCCGTTCGAGATGGGGGCCGACAACACATCTTCCATACTTTGGGTCGGAGAATGCTTGGAACCCAGAGTAAGTCACCACGCCTGCCTTCTGTGAAGGGCGCAATGGAGGAGTTAAGATAGAAACCTGGGGACCTTACCCTGACACAACTAATACTAATCTACAATACTTCTGATTGCTACATACGGATCTTTGGTTCACATAATCAGAACAAGGCAGACAGAGCATGATATGAGATCTACTCGTCAACACTCCTCTGTAGTAGTTGGGGCTGAATAATGATCGTAGGAGTAGCCGGGCCGTTTCTCCTCGATTCACAAGTAGGCAGTCGCACAAAGTGCCCAGGTTTGGCTTCACGCTACATCATGAAAAAAAAAATAGGTTATACCTTCCGCGCAAAATCTCTCTATGATGTGTGCTCAATGGGAACTGTGCTTAAAGTATGATACTCATCGGTTGTAATGCCGTACCTTCATCATCCGTTACTTCATACTGCAAATGTCACATGCGAACGTGCAGATGGACGCTGACACCGAATAAACTCCACGAGGGGAGTCTGAGTCGGGTGGATACCCCGCTGGGGAGCAAGCGGGGCAGATATGAGGAGAAAGTTTAGGGATGGAAATGGAATGGCCCAGCACAATGATCATCGGATGTCGACGGTGGATGTTGAAGGATATCTACTGTCTTTTCTAGGTACGCGCGTCATCGCATTGGAAGAGCACACGGTATACGAGATCAGTGACTTTGTTCAAGGTTGAGGTCCAGTCTTTTCTCGAGTCATGCCCGTTTGAATAATTTTCTCTCGTAGTATGCACTATGCAGATGCACATCCTCCTTACGAACTGGGTGATTTCCAGGTACGCCAGCACCGCGTTCGTGACTTACTCTTCCTCGATAGGACCGGTATTGCTTGTACAATAACTGGCTCAAGTACCGATCACTCTGCACCACAGATCCATCAAATCCATCTCGCGAGTCGAAAGAAATGCGGACGAAAAAAGTCGCCATCATCGGTGAGTGACCCTGCGCCATATACAAATATCCAGAATGAAACCCTTCTCAAACAAAACCATCCACCACATGACCTCGACTCTGACCACAATTTCATCACACACCAACACCCCATTGTCTTCTGTCATTGATCATCCTCCGCACAGGCGCCGGTCCAGCAGGCCTCGTCACAGCCAAAACTCTCTTACGTAACTCATCCGCACAAATATACGAGCCCATAATCTTTGATGCGCGAGATAATGTCGGCGGACTCTGGGCACGTGCAGTCTCCTCCTCCTCCTCCTCCTCCTCCTCCTCCTCCTCCTCCTCATCCTCCTCGTCCTCGTCGTCGTCGCTCGATTCCGAGACCGGTGATGATCGCGATCACAATGTAGACTCAGACGCAGATGCAGATGCAGAGCCCCGCGTGACGCTCAATCCCAGCATGAGGACTAATTTAAGTCGGTTCAGCGTCGCATTCTCGGATTTGTCGTGGGAGACTGCGCTGGGCTGTGCAGATCCGCCTATGTTTCCGCAGGCGAGACAGGTTGGTCGGTATCTGGAAGCGTATGCTGAGCGGTATATTCCGGGGGGATGTCTGAGATTGGGATCGCGGGTGGTTCAGACGGAGCGGGTGCAGGGAAGGGATGGAGCTTGTTCTTGGAAGGTTTACTGGGTGGAGGATCTGTGCAGGTGAGTAGTGTGGCGGAAGTCGTACTTCTCTTTCTGACGGATGAATTTCTGGCTCCTCTTATATCCCTGCAAAGTTCGGGTGTTTTGAAGCTTACACGATCAAGGAAGCAAGATACGACTCAACAGAGCTGTTCTGTCAGTCACGACGTCAAAGTAGAGACCTTTGACTTGCTTGTCATTGCATCTGGATACTTTGCTCGTCCGTGGATCCCAGACCTACCCGGCATGTCACAATTTACTGGAAAAGTCATTCACAGCTCAGCCTTGGGAAAACAGTCGGAATCTGCTGCGGTAGGCCAGTCACACACTCTCGTGGTCGGTGGCAGCATGTCTGGCGTCGAGGCAGCATCTACCCTCGCTCTTCGACAATCCTCACTCTCTTCCTCCATAGCTCCCTCGCCACCAGGCAAGTCTCAACACCAGAAGACGACAATTACTCATGTGCACTCACGTCCATTCTGGTGTCTACCCTTGTACCTCCCGGAAGACCGTCCATCTGGTACTTCCTCCTTTCTTCCCCTGGACTTGGCCATGTATGATCTAAGTCGTCGACCGCCGGGTCCGGTCGAATACGCAATTGGATCTCTGTCCGAAGAGAAGATGGCCCAAACAAAAGCATACTTTGATGCACTTCTCGGATCCGATTATGAGCGCTATGGGCATTCTCATCCCCAGCAGGAGGATGCTGATGAGTCTTCAAGCCAGAAAAACAGATCCCAACCAGAATGGGTAGCAATAAGCAATGACTATGCCGAGTTTGTGCGGTCTGGAAATATCGAGCCCATCACCGGCCGTGTGCTATCTATCGAGCCAACGGACTCCGCTACGGACAAGGCCTCGGTCACCGTCCAGACCGTCCACGGAAGCCGAACACTTGAAAATGTGACCACGATCATTATGGCGACGGGGTTCTCACCGTTTGACTCTCTATCCTTCTTACCCGAAGAAGTGCTGGCAGGACTCGAAATTGACCACCGAGATCCATGCATCCCCGTGATTCTAGACCAAGGATCCACCATACGGTCAGAGCTTCCCGATCTGGGCTTCGTCGGCTTCTATCGCGGTCCATACTGGGGCGTCATGGAGATGCAAGCCCGCTACCTGGGTCGAGTTTGGGCAACGGGGGACAAGACACTCGGCGAAATGGGATCTCGAATGCAGACTCTGGATCAACGAAAGACCCTACGCTCACTTCGAAACCCCAACAATAACGAGGTCCCCCGTGCCCAATTTCCCATGGGTGACTATGTCGGGTTGATGGAACACTTTGCGAGAGAATTGGAGATTGAACGTAAATCCTTCTCGCCAAGTGACAATGATGGATCTGGGCCGGTCGTGCCTGCTCGCTATACGGTCGGGGAGCGAAACGATGAAACGAAGCGAACATTGGACGATCTATGTGCCATTCTTGAACATAACCATCCAGCAACACAGGCAGCTACATCCTTGGCTGTGTTCAGAGCATTGCAAGGAGAGTGGGAGATTGTGAGCTCTCCAGACGCAGGGCCCATTGACTCAGAAGAAGATACAACAGGACCAGAAGAACAAGCCCAAAAGACCGAAGAAGTAGGAATCACTGACACGATTGTGTTTGTGCCCCGATATCCATCAGACCCCTCGCACGACCGTGAATACATTCTCCAAAGACAACCTCCAAGACCACGCGACACTCTCCCCACAACCATGCAAGATCCAAGTCCAGATCCCTTAAGCCACGGCACAATCCTCCGTGTCTCCGAGTCCGGCGCAGCATCACACGCGTCCCAAATCGAAATTCTTCACGAAAGTCGCTGTGGACCCTCCCAACTGAGCCAACACCATACTTGGCGTCTAGAGCTGGCTCGGCGGTCCCTCGGGGAAAAAGATGGCGAGTCCGTACTTCACGGCCAGACCGTCCCTCTCAGAGAAAACGACGATCCTATTGCCGTGAAAACACACTGCGAGTATACTTTCTACTTTTGCGGAGTGTCGATCGTGAAGTGGGAGGTTCGTCTTTGTCCCATGGGGGACGAGCCCAGAAGGCGAAACTCCGGTGAACCTCAGTCTCTGGGTTACGAGGTTGTTTCTCAAAATTTGGGTGAATCAACACGCGTAAGGCTGGAAAGACGCAAAAATTAACATCCGATGAGACTCGGAACAACTGTGGGAGCAAAGCAGAGCAAAGCAGAGCAAAGCAGAGCAAAGCAGAGCAAAGCAGAGCAAAGCACAGCGGGACGGGTGATGCATTGTGGAGTGAGCTCGGAGTGGGGGTGGTAGGAAGCTTATTCATGACGTCGGGAAGGTGTTGACGATATCGATCCCGATCGATGAGGGACATTTTCTGCGGTGGTACTCATCATGATGTTTTTCTGCGTTGACTGGGGATAGAACAAGCGAGGCAGTGGTTGTTTTTGATCCGGTGCAGAGAAAGTGGAATAGACGAGAGTCTATACTCTCTAGTCTCTACTCTCTACTGTACTGGGAAATTGAGTTTGGATCTGCAGATAGGCTAATAATGCTTGGCTCCAGGCGGAGCTGAAACGACGGCGCAAAAGCGGTGGTCCTTCCCGGAGAGAATGGATCTCGGACGTCCAATTCCATCGCGTCGCGGTCTTCCAGACAGAAAGATTGACTGGTCGATTGAAGAATCCCTGATCGTAGAGAACATGTAGGTAGTCAGTACTCCAAGTCCATGGGACCCGGGCTCGGGCTCCACGGAATGAGTATCACGGAATGGCGTCGGAAACTCGGCTATGGCTGCGCTCGCCCCATCCGCGCAACCCCCGAGGGAAGCAAAGCGAGCGGACGGATGGGCGGATTCCGGTCCGTTTCGGGCTCTTCCGGTGCGAAATTCTATCCCAGACGATGCGGAGCGTGCGAGTGTGACTTGGTGTGATGAGGAATGTTGACGGTCCCTCTCACCAGGTTGAAGTGCATGTGGAAATGCATTTTAGGGTCATGATGAGATGATTTGCCTTTGCACTCTCACGCCGTGGGACTGGACCTGGAACTCTGGAACTGGAGCGTGCGTCTCGGCGTGGCTTCCGATGTATACATGAAAACAGGATCCCGGTCGATCGTGGCCTGGCCTGGCCTGGCCATTGAAGATGCGGCTCTGCATAAATGGTGAAGTATACCTTGCCCTCAGGCCCCGTAGTACCAGACCTGAATCCATGCACGGGCCAAAATAGGATTCCAATACCGTGTCAGCTGCACATCCGGGACAAATAGTGAACTTTGTGAAGTGCATCGTTGGATTTACGCTGAAGATCACCGCAGGCTCGTCCGGTCTAGACCTTCTCGGCTCTTCCCCCCCCCCCACAATCGGTCGACCTCAAAGTCTCGGGGCTTCTGGAGGGATCCACTCTTCACCACAACTCCCCCTCGGCCGATGCAAACCATCGTCTGAACTCATCGAGAGATCGAACAAGCGAGGCCCCGTAGTTCGTTCCATCTTGAAGACTTCAGACTGTACGGGGAAAGTGCCCGTGAGTGGGAACTCCGTGCATCGCTCGATCGAGGTGATTTCAAATCACTCAAACAGGCGCGCTCGATCGATGTCCATGTCGATGGGCGATGGATGGTGACTGACGAACTTCTTGAAGAGGACCGAGAAGATCAGCGGTGCGCCTCCCTTTGGGAGCGAAGGGTCCAGTTTGTCGACTACGACTGCACATTCCCATCGTCATAGAGAGTCCTTCCCGTGAGTGGACTGTAAGAGAGTGGACCGAGTCCACTCTATGAGGTTCAACCGCGACTCAAAAAAGCCTCCAGCTCTCGACGGGAGATACTCCCCTTCCCACGGCCATATATATTCGATACACCACCACCACATAAGCGCCTGGACCTAGTGCTATACCAACCTTCTCATCCGCTCCTCACCTGGACTCAATCTGGACAAAATGAGTCCCCATCAAACACATTCCCCAACACGCTCACCTCCATCATCTCGTCATCCAACACCTCCGCCCCTCCACCTCGACCCAATCTCCGAATACCGCGCCTGTCAAGCCGTCCAGATCATTCTCACCGTCCTCCTCAATCGCCAACTGCACCGCCGCTGGCTCCTCGAAACACAAGCCGTTCAAACCTCTCGCGTCCACAGCACCTCGGCATCCGCATCCGCATCCGCATCCCAAATCTATCAACCCATCCTACACCTGGAACCCATCTACCCTCTCATCAGACCTGATCTTGCCCTTTTTCAACCTTTACCTTTTTCTTCCTCTTCTTCCTCCTCCTCTTCTTCCTCTTCTTCCTCCTCCTCCTTGAATCCCTCACTCCTCCAACCCCTCAAAACCCGCATCCACATCCTCCGCGCCCGCGTCGAAAAGGGCAAAGAACTCGCCTCCGAGATCGAACGACGCATGAAAATCCCCGCCATCAAGTACCCCACGCACTTTTGCCACACCTGCGTCGGGGACGGTCAATCCGGCGCCGCGGAGTTGTATGTCATGCGATGTGGACATCGCGTGTGTCGGACGTGTCTGGTCTTTGGCATGGATGAGAAGAAGGTGTATGAATGTGGGATTTGTTTCCGGAGGTTATCGTTGGGGAGAAGTGCGTTGTTTGATGGGGAGGGGACGCATATACAGAGGGAGGGGAGTAGGGAGAGACCTGGAGGAGTGAAGACGGGCACGGCGGCGACGGCGGCGACGAGTGCGATGTATAGGAGTAAAAGTCAGAGGAGCACGAGGATTACAGAGACGCAGCCTCACCATCATTCACAGCCACGGCTGCACTATCAGTATCAGCACGATCAGCCGCAGCCACAGACCTACCATCCCCATCACCATACCAAAGGCCTCGCATCACATACTGGAACTGAAGTCGGACCCGGGCCCCAGAGTGTGTTGAGAAAAGTCACCCATCAAGGAGAGCGCGATTGGCAAGTCGACGGACGGGGTGTGCCGGTCAGAGGAAAGGAAGTGTTGATGGCGCCTGTGAGCTGAGTCGGGGGTTTTCATCTTTACATCCTGACATGCATTTGAGGTTGTGTCTACAGCACAGGACTCTAGTATGTGGTTTCATTGTGCCAGGGGACGGTGCGGAAGCCTTATAGGTGTAAGGTCAGACTGGGTAGTAGGGCGGCAGAAAGAGTAAGAATATCCGATCTATCCAGGGAAATCATTCAACTTGACTTGCTCTCGACTCGACTTGCTATATGGTTGTACTTGCTGAATCGGTGCTATTTCGTGTCCCTAAGGCGGGAACCGGGAACCGGGAACCGGGAACCGTCAGGTACCACACGGCCATGTAGTCTTGATACTTGATAGTCTTGAGCTCGAAGCGCCAATTCCGATACATGTCCTCGGTATCCCGACACTGTATATATCATCGGGCATCAAGCTGGCCGGGGCCACGAAGAACACCCCTCACATGGCAATACCAGAACATACCACATCAAAGCATCCACACCCAAAAGCACTCAAATACCCATTACTAGTCATATCGAGATATCAAGGGTCCACAAACCAATCCCCTTAAAAAAGGTAAAAATACGCACGTCATCCAGGCAGCATTCACGCCCAACAGGGACGCCAACTCCACCATCTATCCAGCCAAGAGTACCCCACGGTGCAATTTAAAACGAGGATATCAAAATCACAGGTGATCTGAGGAGGGTTCATCCAAACGAGAAGGCCGTCTCCAATGAAATTTTGCTAAACAAGTTTTTCCCCTTTTTTTTTGGAAAGAATCATGACCTGGGAAACACTTGTGATCGTAGGTAGTACAAAGAACCGCCCGCGTTTCTCTGCAGAGAGCCAAGGAGCAACTGGGACCGTACAAGACCGACACCGCATCAATACCATTGTACAAGAGGGTCAAATGAGGTTGGGGGGAAAAGTTTGGAAACATGAAATGGAAGGTGGAGCAAATTTGGCACACAATCATGCACGTTATAGAGAGTATCCCGATCAATGCTGTCTGAGCAGAATGGGAGTAGAGGATGGGGAGACGGAGGGAAGACGGAGAAGCGGGGACCAGTTGCAAACGCAAAATAGCAAATTATGGATATATCCGTGAGTTGTATGTGCTTTGATACAAGAAATCCAAAAAAAAAAAAAAAAAAACAATCCCAAAAAAAGAAGAAGCAAAAGGTCATGCCGTAACAACGTCATTGTTGACAAGAAGGGGGTGGTTCGTGGTCGTGGTCATGCTACAAATGTAGGGCTGAAAGAGCGGCGATGGTGAATTCTCGGAGCAAGTGAGAGCAAAGTCTAGGTCGAATGGGTGTCTTCTGACTTGCTTTCTTGCTCCTTTATCTCCGTCTTTCCTTCTTCCGTCCTGGGTGGTTGACCCTCGTCAACTACCATCTGCACCTCCTTGACGGGATGAAGAAGCATCGGTGGTAGACACATGCGGCCTTCACCGGCCAGTTCAAACTGCTCTCCACCAATATCATCCACTCGGATTCCAAGCCAGCGGCGCCAGAGATTGGAGGAGAATCCAGCAGAATAGAACCATGTCGTGCCTCGGAAGTTATGCTCGCGATCACCAAAGACCGACGTCCGGGCACCGCCCGATGCGCCATTCCGACCTGCATTGAACACTGATTCTAAATAGCGAGTCGGCCAGCGACGGTCAATGTAAACCGCGTGCGGGACGTACACGGCCTTGAACCCGTGATGCAGGGCGGTGGTCGCGGGCCACATTTCAGAGAACATAGTATGCCGACGGAGACTCGTCTCGCGATGCATGGTAGTCAGAAGCTTACGCGACAGTCGTGAGGCAGTAATGATCGCGGTGCGTCGTGGTGGAGTCATCCCATTATCATGGCGATATCCACTGTAGTCGTCCCGGAGCAACCACGTCGTACCTTCAGGGTCGTATAATGGATTGAACACAATGAGATCGGCGTCTTCACCCACGCCCCATGTATACCGATCTTTTTCCATGGTGGTAGGTGGGATGCCCTCACCTTCCACCTCGAAGATATCCGGCTCATCGGGTCGCTCGGGACCCCAGATCGGCTTGTCACCTTGTTGGTGAAGTCCGGGAGCGTTCTTATCGCCGGTCCGACCTTCAGAACCAGGCTTGTAGGCACTCCACATGTTATTTGGACTATTCGTACCAATCTCTGTCTGCACGCGAACCATTTGGCGGAAATCCTCCCACGACTCATGCACCGCTGGAACGTAAAATCGCGCATTGCGCTCCCACAGTCCCTTGCGAGGCTGCTCCTTGGCCCAATTGACCACCTTTTCAAAGAAATGATACCAGTGGCCCGTGTTCCGGACGTCCATCTCCCAGTTCCAAAAGTAATCATATTCAGGATGCTGGTAGGCAAACCATTGCATGGGCATAAAGGTGCTCCGATAAACCCCATGCACTGGCAGACCGCGCGCAAACGTCTCCTCCAGAGCAGGGTAGACGAGAGACATTTGCGCCTCTGACCAGAGCGTGCCCATCCCGTGGAATTCCTCCGGGAGGGCATCATTGAGGACGCGCTCATAGGTCTCGTCATCGGCCCAAATCTGCACGTCATTGTCCTTGACGTGGATCAGGAAATGAACGGTATATTCCCCGCCAGACTGCAGTACCAACTCGGAAATTATGGACCGCAAATATAATATGTCCTCTGCGGAATACTTGTAATCGTGCCACGTCCGAATTATAACCGCAGTCCGTGGCAAGCGATCTGATCCTATCTTCGGAGGGTTCGACTTGCTGCTGTCATCTTGAGGTGTTGAGATTTCCACTTTGGGAACGCCCACGGGCATCGAAACGAACCGGTTGATACGGGGCTCGGGCTGATTTTTGAAGCGATGACGGTTCGCTGCCATGCAACGCTGCTGTGCGCTGGACCAGTTCACCTGACGATAATCCACCGGAGGAATATCTTCCCAGACGGCTTCAATACCATCGCGGTGACCTTCGAGTCCAGCACCACTGCCGCCTTTCTTGACCCCATATCCCAAACCATACGGGCCCAATCGCCCAAAGCGATCAAAACACATGTCGTCGCGAATATTCAGGAGAGTGTTGGAGCCCATGACCGGATCAGGGAATCCTTTAGGTACACCGGGGAACGACTGGAGCTTGGGAACCCGAACGACATTCTTTTCGTCCAAGAAGCACTCACGCTTTTCGCCGTACTTGGAAATATATTCCGCCGAGTCGTATTCGGGATAGGGGTCGAAGGCAGAGCTTGACATGACTGGCGCCAGTCCTCGAGTCTTCAGACGATGATCATCTGCCTGTGTGGGCGAGTCTTCCGCTAGCGCCAGCCCGTCCGCGTTATCACCGGGGTATTCAGCCACGTTGTCGCTGCGCTTGACCAGGGTGGTGATTCCACCATGGTACCTTTTCAAAAACGGGAAGCTCTCCCACAGCGGGGGCTTGGCCGGTTGTCCCTTGGGAAGCTCCACCTCGACCGGGGAGACAGACGAAGCGATTGTGAAGCGGAACAGTGTGAGGATGAAGAGCACCAGGGAGAGGAATACCGCAAAACAGAGCCATCTCATGATCCGCTGAGGCACTCTGAAGCCGACCGGAGGTCTAGTACGACGTCGTCCCGCACCGCCGCGAGGAGGATAGGATATGGAAGGGTGGTTAGGCCCGTAGTCGGAGGCGTCATCGTCGCCATCGCTTTGGTGGTGGTGGTGAAGATGATTGTAGTAGGGTTGGCGAGAGTTTATGGTGTTTTTCTCCACGTCGCTGTCATGAGGAGTATTGCGCACCGCATACGGCGACGGTTTGCTGTGTGCTGCGGAGGATCTCCTCGCCTGGACGGTCATGGTGTTGTACAAGCCGCGTCACCATTGACGGGGGGGGGGGGAGGAGAAGGAATGGGGGGGGGTGTATGTTGATAGCGGGAGCTAGTCCAATCGTGAACTTCGCGGGCACATCTGTTTGTTCTGGACTATCGTAGTCATCGAATGTTGGGCGAATGGACGCGGGTTGGCAATCGCAGAACCGAGGAAGCAAAGTAGTATCAGAGATATCAGAGAGAAAGAGAGTTGACAATTGCGCACGGGGCGGGCGACGAACGACACAATTGTTGGTGTGGTTTGCCGCTTGCGGAGCTTCCAAGACGGGAGATCGTGTCGACCAGGCAATTGTCCGTTTAGCGTTAAGTGGGGGGCGGAAACAGGAAGTGGGCGACACAGAGATGGTTCAGGGGAACAAAGCGTACTTTTGGTGACGACCGGCGAACTTTTCAAGTTCGCCTCATAGAATCGAGTTCAGGACCGTTTGGACGTTGAGTCAAGTCTTCATCTCTGAAATCCTGCTTGTCGCCGGGAATTGAAGGAGACCACAAAGCAGATGTTCGCAATTGAGCTCCAAAAGACGTGCGCCACAACCACGAAGGAAAGAGATCACGTGGGAGCTGGGAGAGTCTGGCCCAGTCCAAACGCCAAGGCCTGGCCGTGTCCGAGTGTCCAGCGTGGAAGAGTTGAGAAGTCGAGACGACTTCTGGTGAGAGCGAAACGGTTATCACTCCACGCTGATACCCTCGGATCACTGTCTCGAGAGTAATGGAGTGGCACCCTGAATCCATTTTGAAAATCTCCTAGTCCACCATGAATCAATGGGCATGTGAAGACATACGATTCAGATTGTAGATGATGCATCTTTCCATTCTGGCGAGATGTGTAATCATCCATATGGGGCAAATTGGCTTACGTCGACAGTGATGACTCGGGACCCATCGAATCGGTGGGCCCGATAGAGTCGGGTTGCTTGTTCAGACGGAGTCTCTCGAGTCGCAATATCGCCTGGTTGTATCCGGGTCGGGAAAAGGTAGTTGTTTACCAAGTTCATTGAATGGTCTATTCTTCTCATACCAAGCAGGCAGACGTCTCAAGAAGAATTATATAGCGGTTGTGTCATCGGACAGAGAGAGATTCTTCGAGCATCATTGACCTAGACGGGAGTACGGTGGCATAGTAACAATGGCAAAATCGCATCTTCACAATCTCGTACGCAATGCATTGTCCAGCCAATTCAATTTAGTGCGCCTTGTCTCCAAGCAATTCCTGCCTTACGAGTCGAGAGTGTCTCTTTTATCGACATGGCCAACTCTCAATGACACCTCTTACAAGAGTTCCACAATGTTCAAGGCAAAGCGAAGGGAAATCCCCAATTTTGACATGGCGTCCAAGGAGCGGGTCCGGACCCTCAAAGAGAACAACCATTGTAGGCTAAGAGCAAAGCGGACAGAGACATCAAGTCGAGAAGAGAGAGCCCAACAAACAAAAGCACCGGTAGAAGCAATAAGGAAAAAACTCCCACCCAAACAGAGAGCTGGCGGGTCCATTCCGAAATCGGCTTTGCGCAGGGAACCCCCCTTCGCTATCACCGCCGCCGTCGTCAATCCATCATGTGTATACTAATCGTGGTATTTCTCTTGCCCTGCTACGTACACGCATCTCGTCTCCAAGTCGTTCTGAACGTGAAAAAGATAGATTGCAAATTCGGATTCGCCGTATTATACTCGCTTAATCGCGGTTGGTTTTGCGCAGAGTGTCGGCCAGCCACTCGAGACCCTCGTACAGACCATCACCAGTGGTGGCGCAGGTAGATTGGATGAACTAGACAACGGAGCAAGGAGCGTTAGCCGACATCGGTCCATTCTCGCCACAAAACTACTGGAGTAGCATGCGTGGCGTGGGGAGGGAGGTTTCTCGGGAAATAGATGAGGGACAGAAAGAAAGACTTACCCAAGCACGGCGGGTCAAGCTCTGGAGGCCAAGCTGCTGGGTGATCTCGGCGGGAGACATGGCGTTCTAGTCAAAATCAAGCTGGTCAGCGATGTGCTCTGGAGATGGGCCGGTCTTCCCAAACCCCCTTCGGCGTCGTTGATGCGGGGGTGGGGTGAGTGGGAGGGTACGCACGGGCAAATCTTGCTTGTTGGCGAACACCAGGAGAAGGGCGTCGCGGAGCTCATCCTCGTTCAACATGCGCTGCAACTCCTCGCGGGCCTCGACAATACGGTCGCGATCGTTGCTGTCCACCACGAAGATGATACCTTGGGTGTTCTGGAAGTAGTGGCGCCACAGAGGACGGATCTTGTCCTGACCACCGACATCCCACACGGTGAATTGAATGTTCTTATACTCAACAGTCTCAACGTTGAAACCTGTTCCGGTGTTCCCTTCCAGTCAGCTTTCGGTTACCGGAGAGATGAGAAGACGATGCGAATCCTTTTCCAATCAACCGCGGCGGGCTCTTCGCCGCGTGCTGCTTATTGTTCTAGGAGCGGGAAGGAAGGAGGAGGAGGAGGAGGAGGAGGAGGAGGCGTATGGAAGCGAACTGACCGATGGTAGGGATGGTGGTCACGATTTCACCCAACTTGAGCTTGTACAGGATAGTGGTCTTTCCGGCGGCGTCAAGACCAACCATCAGGATTCGCATCTCCTTGCGACCCCAGAGACGGTCGAACAGCTTCGAGAATGTGATACCCATGGTGACGGAGCCTCAAAAGCCTAGAAGTGCGATCGGAGCAAATCAAATTAGTCACCTTTGAGGGGAACGAAGTCCGGGCAAAATGGGGAGGGGAGGTGGAAAGAGGAGAGAGAGGGGTGGGCAGGTGGAGGATGATGGAAGATGGTGGGAAAACGTGTTGTGGACTCTTGCGGTCAGGGGTGTCGGGAGTGGGTTTCTTGGAGGGGGGAGGGAGCAGTCCGGCGGATGATGCTGCAAGGCAGATCGAGGGAGGGCGCAGACTTACCGATAGCACAGAGGAATGGAGGGGGGGGGGGGGGGGTATATGGATGGATGGTTTCAAGGGAGAAGAGGAGAGGAAAGTGAAGAGGAGACTCCGACTGGTGATGGAGTTTAGGCTGACTGTGAAAGGACGGCCAAGTTCAGAAGTGGGTTAGGGAGGTGTGTGTTTTTTTTCGGGTTCGATTCGGGAATACCACAATACGGCGGTGGATGGCTGATTGCTGAGGGATGCTGGGTCACGCTGGGTTTCTGGGGTCGGCCACTGCGCGGCCACCAACAAACAGACGGTACGGACGACGTCAGGTATGGTAATTTGACGGCTTGGCGAATTCCTTCTCAGTTCTGGCTGCGCTCGGCCTGGTGTTTGCGGACGGACACTGCCCTGGACTTGCCAGTTGGAGCCGCGTAGACCCGTCCTTCTGGTATTTATATAGAGTTGCAGCAGCTCCGACCTGTAATGGCCACGTTTCGCGAGCAGAGTCTACGGTGATCCATGACTGTGAGCAACAACAGGCAACAGCATTCTGTCAGTTGAGAATTCAGTATACGTTTCCATCAGTGGTCTCTTCCACAGTGATGGTGTCTCTCGAGAGTCGAGACTCGAGTGCGTGATCTGCTGAAATACGGTATTACTATCTTGAGGACACGGTGTTGCCCGAATGTCCGATACCGAAAGAGGCGAAAAGACGAAGCATGCCTCTCCCAATTTGTCCGGCAAACGTCTTGTATTACGGTACAAGACACGGATTCGGCTGAGCTGCGCCTAGACATCGGAGCAGCTCAGCAGACGAGCAGTAGTACAACCAGCACTGAGCACATGGTTATGTACGATTATATTCTCTACCTTCGAGTCTGCATTCTACTCTCGGGGCTCTCGATCAATCCGGGGCCACCTGGTGAGCACGAGACACCCGACGATCCGTTCAACAATTGTCACTGTGACCCGCTTAACTGTGGCGAAGGCGGATTGGAGACGTTGGCGCGACATGTCGCAAACTGGGAGCCTACTTCATCAAGTCCTTCATTGCAGGACCGTGTACTTTGTAGTTTGATACTCACAAGTCTCACAGTAGTATCATTCTTGGTCACGGGCCATTTTTTTTTCCACATTGGTAACCTCGCCGATGACCTCAAGAACGCTTTCCGCCTTCCTGTCTGCTGTAGAGTGTAGACTCCGTATTCTGTCGTCTGTACTCTGCAGTTACTATCCCTGAACCTGTCACTTCACTGAACTTTGATTGTGCAGTCAGGACCCCCAGAGGATCCCCCAATCTTGCCTTACGCCACGACTGCCTGCTTTTGTAAATCGTGGCAGGGATTTGACAGACGATGTAGTAGTATTGAATCTACACTATAACACGATTGATGATCTTGGTGTCATGCGAGTCGCAGCATCCTCATCGGGGAAGCGGGGCAGTGGGACGCACATGGGACCGAGGAGCCCACTGCATCTGGTACACATCATAGTACATACTGAGATTCCGGTGCTGATCATGAAATTATCGTAGAACCCATGGCTTGGGTGTAAAGCACGAACCTGCCATGCTGGCTTCAGTTGAATGCATACTCTGCAAGACACTAGCGATCTTCATCGGCCTGACGTCTTCCACGCCCGATGATTCTGTCTCGTGACCGGCGGAAGAAGGTCTTGACCAATGACCGATAGATCGTCTTGCCTTCCACCGTGTTACTGGCAAAGCCAAAGATGGTCAATACCAGCACCGTCAGTAAGAAGATCACAGCAAAGGAAACCCAATACTGGGCTTGACTGTACTGGCCCTTCACCCCCTGAAGTTCGGTGGAGAAATAAGCGGTCATCAAACTGACGGGCAAGAACAGCATGGTCGCTTTGGCGAGCAGGATGGTGATTCGAGTCAGCTTTTCAATTGCTTGGGAGTCTTTGAGTGCAATCAAATTGAAGTTCTGACCGGACGATCACAGCATGTTAGTCCCTCTGGGTTTGTCCTGGCCGGTCTACGGAGAGGGAAGACAATTACCAAAAACGTCAAGGACTCCTTCTCCAAAAGACAAGTCTCGATCTCGCTCAGGCAGTAGAGATTGATGCGATCAACAAGACGCTCGAATCGAGCCACCGCCGCCGAGCTCAAGGCGACTCCCACCGATCTGTCATACGAGCGCAATCGATTCCCATCAACGATACTTCCCTGCCGAAGCTCGGCGAAGTCAGACTCGGAGGACGTGTTGCCGATCGAAAATGTTTGATGCCTGGTGATCTTGGCTTCCTCACGTATAAGCCTCTGCCGCTGCAAAAGCCGTGTCATGACTAGCTCGTAACTCTGATAAAGCCGTTTGAGCACGCCTAGTCGTCTGCCGAGCCAATGAAGCTCATCAACGAGATCAACAATAGGTCGATCGAGCATTTTTTTCCTCTTCACGATTCGTGAGTAACAGGAAATCTTACTTGATGAGGCATCAACCAGGAGGGCCACTTACAAGCTCTTCAAGCGATACTCCGTACTTATGCTGACGCTTGGCAATCAATCCAAAGCTCGAGACCCAGTCATCGAATAGGTAATAGAAGAGTAGACTTGCACCGTCCTCTTGCTTGATGCTTGCCTGGTCCGGTCCGACGTCGTGAAACTGTCGCACGCGAATAGTTACCAATGAGTCTTTACGCGAATGATTAACGTGTTGTTTCGAAATGCCGGAGAAGATGAACCGAATATTGCGCCGTGCGACCCCCACGACCGCCTGTTGTTCCTTTTCGCTCAATTGTTCGATTTGCCTAGTCGGGTTCTCCTGAATAGAAATCAGGGTCCCTAGTCTTCAACTCAGCCAAATTCCAGAGAGCGTCACTCCACTCCATTTGTCAAATTGCGTACCATCATCGCAGAGGATCAGCCATGACCAAAGCCGCGTGCCTTCAGGGAGATCATGGCCATTTTCCACAATCACGTCGGGTGCCACGAACAATGTGTTGTAGCCCACACAGGTATCTGAATAACACGGTGTATCAGTATCCTGCGTTATGGGGGGTCTCGGTCTTTCCCTACATCGGCTTACATCGAGGGCCGTAGTCCACCGAGGAAAAATGCCATATTTGATCGGTAACTTCTCCGAAAGTCAATCCTTCAAAAGAGCTTGGCTGGTGAGTCCTGGCTGAAGCAGGCTTGCTTTCAACATCATCCAGTTCCACTTCTATCGTCTGCGACGATAGATATTTGGGTCTTCGCGAAAGGCTTTTTCTTTCAGGGATTACCGGAGATGACGCCTTCTCATGGAAAGGCTCGGTGTACATCATGCTCTGAAGTCTCTCGGAGACTCCGTAGTGCGAGGTGATGGTCTAATTACAGCATCAGCATCGCACGTTTGCGAGCGGGTGCTTTGAAATTCTCGGATTTACCTTGATGGCGTCTTTCTGCTGCTCTGGATTCCAGATGTGACTGCAGGGTCAATGGTAAGTCCCAACGACTTTCGTTTCTCGGCTTCTTCCAATCTTGAGTGAGCATTTCAACATACATCCATCTAGTCCCAAAACAGTTCGGTTTCTGTTGGTAGACAGTAGTCAGCGCATCGCTCTCATTGCTTCCGGAGCCTGACCAGGCGTTGCTTCTAACGTACTACTGAATCCTGTAATCGCTGGAAGTCCATCGCCTCCAGATCTATAGCGCAGAATGCATCGTCATTGCCAAAGTCGAGTACAAAATTGCGAGTGGCTGGATTTCGCAAGCGCTGCATGTACTCCACAAAGTTGGTTCCGTCGTCAATGTCTTTGAATATTGACTCTAGCGACTCTCCGTGTGAATCGCGAAGATGGGCATAGTAGCTTCGCGGGCTCAGAGACTCGCTTGTTTCTGAGATCCTGCCCGCCATTGTGCGCAGCGCTGGAGATATTGCTGCCGCTTTCTTGAAGCTAGAAGAGGAGAGATACTGGAGTTGAAATATGTTAAGGAGGTGCGATTCTCGAATCTGTCCAGCCTCGGTCGTTTTTTGAGGGCGATTAGGTGGAGTGTATCACTGTATATTGTGCGCGAGTACCGAAGTGTGGACATGAATCAATCAAATTCTCACGCGGTCGCAGAGCTAAGCGGCGCTTTAAATATGAACGCCCCGGGGTGGCTATGTCGCTAGTAGCTACAGCTGAAGGTTTCATGCTTTTGAATTTGGCACGAGTCATTTGAGGTTAAGCCTACCGCCGTCACACTTTAGCGCCAGAGTCAGCAGGGCGCGCATGCGCTGCATGACCTGGCCGCCTTTTCCATGATCTTTCCGCCTCTTGACTAGGTCTGGATGCGTGCAACATGGAATGGCAGCGTGATGCCCTTAGGATGATTGGAAATGAGCCCTCGTCCGGGTCTTGGACCTCTGCTTTGAAGTATTTAAGCGGTCACCAGGTTTTTTTCTTAACACGGGATTGTAAGACATAGTCTGTGGGCAAAGCTTAATTCGGAGAGGGTGATCATATTCAGGCGAGGTAGTGTGAGTCGTGAGTCGTGACACACTACTTTGAGCACAGGCCTGTTCTCTTGGGATTTGAGGTAGAGTAACAATAACTGTTTGCTATTCCGAAAATTGATTTCCTGGGCAGTCTCTTGAGCCTCAGTGACTTATCTTTCCGACATATTCGCATGGCACTCGAAAGGCGCCAATGTCCCGACCACTGGGTGTCTCACTTTGCCGGCGCGAAGTGATGGTATCAAATTATCAACACACTGGGTAGTGGGTACATACATCGCGACTCGGGCGTATTATTGCGTATCAATCATCGCGTGCGATAGAGTAGGGGTTAAAACACATACAGTCGCAGCAACGCCGCTGCTTGTTTGAAGCGTGGAGCCGTCAGTAACACAGGCTTAGATCTATGGACTCATCCCTACCTAGCGAGCTCACCGTGGCGAAGCCACACTTTAATCTCCAGTCCGGAGTCACCTCGGGTGACTCTCAAGACTCTCAACCCCGAGAGGCTTTCCCAGCATCAGCTGTCTCCTCCGTAAGTCCCGTATTGCCTCGCATCGCTTCACTATTTAAGCACTTTAAACGAGTCAGTCTCTCCAGGCACCGAGTATTGATCTCATTTCGTGTCTGGTCATGTCGACCTTTCGACCTCCCATTCTAGACGCAATTATCACTGTCCCGAACATTTTCTCCTCCCCAGACGAGGAACAAGACTTAATACATAGATCCAAGCATCTACACTTCCACGGGCTCCAAACGGATTCAGATTCCTTCTCGTCTACATTCATATGAAAGTAAGTCTCGATTCCTGGACGAGACTTGGCCCTCACGACTTCAGAGTCTAACAGGCAAGACATACGCCGCCGTAAGCGACAGTCGTGGCCGAGATCTACCCCAGAGCTCACCCGACTATATCATGTTTATTAACGCGAAGGAAAACATCATATTCCTTTAGCCGTGCCCGATCTTCCGAGCGGCGCGGAGCGCATCTGGTGTACTCCATTGCCGGCATGTTTGTCTGACCTACTGCACGGCGACGACGCTGCGGCCATCGTCTTATGGGGCAACGGTGAAAGCAGCTACTAAGGATCGGACTTGGTAACCATCACTTGGTGGTTGAGTCCTCGGATTCCCGCGCTCGCCAGCTCTACTCGAGAGTGGGCTGCAAAGTAGTCGACGAGGCATTGGAGATAGAAGGCAAGGAGGGCACAGAATCTTATGTGATTTGCTCGAGCTGGAGATAGACATACACAAGAGTCTCCAAGTCTCGTCTGATTTTATCATCAAAATTCTCATGCATCGTTGGGATGAGAACATTTACCTACCTCTGAATCCTTTGGGCACTAGCTGATAGCTACGCCCTTTGTCTGTTTTTGCGACAGTATCCCTCAGGCAACAAGGCGGCGAGCGGCTCCAGGCCGATCAGACACGAAGGTGAGCCCCCAATCTAGGTAGGCGCCCATGATCTCATCACGTGGGTGCTGAGTAAGGTTCTCGTTTGAGGGCACCGCTAGTCCACATTAGGTCTAGCCGCACAATGAGCACCCACAAGCGGAGAAATTCGCGGTTACATTTTCTTCTCTGCAAGACTTCAGCGTAGAGCCACACCATAAGTTTACCTTTTGGAAGACTGTCGCCATCATGTCGAAGATCACAGTCGGTATGTTCTACGCTTTGTCCTGAAATTCTCCATCAAATGGGGTTGAAAGCAACATGATCGCTAATACCCCGATGCAGCCGGAGTGCGCCAGAATGTCGATGAGCTGCTCAACTACTCTCTCAATGAGAAGAAGCGTAACTTCCTTGAGACCGTTGAGCTGCAGATCGGTCTGAAGAACTATGACCCCCAGCGTGACAAGCGTTTCTCTGGCACCATCAAGCTGCCTTCCGTCCCCCGCCCTGGCATGTCCATCTGGTGCGTTTTGCCTTTCTTCTTTTCGCCGTTCTACATCGAGCTTCCCGAAACTACACCTGGGTCGCCTTTTGCCTCCAGGATGCTCCTCGAGACGGGCTTCGAGTAGTGCACGAGCGGCACATCTGAAACCATGGGCAAGCCGGCTAACCTAGTGTCTCAATTCTTACAGCATCATTGGTGACCAGCACGATCTCGACCGTGCCAAGCACCACGGCATTGATGCCATGTCCACCGATGACTTGAAGAAGCTGAACAAGAACAAGAAGCTCATCAAGAAGCTTGCTCGCAAGTACGATGCCTTCCTTGCTTCCGAGGCTCTGATCAAGCAGATTCCCCGTCTCCTTGGTCCCGGTCTGTCCAAGGGTAAGTTTCTGGAAGAATTTTCATACGTTGAACCCACGACATTTGAGCCATATGCTAATTCTGGAATTTTCTGTTCTCTCCTACAGCCGGCAAGTTCCCCACCCCCATCTCCCACGCTGATGACATGGCCGCCAAGGTCAACGACGTCAAGTCCACCATCAAGTTCCAGCTGAAGAAGGTTCTCTGCCTCGGTGTTGCCGTCGGCAACGTCGGCATGACCCAGGAGGAGCTCGTTGCCAACCTGATGCTCGCCATCAACTACCTCGTCTCCCTCCTCAAGAAGGGCTGGCAGAACGTTGGCAGCCTTGTCGTCAAGGCTACCATGTCTCCCCCCAAGCGTCTCTACTAGATTTTTCTGTCGCTTGATTGCGCCAGGATGTCTGTTGAGTCCTTGATGGCTGAGGGTTTCATAGTCAGATTTATCAAAAAATTAAAAGTATGATTCCCACCGTCTCAATACACAGCCATCTGTTTGCCGTAGCTTGAAAATTCGCATCACCTTTCAACTATCTATCTTGAGCTCCAGTAGTCTGCACTCTGTACCACATGCCCTGTCCCTTATTGTGGAGACCGGGACCGGGGATACTGTACTAGTGTACTTCCTACTGAGTATTATCAGTATCAAAGGGAAAAGATATGTCGGCCGCGTGTATCCCATTGAAATAAAATAATATACAATCATACAAAGAGACACACCACACAACCTTCCCTTCAGGATATCATTGCATACCCTCCATCAACTCCGTCTTATCCAAAATCATGCCCCGCATACCAATAAACTCGCGCAGACTCTCCCATTCCTCGCCCGTCTCCTCTCCATGCATATACGGATCCCGGAACCCCCAAGCACAAGCAACCTTATCAAGGGCAGCACGCTCCTCCTCTCGTAACCAGCGATGCCTCAACGGAATGCCCGGCAGCCACGTCACGCGCTTCATCTGATCATTTGCCGTCGTGATCGCCAGAATTCCAATCGAAGAAGTACCCGCAACATAAGCCAGCGACGCGGCAAAGGCGATCCCGGTCGCTGTACTTGGGTCCATTGTATTCTGCAGCGTCGAGGCCCACGAGGCCAGCGTGAAGCATGCGGCCGGGGCCGCCGCGAGTCCCACCAAGGGAACGGCAGCTCTCCGAAAGACCTTTGCGTGATGGAAGGCAGGCGCGCAGAATGTGTTATCAATCATTGCAAGGACCAGAGGCAGATTCTTCTGTTTGATGGCGACGTCGATGGCCTGGTTGGCTAGGTCTGCGGAAACAGCGCTGTTCACGTCCTTGGGGTTCGCCTGGTGGAGTTTAGGCGGATTGCTCTTCTCTTCGGGAATGGGTTTGTTGGCGTAGAGATGGAATACTTCGGGTAGATACTCGGCTCGGTTCAGGGTGCACTGCGCTCGAATATAATGCTCGAGTGCCTTTGGGGAGATGAACACCTTCTCATCCTTGATGATTTGCGTCATGGAGGTGGAGACTTGATCGGCGAGTGTGCGGAGAATCTCCTCCGCGTCGCGGATATGTGTCACGGACCCTTCATGTTCTTGCATTTCCAGCAGCGATGAGACTGCATTGCCTTTCCCTTCCCCGCTTGGGGCGTTCTCGTCGCGAACGTCCCAGTATGGGGCGATTGCGCGAGCCGCTTCTTCGTATTTCAGGAGGAGCTCTTCCACCTCCGCATTACCAGGGACCTCGGATCGTGCGAGAAGCTCAGATGTCTTTTGCGCGCAGCCCTCGATCATGGAGGTAATTTCTCGAAGAGAAAGGTGTGAGTTCGCAGGGCTCGCATTGCTGTGTCCATTCGCATTCGCGACGTGCTCCGTTTCCAATCCCTCTACCGCTTGTTTTTCAGACTCAAGAAGGTGAGCATTCTTCGAAGACGCTTGACGCGACCTGTACCGCAGTGTACCTGTCTGGCAGGCGAGTGGTTGAGCCAGGCTCAGGCGAGAGGAGCGCGATACAATAGGACGTCTGATGGTCAAAATCCGGGGGTTTGAGGCGGCGGCGGCTGCTGCTGCCCCTCGGCCGACGGAAAAGGAGCGACGCGCTTGGGTTGAGGAGAATTCACAGAGCTGGCATGTCACCGTCCGTTGTAGTTGGGCGGCTCGATGTGATCTCAGAGGTAATTGATTCATGTTGGGCGAGTGAAATGGGGGTTTGTCAAAAGCTCTGGTATCACTGTTAGTTATCCTCCATGTCCTGCACAAGCGGACTGGCCCGGGCTGTTTTTTCTGCCGCGATGCTGGTGTGAGCGGAGAACACTACTTAGTACTTACCACTTACTTTTTGTCCTACAGAAGTGCACATGCCTCCGGTCATTGTCTTTTGCCTTGGGCTCGGTCATACCTCGTCAAAAGGGCAGTTCTCATGCCCAATTAGTAGACGCTAGACAGCATCACCTGAATCGACAATTCCGATACAATATAATGTCAATCTCACGTGGCAGTGATTCGAGTCCAAGCTCGGTTACGCTTGCAAAATACCTTCCATTACAACTACTTATGTTTAGGTATAGTGGCCCAATATAGTGCGACAGTGCGTGGGTGATAGGTATAGGGGAAAATACCAGGTACTCCAACATTGCCCTATGTTCCAAGCACGATACCGAAGACCCAGAGCAGAGGGCCTATTGAAGAATCCACTTGCCAGGGTCATGAAGCCTGTTATCCAACAAGGCCAGGCCATCCATATGTCAATATGACACAGTGATCATCAAAGATGTTGATTCTCGAACGTCATAAGGTATAAAGGAGAAATAAATGGGTATCTATATGCACAGGCCTAATTCCTTGTCTCGGGGAACCAGCTCTATCACAAGGACAAAAAAGGAAGGAAAGGAAAGATATCAAGCAAAAGTCCCACGCAATTGATCCTCACAATTGGTGAGATACGCCAAACATACATGAAAACATGTTCACACAATAACCAAACAAAAATTGGACGCCCTCGCTTAACTCGCAATCAAAATGGTGGTCAAGGTATGCTGGTGTTGATCTGCCGAGGAAAAAAATAGAAAGAGTTCATGATATGGGGGCGAAAAGTAGAGACTGACCCTCGGCCAGCGTTTTGTCGGTCACGCTCATGCCAGCTTCACGAAATGCCTGCTCCAGATCCATCCGACTGTCCTCTCGTTCTCCTGCCTCCGCCCATGGCTGTCCATTCCGGGCGCATCCAGGTTCTCATCCTGATTGCAGGCTAGCCAGAGCTCGCCTTTTTCACCATATACGTCAAAGACAGCCCCGGTGTCGTAGATCAGGTACGGATATCCGGCTTCACTTCGGGGGTCAATCTTGAATGGGCACAGACTAGCTGCGACGAACAGGACTTTGGCGCCCTCGGCAAGACCTCGAGGGGCCCGAGGAGCTTCAGGTTCCTGGGGGTTGTCTGACATGGGCATAGCAGAAGAAAAGAAGCCGGAGAATCGGTCAGTTGGTGAATTGGGTTGCGGCTCGGCGTCCAGTTTTGAGACATTCATCACGTCAGTCAGGAAAGGCGCGTCCAGACTCAGGCTGGGCAGAGAAGGGAACGGTTCAATACTCGATCGGATGTCCGACGAGGATCGACTGGTATTGGTGACTTGCTGTAGTAGTTGGCTGCGCCCCAGATCCGGAGTTTCTGAATACGGGGCACGTCCGGAGAATGCAGAGTCCGCTCGGTGCCGGGTCACGCTAGTCATGCTCATGTTAGGTGACTGGAAAAGCTGGCCCATGCTGAAGTCGCTGGACAACTTAGGAGACTCCTCTGTTAATGATCCCGGTCGGCCATTGAAGCTGTTCATGGTAGAGGGCCGACGAGGCGAATTCAGATTCGACGAGGTATTGAAATTCATCAGGTTGACGGTTTCGGCGAGCAAAGAGCCATTGCAGACGCCAAGAGAGAGAACCTGAGCTTCAGCGAAGCTATTTTCATTTGTCCACTCATTGACCAATCGTCCTACGTCGTCTGGGAAGTTATCCACATGCTCTTCAAGTCGTGCCTGCAACTGACTCCACCATGTCGTTTGAAGTTTGATCAAGTCTGTCAGAATCGCTTCCATCAGTTTACCCGTTAAGGCGAAAAGCTGAGGAAGCTCTTCCTTCAAAGTCTCGTTCAATGCCATGAATTGCTCTCCTTGTTCGGTAGATTTCTTGTCGGGCTTGTCACCCCGGTCTTTGGCGGCCTTGAAGCGTGCATAGTCTGGAAGCCGCTTGTTGCGCTTTCTCATCACTCGCTCGGGTCCTTGGTAGAGGCATATTATGGAATCAAACGGGCCATGGATTCTCTTTGTTACCATTTCAAGCTGAACGATTATCAGTCCAAATCCAATGCTCTAAAGCGACGTGAGGAAAGGGTAGATTAGAAGGGGAACGCTTACGTGTTCAGGGAGAGCAACTGTCACAATTTCTTGGAAAGTGTGATTAAAACGGCGCCATTTTCGCTCCAAATCGGGGTAACTGGACTGAGAGACATCAATCACTCCCTCAATTGCTTGGACACAAGCGCCAAGTTGGGCAACAGATCGTTGCATCCCTTCCTTGTAGACCAAAACATCATTCTTGATCACATGTAGCTCTGCGAAATGCTCGCCAAATTTCTGTGAGAGGTAATCATACTCCTTATCGGAGAACATTTCAGATATGCCGACCTGCTGGCGCAGCTTTCTCGGTGCGGCGACCGAAAGCCTTGGACAAGCCCGCTCGCACATCGGACTGGTTGCGCTTCCGACCAACGACTTGAACAACTAAATCTGCACGCTTCTTCATCTCATTGATGCGGACTGAGATGTCCGTGACTCCTTGTAAAGCGTTCTGAATACTGGCGCGATCCGGATGGTCGGGAGAAGTTGAGGCCAGGAGTTCAGAGAGAAGAAGCGGATACTTGAGGATTCGCTGTACAGGCTTGACAATAAGTGAATCGAGGTCCCACGCAGAGGTCAGATCTGACGCCCACTCTCGACATTCGTTTAGCCAGATAGACACTTTTGGATTGCGTTGGAGCACTTCAAGCTTCTTGTTCGCAGCATCGTGGTTCTTCAAGTATTCAGAATACACTTTCTCCATCTGGGACATGTGGATCATGAAGGCTTCCCCAATGGCTGTTGAGCGATCTTTTTCAAGGTCCGACGTGCCCGCATCACTGCCAGCTTGGTCTTCCGACGTAGTGGCTGAGCGGGCGTTGCGCGCACTACGCTTGCTGCTCCAGCGTTGAGACTTTGGCATAATGTAGACACTGCGAGCGGCTCGCTTCAAAGTGTCCTGAAAATTGAATGAGAACTGGGTAATCTGATCTGAATTCGCGAATAGGATCTTGACGTCTTCGGCAGACAAGTCAAGGCAGGAGGACGAAGTGCCTTTGTAGATATCGTCCACAACTTTCATATCTTTGCCAAAAGTGTATTCCGTATCTATGAGCTCTTTGATGATGTTTCGCCGCTTCTTCAGTTGCTTCTGCTCTGGCGACGGAGTCTTGCGCGGTTCCTCTCGCATTGATTGTTCTGCTGACGGTGCTAGAGATGTCGCAGACGAGTCCGGTGCTCGAGGCGATGATGTGGAGTCTGCAAGAGGGAACGAGGAATCTTGGCTACTTCGAATACTATGCGTTGTAGTGAGCGAAGAATTTTCGGGCAGAGTCTTGCGCTTAGTGGTTTGATCACTGCCATCGTGAGGCGTGCTCGTAGGCAACTCGACCAACTCACGAGCAGACGAACTTGCGCCAAAGGACAACCCAAGACCGGAGTCGTAGCAAGTCGAAGCCTCCAATTCAACTGGAGCCTTGTGTTGTCGCGGAGTCAAGAGATCATCAGAGAAATCGCGTTCAACTCCCGGTGTGGGAACATCATCTTCGGCAGCCACCTGCATCCAATCCATGATTGATGGGGACGCATGTTCCCAGTCACTCGGTCCAGCCAGGGTAGCCGAAGGGTGGTACTGTTCCGATGGTTGGACAGCTGGCCTCGAATCTTCATGTAAGCCCGGTGTGTTACCCATGACTGGAGATTCACGATACATGGGTACCATGACATGGTCATCTGCGGGACTGGCTGTGTAGCCATGAGCCCGAGAAGGATGAGGAACGGCTGGATTCCCAATGGCTGCAGTACGCTGGTTGTCCGCGCTATTGCCGGTATTTGGTTTACTGCCTTGATGGCTGGATCCGCCCCGCGTCAATTCTTCAAGATACAATTGTGTCACTCGGCGGGAATCCCAACGTCCTTGTTTAACAAGGTTCGGGGCAGTGGAGAATGCCCGAGAATAACGCTTCTGCTGGACAGACTCGACAGTGTCCGGACCCATCATGCCAATGTCGCTATTGATCGGAGATGCTGTATGTTCATGGTCATCAAGAGACGCCGCGCTTGTTGAGGTCGCTGAGCATGATTGTGTGAGTACATCAACCGCTTGGTCATCTTGGAAGGCCGCGTCGTCCCCGCTATCATCACAATGCTCATCACACGTGGAAAGCTGATTAGTCTGCATTGATGAGTCCCATGAGCTCATACTCCACCGGTGCTGTATGTGGTCCATGGCTTGTCCCGCCTGTAAGGGCACAGACGACGCTTCCTCGGTATTACCGCTGCCAGTGGAGTGCAAAGTAGGGGTTTCGTGAAGCATAATCTGTATTGACGCTTTTTCATCCGTCTCCGACAAACTGCAGTCTGGCTCGTCACAAGATTCGCTGCTCGAGCTTGACTCGCGAATCTGCATAATTTGATTCAACAGCGTTCGATTGGAGAGGCTTGGTTTCCGTTCGAGTAATCCAAATTGAGGCTCTGGATCAAATTGCGTGACGTGCGTGCCGCTTGAGGTTGCGGAGATGGCCGAGTTCGGCTCCAAATCGTACTCGCGATTCCTTCCTTGTTGTGATCTCGTTGAATCGTAAGGTTCATCCACAATTCCTAGCGTCGGCGAGTCCATCGTCGTGTGTGGACCATTTTCTTGCGAGGGGTCCATAGAGGTGTCCAGTCGAAGCTTGGGGACGACGGTGGCTTGCTCCCCGCCTGCAGAAACGCTGAGACTCTGTGCTGCTATTGCCGTCGCCATCTCGGGCAATTCCAATGAAGTATGATCGGCCACCTGAGCGTGTGGCGTTGTGGCTTGCTCGTCTACCGGTGTATTTGCGTCGTCTCCGTGAACTGCTGTTTGTTGTTCTTGATCCCGAGCCTTGCGTCTGAGTTGCGCAGCAGCTTCCTCCTTTCGTTCATTTTCCTGCACCGTTCGAGTGAATGCTTGCTGGATCCGCTGTCGGCGACTCTCAAAATCAACATTGCCTAACTCCGCGAAACGTCTGGAGCGAATTCGAGGACTCCTGTTCGAGTCGTGATCACGACCAGTTTGCCTTTGCAAGGTCGAGATCCGATCTTCAATCCGGGAGCGTGGAGAGGTCGGCCCTCCATGGGATACTGGCTGGCGAGGACGGGAACTACGCAAAGGTGGCGACTTCGTCGGAGGGGGTGCTGCAATGTATGCCTGGAGGCGTTGACCCTGTTCAGGTATTTGTGTACGAGTTCGGCCGATCGTCGTTTCTCGTCTACCACGCGGCGTTGTCGCAAAAGAACCGGGTCCCATGGCCGCCAAGCGCGGCGGGCTGTCAATTCCCGACGGCTTGGGAAGACGACTGCTGCCCTTGGGGGCCAGTGGTATGGCGGAGGACCGTTTGCTGAAGGTGGAATTTGATGTAGGAGAGTGACTTCTGGAGCCGGCAGCACTGGGCAATCTTGCTGAAGAAACAGGAATGCGGGATCTGGAATTTGGGCTTCCAGGCGACTTCTCGCCCGGCTTCGTCTGCCGTAAGGGCGCCGCGACGGCCATTTCCGGCATGAACGGATCAGCAAGGGGCTCTCTTGAAGGGTTCGCAGAAAAGTCGCTTCGCACCCTGCGATGGTAGCTGACTGTTCCGTTTGTCACAGGCTGCACGGCCTCTAAAGAGCTTGTTTCCCCTCGATACCACGCGGTTGGGGTCAGTGGAGAGCGAGCTTCCAACAGGTGAGACTGCTCCAAAAAGGCGGGATTCGGGCTGGGCAGGCTTCCTTCCGAGCCTCGACGTTGAATGTGTGGTGGAATCCCTAGGCCCAGGTTGTTGAATTGTGTGTTCACGGACAATAGTTCCCCAAAGAGCGGCCGTCGAGGATGCGATTTCGGAATTCGCTGCGACAGGGGAGGAGGTGCGACGACGGTATCAAGAGCGAATGAATCGAGGGCAGACAATTCTATCTTGGTCGCCGGGCGTGCCAAATCGATGTGCTGCGTGGTCTCACTGGGGATGTGCTCCAAGGTGGGGGATTCGCCGCGAGTGTAACGCCGGCGAGGCAAGCTTCTGGATTGAGGATCGCCTTCGAAGCCGCCCGATGGACTTGCTGTACGCGAGGGGGTTCGGGATACGGAGGGGAGAGGAAGGATGTCGTCAGAGGTCTTGTTGAAACGGTTGACGAGATCTTTGAAGGAGGGCTGTCGAGCCCTGGCTGAGGACGAGGCAGGTACCGTTGAGGAGAGGCCTCTTGCGAGAGGCGAATCAGACGTCGACCGATATGCTAGCGGTCTCCCGCGAGCCAGAGATAGAGTCTCTGTTGGTAGTGGGGACACCCTGTCCGTCAGGTCTCCCTGGCCGATTGCCATCGTTGCAGCTGTCACATCGTCGAGGCCGATGTGGCTGTCCGTTGCCGCGACCTGACTCCCATGCCGGTAGAACTCATCAGGCTCTGGAGATGGACGCCCGTTGGCATGCAAGTGCAATGTCCCTTCTGTGTCGTGCAACCTCACAGTGTGCTGATTTGACTCTGGTGCGATACACGTGGGATTCGGCGGGTATGGAGCGCTCGGGGAGGGTTCAAAGGACGAGGAGCTCGGGGCCGCGGATTGGCCGAGAGCGGGCGCCGAAGATTGACGCCCAAACGAAGGCGGATTGGGGTTCCGAACATTACCAGGCAGCTCTTCGATACCGCTGCCAGACATGGTGCATATTCCAGGCCACTGCGGACAACGAAGAGAGTGATGCGTTGTCCCGCTTCCCGCCAAACTTCAGGCCCGACCGGTGCTGTCTTTGAGGGATAGCGGGTGAGCTTCGGCAGCAGGGATCGATTCAGGCTACAAAGCACTCGCTGGGCGATACAACCCCATCCACAAGCATGGTCTGGAGAAAGAAAGGAAACGCTCGCGGTCCACGGTTCGATCGAAGGTCGCTGCGACGGGGAAGAGAGGGGAAAGAGGGTCTTCAAAGAAAGGCAACAACGCAGGCTGCCCCAGAGAGGGGAGACGGAGAGAGTTGCAGAGATGATCTCTTTTTTTAAAAAAAAGAATTTAATTGATTTTTTACCGGGTCTGTTTGGAGATCAAACGACGATGTTCCAGCGGTGGGCGAGGTGGTCGATGGAAGAATCGAGCGATCGACTGCTGAGCTGTGCGCGTGCGATAAATTGTGAGGTAACTTCCGATTCGAGCTGACAGATAGTCGAACTAGACTGAGCAGTGAAAAGGTCAATACTTCAATGGACTGACTGCACCGCACTTGATCTTGGGGCCGTGAGCTACAAATAGCACAGACGATGTCTTCCTCAGCGAATGAGAGGAAGTGCGAGCTTGGCTAGCGGCACTGACGTCTGTTTCAACTCTTGCCGGGTATTTGGGCTTTTCTTTTCTTTTGTATTCTTTTTCTCTTTTTTTGGATTTCTCTCCCGTTCGCTCTTTTCTCGACTGGGCCTTTACCTTCAGTGCAGAAAGGTGGAGAGGGCCAGAGCGGGGGAGACTTTACCAGTATGAGTACAGTCCGAGTAGTCCCTGTGTGGACTGTGGACTGTGGACTGTGGACTGTGGACTGTGGACTGGTTCTGGTCGAGAGTGGATAGGGCAGTTCACAGGCCAGATCGTTAGCTTCGTTCGGGGCGTCGGCTGAGGACCGCGCTTGTTGAGCTGCAGGGGCGATCGTCCGTGATCGAGAGCGCTGCCGAAATCGAACTGTCCATCGATGTGATAGAGAGGAGTGGTAGAGAGGAGAATCAAAGAGGTCAGAAGGCGGCCTTTGAGGCGGTATGAACTGTGCGTGACCAACGCCGATGCTGATATGCTTTATCGCAGGCGAGAGAGCAAGAGACGCATCAACACGCTGAAGGTGTGATTGGGAATGCGATACAATCAAGAATTGTCAGTGTGGCAAAATCGAATTTGCAGGCAGAATCCCCTTAAGATCATCCATTTCACTGCTAGGGATCATAGGTACTTCCCCGTGTGAAGGTGACTGATCGCTTGTTGGAGCAGCCACAGCTGCGCTAGAAGACATGAGCGAGATGGATCATGGGCGTGTGCTTGATTCAAGACCGTGGACTGGCTTGTCAGATACATTCTGATTTACTGGTCGGATTGTGGGATCCTTTTGTCTTTGAAGAAGGAAGTAGAGATCACCAAAGATCGTGAAGAGAAGGGTGTTAGATCGAGCATGTTGCGTTGGTAACTCCATGAACCGGTCTGGCAAGAGCAAGGTCATGGTCCTCTAGTTCCTGCCTCGATCTGCATAGTGTCCATCTTACGTGGAAATTCCGATTTCAAGGACCCTAGTGATTCGATCATGACAATATGCCTACAGGCATAACAAGCTTGATTCCCGAACAAGTGAGTGAATGCCTATTTCAGTCCCTCCGAGGCTTCCCTGCTAAATTGCTGTAACTACCGTTATGGTTGTACAAGTGTACATGGTATTGGATCACTCCAGCCTCCAGCCTAACTAAACATATTGATCTAAGCTAGCCAGTGTGAGTGACGACTTTCCCTCGCCTTGCTCATTTTCCAAAGGGCGGGTATAGCGACATGCTGAATATAGACATACAATCTCGAATATACCTTGGCAGATCTTCATCTGGCTTGACCACTACGGTGTTGATGACTTCCGTGAATCCACCCGTTCCGGTCGCTGGCCCTGAGGGGAGACAGTGCCAGTGAATTGAAAAAAAAAAAAAAAAAAAACAAGGAAGAATAATCCGGCCAAAAGACTGTTGTACAATTGAACCCCCAAAACTCCAGTGACTGTGCGCTTGTCAATTGGGTGAGCACAGACTCTTCGAGTTCAGGAACAGGAGATACACCACTCCCCTGATCTTTGGGTGACTTTGACGGCCCGCTCACAACGTGGAAAGGGAGAGCATACGGGGCCGGATGCGTGGAGACTCGAGACGGGAGACACCATGATGATACCTATCACATCGACCGCGCTTGACTTGGGCCGGCAGGGATATCGGTGGAAGACACATTTCGAGCCAGCACAGGTGTCATTCCGGATCTAGTGACTCAGTCCTTCCTGCTTCAAAGGCCTTCCTCCTTGATCTTTGGCCTCAATTTAGAGGCGTCGTTCCTCCCCGCCCGGCTCAGGCTTCTTCTCCCAGGTCCAACCTTGAAGGTTGCAGGATTCACGGCCCACTACGGGGGCCCTTGTCCACCCGCCAAGAGCATCCGACCTTGAAATGTACCAACTCTCCAGGCGCAAGAAGCCTCTCGTGAACGCCGTACAGGCAGTGCACTCCATTGATAAGGTTTTGCAGTGCTGGCACGCTTCGTGAATGAGGGTCCGCCCGAGTCTCGGTCGGCCTTTCTAGGCTTTGCATGCTGAGCCATGGGTCATGTTCGCTATGATGAGGAAAGTGGTCCACCTTTCAGGCACCGCGCTCCCCCTAGGCGACGACCACTCGATTACAACAGAAGGGTGGCTGTTGGTGGCTGCGGTAGTCGCAGATGGGACGCTACACTACTGAGTAGTCAGTACTGACTCACTGAGTAGTGACTCTAGTGAGTACTGACTACTATGTACAGTAGGCCCGGGGATATTATTAGTGTTGGAGAGGTCGAAGTACGCACACCACATGGAGACGTATTCAGCGGAAGCCTTTTTGTCCACTACTGCACTTGCTCGGAGGACATACAGTTATATCCTCTCCCCCGAATTGAGTTTCGAAGCGCTATCGACTGTCCGGAGAGACTCCGCCATCCCGTGGCTTAGCTCGACGTCTGTGCGAGGAATTCTGACACAGTATCAGCTTCAAGTCTAGTGTACCAAGTTGTGTCAGTGACTCAGTGCACACTGCAGTACTGCACACTGCAGAATCTCAAGAGAACGTAGGAAGAAGGAACCTCAAATTCGAGGAACACTGGATATCAAATGAACATCCATCATGCAATGGACCGGTTTTGACTCTCGCGAGAGACTCTTCGAGGGGCAAGCAAACCCTTCCTGCCGTTTTGGAAGGTTGCGGAATAGACCAGCTGCAGTAGTATTGTTCTTCGATCCGTTCTTCGACTGATCGCTCAGTCGATCGCGCCCGGGCGCAACATCAGCTGGAAGAATTGATGTTCAGGCGACGTATCGATTCGATCCAATCGTCAAGCCTCGCTTATCTTTCTTTCTTTTGTCTTCGCAGAAATGAAGCAAGATTACGCCATGTGCAATAGTCAACCTATGCTCATTGCTCACTATGTTGGAAAAGCCCAATTACCGCTCGCCGCTCGGTAGTCGACTCCTGTAGGTGGTGGGAGCGTACCTTGCAGGTATGTAGTGTAAAGTGTAAACTGTGAAATGTGAGGTTGTGAACTAATGATAAATTGTAAGTTGTAACGTGCAATAATCCTCGATCACCCCAGCCTGACCGGGAAGCGGGGCCGTCCCAAATTTCGGTGCAGTGGCACTCCGCCTGCTCAGAGAACGCCTACCCGTAACCCGACTGTACCGCGACGCGTCAAGATCTCGAATTGACAATGCCTGGCCGCAGGCGATGACCCATGTTGGTCTACTCTATGAGGAAGCCACGGGTATAGATCGTCTTTCAGAGTTATCAGAAAAAGATGGGCCAAAAGCGCAAAAGGCCAAGCAAAGATGGAAGTCGTCGCCAGGCGCTTGGTCTCGTCAACTCTAAAGCTACCACACCTCCAAGCCGTGCCCGAGTCTCAAAGACAGATGCTTCCCAGAAAGGCCTGCCAACCACTCATCCAGTAATCTCGCTGTACTATCCACATGTGCTCACGCTGCGGCAATATCTTCTCCGTCAATTGCCCGTTTCGTCAAAGCTACGCCGGCGACGCATCGCAACCTTGCGAGCGTCAAGCTTGCAATTATCCGCAGACTGTAGCGAGGAGAGCGCCAAAGCACTCGTCGGACTTCTAGACTCGACCTTGGTCGGCGTGATCAAGGACACACCGACTGCTGTTGACGTGCAGCGATCTCATGGTTATCGCGGCTTCATCGAATCGCAGTCGCGCTCCGTCTTGGACAGCACGGATACCGGGCCAACATCGCCGCAGTCTGAGGTAAGTGTTTCATTTTTGGATTCGCAGTCCTCTTTCACCCCGATATCTGGATCCAGAGACGTGTTCACGGTGGCTTCATTTTGGGTGGGTTGCTAAAGAGGACCGGGCAGATTGTCAACTTTGTCATCGAGTCGCTCTTTGCTCGATCACGAGGGTATCAGAAGTCTCCCCACTTGCTTGCGCAGGGTTATGCTCCCCACCGACCAACAGAACCAAGCCTCTTGGGAACAAGTATCTTGGGATTGGTGGCCAAGTTTCCCAATTCAAATGTGAAAACCTTAAAACAAGCGCCGTGGTCAGAGGTGTTGGCACTCCTCGGGCAAGATGGCGATGAGATCATGATCCGATTGTTGTTCGATTGTGGCATCTTTGCTCCCATCAACGCCAAACGAGGAGTCTACTATCAGCTGAGTGGTATGTGTCTGAGATGTTCGTCAGTGCACGAATCTGTATTGACGATTGTCTAGGGACACCTTTGTCAGAACTCGCGCCAGTAGGCGGGATACTGCCAAATGGATCAGCGCCCGCTACAAAGCAAGAATCGATAAAAAACGCAAGCAAGAAACCGAAATCAAGTGGCAAGGTCAACGGCTGTAACAACATCTTCTTTTTGCGCCGTCGAATGCTGTATAGTCGTCCTCAGGGCAATTCGCAAAAGGAGATGAGATCTGGCCTAGGTGCCTTTCGTATGTTTTCCTTCGTTAATCATGTGATGATTTCATATTGACCGGAAAGCAGACGTACTCAACAGATTCCAGTCCACCGCCTCTGAAGCGGAGACCTGCCATGTGATGAAATACATGTTTCCGCGGCAATTTGGGCTTCAGAACGTCTTTGACTCTGGGGCGGATAGCATCTGCACGACATCTCGAGAACAAGAGATTTCGCAATTATTTTATGAGCAACAACAAAGGCGGCGCACCTCATTCAAGGAAGGCGATTCAAACGAGGTAACAGATTCCACAAATACAAAGCTTCCTAGACGACTTCGAGGAAAGCCTCTAGAGCTAGTCCGGAGGCTAAGGGCTCGTCATTCCGCGTGCCAATATCGCAAGTTGCTCGACCATTATTGCCCTGACCAGGTGAGATTTTCTTATTGGATTCTCGCCTTGTGGTTACTCTCTGACAAATTTAGTTCCTGGGACCCTGGAAGTTTGATTTCGTTTCGCCCCACGCAGACGAAAACATGGGCTCCTCGGAGGGTGATTTCGTTACACAGCCTGAGTTCAACTGCAATCATGCGATCGACCAGTGTAAAATGCACAGCAACCCTCGCAGAACTAATGGATCTCCGAAAGAATTGAAGTTGAAGAACCCTTATCGACCAAAGCATAAAAACAATCTCACTGACTATGCAAGTCCTGCATCTGCGGTGTCGGCGTTTTGCCGTGCAACCCTGCACAAAATACTGCCCATTCAGTGTTTTGGAGAGGGACCTGACGGTGTTCAAAATCGCAAGGCGATCATGCACCACGTGGACACCTTCATCAAGATGCGCCGGTTCGAGAGTCCCAGTTTGCATCAAGTATGCAGTGGCCTGAAGGTCAGTTGTCTTCGTTCCTGAAGTTGAAGCTATGGCTATACTAGTACTCACGTTGATTGCTACTCAGATTACAAACATTCCTTGGCTAGCTCCACCACATCTAGTACACTCCGATGCAAAACTGTCCCTCTCGGACTTTCGGAAGAGGACTGAATTGTTTCACGAACTGATCTATTTTATATTTGATTCTCTTCTGATTCCACTTCTTCGGAACAATTTCTATGTCACCGAGTCGCAAAGCCATCGCAACCATCTCTTCTATTACCGACATGATGTGTGGCGCAAGCTGATCGAACAGCCCATGGCTGACCTGAAAACCACCATGTTCGAGCAATTGAGTACCACGAGAGCCCAGGCCATGCTAGGCAAACGAAGCCTTGGTCTTGGTGCGCTCAGATTGCTTCCAAAGGCTTCTGGGCTCCGGCCAATCCTCAATTTGAGAAAGCGACTTCCATTGAAATCTCAATGGGGGAGGGGCAACAACAGCTACCTTGGAGCCAGTGTCAACAGCAGCCTGGCACCTGTTTTCAACATGTTGACATACGAGCGCGAGCGATGCCCTGAAAAGCTGGGCGCGTCTCTGCTGTCGGTAGGAGATCTGCATAGTCGGCTCAAGGTGTTCCGTGACCAGCTCACCCGACAAGTGCTTGGATTGACGGCTAAGAAGGCTGGTCAATTACCCCGACTCTATTTTGTCAAAGTTGATATTCAAGCTTGCTTTGACACGATCCCGCAAAAGGAATTACTTCGTCTTGTGGAAAAGCTCGTCTCCGAGGAGACCTACCATGTCACTCGATACATTGTGATGGTTCAAGGATTGCACGGTAAAGCCAGACGAAGGTTCCTGGGCCGCGCCGCTCCGCTTGCTCAACAACGCTCTTGTCCCGAACTTGCCAGCGATGGTTCTCTCAGGGCGTCCAACACCGTCCTCATCGATAATATCAAGCAAAAAGCGTACAATGCAGACGAGCTGCTCTGTCTTTTGGATGAACATGTGCGAAACAACCTGGTGAAGGTTGGCGAAAAGTACCTTCGCCAGCGGAACGGCATTCCCCAGGGCTCAGTGGTCTCTAGTTTGCTGTGTAACTTTTTCTACGCGCAGCTGGAACAGCAGGTTCTCGACTTCCTTCGGCCGGCCGACTCGCTGCTTCTTCGTCTCATCGATGACTTTCTGCTCATCACCACTGATGCAAAGCAGGCCAATGAATTCCTGCAAGTGATGCACCGCGGGCAGCCGTCGTATGGGGTCTCCGTGAATCCCCATAAGAGCATGGTCAACTTCACCGCTGCAGTTGACGGGGTTTACATCCCTCGATTGGAGGGTACACGTCTCTTTCCGTACTGCGGCTGCCTGATCGACACTCACACCTTGGAGATCCACAAAGATCAAGATCGAATGTTGGACGGCGGAGCTTCCGACATGGCTGCAGCCACTCTCTCCAATACGTTGACCGTCGAGACCGACCGTCTACCAGGCCACGCGTTTCACCGCAAAATCATCTCTATGATGCGACCTCAGCTTCACTTCATGTACCTTGACACCGAGCACAACAGCCGCGAGGTTGTTCTATCCAACTTGTATACCGGCTTCATCACTACGGCAATGAGAATGTACCGGTATATGAAATTGCTTCGCGGTCGAGCTCATTTGCATCATCGGCTCATTGTCCGGACGATTCATGACTTGATCCAGCATACGACGCACATCATCCGAGCAAGCCATCATTCCGGCCGCTCCTCCATGGCCTGTTCCGTGCATCCATGTCAGCTGCAACACCTGGCAAGTGCAGCCTTTCGATTTGTGCTGCGACGCAAGCAAACGCGGTATGCGCCAGTGCTGCAGTGGCTCGAACAGCAGTGGCGCGTGTCACGTCCCACTTCGAATGCCGAGGCGGTGCGCCTGCTGCGAGTGATCAAAAAGGGCGATGCCTTGTTTGCGGGGTGGCGCTTTTGAACCAACGCTCGACTCCAGACTCTGGTGTAGAGGAGATCTCTCGTACAGAGCAGGCGACCGAGTCGGCGGTCCACCCATTCTCGAGCCGTACTGCAGTCATTGAAAAAGCAGTCCCGGCAACCATACAAACAAGGTCCGATGTCTTACAAGAGAACCAAACCGCCATTACGGCTCTGACTCTCCAACCGACTATGTATCTCGCTTCGCCGAAGGCATCATTTCGATCCATCACACCCAGAACCCGAAGACCCTCTTCTTCAGGGGGGTTCCTTCCCGCTTCCAATTCCTTCCCGCCCGGCATGTCTCGGATCTTGGCTTGCAGAACGGGTCACCCGAGCTGTCCGTGGGCCCGGCATCTGCACCAATGAACAGCTCTGAGTGAGGCAGGAAAGAGGGAATCCCGTCGTGGAAGAAAGCGGGCAATGTGGAAATTACCGAGTGCAGGCACGGCAATCTGAGTGGTCAGCTGGAGATGGTCCCGACAATGGGAAATGAGCTTTCCAAGGTACGGGAGGGACTCCTGGCGGGGAACCAGAAGATGTAAACAGTAAACAGTGAAACACTACTATCCAGTAGTATACAGTGTTGATTGGACAGTACTGCACCTACCAGTCAGGTCACACCTCCTGTACTGGGAGAAGGACAATTCAGTCCATCAGAATAACCATGGGATCGCTTTTCGATCAGGCCTGTACTTATACGGCAACATCAGTACACTGAGTACACTAGTACAGTAGGAGTAGCACTGCTGGGGCTTTTTTTGGCTGCTCACTTCAGCACCGCCCGGCCTCAAATCGCTAGATGTCACATGTACTGCAATGATTCAAGGTGCCTGGTACCTAAAGTAAATACCAATCTACTACTGGTAGCCTTGATGATGCTGTCCGGGCCCCTTTGAGTTCGACGAAGTGTCATCCATACATCACGGACATCCAATCAAGTATTTGACCGCAGGGCAAACTTGACGGGACGTAATTCCGATCCTGACCAACAGTTTGTGTAGTCTGCACTCTGCAGTGTGTAGATTCGCTATTGGCAAGGAACCCCGACCGGGCACGCAGCAGAATACTACGAGCAAGTACTACTGCTGCCGAGAGACCGGCATGCTTCATGGGTTAGATGATGGACTCCTGTTGATAGTGATAGTAACACTATAACAGAAGTGTAGTGCTGATACACTGCGCACTTTGTGCAGTAGGATTAGAAAATGTATTATGTACTTATGTAGTGATCGGTACGGTACGAGCTATAGTATTATCTTTGGTCGTGCCTCCTTCCGACCATGGAACCTAAGACTGAGAAGCTTCCAACGGGCATGGTACTATCAATCTCATGAGCTTGAATGATCATCGCTCTCCTCTCTTGCTATTGATGTATGTAGTTATGTACTGTGCTGTATCCCTGCTAGATCATCTTCGAGGCAAATTACACACCTTGTTGTTCTCCACATCACACCTCCACGATCCCGACTCATCCTAATTCAGTTCAAGTCAAAAAAGATGCGAGACTCTGCAGTTTAGTCTCCCAGGCCGGTACCCCCAGATCATCGAGCTTCTAATTCTTTCTACGGCCGACGGGTCTCTCGCATTTGAGCACACTACCATCTACCCGAAACGGCCTGTCGAAAGGTCAAGTCTTCCGAGCGATCGAGGCCTGAACTCTGCGTGCGGCCAGACCAGACCGGTTGCGGGTCCTGCAGTTTTGCCTAAGGCGCTTGATCTCTTCTGTCTTCATCGCTCAACGAGAAACAGGAAATTCATCGGCGAGAGACTGGATCGGCTCGAATGAGTAGGTGAATCGGTCTGAGGTCTGGACTCTGGACTGATCAAGGTCCTTTTCCAGAGTGAGACCAGCGGTCGGAGGAGTGTTTTGAGATGATAGATGTTGATCAATGGGCGACTCACTGCTACTATACTATCACGACAGGCTGACCGACTGCCCATGGTTGACACAGAGCAGGTCTATTTCTCATCGTCTGTCGCGACATCTCGAACGTACTAGACTCGTTGACTCCTCATACCCGCAAGGTTGAAGAAGAAGAACGAGAAGAAGCCGCCCCTACGAAGTACTGAGCGTGACTCTGCCAACGGAGAGTACCGCCCTCATCCGCTTGGACTCTCCAACTTTTCATTTCCGCCTCCATCTGCACTCCTCATTCTCCCTTTCATTTCTTGTTCTGCCACCATTGTCATCCACTCTTTTCCCCTTCCACCTCCCCGCACTCTCTTGATTGATTTTTCTCTTTTTGTGGTTGTTTCTTGTTTCCCTTTCCTGTTCGGCTTGTTTTGCTTCTCCTTTTTCGGCTGTCATCGACCCGTTCTCGTTGAATTGTCGTCATCACAAGCTCGTTTCTTTCGTTTGCGTCTCTTTCAACCGCCGTGTGCCCCTCCTCCTCCTCCTCCTCCTCCTCCTTATCCTCCCAACTTGGTCTCCCTCGGCCTACTTCCTTCCCGTCCTTCGTCGAACCCCCTTCGACATTTTCTCCACCCTGGTCAATGCTTATTCCTATCGTCGCATCTTGATCGTCCAACTCTTGATTCCTAATTTCACCTGTCTTTTCAACCACCCTCTTCTTCTCTCTTCTTCCTGATCTGGACCTAATCAGGCCGCCTGGCTGAGCCTGCACCTTCGCTTCCATCGACGTTGATCGGCTGTTTCTTGTCCTGAGTCCCCTGACATATTTCTCTTCTTACCGTTTATTTTTCTCCAACGCCCAACTTCTATCTTCTCGAATATTGAAAGCCGTCCCATTGTCGAAATTTGGGCTCGTCCGAATATCCCACCCCTTTCGATCCGAAGCTCCGAACCCTGAAAAAGCCGCGCGACTCGAACCGCACTCGACCGATCCTCCGGTCCTTTTCTCACCCCCTGAGCACCAACCACGACCACGAATTATCTCCGCTGAGCGACTGTCTCAGATTCGCGAGTGATCGGTGTGGAGAACGCTTGAGTGTTGATCACCATGACCGCCGTTGGTCCAAGTCCGAGTTCCCCACCTGAGCTGTCCGGGTCGAAATCCTCCAAGTCGTCGTCCTTCCGGTCGTCTCAGATCGACGGCCCAGATGCGGTTTTCACCGATGTGGGCAACTTTGAAGAGATTGGCCTCGAAGATGATACAGTCCTCCCTCTGCCGGATCAGCCAACCCCTTATGGCCGAGGGTTAGCTGCTCGATCGCATGCTCCTCGAGTGTCGCACAACATGCCCGCCAAGAGCCCTGCGGTGACAACTCGCGATTTGACTGCGACGCCGAAGTCGCGCCTTCACAGCACCCTGCCGCCGATAAACAGCGCGCTGAATGGGTCGCCGCGAGGCCTGCAACCGACAACGTCCCTCTCGGTGCGATCTGGTAACAGAAGAGACTCAGTCAGTACCCAGCACTCGCGAGGCCTGTCGCCTTCCCAGCCTCGTCGGTCGCGCTCGAACTCCCCTCTTCGACCATTGTCCAGTCGTTCTGCCTCCAGTACCAGCTTAGCTTTGTCGCCGCTGTCCACACGAAACTCGGCGCCCAAGCACCCCTGGCAACCGAAGCGCAAATCTCTCCGCGAACTCGAAGATGAATACAATGATGCTGACGATGACCTGCCCGACGATGCAAGCCTGTGGAATATTCCCATTTCCCCGCGTCCAGTCCAAGATCGCCCTCAGTCGCGAGCGGCGAGCCCCAATAGTCGTAGCCCGGGTCGTCGGCCGCTTCCCATTTCTCATACTGCGTCGGATACGCTTGTGTCCCAGGATCATTCATCGCAGGGTGCATCGCGGGCCGCACGAATGAGACGAAACCAGCGGTCGAGCTCTGCAGGACCGGAACGAGGTCAAATCTCCCCCCGCAACCCTCGGACCTACTCTTATAACAATTATCTATCCGATCTGTCGGAGGAAGCAAGAATCATCACCGAGGCGCTTGAGCATCATGCGGATGAGAGCGAGCGCAAGCATGAAGACGCGGTGCAAAACGGACTTGCGTCCGGAAAATCAAGCCCCGAGTCTCGACCCGAGTCGATTGAATTGCCGCCTCTGCAAAAGTCCAACATCATGATTGATCCATTACCGATCAGCCGAGAGAAGGAAAAGGTCCTTACACGGACACGGCCCAGCTGGCTGCCGCCCAAGGATCAAAAAGAAGAAAAGAAACATTTGCGAGAGTACAAGCAGATGATGGCTCAAGCCAAAGAAGCCGGTAAGCTTAGCATTGACAGTACCTATGCTTTGAATGCGCGGCCCTGAAGTTGTGAACCTGAGACTGACAATTTGATTGTTGCAGATAAGCGCAAGGCAGCCCGAGCTGCTTCGGAGCAGTGTGAGAAAGACAATACCCGCGCAACTCTTCAGAACATCTGGGATGACTATGTCAGTCCCAATTGGGACCGTGCGTTGCGGGAGCCTCGCATTCGGGAGCTGTGGTGGCGCGGCATCCCTCCGAGGAATCGCGGTGCGATGTGGAAGCGTGCCCTCGGTAACGAGCTTTCGCTCACCGAGGATTCCTTTACCAAGGCTCTGCAGAGGGCCAAAGAGCTGCGATCCAAGGCCAGTACGGAACCCGTGGAGAGCAACAAGCGCATGCTGGAGTGTTTCGATGCCATCGAGGCAGATGTGGCCAAGGCATTCCCTGATCTGAACCTCTTCCAGGAAGGGGGACCCTTGCGGGCCACACTTATTAATCTGCTGCAAGCTTACTGCATGTACCGGAGTGACGTGGGTTATATCCACGGTCTCCATACTGTTGCCGCGCTCCTTGTGCTGCAGTTCCCTTCCTCAAGTTCCGCTTTCCTCGCCATGGCTAATGCTCTCAATCGCCCTCTCCCAGTTGCCTTTTTAACGTGGGATCGCGGTGCCATGGCTCGTACATACGGCCTTGCTACTGAGACCCTGCGTTATAAGTTCCCTCGCTTGGCATCGCATTTGCTGGAGACCCTGCAGCTCGCTGAAGAAGAGGTGTGGGAGCCCATGTTCCGGTCTCTTTTAACGAATGGACTGGATCTTGAGCGACTGTCTCGTGTATGGGACTGCTGGGTTTTCGAGGGTGATCGCATCATCATTCGTGCTGCCGTTGGTGTTATTGGATGTCTCCAGGCGCAGCTGATGTCTTTCACCCAGCCGGACGACCAGTCACGTCTCGTCGTACGTGACATTCTCGGCTGGGGCCCTCGGCACATCGGTGTCAGTGCTCAGAAGCCCAAGGAACGAAACAGCGCACCTGCTGCTTCTGGGTTTGGCGGCCAGGTCACAAATCCTGGCGTTGCTGACTATTGGATCTTCACCGCTGCGGGCAACGAGGATGGATTCATCGCCGCAGTACGTGAGGCTGGTAAAGTACGAAATCCGCAATAGCACTTCAGCGGAGACAGTCAGCCGGTGGGCAGGCCAACTTTTTTTCAGGATTTCTCCGCTTATCGCTAGCGCGGATGTTGGTAGTCCGGCCATCGGTGTCTTGCCTGGGGGCCCTCGTTGATTTGCCTACCCTCCCTCTCCACCACAGCCTGGCTATTCTTATGGTTTTTTTTTCTTGTCTTCATTTCAAGGCATACTGACCCTCATACAATCGCTGGCAATTGAACTTGCCTGGGTTTTCTTCGTTTCCCACATTTATCTCATCCACCTTTCTAGCTTGACGTGAAATCCCGATCCCCCATCGTGTTTTGTTTCACTGGATTGGTTCTACTTTTTCTCCATCATGTATTTATACTAGAATTTGCGATTGCCTTGGTGGCGGTCCATCATGAGTGTGCGCAGTCATACTCTTCACCGAGTTAATGAAGATCTTTTCATGGTAACTTTTCGTTTCTTCCTGTCTCGTCTGTGGGGTTCTTGAACGGACTGCAATAGCTCTGGTAGCCTGTGCTGAATGTAGTGATCGGTCATTCACTGGGCATGTAGTAGGTTTGTACAGGACGGAGGTACACCGCCCGATCGATAGGTACCTAGCATCCATGGATAGTGGACGTAGTAGGAAATGCATGTTGTGGATAGGCTATATCGTCCGACCCCTTCATACCTCTCACCTACGTCAAATGTCATATACAGGCGGAGGATCGAGGTCAGGGGATTCCATCCGTATAAGGATACGGAGTTCAAATCATCCATTTGACACAAGATACTACATATACATACATTTGAACAGGAACGGGTTCACAAAGCATGATAGGATCTATACCTACATACGTCCTACAGCACTTCATTTCCAGATTAATGGGTGCCGGGATTCGAATCAACATGAAGCATGCGTGAACTTGAGCCAGCATTCAGAGCCACCGGTATACACTATCCACATATGCTGTGTGCTTCGGCTGGAGGATCATATGAATTGGGAAAAGTCATAAGTAATCTGATCGTCAGTAGCCAGTGGCCACTATCCAGTAGGGAAGATTGAGAGAGTCCCATGAAGAGAAGGAAAAAAAGGCAAAAAAGATGCTCCCTCGAACCGGAATCGAGCCGGTGACCTTTCGGTTATATGACAATCCATTACAGCCGAACGTGATATCCAACTACACCATCGAGGGTTATTAGCATGGCTAACTCGGCATAATTTCTGTACTTAATCCTTTGGAATGCGCATTCGCGGCACAAAAGCTCACACCTAATTGTGAGCACCCCGATTTGCAAATCCCGCTGCCCTCGTCTGTATCCCTGCAAAGGTAAAAAGCGGGGATACTGTGCAGCTGCAATCAAGTAACACCACAAGGAAACTCAAGGTTTTCGATAACCAATCTAGCCCCAGCCTGTCCGGTCGAACTTTCAGAAAATAATAAAAGGAAAGACATGTAAGACTCTGTGCAGGCCGCGACCTTTTTGTTGAATTCAGCGCCTTTTCTCAGGCATTGAGTTTAGATCCTGTATAGGTGTACATTAAGCATTCTCGGGACTTCGGGAGCTTGCATACTGATGTAAGGGTTGAGACCCACTTTGTCTACAGTATACAGTGATCAACAGCCCGCATGAGTGCAGCTGGATGGATTTGCGTGGGTCCATGTTTATATACAACTTACAAGAAAGCTTGAGATACTTTCAGGAGATACTTTCAGTAGTCATTCAGAGGGAGGCAGAGAGAGAGAGAGAGAGAGAGAGAGAGAGAGAGAGAGAGAGAGGGGTTAGTACCTCTTGAAGGAATGGACGAGTGGGCAATGGGTATAGACTAGTAGAAAACTAGAGACTAGATACTGATACAGGGAATAGATAACTACGTACGAAGTGTGTGCTGGGTCTTCAAAGGCTTGGTGTCGCTTGAAAAGTGCAATGTACCTAAAGTACGAGCGTCGGGTGATACACACCAGGTGAAAGACTCCCTGTAAAATAGACCGTAGGCTACGCGTCGCGCGATTTCCCTCCCGCAATATCGTATCCAACCACGGTAGCACCGTCTGAAAAAGCTTGTCTCGATTCGAACCAGACCCAGTGAAATGAGAAATGGAAAGGTCGATTCGGTCCGCTCTTAAGCCTCTTGTGGTCGTAGGATTGCCGTGTATAAACCTTTCTTGTAGGCTGCTAAATATCCTCCATCAAGGGTTCGATAAATGGAAGATTGGCCTACTATTGTTCGTGCATGTCGATACTGTCCAAACTACAAAGTGTCCATCAATGGAAAGGGCTTCTCAAGTACATTCAATCCGGTGGAATTTGAGCGATTATTCACGCGACTCTCAGCCACAAGGTCATTCGACGTGTAGGTACTCGACATAGTACATAAGCTCTTCGGCGATAACCTCACTTTCCTGTAGCAGTACTGTACTTCAATTACCCTTTGAGCGATACTATTCTAGGTTGGTCATCATATACCCCTGTCGCAGGGTTATGCTTCGGTCTAACAGCCTGAGTACGCAGGCGGTCTTTTGTCGGACTCCAGACGCGTTGTAGATCGGTCATCCTGAATCACAGTCGTTCTCTTGCCTGGCTTGAGCGGTTTATTGGGCCAATGGCCCACGAAAGCGCCGCAAATGGTAACCGCGTGACCGGCACGGCAACGCTCCGCTGATTTTCACATTATTGATGTCTGGACTACCTCAAATGTGCAGCGTGCTGATATGGAAAAGGAGGCCTGTAAGCGATATCTTACTGTTGGCGTTCTTTGGTAGACGTCATAGGAGGAAATCACCTCCACATTACCATATTTACCCTAAATGCGTGGTCCTGACTAGACCCATCTCGAGTACCATGTTACAGAGGTTGAATAGGCAGACGGGATTCGATCATCCAATGCATTTAACCTCCGAGTGTAAGTCGCGCGGCTCACATCAACTGAAGCTTGCCACCTGCTTACCTCTAATCCTCTACGTCTACAACGACAAGACTAGGTCGGTAAGTGGCGCTTGACTCGATAGATTTAAGTGATCAACAAAGCCACAAGAATAGATATACTTAACAAATCTCTCTGTAGATGGTGTGGCGTCGAAAAAAACCCTGCAGTAGGAAGTATATGGCATATACTATATAATCGAGTAGTATGCACTCCCCGACGCTTGACTCTGTGGTCTGTAGTATGTTTCCTTTCTCAATGTTTACCATTGAAAAGCAACCAAAACCCTGGTCGACCGGTCAAGTGAGGCTCTCCGCATGACTGCCTCCCAGCGCTAACCCCAACTAGGCCAAGCCGTCGAGATAAGATAAGCCACCGGTGTTCCCTCTGCGGATTGGCCTGATTGAATATCTCTCATACTTAAAGTGCAGCCCAGTTCCCATTCTGCGCCTCCCCATCGGGGAAATTCCCCAACCCATTTGCAAAGGATCGGAGCCTGGGACGATCGTGTCCCTATTACGCTCCTTGTCGCAAATCTGGACGTGGCCTGGCAGGAACGGACCACCTGCCGATGTTACACCGCGGGAGAAAGAAGTCCATTCGGTGGTAGCGGGATTCAAGGGGCGAGTATGGATTGGACAGGTGATAAATGTCTCATGGAACTCTCCTTTTTCTTGATATGGTAGCCTGGATAGTCTCTGTCATTCCAGTTTCTTCTTCTCTTTCCTTCTGCCTTCATCTCACCTCTTGAACTTCATGTACCCGCCAGAGCGCGCACTTTTGAACGTCTCACATAATTACTTGCCTTGATCAAGAGTTGAGCCTCTCACCTGGCTTCCTTCTCTGGTCGACTGGAGGATATATCCCCTCTGACCCATCTCGTTTCTGCTCTACAAGCTCGATGAAGGAGGAGAATCGTCGCCACTACGACGCCTGGACGATGGTTACATCACAACGCCCCAACATGCATTCCGAAGCAGCCCATAATCACCACTTGACCAGGCAAAAGTGGGCATCAACACAGTACCAGGATCATGGCAGACCGATCAATCCAATCTTCCAAAACAACAACAGACCCAGCATGGCCTCCGTATCGACAGTAAACCAGCCACTCCTGCAACAATCTACGATATCTTCTCCCACATATGCCACGATTCCAAAAGTAGTCGACTCACATCGCCCGTTCAGTGAAAAGTACGGCCGCTGCCTCGAGATCCTCCACTATGGAAACAGTAGCACCGTTCGTTTGCATCAAATCAAATTGTCGACCTATGGAAAGAAATCCAGGCAGTTGTTCGCTGTCAAGGTCTACCGCTTTCACAACAACATTGTGCCCGAGCCCAACAGTCAAACACGCGAGTCCTGCTGCCCAGCTTCTGTCATTGCGGATCTACATCCACGCCACCCCAACATTCTTGCGATCACGGAAATCCTGCACAACGAGCGCGGGGAACTATGTCTGGTAATGCCCTTTTGCGCCGGGGGCGATTTGTATGAACTTCTCTCCCGCTCTGGTCCCCTCGCAACGAGCGAAGCAGATTGCATCATCGCGCAGATCCTCGGCGCGGTGTCTTTCCTACACGAGAACGGGACCGCACATCGCGATCTCCGTCTAGAGACGGTGCTTCTGACACAACAAGGATCTATCAAAATGGCCGGCTTTGGTGACGAACACGTTCAACGACTATGGAAACAGTGTGCCATCGCCCCAGCCGATCATGAACAGCCCCACGATGGGAGCCTAGATGATCCTGGAAGGCCTCAGCGAGCACGATCATGGTCATTCTCGCTTCCCTGGATGGTTTCCCCCTTCAACCAGATCAGCAGCACCAAGGGGGCAAATGGTGGAGACGCGGTCACCTCTACAGCCTCATCTTCGGGAGTCAGCTCCCCTTATATCGCTCCGGAGGGGTATTCATCCTCGTCACGGCGGCCCTCCTATCGAGAAAGTATCGAGTGTGAAGAAGACGAGGAAGATGGAGAAGGCTACCGCGATCCTCGACCCGCTGATGTGTGGGCCACGGCTGTCATCTATATGGCCTTGATCACGGGCCGTTTGCTCTGGCGGAGCGCACGACCCCACCGCGAAGATGCAAAATACCTGGAATATCTCCATTGTCGACGAGAGGAGGACGGCTACCCGCCGATTGAGGCACTTGGAAAGGTAAGCTTAAAGACGATTATTTGTCCTGTCCGTTGCGAGGCCTCTCACGAGATTCACTCGGGGACAACTTAAAAATCGAAGGAGCACATATCGTAACTGGATTCAAGACGGCTGTGCTAACAGTATATTTGCACTTCAGAGGCGACGCAACGCAGTCTACGCCATGCTGCACCCAATGTCGCGCAGGCGCATTTCTGCAACTGACATGCTGCGATCAGAATGGATCCAAAGTGTCTCAGTCTGCGAGGCCGGCAGGAAGGGCTATTAATATCCGCGCGGGGACTTTTTTCTGTCGAATCATTTGCGTCTCATGAGATGACGAATGAAATTTTGGATGAACTACACAACTCTTTCTCTTTGAACCTACGCATCTCCTCCCGAGAAACAGGAGACCTTGAAGATTCGCGAGGACGCCTGGAGGAAACACCCGAGGGCTGCATGCTTGTCTGCACATGTCATTCTTTAGATACTTCATGCAGTTCCCAGGCGATTTCAATGTAGGCAGAACACTCAACACTGTATTAACATGTTTCATTCAGTACAATCCCATGACCCCAAGCCGAGATTTCTCTCTTCTCCTCGCCTGACGTCTTCATTGCGAAGGCACACACCGAATAAGTATTGTGCAAAGTGCAAAACAGAGACCTACAAGAAGCCGAATACTAGCGACGGTCAATAATCTCCCACTGGAAGAGTCCTGTTAGAGAGTAGAAGCCCTCGCGAAATCTCCCGTTAAGAATGGGTCTTCTCAAACACCCACGGAATGGAAGAACCAGTGTAGCTCCTTCAATCTGAATGCCGGGTATGCTCGGACCATCCAAATCCGGGACATGAACTTCCCCATTAATCAGCGATATACTTTTGGACACCCGAAGCGCCGAAGCCGGGGGCCTCGTGCGCGGTCACGCCAACTAGCGCAAAGCTTAAAACTTAATCTACGCGGCTGTTGTTTTGGTCTGCAAGGGGAAGACACGATGCAGGTACTGGGCAATTCGAGAATCAAGGACTCGATAATTGAGCCTTTCCAATGAAGGTGTAAGAGGCAGGCAGTTCGACGTCACACGTTCTGACTTGAATTGCGTTATCGAGGCTTTGGGGTGTCTCTGGACAGGGATTGTTGAATCGCTTGCGTCGAAACTCTTATTGTTACGATGAGAATTGTTGGCCGACGTGACTTGGCCTCGGCAAAAATATCAGCATGGTCTAAACAGGCGTTTTTACCCTTTTCGGCACTTGACGCTGACGTTGCGATGCTATTGACGGTGCTCGTAGATTGATGTGTGTGTGTGTGTGCGTGTCTCGAGATGGATATTTGCAGATCTTACTGATGGGAATGTACATGATGAAGAGGATCGAAATAGGAAATCCGCATTTAGAGCTTAGCCTTCGCGGCCTCATCCACGGGAGCAACCTCAACCATCATCTTGCCCGTGTTCACTCCCTTGTACAAATCGACCAAAGCCTGGGGCGCACCCTCAATGCCCCCGGGAACAATGTGCTCCTTACGCTTCAGCTTGCCCTGCGACAACCAGGAGGCCAGCTCCTGCAAGGCAGTGGGGTATTTCTTTGCATAGTCGAAGACAATGAAACCCTTCATGGTGACTCGTTGAGACTGGAGATCTTGTTAGTACGGCTGTTGCCAGAGCAGCACGGTCAAGAACGTAAAGAGGGACTTACAATCACAGTCATGAAGCTGGTGGGACCCTGCGGCTTGGCCGAGTTATACTGACTGATAGCACCACAGATCACGAATCGCGAGTCGCGCGCAGCACGCGCCAAACAAGCATCCAGAATCTCACCACCGGTATTGTCAAAGAAGACATCGATATACTCAGGGGTCACATCCTTGAGCTGCTTCTTCCAATCGGCATCCTTGTAGTTGATAGCCACGTCAAAGCCAAGCTCTCGCACTAGGAATTCGCACTTCTCGCGACTGCCAGCCAAGCCAACCACCCTCTTCGCGCCCTTGATCTTCGCAATCTGGCCGGCAACCATACCCGTTGCACCCGCAGCACCGGAGACCACGACAGTCTCACCCGCCTTGGGGTGGCCCACCTCGGTCATACCAAAGTATGCGGTCAACCCGGTCATGCCGAGTACGGACATGGCGTCCGTGGGGCGGCCGCCGGGGGGCAGCACGAACTGTTCCACTTCCTTGGCGCCGAGGACGGCATACTCTTGCCAGCCTGTGTAGGCCACGACCCAGTCGCCGGTCTTGAACTTTGCAGCGAGGTCCTGACCAACGGCGATGATCTGGGCGATGCTCTGACCACGCATGACGGCGCCGATCTCAACGGGGGCGATGTAGGATCGCTTGGCGGTAAGCCATTGGCGCATGGCCGGGTCGAGAGAGAGGTAGTGTGTGCGGACGAGCACCTTGTCGGAGGGCACATTGGAGGGTTTGGCGACCGTCTTGATGCTGAAGGTACCTCCATTGAGGGAGGGGTCGATGGCCGGGTTAGGCGCTTTCGAATAGATAATTTGTTTGTACGAGGACATGGTGGACTTTGATGGTCAAAGACAAGAAGAAGGGATGTGAGTGTACTGAATCAATGATAATCCCGTAAGATCAGTAGAGAGGAGAAGAGAAACACTGACCTTTCTTCAATGAACGTCCGGGGCAGCAGCAGAAGGAAAAACTATGGGGAAAGGTGAACGGAGCAACCCCAGATTAGGCAAACTGCTCCACTCGAGTCGGAGGGACCTCGGCTCAACTCGCAGGCGACTGAGAAGCCGTTAGCCGATCGGATCATTTGAATGGGCCGGACCGCTCTGAAGGCTGTCGGAGTTTATCTGGTGTGTTTTGCCAAGCCAAGGCCGCGCGACGATCTGTACAAGGACAATCTCCAGATGGTTGTTTTTATAGACCAAGCATAAGCCGAGCAAGTCAACGACCTAGAGCATGGACAAGCCTCTGATGTCGCACAGAAAACAAATCAACAGCTCCCCAGAACTATGTTCAACATACCACACAGCACATTGGATCTTCATTCTTCGGTTTGGGTGTCAAACATGACGTCAACCATAGGATGACATACATCGCACGTAGATGAGCACTACATAGATAGGTTATAGCGCAACCACGTAACGTTGCCTATTATCGATCTGACTCAATGTCGCTCTCATCGCAGACTTGAGAAAAAAAAAATCCCTGCTCAATCGCATCAAACCATGGTGAATACGAGAATTGGCGGATCGCAGGGCTCCTCCACAGGAGCTCCGGGAATTCCAGTCTCAACGCAAGATCCTCGATCCCACTATGACCCCGCCACGACGGGGTATAATCCTGCAACAGGCGCGGCATACGCGAAGCCTTCAGCAAAATCAAAAGGTAGAGACTGCAGAGCTCCCCCTCCCCTCAGTCTCAAGGAGAAATCAAAGACTGACATCGTTGTAGCTACTCGAAGCGATCGGATTTGGCATACTCCGAACAACGTGCAACGGGCCGAGATCGAAGAAGCCACGGCGACATCTGGAACAGGCGACTCTTCAAAATCGACAACGACAGAGTTCTCTGAGAGTTCGAGGCGAAAGGCGAAACGAATTGGGGCGAGTGTTCAAGTCAGTACATCGGACCTTGTCGTGGACGAAAGTACCTTTGCAATGGAATAGCCGATACCCGGTTCATAGATGGCAACGGATCATTAACAAACGGCGAGTTGTCTCTTGGGTGATGAACAGGACTCAGGATACGCTGTTCGCGAGGCAGTAGATGCCGTATTAGACCGCGTGTGCGGCAAGAGAGGGAGCAGCCCTTGAAGAAGTATCTGATTAGGTATGTTGTTCCCATGGAGAGTAGCGAGGCTCGAGCTGACAAGCTTACTTGGTTTTCAAGACAACTCGAGAGTCGTTTGGAAGTTTGCATCAGCAATTCGAGACCGATGCTCTTACCTGTATCTTCCTAAGTTTGTAATGACTGACTGTTCATACTTGTACTGGGAAAGAGAGGTTCGATCGAGTCCATTGGGGGTAGACTTGATCCAGGTCCTCTTTATCCCCTTTGTACGTATCCTCCCACAACCTTGCTCTCAGCCTAGCTATAAGGTTCTTCCTTCTTCCTCTCTCCGATATAGTAGACCTTACTTTCGCTGTCTACTTCTGTGGAATTTTGTAAACCTTGTAAACATGTCCATAGCATGACCATAGCATGACCAGAGCACATGCTCAGTGAAATTCAATCTGGATTGATAACGAGGCGGAAGTGTCAAGTAGAGGGAGGGAGTCGGTGGGAAAGCACTGCCACAAGCCATATTCAGAAAGAAAGTTGACGGCCAGACGTGGGCTTGGAGCCTAAGATTGAAGTAGAGAACACTCCTCTATGAATCGAAGGTGGTCTGTATGGAGGAAATCGCCTCGATCATGGATACCTGATAGTCATGTGATAGCGTCAATGCTTGTCGTATGCTCAAAGCGCTCTGCTCACCATTCGTCTTTCTTATCGCCTCGCATAAGACAATGCTTCTACCGTCGAAGTCAAAAGTCGCCGCGACAATGGGTCATCTCCAGACACCCCCGTGGACGTTGGCTGGAACATCTCATATTTGCCAGCAATACTATTTCCAACATCACCCGTGGAGACGTAAAGGACCGATTCTCTCGAGGAGATTGGATGCCACAGTTCCCTTTATCGCTGTCCAGGCGGCACTGCGAAAGTTGAAAGTTGGACAATTCGGTCGCCGGAGCGATCTATCACCATCACCATCACCATCACCATCACCTTTGCTCAGAGCTTCTGCTAGACTGTCTGGCTTACCCTTGGACGCATGGTCTTCTCCAGAATCGCCAAGTTGCCCATGTAGCGTAATCCTCTCCATCTGGAAGCCTTCACAAGATCCTGGACGCGGATGCCCTTGGTTGGAGTCCATATCTCCCGGTAAATGTGCCGCCGGTGAACAGCTCTTGTATGACCGGTGTTTATTATCAGCAACGCAAATCGCAGCTTGGTCCGTCTTCCATCTTGGGTTTGGGTCGGCGATAGTGGGCAGGTGTCGCTGAAGATTCACAAGCCTGGCGATAATGCGCCACCGAGTCATCTACGAGGTATGGAATGATCATAGGCTTATGGGCGTAGGAGAGAACAGGGTGGTGCAACGATTTACCAGCACCGGGCAGAGATATCAATTTTTTTTTGATACGCTGGGACCTTGGGTGAGAGCAATGTACATTCGAGATCTTTTGGACGCCTGCCCAGATGCCGCTGTTATCGAGCTTGGCCGGTCAGTTAGTAGGTCTAACGTAGTCCTAAATAGGCAAAACCCAGCGCCGACGGGAGCAAGAGTTTTTTTCCCCCATCCGGGACACTCACCTTTTCAATTCTGCGCGAAGCGACGGGAAGAGTCAGGGCTCACGAGATCGTAGGTGAAATGATACGGTAGTTGCCTTTCTGGTTAGACCTCACTCGGTTGTAATGTACTGGAACTTGCACCAAGAAGAAGGTACTACTCGTACTGATCTCCGAGAAAGCTTTATGCTAGAAATATATGCATTACTTGCATTGCTCGGCCCATCCTGTGACTGCAGATCATAATTTGTATGAAGACCATAGCTGCTTATGTTATGAATTCCACCGCCCGACGAGCATCACCTCACCAGCTGTGCTCGACCTCTTTCACTAGCCAAGGCCAGTGACTTGAACCACGCAAATCTTGGATTCAAGCAACCTTACATGGATATCCCACGATGGACTATGGAGTGATGGACGACGCCCACTTAGGTGTCGATAGGTCAGAGTAGATGTAGCCACGGAGAATGGTCGGGACTCGGGACTGAGGCGGGTCTTTCACCAGGAAGGTCATGTCCGAGGTTCTGCAGAGCTTCTTACTACTGTGTTGATGGGTTCAAGTGTTCAGCAATGGCGATCCAGACCGTGCCGGATTGCATGTTCGTCCAGGCTTGGAGTGATAAAATCAAGGCCCACACTGCGCCTCCTGCCCGCCTCCAAATGCCATCATCACTTACTGCATTCTGCCAGCGGACAGCTTTAGCTTTATACCGGTAAAGTGTAGAGTGTCAAGTGTAGAGTGTCAAGTGTCTAGTGTTGACTCGTTGAGTGTATGGTGTAGAGTATAGTCTGGAAACTGTGTAATTGTATGGTGTAGACTGTAGAGTGTATACTCACCGCCATCAGTCAATGGACATGAAAATCGCTGATGACCTTGGAATCCAAATACACCAGATCTCATAGAGCACGGTGCCTCAGTGAATGGCAGGGGGTCCTGCAACTTGAAGCAATAGTGTCGTAGTACTGAGTCTACTAGTGACTGACAACTGAGTACTGACTGTGACGGCGAGCTTACGGTTCAGGGTTCACCTATGGAAAACGGCCAAGTCCATCCATTCCATGTGTATCCATGCGACCGATGTCATCAGTGCGCAGTCTCGCCGATCTTTGGGGTAGTTCTTTTTTGGGCAGGACCACTGACTCTCGGTCGGGTGCTCCAGACACCGAAGCACTGGCCGCCTTCCTTTCAGATCTTGATTCAAGGCTTTGCTCAGATCGATTGCCGTCCTAGTTTGGGGCCTTGTTGTTCATGCTTCAGTGCTTAGCATCGGACACTCACCAATCGTACCGATACATGCGGGGACTGACGCACCTCCGAGAGCGATCTTTGTGAGACAAGACGGGTGCACCTTCCACTAGGTAGTGGTACTACCCGTTACGACACCACCTTCTGGAGCCACTCACGATTGCTGTTGTAGAAGATGAAAGACCGGATCAATATCAATTCACATCGGCCCTTGAGCACTCGACATCATGGAGAACATCCAAACCTACCCACGTGGCCGGTGTCCGATCGAGTCCATCTCGCTGGAAACAATCATGAGATTCGTGCCAAAGTCCCATCGTATCCGACAGCCTGAGGTACCGAGACAAAGTTTTTTAATTTCTTTCTGCTTTGCGCCCGGCTGGCCCGGAGAAGGCTGTGCTGGACACCAGTGGAGCACTGGAGACTGGAGACTGAAGACTGGAGACCATCCTCGGTCATGATTCTCGTAGCAGAGTAAGACTCAGTAAGCAGACCAGAATCAGTCGTTCCCTCTTAAGACCCGCCTATCTCCAATCCTCGTCAGTATTCATCGAAATCTCTCTTCCGTTTCTTCCCTGCCCAACCTTCCCTGCTAAACGGGGTGGCTTGGCAGTACATTGCAGGAGCAGATCCATATAGCGAATCAACCATTTTCAGCCCGTTTGACGAATCTCGTACTCAATTTCTCTCACTTGCGCTTCCTGCGTGTTGCTGGCAACGGAACGGCGCAGGACGACTTCTGATCATTGCATCATACCAGTGCAATATTCGACATTTGCCAATTACTGCTCCATTAGTCAGTTCTTCTCGCATCCCAAATCCACCGTCTCTCTGGTCAGTTTTGAGCCGCGGGCAAACTCGACTCTTTACCGCCCTCCCCCCCCCCAAAAACAGCTTGGCAGCGCTCATGGGAGCCTCAGAATGGCGTCAACCCTGCCCGCCGACGACTCCCGTCTGCTAGCCTCCGCGCCAAAGCAGAGTCAGACAGACCACAACACGGCCCCACGTGCGGCGAACGTCGCCGGGGCATCTCAGCATCCGCCACCACCACCACTACAACATGGACATGGTCAGGAATCATGGTCGTCAGGATCGTCCTCCCAGCTCGATCCCTCCAATTCGCCGTCGAACTATACCTCCTTCTCCAGTTCCGATAGCGATGAGCCCCAAGCTCGTTCCATCGACGCCGAGGATGAGGATGACATCCAGGACGTCATCGGGGTCAGCATTGGCCGAGAGCAAACTCGGATGAAAGCCCGGGCAACGCCGGCGGAAGAGAAGAATCGCGTGTTGGAAAGTCAGGGCGGGTATTTCACAAGTATCCCCGATCACGTTGGCGAGAATGGTCTCTACGCCGCGGAGTTGACGGCAGAACCGGAATCGATAGAGCCCGCAGCGACGGAGAAGGCAGGACAGGGAGAGAGGATAAAACCCACTACCACTCGTGTTGCGCCTGCGGGTCAGTTGGTGCGGCGTCGAGGTCCAAGTGGTGCGCATACGGAGCATCGACCGACGCCATCTTTTCCGACCGCGCACAACTCAAAGGATGGGAGTACATCGAGCGCAAGAACCAGCTTCACCCGATCGCTCTTGAAAACGACGCTGCCTCGCCGGCCACGAGCTTGGTCGGGCGAATTGAAGAAATTCCTGCCTGATTTGTCCTCTCTGGCCCGACGGCCAACTCTACCCTTTCGCTCTGGCAATGCTCACCGCCGCGCCCGTAGTCAAACTGTGACGCCCGGAAATCGGAAACAGATCGCTTCCAGGGCAGCGTCCCCGGATCATCGGCGAAGACTATCAACGCCTCATGCTCATGACACCGGGCCAGGAAACCGGGAGGACGATTTGGGAGATGACTCGCACCCCATCTCAGAGTTGCGCAAATTGGATGGCACCTCGGCAGCGAAACATTCGTTCACAAGACGGCCGAGTGCAGCGGTGTCTGGTCGTCCGCCAAGTCTGCGAAGGTCATCTTCGGACCAGTCCCTTTATCTACGAGCATCATCGACCGCGTCATCTCTAGAACAGCGGCCTCGATATGAGAACGTGCATTCGCAAGTGAACAGCCGGTTCAAGGCCATCAAGGACAGCCTGCAAGATTCGAGTAGTCGCCTGCTGAGTCGTCCATCACTCCATTTGCAGGATATTCGAAGTGACTGGGCGTCACGTCCGTTCCCATCACTTATAGGCTCGGAGCGAGGAACGAATGGAGTTCACCGGTCAGCAACAGCTCCCCCACCCCCGCGATATAATCTGCAATCGACGCACCCCATTCTTGAAGAGGCAATGGGGGAAATGACCGGCGACGTCGTGATTCTGGGCGGATACCGTGGCTCCATCTTGCGATCCGCAAAGCCTCCGCACCGGCAGCTGTGGGTACCAATGAAGGTGGGCTTGAATCTGCGCAAGGTGGATCTCGAAGTTGGCCTGACACGAGAAGACGAAGAGCGCATGGAAGAGAACATCATCCCATCGGGCGTTCTCTCACACATTGGACCAATCGATATCTGCAGGCGCTTGATGAAACGTTTGCAAAAATGCGAAAACGCGGTGCGCGGAGACTTGCGCGTGTGGGATTATGGCTACGATTGGCGGCTGAGCCCTGATCTGCTGTCGAAGCGGCTGATCAACTTCCTGGACGGTCTTCCCAGCAACCGGCCTGGACCGGATGGCAAGCCTCCAAATCCTCGCCGAGGTGCTATAGTGATTGCCCACAGTCTCGGTGGCCTCGTCACTCGGCATGCAGTCAATCAGCGGCCTGATCTCTTCGCTGGAGTTGTATACGCTGGAACTCCGCAGCACTGTGTCAATATTCTTGGTCCGCTTCGAAACGGCGACGATGTGCTCTTGAGCTCGCGAGTGCTCACCGCGCAGGTCAACTTCACCTTCCGCACGAGCTTCGCGCTTCTTCCGGAGGACGGTCATTGCTTCATTGACAAGCAGACCAAGGAGGAATACCGCGTCGACTTTTTCGATGCCAATTCGTGGGACGAATATCACCTCTCGCCGTGCATCAAGCCAGCTCTTCCAGCAATGCCAGTCAACCCACGCTTCAAAGACTTTGCAACAATTAGCAAACGATTCTCAATGGGTGCGCGAGACGAGACCAATGAACAAAATGGGGTGCTCTCTGGAAACAATGATTCGCAATCGTCGGCTGGTGAGAGCACAGGTCACAACCCACGAGTTCATGCCAACTCGGTGCCCAGCCCATCTCACGCCGCATCGGCAGCAGCCGAAAGAGCGAATCAGGCCCTCTCACCCAGCGGCGGAGTCGACAGTCTCGTCGGTCCCGGCGCAGCCCCCCGTGGCAGCAACTCAACGAACCAAATGTCCGCTCCCAGCACCATTCCGTATGCAGATGCAATGGAGTATCTGCAGCGCACACTGGCCGAGATCAAACGCTTCAAATCAGAGCTGGAGTTCAATCCCGCACATCAGGCTGCAAACCGGTACCCACCCGCCGCCGTGTTGTTTGGAAAAAGCGTACCAACTCTCTACGGGGCACGAGTTGCGTCGCGAGAGGCCATCAAGCAACAGGACGCTTATGATGATCTGGCATTTGCAGCCGGAGATGGCGTGTGTCTAGCTACCGCTGCGATGTTGCCTCCTGGGTACAGAGTCATTAGGAACGGTCTTGTGAAGAGCGATCGAGGACACGTGGGACTGCTTGGAGACCTAGAGGGCGTGGGACAGTGTCTAAAGGCTTTGATTCGGGGTCGAAAGGAAGGTGTTGGGCTGGGAAATGAATCGACGTAGGTTTCTTGGACAACGGACGCGTGGCTGGAAAGTTCCTGTGACGGTATGAACATGTGACTTATGGGACGATGTCTATATTCAAACTTGCTTGCACAACGCTTGCTCGACGGTGTATATATTATGTCGTCTTTCTATTCGCTTTCTGTTCTTTTTGTTGATTTTTGTCGCGAGCCTCGATGATACCACGCAAATAGACGCTACTTCCTGCACTGTTGGCTCTCTTTTCATAGGGTTGACGCCACACCTTCCACTGTAGGGCATGTGCTTGGAAGGGGTTTGGGTTTAGCGGACGAGACTTGGTCGGAGGCGGCCCAGTGCCTAAGATAGAGCAAAAGATCAATTCGTCCAATTGGACTGATATGATCTATTCCATGGGCATACTGGAACAATCTCCCAGATGGTTTCAATTTCACTATGTGGCACCATTCTTGGCTATATATCTATACATCCATATAACCCAGTCAGTTTTCAACAAGAGCGCCCTTCTTTTGTAGGTTTTGCCAATCTATACGTGAAAAACACAACCCGAGGACATCAAAACAAAATGAACATCGAGTGAGAGAAATCAAAGGGCCACAGAGGATATCATGACAAGACAGTCTCGTCGAGAGGAACCGTTGGGGAAAGGTCGCAAAGCACCGCAAGTGAAGGCTCTTATTTTTTTTCTTTGACATGTCAAGCCAGACCCAACACACATGCCCCCCCCCCCCCCCCCAAAAAAATCACAGACGAAGTAAAAATGTTGAAGAAAAAAAGGGAAAAATCGAATCGCGATGATCAATTCAATTAGTCCGTACGCGAGTTGGCAATGTTCAGGACTAGAATGTCCGTCGCACCGACCTTGATCAACTCATCCATGACTGTCGCGACACGCTTCTTTTCCACCATTGAGCTGACTGCCAACCAGTCCTCTTCTTCGAGGGCAGTGACGGTGGGCGCACGCTTCCCAGGTGTGATGTTGCAAGCGACGGACAGCCTGGCGCGGGGGATGTTGTACTGGCAAAGCACAAATTTTTGGGCGGTGATCACACCCCGAATACGTGAGGTGATCAAATTGACGAGGTCACTGTTTGAGCCGCGAGACTTGACGAGAACGGATGTGCTCTCGACAACAGTATCGATGGCTTTGAGACCAGCAGCCTTCATGGTCTCCCCGGATTCTGGACAAAGCCAATTAGTTTTTCAGTGTGCTGGGGAATTGAAGAAGAAAGCCACTCAACGTCAATGAAGCACATACCGACAAGATCCACGATACCGTCCGCAACACCCAGGGCGCATGCGGCCTCGACGCTGCCGCCGACATACTTGATCTTCGTGGTCAACTTGGAGCCAGATTCGACGCCCTCAAGCTTGGCAAAGAACGCCTCCGTCAGGGCAGTGAAGCTGGTCACCACATTCTTGCCAATCAACTGCTTGGCTTCGGTGATATCGCCCTTCTCTGGCACTTGGACCTGAAGCTTGCAGCCACCGAAGCCGAGATCGAGGATCTCCTCGACACCAGAGGTTTCCCCAGCAGGGAGAGTGGCATCGTGCTCAGCGACCTGGTCGCGACCGGTGATACCGAGATCCACGCGACCCTCACCCACAAAGGTTGGGATATCGGCAGCGGGCAGGAAGATGAGCGCGATGGGCAGGTTCTTGACCAAGGCAATGTCAAGACGGGTCTCGCGACGGAATTGAATGTCGGAGCCAGCGAGAAGGTCAAGAGTGGCTTGTTGGAGGCGGCCCTCTGTGAGTGGAATGTCATTGTCAGCTTGGGTTGCCTTTTCCAAGCAATAGGTGAACTCGGCATTGTTGCGGGCTCGGTAATGGGGGATTTTTTTTGGGTGGTGAAATGGGAATTGATAAGACAGAAGAGTACTTACTCTTGGGCACTGCAAACAGCAGCCTTCCTTCCAAGCTTTTCGAGACAAACGCCCGTTAACCTTGGTGATTGCGCGACATCGAGGGAAGAACCCTGGCGGGTGGGTGACTCACTGGTTCACAAGATCCATTGCGATAAGTATACTCTGTCGGAGGAGAAAATTGGGAGACACAAGTCAATTGGATGGAGGAGTATGTTTCACAGAGTGCAGGAACCAGCCCAGGAGTGTGATGAGAATACACCAGACAATCGCACTGCGCAGCGGACACGAATAAAAGCAGTTGAGTACGAGAGAGTGAGTGCCTACGCAATACGACACGCAGACCGAAGCCCAATTGCGGCAGAAAATTGGAGGGGCATCCGGCGGTCTCGTGTGGGGGAGATGCCGACTAATCTCCAAGTGGATCACGAAAACGGTGCCTGAGGACACATACAACTGGACTTGATCTTAATTGTTGGAACAACAGTCGAATACAAAAATCTAATACGACTCCAAGAGACCTGCTCACTGAGAAAAGATCATCTGTATCTTGGAAATGATCATGGAGTTGGTGCCTGATTGACCTCATCTACATTTCGTGTACTGCAACTAGTGCACAGAGCACAGATTAGTACTGTGTCACTGTCCATGCCACCGTCATACTAGTAGTAGTCAGTGCTCGTTATGCCTTCAGTCTTAGATGCACTGCGTAGAGATGCTCAATAATGAGGGTTCCGGTCACTTTATGCTACTAGGACAAAACAGATTCCTGATGTCCTCCACGTGGACTGTTTGATCTCAGGATGGACCATACTCCAGTGACGAGGGTGGATCATCCAGCATTGGGGACCAACACAGGCGATCTAATGATTTGCTTCCCACGTCATGGTTCAATAGACCGTGCAGTATGTGACTAAAGCAATGACGGCTACGGTCTAACGGTGATACGAACTCCAAAGTACTATACGTTGGAGCCACCTTGGTAATTGCCCATTGACGCCAGTGTACTACTGTGTAGGTACGCGATAGCTCGGGACCAGAATCATTCAATGCGCCGACGTGCCTGATCAGCGGAAGCCGAATCTAAATGGGATCCACTTTTTGGCAACCCATTCCGCCCATCCCGCCCACCGGCGTCCTATCAAGCATCCACGTTCGGAGCGATTGGGTTGAGCGGAAGGCCCTCGGCAAAACTTGCACCCGTCGCCGGGATGGTGTGTGCTGAGTGCTGACTCATGCTACTGCAGCAGTGACCCGACCGGGGGTCCACTCCACCCCCGACTCCGAGGTCGCCAATGGATGTGACAGCCTGAGGCCTCACATGGCGACAATCTGCCGTGGCAGCACTTACCGCCTTCCGAGCTAACAGCCTCACAATTCAGGTGTCATCAGCCCTGAACCCTCGCGTAATTTGGAACCCACACAAGGCAAAATCATCCTCAACGTCCGCTTCGCTCTCCCCGTCCACCCCCAAAAAGAACGCCCTCCAACCTCGTCGCCCGAGCTTAACGCCCTCCACCCACCTTCAAGATGGATTCCAGCAAGCAGCCCGTCAAGCTCGTCAAGGTGACCCGTGTCCTCGGCCGCACCGGTACGTGACTACCCTGAAGAAATGATCGAGAAATCAACCCAAATTCCGCTCCGCACCAATCTCGAGATCGGTCCGCTTAGGGCGAAGAATGGCCTCCCCCCGCGACGATCGTCTATATCAAAATATTTGCGGAGGAATTGCGCATCACGATGGTCGTACGGCTGGCTAATGCTGGATTTTCTTTACACTTCGCAGGCTCCCGTGGTGGTGTCACCCAGGTCCGCGTCGAGTTCATGGACGACACCTCCCGTTCCATCATCCGTAACGTCAAGGGTCCCGGTATGCGATTTCCTCAATGAATTCGACCTCCGAATGTCTAAGAAGACTCGAGAAGTCCCCTCGGGAAATGAATATCAAGACAAGATGCAGGAAAACGTCTCGGGATCCCATTGGGTCAACTGATATGGCGGTGCTCTGTCTCTGATTCCCTGAGGGAACATCCCATCTCTTCTTGGACCTTTCGCGTGGAAACCGCTTTTACATAAACAACGTTCCCACCCGCTAACGCGCTTCTTCACTATCACAGTCAAGGTTGACGACATCCTCTGCCTGCTCGAGTCCGAGCGTGAGGCCCGCCGTCTGCGTTAAACTCCCTCCAAAAATCAACAAATCTTTCGCGTCATGTCTTCCATCTTTCTTCGTCTCTCGCATATCCCTCGCGCCCGGTTGGCTTTGATCGTTCTTCGGCCAAAAATGTGTTCCTCCTCGCTTTCTTCTTCCTCGACATACCTTTAGACACCTCAATCTCCCTCGACCTTTAAACCGCCGTGGTCACCCCTGTGACTCTTTTCCCTCGAGCCCTTGATGCCGCAACCACGTCATTCAACGACTCGATTTGGAAATGCAGAGTTCTCTTGGGTGGAATGGAGCTGTTGTCCCCTTTTCATTTCATTTTCTCTGCTTTCCCCTGAGGAGTCCACTCCGGTTGTTGTGATTCTGTTTTTCAGTCGAATAATTGAACCATCTCAATCGGTTCCTCGAAGAAAAGGGAAAAAGAAAACAAAAAGAGAACTTCAAAAATCCATTTCTTTGCAAGTCGATCTTGGTTTTTTTTCCGGACGGGAGAAGGAGACGAAGAGAAATGAAGCATGCCATTTTTCAAATGAATCAAATAAGACACCAAAACTGAAAACTCACCCCCTTTTTATGTGTATGAGAAATGAAGAGAGATTTGCGCGATTGGCAGGTGGGATGTTCTTTTTCGAGGGAATGGTTTGGTTCTGGTCCGGTGTTTCTATTACATTCACACGTTTCTCCATGTTGACGTGACTGCATGGGCTCAATGCGACAAACGAGGTTGTGATGTGCTTCCCTGAGGAACTCTTTACAGTGTGACACATTGTATGATTGTAAATGAACGTGTATCGAGACGACGACCGGCGTAGGAAATACTTCAAACCCCTTATGTACCCGACAATCGGTCAAGTTCAGCCTTGCGATGTGCCGTACAAGCAGAGCACTGGACAGTGGACACGCCGGACAGTCCTAGAATGTAGATCTGGGATCTAGTTCAGGCAGTTATTGAGCATACTCGGGTTACCGCTGCCCTGCCCACGGGCTCTACAGCGCCTTGATCCTGTGACTGGTAAATGTTTGATTTGATGTGTATTCAACCTTGAGAGAAAGCAGTCGCCGTCAAATTCAGACGAGACCAGCTACAACCTTTGAAATTCCTCGAACTGTTTACTCTTTTCCATGTTTGCTCTCTGGACTACCACATACATTCAGTTCAAATCCATGATTAGACGACGGCAAGAAATTCATGTATATTGTTGTCGTTTTCCGCATGATCAAGGGCGGAATCCTTGGAGCATATAATAGGAGCATGTATATACCAGATAATATCCGCTAACTCTTGGCGTTCTCCTTCCGTTCTAGTACTCATCCCCTCGCCGCTTCTGCTCACTGAGTAGAATTGAGCCTATCTCGAATTACCTACTACGCCGTTCGAGACGAATGACCGCTCGAGTAAGCGGGCCCAATAAAACGCGACACGCTAGCACAACCCCCTACACTGTGTATATTTTCCTTCAGTTCAATATCTCCTATCCCACCAATAACGAGTTAGCATCGTATGCACGGATTTTGTCTGCCAAAAGAACACACTGTCCTGAGTCACCCTGACTGATCACTGGTCCTGATCGTGTAAGACTGCCGTTTTACACGTTCCTTGCTTGCTCCGAGGAGCTTATCGTGCTGCGTGTTCTGCTCCTGGGAACTTATCAGTTGGGGGTGCACGTGACTCCCGCAGATGTTTGTCGTTCTTGAGGGTTTGGTGGGCTGTCGTCATCACTTGCAGGTTGCTGACGGCTTGTCCGTAACAATAATGCTATTGCTGCCTATTTTTGACAGAGATATGCATTTACACAAATGCTCCCTACACTATTTTTTACACCCTTAGAAATTGACCTAACGTACTAAATGAGGCGAGATACTTAACCGAGTAAGATGAGTGTAATGCTTGTGACGGGCCAGAGCCCGGTGGTAAGCCATGTGCCATGGCCTTCGGATATCGTCTTGGCAGAAGGACTCTGAGCGATTCCATAACGAGGCTCTAGAGGATTTTATCCGAAATGGGATCGACACTCTTAAGGACCGCGACCGACTCCTGTCTGTTCTCCTTTCTTTCCTCAAGATTGTTGTAGACAGTATGTCGGCCTAGTGCAATTGAATCGATTCCGCCACAGCCCTTCACAATACTAACCTATTTATCTTTGTCTCACTAATCACAATTCGGATCGAAAAGTTCCAACCGCTTAACACTAACAATCTGACCGCTCGGGTGTGGTGTTGAACTACTCAATTGAAGCAGCAGACGGCAAATAGCCTGTAAGTAACAGCCGCGCACGAGGCCGTTCCTGGCAGTCGATTTACCACTGTTTTGTCACGGAATCTTGATGTGGATGTCTGTCAAAACGGAAGAATGAGTTGGATTTTCTAATAATGTATTTCATGATCATGCTTAGGCCTCCGGAAAGATAGGACGGCAGGACACAGCAAGCGTTCTTAGCATTCCTTAAGAATATAACATGTTCAAGCAATCAAGCTATTGGAAAGGCGTAGCGGCAGCACGTAGCAAGATCCTCAGCCGTAAATGTAATATTTCTTTCGTTCGTGTTAGGTGCCGGGAGCCGGCGCATGACGGATTCGAACTCTAGCTCTAGCGGAGCATTCTCCACATTTCCAGAGGTAATAATAATCTCTTTGGCCGCTAAGTGAGGTCGTGGTACTGTTGAGGAGACTGCTTGAGGAGTCGTATAGTCAGATAGCAGAGAGTGCTCGATCTCTGCCTGTAGTCCACGCGTGATTCTGGGGGTGGTAGGTCTGAGGTTGTAGACTTTTAAGATGACTCTGCGTTCGGGGGTTCTCTGGATATGAAATAGTATAACTATGTTGACTTGGTAGCCGGAATTTGAGAACCACCAGTGTGCATCAGTTCGTAGTTGTGCTTCTGATTCGGAAAAACCAGTTTCAATAACGAGTGAAGGCCAGTCGTTATCGTCAGAAGGTTTCCTTAACGGAGTAAGGGACTCGTCGGCTTCTTTATCGCATAATTTGCCGTGGAACCGGGTAGCCCCGTTTAAAGTATAAGCTTTTGGACGAATTCCCATATCGAGTAACTTCTCGATAAGTTGACTCGTAAATAACCGCGTTATACGCTCATGAGCACCTGAGGGCATTATTCGAATAACTGCTTGCTGGCGCTGTGAGTCGAGTGTAAATCTGTAAGGAATCTCAAGGGGATTTCGATCTCCACCTAATAACTCCTGCACGGGTTGGGATATGCTTAATACGATGATAAACTGGTTCGAGTAAGACGTATCGGAGTTAATTCGATTGTAGACCTCGTTCGTAGTTTGTCGAAGGACAGAAATCGAGGGGGCAGTCAACACTACAGCACCCGGGATTTCGAATAGCAGGTGCGAATCACAGTCCCTCGCTGCCTCGTCCGGCGAGACTGAGAGTGACTCGGGACTGCCGATAGTCTTCGCCGATTCGGCATCCTTTGTATCCAGGGAGGAGGAAGATACTGTTGATGGGGACAGAGACAGCATATTAGCTGAATAGGATCGTGTAAGGGAAAGGGGAGGAGGCAGATCTAGAGAAGTAAGATAGCTATTGATGAAGGAATGGGGCGGAAGTAGAAGCGTTGTGCGACGACAGTACTTCTATATGACGTCATTCCAGGCAGGCGGTCAGTTACATTAGGTGGGTACAAAGGTGCTGGCTGACCTTCCGTCGCGTGGAATACTTATCGAGTTGTCACAGTGATCACTGAGTATGAGCGCGTGCTGCCATTGACTCAGTGAGCCTGAGGCTGATCGCCCTCATAAAAGCGGCGACATCCCAGACAGGAAAGCCTCACCCTGCGGACATTGTCCTGTGTATATAGGCACATATCATACTTGTTGAACGTATGACACTGTAGGGAAGCAGTAAGGTGATTCTCCAATTTCTTCAATGTGCAATATATTGCGGAGCACCCGAAATATCATGCCAAACTGAAGTCTACAACTGCTCCGCGCTGGCAATCAAACGCTCAATCGAGACCTCTCCAGAGCCAGCGTCAGCCGCACCGGGCAAGTCAACCATCTTGTTCACAGCCTGGACGAGAGCCGCCAGTCTCTTTCTTTTGACCGTGTTTTCCAACTCCGCACTCTTGGCCTTGGCGAGCTCCAAAACTGTAGAAGGCAGATGCGCCAACCTCGCGACGTTCAATCCATAGCTACGATGGGCGACACCTTCGGCCACTTCGTATAGAAATGTGATTCCATCGTCGTCGGTCTGCTCACTGGACTCGGTGAAACGCATGTGGAAATTTCGAAGCTCTCCGCCGGGGAAAGACCGTGCCATGCCCGACAGATGTTGGTAGTGTGTAATAAAGAGTGTCAATGACCGGATGGTACGGACCATGTAGTCGAGTACTGCCTGAGCGATGGCTACGCCGTCGTGCGTTGAAGTACCACGGCCCAATTCGTCAAGTATGACCAGTGACCGCGGCGTAGCTTGCTTTAAGATGTCGGCTGTTTCGGACAGTTCCACCATGAAAGTGGATTCGCCAGCAAGCATATTGTCGAAAGCACCCATTCGTGTAAAGACAGCGTCTAACAGGCCGAGCTTCGCGGAGGCAGCTGGAACGTAAGAGCCTATTTGGCCCATGATCGCGATCAGGGCCACCTGTCGCACGTAGCTTGACTTTCCACCCATGTTGGGACCAGTGACAAGGACAGCCCTGGTTTCGTCCTGGTCGAGATGGGTATCATTGGGGACATAGCTGTCTGTGAGGATACGCTCAACCATCGGATGTCGGCCCTGCTCGACGTGGAGACACGGCTGCTCGGAAAATTCGGGCTTGACATAGCCTGGTTGCTGCGCAATTGCAGCAAGCGAGAGAAGACAGTCGAGTGTCGCGAGTGACTGCACACAATCCCGGAAAGATTGGTACTGGAGAGCAATATCGGCAAGTAGTGCCGCGAAGGCCTTATCACAGGCTGCCGCCAACGCTTCCTTGTGCTGGTCCCGCTGCCGAATAAGTTGCACCACCTCAGGTGTGTGAAATCGCGAGACTCGTTTCGTTCCGCTCACTTTTATCCATGAAGCTGGAACCTTCTTAATACCCAATGAATTGTTCTCGACTTCTATCAGGTATTCAATGCCAGCCACTGTTGCGTACTTCACGCCTTTCCTTTGTATACGCTCGCCGGCAACTGCGAGGTGTTCCTGAAGCTCGTGTTCGATACTCGCGATTCCGAGCTTTTCATCGCTGATCTCCTCTGTTTCTTCTTCCTCGCGGAAGAACGAGTATTTGTCGTCATTTCGAGCGGCGTGAAGATTGATCTTGTCCAGGAATCGAACAACATCCTTTAGTATGACCGGCAAGGAGGCAATAGCCTCGCTGATCAATGGTGACTTGAAGCCTGAATCAGTCGGTGATTTGATATCGGCAAATTCCATTGCTATTGTCTGCATAGTCTGCAAGACGGTGAGGAGTTCCGGCCGCGTGCACTAGATCCGAATCAGTACGTTGCTGCCAGCGTTCATATTGTTAGATGAAATTGTACCTTGCCGTAGTAAATGCGAATCAAACTCTTCTCCAGGTCGCTTTTAATCTTGCCGAGCAACCTTCGAATCCGCTCGACCACCACCGTACGAACCGGATCGGTGAGCTCTTCAACGGCACCGGTGCGCTCTTCGAGGCGGACTTTGTCGAGCAATGGCCGGCCGACCCAACGCCGAAGCAAGCGGTGCCCAAATCGTGTCTGTGTCCGATCCAGTGTCCAGAACAGACTCCCCTTTGCCGAGTAATCATTCTGATTCTGATATATCTCTAAGCTGACCAGGGTGTTTCCGTTCAACAGCATATGTGAGCGGGCTGAAAAAGGTTGGAAGTATTTGGTCAGGTCGAAAACGTGCTCGAGTCCATATTCCGTCATGTGCTCGATCATAGCAGACAGACAAACAGTGACATGCTCTGGCAATTCAAGCACATTCTGCAAGAGTTTGACGGCCTTGGCATCCTCCTCCGTACCAGTGTCTTTCATCTTGCCGGCATAAAAGTTGGAGACATGACTGTAAGCCTCAGCAGCAGCTGTCTTCTTCTTGGCAGTCCGCTCCAGACGAACGGCGTCTCCAAAGACGTTCATTTTACTCCCTGACAGGTGACGCACAAGCTTCTCGCTCGCTTTCGACATCTCCCCCACAATCAAAATCTCACATGGTGCGATATGTAACAAGCGAGTCTCAATTTCGCTGCGCATAAAGCCGTCCTCGAAATCGTCGTATATGACATCACCTGTGGCAGGTTGAACGGCGACAATGCCGACGTGTACACGCTCAGCATTGCCCCATCCTTTCGCGTTGCTCTCCATCATACAAAGCATGAAGCCCGTTGCCGGCGACGCGCCACCAGCAGCAGCCATGGCGCCATCCAATCCCTCCGCATCGTCGATATATGTGCCTTTTGTGTACAAGTTGGTCAACTTGCGAACGAATGGGGCGTTGCGATTGTCGCCTGCAGCTTTGAGTGCCGCCGTCTCAATTTGCCGAACTACGCCAACCTTGTGACCTGCTGTGACGAGTCGTTTGACATGTATATGAAGCCGATGCACGGGTATACTGGCGGACGCGAACCGGTCGAGGTGTGCTTCGGATGGGTCTTATCATGACCGGTCAGTCTATTGCCTGGAACTCTGATCCAAAAAGTAGGGATTGAGAAAGAAACCTACGCTCGTCGAATCTCATCTTCCCAGGTATGCACACAATCCCCAGTTCTTTTGCTGCAATGCGTGCATCCTCGCCAAAGAACCGGAATTTATATCCAACTTCAATGACCAACACGGTATCCATATGCTTGCGCTTAATTTCGATGACTTGCTTTTCCATAGGCGTAAGCTTACCCGCACCCTTTTTTGTACCTCCTCTGCCCTTCGTGGGGACCGGCGGCGCAGGTTCATCCTCCTCCTCCTCGTCTTCGGCCTCGGCCGAGCCATTGCTGGGGTCACCGGTCGCAGACCTACCGATGCCTATCAAGCAATCCGGACCACCGAGCTTCCTAACGAACTTCTGATGTAATCGTTCTTTCTCTTGTCTTCTGCTGACCTCGTCCGGATCATCATCCCCGGTAGTTGGTGGAACAGCGGCGGGCGAGCTCTGGAACTTGAAAATGTCGGTTCGCTGGCTGCTGCTTGGTTGCACCTGCGAGCTTTGAGCTTTTGGTCTGGGTGGTGTACCCGCCTCAATCTGTTGTTGTTGGAGAGTGCCGGTACGAGCTCGCTTAGAGGGTGGCACAACAATGTCCTCCTCCTCTTCCTCCTCCTCCTCCACCTCTTCCTCTCCGTGTGCTTCCTGTTCCCGAGCTTCGTGGCTCTGTTCCGTCGCCAAGCCTTTGAGAGATGAAGACTCTCTAGTCACAGATCTTGGTACCGATGCAGCCTCTGAGGCCGCTGTGCTCCTCGGTGTTGCGCTTGGTCGTTGCGAGAAGAAGCTCGAGATTGTCGCTTGCTTTCGTTTCAAGGACGGAGAAGGTGCGGAGGATTGGGAAGATGGAGGCGCCATGGTGCCGGACAATGTCAAAGTAGAGAGAGGTAATGATTAGATGCGCATCGTCCAAAGATCAAGTCACACAAGGCATTGAAACACGGTGCTCGCCAAGACACGAATTTCAAACTAGCATAGAGATATCTGCAGCCTATGCAGCCACTGCCGAGCTTGACGCGATAACGACGGCTATACGCGACAGGACGCCTGCGCGCGCCCGTGGCGCGGCTCAAATGAGCCGCTGAGTCAGCAAGCCATCGCTGCCCGCCGACGGCCTCTTGCAGGCGAGGCATTTCGGTGGCGTATAACTTCAGTAAATCCCTAATCCGGCAATATGAGCTTTGGACTTTATGAGAGATGCCGGGATGCAGATTACAGTGCATTCTGTTGTTGGGCGTATATCAGGGATGGTTCAGTTACAGCTTACAAGGACTTATGCCGCTACGAACAACCAAGCCCGAAATGCCACATATCTTTCCATGAAATGTCGCTGGGTAAAGCAAGTCGATAAAGTCTGCTTCGGTCAAATGACTTTACTCCTCAAGTTTTGGCGCGTGGAGGAGTCATAGTCATTAATGATAACGTAATTCATATTGTGATAAAGCTATCTGGCTTCTCACAGACGGCGTATCTGCTTGTTCAGCAAAAGAGAGAAGATGGTATCGATGACAACGCCGCAAATGCCCCCCAAATTCATCCGTGAACACCGTGAACCTAGACAATCAGTAATAACAGGTTTGCGACATGTAAACAAACAGAGGGAAGAGAGTGTACCCTCTACAGAAGGATATGTTCGAACACAAACTTGACCGGATGGTCATGCATGATACTCAGAGCCTGTGGTTTGAAAGGCGTGATGCAGAACTTGACAATTGCATACTGAGAGTTGCAGCCTTGGAATGAAAGAACTTAGTCCGCAGCAGGGCCAGTGAGATAGACATTGGAGAGGTCTCGGGCTCCATTATCGAACATTTTAGCCTCTGGAGATTTGGCCCTAGAAAGGCCTGCCCAGCCAGCGCTGTCGACGGTCTCGTCGCTGGAAGGCTGACGATGAAATTTAGGGTGTTGAAGTGCCGGAGGAGGCAGAAGGTTGTTGCGAAGATAAGGTCTGCCCCGACTTTCCATAAAGATATCCTCAAAGCCAAGCTCTGAGTCGGCCTCCCAGAAGCTGGATGCGGTGTGGTTGTTTGTATTCGAATCATGAGTTTTCCAATCTGCGGCCGGGAGATCCCAGAACGGGGATACGACGCGAGCCCCAACATTCAGTAAGGGCTCAATGTTCTCCTTGACTTCCGCGGAATGAATGCTATGTTCATGCGTGAATGGATTGGTTTTATGATCGAGCATGAGTCGAGCCGGAGTCAATGTCGTTCGCATCTCACGAATGTCGGCACTGTGGTCTTCGTTCATCGAGGCTCGTGCTGCCGGTTCCTTGTTGTCTTTGTAAACAGTGAATGCTGTGTTAGCTTGCGTGCCAAAATTCCCTGTGGTAAGATTGAAGTCTGAGTCTTCGACCGAATCCCTTGCGAGGAAAGTAGATCCAAAGGGGCCATTGGAGCAGGTGAATGTTCCAGATCGAGGAATGGCTCGGGTTTTTTTGACTTTTAGCGAGGATTGGACCGCATGCGATTTAGGGCGCTTACGGCTTTGAGTCAAGCTGATGTTGGGATCATTGTCGCGCAAGATGGTTCGCTTGGAGCGAGGGGCCGGTTTCGGAACTGGAGTTTCGCCTTCTAGCGCGCTGTCATCGTCAACTTCGCCTGTGATCACACGCTCTTTCAGTAAAGCTCCTTCATGGGAGAAGATCTGTTCAGTTGGCTCCACCAGACTTGAAGTCAGTTTCATCTGCCGAAGAGCGCTGCCGTCTTTCTTCTGATTGCGCACTTTTCGCATTGCCTCAGTGGCGGCATCGAAGATGTCCATGCCAGGCCAGTAGACACCCTTCAGCCGGGATCTATCCTCTGTGGCGATGTCGTTCTCCTGATTAACTGATTGAGGTTGAGCTCGATCCTCTTCTCCGTTTTCCGAATGGTGAACGTTTCCCTTTGAATCCTTGCGAGGGGCACGGGTCGGAGTTACCGGAAGCGAAGTGTACTTGTCGAGGCAGCGTTCAGCAAATGGTGTCTCATGAGCGACTTCGGTACTAGCATTTATCGGATGATTGACTTGCTTGGGAAACTCTGGCAACGCGTTCGGCAAAAGATCAGATGAATTGGTCGACTTTGACACAAAGTGGTCAGGGGAAGCGGCTGTCGCGGTCTCATTTGCGGGATGACCACCGTCGGAGCGAGTTTCGAGGTCCCCAGAGAGTTTGGGCGGTGCTCTCAGGTCATCAACAGCAAGAATGATGGGCATGGATTCCTCAGTAGTTCCATTGGACACAGGAGTTCCGCTGGGAACAGAAGGAATGAGCTTAGTTGCGTCCGATTTTCGCTTGCTTCTGCGATCAGTTTTTGACGTAGCTCGATTGGAAAGCATCTCAGCGAAGCCATTTGCCAAGTACCATTCATTGTAGTTCTGCAGTGTTTCCGCAGCATCGTTGTCCTTGTAGGCGCGAATTTGAATATTGAACTGGTGAGACAAGTGAGCTTTGGACGAAAGGTGGGTTAAGATATGGGGAATATCAGTGAAGGATCGGTTAGGGCAGATCATGCACTCGAGCTTCGAGCTGGCCATGATTTCGGTTGGGGTCCAAATGGACGGCTGCACCTAGCCTCATGCAAGAGGGAAACAAGAGATGAGACGCTCCTTTGTAAGGGTTCAAGGTGCCTTTTGAGCCCGTACAAGGATGCGCAGGAGCGATGGAGGAAAGTAAGTTGGATTTAGAATTTGGGAGGAAAGATGGATGGCAAGCTGCGAGATACAACAACATCAACGACAACAACAACAACTGCATAGTAGGTCGATATGGCATAACGGAGGTCACGAGTTGTTTGATCTTGCCAAGTGTGGAAGGAGTACAGTCCCATCAGGCAGTAGCGAAGCACGGACTCTTCACATGCTGAGAATACAAGTTTCTCGAAGTCATTGGTATTTGTCTATTCTTTACTGAGCTTAGAGCTGGCATTGACAACCCGTAGAATGTGCCACCATGTCTTAACAGCCCAAAGGCAAATGTGGGATGGTATGAAGCGGTTTAAGTCATGGTGGGCATCGTTCTCCTCCTGCCTTGTATCCCAAAGCTCATAGAAGAAGGGAAACAATGGGTTATTAGATGGCAGGAGGAATGAGGGTGTCGAGGCAAGCAAAGAGTGTACTTGATGGCATCAGCGTTGTGAAAGACATCGTTCAACGACAGATTTAGGCATGCAGCTGTAGAGCATTATCAGCAATGATTCTTGTGCAGGATTGGACGGACTCACTAAATTGGATCTATTTCCTGCAGCCCTTCATACCCGAGTAGACTCAGCCCTGCGATGCCAAAAAGGGTGTGATAGACGTCGACCATGTTACCGGGGCGATCAGCGAAGCCACCAGCTTCGGGGTCCTGCGGCAGATAAGAAACATGTTTCTCCATATCAGCAAAGAGGCCGCTCCTCAAACGTACCTGACATTGCAAAACGAAAGAAGCAAGCTTTTTGCCGTCAATCCAATGAAGCCGGTTGATCATGGCCAAGCTTGATCCCACCCACCAGGCATAACATGCATCCGGTAGCTTTTCTGGGCGACCGTTGAAGCCGCCATTGTCTGTCTGACGCTCACTCAGCCAGGCGCCCAATCGATCTTGGTTGATAAGATCCGTGCGTCCAGCGATTACTAGCGCACCGACGCAGGTAAAGACTTGACCCGAGTGAGACTCTGCACCAGGTGTGACACCGTAGGCACCATCCAAATTCTCGCAACTTTGTACATACGAGACAGCCTTGGGAATGTCGACTAAGTCCAGGAGATTTAACAGAGACAGAGCGTTCAGTGCACCGTAAAGGAAACGAGTATCTGTCTCTCCCCATTGATCTCCCATGAAAGAGCCATCTTCCTTATTCTGCAAACTTGCGATGACTGGTGGAATCATGTTAGTTTAAGGGTGTGGACAGTCCGGCAGATGAATAAGTATGCACCTACAGGATCCAACTTTCTGCTTGCCCCCAAGACCACGCCTGTCAAGCTCATCTACTGCATCAACGGTAACCAAGATCTGAACTGCAGATACAGTGTAGAGCATGTGGGCGTCGTGGCCAGGGGCGGCACCAAACCCCCCATTGTCGTTCTGGCATGAGAGCACAAAGTCAATGGTCTGATCACGAGGCAGCGCCTCGGGATGCCCCAGTAGGTGAAGCGCGGTCAATCCCCAATAGACACCATTGAGGCGCAAATGCTCTGTAAGCCAGTATTCTAGCTCATCTTTCCGCTGCAGGTATGGGTTAATCGATGGTCCCTACCGTACAAAGCTCGCATTCTTAATCTCGAAAAGAGCACGCACAGTATCCAGGTTCTTAATGTAAGCCACATGTTTTGCAATGTGTAGTTCCTGGTCTGATAAGGTGCCAGCAGCCCTACCTGGGCCAGATACTAGCGCCATGATCGTGCTTTGCACACTAGACTCGTCGCCTCGTGCGAGGATCGCCGACCCCTGCTGATGATGCTGTACAACAAAAGCGTAGGTTAGTGACTCGGAGCCAAACAAGTACTTCTAGTACGCTCCAAAGGTATGACTAGGCACAAGTATGATAGAGTGGTCGCCAAGATCACAGCTGACATCAAAGCTAGGATGCCTTAGCGAGCGCCACTAACATGCGTTGAGCCGGGGTTGCTCCCGTGAAACAGTTCAAGCGGAACGAGTGCTGGAGTGCGGGATTTTAAGCGGTGTGTAGTCACGTGAGCTGCAGCACATGCGCACAGCCTTTTCACCTCCAGCTCTGGTGATTGAATTACGTCAGAGTCATGGCCAGTACCCTCCATGAGTGATTCCACCAAATTTGCACCTAACAATTAGTACTAATGCAGGCGGTTCTTTGACCTCTTAGCTGTTTGCTGATATTAGGGGATGCCTCAAGTAAATACCTGATCTGTGACCTGATGTCATTTCATCACGAGGGCTTCTCTCGCCCTCAGTGATCTTCTGTAGGATCACTTCCCCTGGAAATCCGTCATTGTAGACGCCCGGACACAGCCCAGCAATTGCACAGAAATGGTATACCTCATATATACAGACTACCGGAAATTGAGACTAGTACACCTGCCACCTATGCCCTTGCGTTGACTAGAGCCTGTAAATGGATCCCATGTCGTATCAGGTATAGGGCTCAGTCATTCATGGAAAAAACCACTAGCTGTAGCTGAATTCTTGTTCTCATAGTAGATGCTTGATCCTTTGTAACCGGGGAATTTCAAATTGCTACCTAGTCCTACAGTACATACTCAAGGTGAACAGCCCTGTAGGGCCAACCTGTGAGGAGAAGGTTACTAGAGGTGCCGTGGGGACCTTGACTCAAGGGCTACCTACCTACGTCCTCCTGTAGTTAAGTTATAGTGTTTGACTGTTGAGTGTACATGTAGCGGTACTCTGGAAGCATATGGAGACATTGATATCTGAAACATGGGAAAAGTCCGAGCGAAAGGCAGAGCGTCAATGAGCGAGTCACGAAAAAGTGGATCAGAATGAGATCTCCAGAATCCTGCCTGCAAGCGCGACTGAAAGGAACGCCAACGCCGGGTGGAGAAGTGAGATCGCTTAGTTTGCCAAAGTCCGAAATTGGACAGAAACATTCAAACATGTGCCTGTTGGAGTGTACCGGTACAAGACTGATCTGAATTTTAACTTTTGTCCTTTGTGCGAACTGCGAACCATTATCACTACAAACTTGAGAAAGCATAACAACACTCGCCAGGCTTATTTATGCTCGTGCTTTTTATTTCTCATGTGACATATTACCATTTCCGCTTCCGCCTCGAGTCCGTCGGTAACTTACTAGTGGTACCTCATCACTCAAAGCTGTGCGACTGTGCAGTGTGCACTGGGCAAGAGGCAATGAGGCATTAGGCATACTGCACTGTACAGACTACAGTGACCCTGCACTGCTGCAGTGCGATGCGAGGATGCCAAGAAAGTCCCCGACTCGAGTCTAAGACAGCTGTGGTTAGAAGTGGAGAACATTCAACTTGATCACACGCCTCATCTGATTTCCAAAATATTAGGGCTTATCACGTCAGAGATCATGATGTAAACGCGCCATACATGTCACAGCTACCTTCGTTTCGGTTGGAGCCGGTTTCTGACCTTGGTCGAAGGCATCATAGATATTTGAGAGCGAGTTCCATGCAACACTGATAACCATGGGTGGGCATGATAGGGAGTCCAATTGATACTACCTGATTGGCTCTGGGCCCCACAGCGAGGATGTGGTCTAAGTTAGGACCGTCCTGTGCTCATGTGCTGTGGCTATTAATAATCATACACTGCGCGAAATACAGTGGAAAATTTACCATCTACAGTATGTACCCAAAGAATCAAGCAGTCTGTACTTTGGAGTACTTTGAGTACACTACGACGACTTTGTGGTTTCTCTAAGATTCTCCTCCCTCTGAGTACCACTGCATACAGTATGAGCATCCCTACGTCAGCATCAGTGATTCAGTAGGTAGTGACTCGGGGGTAATTCAGTAAATACTGTAAATACGCCAGCACGAGACTCTGCCATCCGATCATTGCTAATTGGTCCGAGGGCAGCTAGTGAAGCCTCCACTCCAGCTGTTCCTCGACCCAATCAGCCGTGGATTCCATCGCGCAGCCAGGTACCAAGTCAAACCCCATCCCGTGGTTCCAAAGTTGCATGCTCCACCTTATCACAAGCCCTCCGTGCCGGTAGTTATCGATCAAGATAGTGGCTGGCTATCCGATCCTCAACGCTATAGAGTAATAGGGGGGACGGGAGAGGGGCACTGGCCGCGTTGACTGCACGACATCTGACAAGGCTTGATCCATACTCAATTTTATGCATGACCCCTCTCTAAGTCTCAAGATTCCATCGTGTGGGCCATAAACGGCTATTTGCTGTCAACCAACGGGCCACTCGTTGCGACAGTATCTGAAGTTCTGAACCACATCCGGTGATCACTCGAACTTACAAAGTCTCATGATAAAGCTCTCATTTGTCCAGACAGTCGACAAGTCATGGTGGTTGAACTCCTCGATGTAGTGCATCCCTCCAGGAGCATAAAGTGAGCAGTGATGAGAGAGATGTAAGTGGGAAACTGGAAGCATGAGCCAACTTTGGAACCCATGGCACCCAACAGAATGACGGTACTAGTCTAGTAGTCAGTACTTCAGTAGTACTGCGAGTACGATAGTAGTAGTAAGGTAACTACCTACCTCGGTCAGGTAGTAATCAGGTTACGACTAGCTAATACTGCTACCAGCCTACCACTGGATACTGGGATTATCAGACGGTCGAGCATTATGAGATTCATGAAATCCGACATGGCTTGGATCAAGTCGCAAACCCCACTGGTCCACTCTCAGTGTACAAGTACTTGTACAGACGACCACACGAGCAAGGGAGTGGACACGGGGCCCATCCCATCACTCGGCCAGGTACTGGTACACATCCGCCCGGTCCTGGTGATGCTCCCCACCGCTGCTCAATTTCCCCTTTTGGGATCGACAATGTACGGTGTACAACTTAATTCAGCTTCGGACCGTCCGACCACTGTGCCACTGTCTAGCGTACCACCATCAGCCTGCCCAGATACGGAATTTGTCCACTTTCGCGCGATATAGAAGACTGAACTATCCCTAGATTCCCGAGTGTACAACGTTGGGCAGTCTTGACGCTTCAGAATGACCATCCACGGATGAGGCGTAGAATTGAATGGAGAAAGGTTGCAAGGAGATGTGCATAAGAACGATCAACCATCCATCAGTACGAAGTCGGACTCCAGGCGCAGTCAGAATATCTCGGAACCCGGATCAGTGACAGCACCGTGGCTTTGGGGCCTTGCAGGAATGCGTGGTCGCCTCAGTCATTTCCGTCGAGGCCGTAGTCCGAAGTAGCGTCCCCCCATCTCTCCCGCCATCAATTTAGCTGTCAGACCGCCCCCATGCCATCTTGCATTTGCCCTATTGAATTGTTTGTTGCTTCAGCCATACTTCCCCTCGACACTCTAGCACTAGCCTGTCGCTGAGACGATCTTTCGATTTGGGAATTTTTTGGTTCTTCTCTCTTTCAGACATTCTTTGATTCTGGACTTGGCCCTACTTCTGGTCATCTCAGTGGCGAGCAAGGCCGTTCGACTCTTTCAAGTGGACCACTGCGAGGACGACCCCCCCCCCCCTGGTGGATTAACGCAGCCGCTACTCCAGCGCTAAGGTCAACAGGGGACGTGAGAATAATATTCTTTCAATCTTTCCTCCCTCTCAACCACCCCAAAGGACTCCAGACTTGCAGGCTGTCTTTGGGACGTCACTCTCCCCCTCGCCCTCGCCCTTGATCGGCTCCGTGCTCAAGTTTCCTGCATTGTCCCTGCGCCGTATCGCCTGTTGCTCGGTCAATCTCCCCAACCGTGAGGCGCTGGAAAAGAGGGGGTTCGAACGGGACAGAATCCCATCCCTAAATTTACGATACGCCTCCTTTCACAGCAAACAACCATTCTGGCCTCACACAAACGAGTCAAGACCTGTGCCTCTCTCGCAGCATCGACCGAGTTAGGGTGGGAACTGAAATTATGAGCAGAGCGCAGGTGAGTTGAACTTGACCGACGAGCGCGAAATCGCGCGCGCTGTCTTCTTGCAGCGGAGCCCGCTTGGCCGTCGAAAACTACACCATAAATTTTTGGACACAAGCACCACGACCGCATTAGTCCTTGCCAGACGCCTGTAGGAAGGTGTTTGCGCTGGCTGCCCTCCCCGGGGTCCAATTCCTAGCCCGTCGCCCCATCTGTGTTGATTGATGAAACTGACGATCCTGTGCCTTTCTCCTTAGAATTCGGCCACCACATAGCCAACCTCATCTCAGCCCACTCTCCTTCTGCTTGCTGGCCCAGTCACTTGGTCGAAAAAAGTTGAGCGCTCGCAGCCGATCACACCGAACTCCGCACTGAGTTCGTCCAACACCCTTCATACACACCAGTGGTTGTTTAAAGCGGTCATCAGGTACGCCTCACCCGTGGTTCTGGCTACCAAATTGCCTTTCTGACGTCCGAGATTCAGCACCCGAGCCGACAGAGCTAAGCTTGCTCACACCTAGGCGCGCGACGCCGCCGTCCGCATCCGTGCTCTCCTCCCTTCCCCTGCTCACTTCTTGAAGATTCTCCGGGTTGAGGCCTGATCAATTCGTGGTCATTGCCCAATATGCCGACTCGCAACTCCACGATTCCGAATCTTGATCTCAAGTCCCTCAAGGTGGAGTTCAACAGCAGAAGGTTGTCCACCTCATTCGCACCCGGGCTGCAGAGCCCTGATGCTCTCAGTCCCCTGACTCCGCGCTCTCCGAGATCGCTTTCCACTTCGCCATTCTTCAAGGGTGCCACGATTCGTCCCGTCACCCAGGAGTCGGGCCAAGACACGAGTTCGACGATTGCGCCTCGATCCCCCAATCTGTCACCAACGGAATTTGAGCCTGAGCCCAACACTCCTGGCTTCACGGCAATTCCACAACAATTTCCCTCGCCAAAGGATGCTGCCAAAAACGCACATGGGCGCGATGCGTCAAAGTCGTTCTTCGGTAACCTCAAGGCGCCCAAGTCATCCCATCGGTCACAGCGTTCAGACAGCTCAGAGAATTCCACAGAGCCACCCCCACCCAAAAGCCGCGGAAGCTCACGAGACCGAAAGATGACGCCCAAACCCCACGAGTCAACTCCTGATTTACCCGCTGTTCTTACAAAAGCAGCAGCGAGTGAAAGCGGTATGTACTCATCTTGCTCTACTTTATTCTTTGGTGCCTCCCGCTATTGGTACAGCAGAATGAGGACTGACACTGATCTCTTGCGGTACCAGGTGACACTATTACCTCGACAACTGGTCCGTCCAAACCCACCGCGGAGACAGAAGCCGCACCACTCAAGAAAAGCAAGCCGCGCTTCGCAAACCTGTTGACCCGTTCACGATCCATCAGAGTCGATGACAACTCTGCGACACGAAGCTCTGGCCGCCGGCCGTCGACGGGTCTAGCGAGATTGGAGGAATTTAAGGCTGTCGAGTCTAGCACCTCGTCAATGACTGCACCTCGTCCTGTTCCTACGCGGCCCGAACGAGCCGCTGAGGGAGGTTTGTATCCGCCCCCGCGCCACATGGAAGCTTCATCTCCCAGAAAGGAGAAAGCCCATGGAGGGGGCATGGTCCACTCTGGCTCTTTCAGCCACGTATCGGGTGCATCGGCGGCGATCTTGAACAATTTGAAACAGTCCTCAAGCGGGGCCGCCGATCGTATTGGCAAAGCGGGTAAAGGCTTTTTTGGAAAGATCACTCGCAGTGGTAGCACGAATGAGCGAGAGATGATCAACGATGACAATTACGTCTGCTCAGTCATCAACCTACCTCTGATCGAACAGGCTAGAAAAACCCGCATCGCCAAAAAGCTGGAGGGTTGTCGAGATAAGACTGAGTTTTGGATGCCTGCACTTCCATACCGCTGCATCGATTATCTCAATTTCAAAGGATGTGAGGAAGAAGGACTTTACCGAGTCCCAGGTAGCGGTCGCGAGGTGAAACACTGGCAGCGACGATTTGACTCTGAGTTAGACGTCAGTCTTTTCGATGTGCCCGATCTCTACGATATCAACACGGTTGGGTCGTTGTTCAAGGCTTGGCTACGAGAGCTGCCTGATGAGCTGTTCCCTAAGGCGACTCAAGACATGATCGCAGAGAAGTGCGAGGGAGCCACTACCGCCCCCCAGCTCCTCAAGGATGAGCTGTCAAAGCTGCCTCCATACAACTACTATCTGCTCTTCGCGATCACATGTCATTTGAACCTGCTCCACTCTTACGTCGACCAGAACAAAATGGACTACCGCAATCTCTGCATCTGCTTCCAGCCTTGCATGAGAATCGACGCTTTTTGTTTCCAGTTCCTTGTGTGTGATTGGAAAAATTGCTGGCAGGGTTGCTGGACCGAAAAAGAGTGGATGCAAAAGGAAAAGGAGATGGACGAGAAGGAACAGAGAGCTGCTGAACGAAAAGCATCAGCAGTGAAAGTCGAATCTCCTCATCTGTCTTCCAAGCACGAGCGTGCCGTCTCATCTGGATCTAGCTCACGGTCTGATGAAGACAAGCCTCGCCCACAGACGGCAAGGCTTCGAAAGGCTAGACCAGCGAACATCGAGACTGGGGGGCACACGCGAAGCGTTTCACAACTACCCGAATTGGGTCCCCCGCTGTCACCGATCAAGATCTGAGTAGCATGTTCGCGCCAGTGCGGTAGTCTCCCAGCAAAAGACCGACCTGGTTGACAATTCAGCATGGCGCTTTGAGATATGTCTCGCCGCAAATAGGGGACGAACAGCTTTTCCGGCTGGACCGGCCTTGCCTTCGTTCCGAAGCCTGCGACCAAACTTGGAACGATTCAGCCAATCTCTTTCAGCGAGCCGTTCAGATTCAGCATCATCGAATGCAAGCTCCACCTTTCCATGACCTTCTCACTCTCGTCCTCCCTTTTCCAATTTCATATGGCACCGGATCAGTTTTCGTGGGCGCTCCCTGATCCTCAATTGATATGCATCTTTTTGGCGTCTCCTGCATTACACATTTACTCTCGCGTGCCCTTCTCTAGATCTTCACGATCATTCTCTGCGAATATCCGCTCTGCTCACTGTACATGTTGAGTACAATTGCACATCTTCTGGATCCTGGTGAGAGAAGGCAGCTTTATCTGTCCATCCTTCGTCTTACCTATCCTTCTCTCCTTCATCTTGTCCATCTCTCCTCGCGCGTCCAGAATTGTGCGCTACATCACTGTCTCTGACATCGTTCGAGCCGTCTCATCACTCCGCCGTTTGCTTTCTCACGCCGTTTCAGCTTGTCCGTGATTCCCCGCTTTGGCTGCTCCTATGATGGATGTCTTTTTTGATTCAGCTTTTATTTTACGCGGCGCATGGTTCCTTCCATTTCATTGCCGTATGAATGCACTTGTCGTGCTCGTGAAGCTTATGTACGATAGCTGTTAAGAAACGGGAATTGCCAGATCGCCAAGGATCATATCTACTGGCATCGATAGCTTTTCACCAAAGAAAGACTTCAAAACATGAAAATCACTCAACGCAATATTTTTTAAACAATTTCTCGGTCCAGGTAGAAAAGAATTGAAGAGAGAGAGGAAGTACTTAAGTAATGCTTTTGGTATGTTCTAACTTCTCACAAGTAGACGGTCGTAAATGAAGACATGAAATCCCGACTCCAAGCCCCAACGCCTGAGAATGATGACACTAAACATTGGAAAAGCTGTACAGGCACCGGAAATATTAGGAATAATCTCAACCGCTTCCAGGCTTTCTCGACCGGCGCTCATTTGCTCGCTCCTTCCGCTCATTTCTCTTGATACGGTCCTTGCGCTCAGCTCGATTCATGCCACGGATCGAACCACCCTTAGCAGCAGCGGCCTCTTCCTTCTTCCAGTCCTCTTCCTTGACCTCGACAGCCCATTGATTGTCTTCGGGCTTGTTCTTGCCCTTGTAGCCCCATCGGGGCACCCACTCGCCGGAGGCCTCGTCGTAGACGAGCTTCTTGCGGCGCTCCTTATCCGCAAGCGCAGCACCAGGGTTCTGGTTGTACTTGCCAATGCCCTTCTTGCGAGCGAATAGCTCCCACTTGGTTGGAGGCTTAGGAGTGGGCAGAGGCTTGTGGCGCGGGACTGCAGTGGCAGCAGGAGGGAGGTTGAGGAGAACTCCATTTTGGGCGGAGGAGGTGATGTTGCATGTTGTCAGAAGTTGGTTCAGCAGAACCTGTGCGCCGTCGCGAGCGATCGCTCGGAGCGACTCGTTGAGGGGCTCGCCCTGGGAAAGCTCCAGAGGGTTAGGGTCATTAACCATCAGGTTGCCTAGATCGAATGTGTATGGAGTGGGTTTGGAGACTGTAATGGGCCTGTGTAATTTCAAGATTTTCAGGTCAGTTGCCCGATCTTCGAGATTTGGGTTGTCTGGTTGGCAACAATCAGGATCCATAAAAACATACAGTCTTTCAGGCTTCGCTGAAGCCACGGGGGCAGAGTTGGCCATTTCAAAGTCAGGCATGACAGTGAGCGCTGGAACGAACGAGCGGCCAAAGAAAGCTCAGGAATAGTTGTTTCACACGTAGGAATTCAACGAAGATTCAAATGCCTGGCAGACGAAAAAAAAAAGTAATTATCACGGCTTGTCTGCTTTTCTGCCGTTCCTGACTAAGGGTGACCCACACCGCCATCCTGAACGGGCCGACGGCAACTCGATCAAATTGTTATGCATGTATTGATTGATCTGGACCAAGGGCAGTGCCTAGCAATCCTTCTCCACCACGAATCCTCGTTCCGCCTCGAATTGACCACACTGGCCCTTGTGCCGGTGTTTGAATAATTCAATGGCTTCATCGTGGTGTTGGAGCTGTCTTTCACGACTCCGTGTGACGCCAACGCCGCGAGCGATTCTTCCTCCGCAGTCCATCACGCCCCGGGTCGCGAGCGCCTCCTTCCACTCCTCCGCCGTGCAATATGCCAACCCTACCAAAAAGAAGGGTGCCCTCGTGACGCAAAAATACCGTCAAGGTCAGACCCTTCGCCGAAAGAAGAAGAAGACCACCGAGCGGGCTCGCCCCCCGGCCGTCGGAGAACGCAAGGCCTTGCGGAAGCGAATTGTCCTTAGCAACCCCAATGCCCTCGAGGTCGAAGGCATGCAGGATTTGTCTGCGGAAACGATGGTCGACTCCCGTCTGCGTGGCTCCGTCTTGGGTCTTCCCTTGCCAATGCTTGACCAGTTGAGAGCTGTGCAAGCTTTCAAGCCCAAGCAGGGCTGGTCAATCTTCCGCCGACCGGGAACCGTCCTGCGCCGAGACACTTTGGAGATGGGCCGTCTATTTGAAAAGATTTCTGGCGAAGGAAGTGCTCCCGAAAAAGGAAAAGTGGTGAAGAAAATTCTCACTGGACTGAAGGGTTCAGGCAAGACCGTGCATTTGCTGCAGGCCATGGCTATGGGCTTCCTCAAGAAATGGGTGGTTATTTCAGTCCCCGACGGTAGGTCACCATACACGTAGTCGCGGCTCAATTTGAAAGCCTGAAAGCTGACACTGACTGCTCTTTCCCACAGCCCGCGAACTCGTCTCCGGCGAGACCAGCTATACACCCCTCGAAGGCACCAGCCCGCTACAATACGTCCAGCCGAACGCCGTGTCCGCTCTTCTCACGCGCACTGTTGAGGCTAACCGCGCAGTTCTTTCAAGCTTGAGGGTCTCGCAAACTCACAAGGCTCTCCCCGGTCTCAAACCTTCGTCTACTCTGGAGGATCTTGCTAAGCTTGGTTTCCAAGACGTAGCCATTGCATGGCCTGCGTTCCAGGCTCTGTGGACCGAGCTCACCGCTACTGCCGCAGCCCCCGGTATGGAGAAGGACTTTGTGCCTCGTCCTCCCATGGTTGTCACCGTGGATGGTCTCGCGCATTGGATGAAGGAGAGCGCCTATCGCGCCTCTGACTACTCTCCCATTCACGCTCATGATCTCGTCTTTGTCAAGCACTTCCTGTCTCTTCTCCAGAATGGTCAAGCTTCTTTGAAGAATGGCGGTATGGTCCTCTACGCCACCTCTACCTCCAACAACCCCGCAATCTACACTTTCGAAGTTGCTTTGGAACAATTGGCTGCCCGACAGGCTGGCATCAGCCCTTCCTCTCCCGATTACCCATCCCCGGAAGCCTACAGTGGTGCTGATGAGCGCGTTCTGGAGCTCTTCAAGCCTACCACTGGTAAGGAGCCCCAATTTGAGCTCCAAACCCTCGGTGGTTTGACCCGTGACGAGGCTCGTGGATACATGGAGTACTTTGCCCGTAGCGGTTTGCTGCGCGAGGAAGTGAACGAGACCTGGGTCGGCGAAAAGTGGAGTCTCTCAGGTGGCGGTATCATCGGCGAGCTGGAGAAGCTTGGTCGCCATGTCAGGTCGACTGCTCAGCCCGTCCCGGTGTCGGTTTAAGCGATATACCGTAGTCATGGATACCATTGTGTATGTGTGGATTTTGCCTCCCTTATAGACTACTTGAGGATTCGAAGTCTTGGGTTGCTGTATTTTATATTGATGGAACACGTGCGATTATCTTGCCTTCTCTTTTTCAAACCCTTTCCTCGTTGTATCTTACCATCCCAGTCTCTAGTCTAATTACACTTCGTCTCTCAAGCCGGGGACCGGAGTTTGTAAAGTTTTTGCCTTGATGTTGTGACATGACGTTGATTCTCTACATGTACTTGAATCTTGCTAGGAAGTGACGATCTAAGATTTGATTCGAAATTGCCTCCAATGCTTTCTCAGGTGGAGGAAATGCCTGAAGTGGTCTTTGTAGACCCCCAATATGCGCCAAGTAAAGCGCCATTTCAAAGTCCCACACATGGACCACGTGGTTATCGACGCCACTTTGATCAGAGATAACACAGTGGCATAGAGGCCCGAAAATGAAAATCAAGGTTTCACATTTCCGAAATTGTCCCACTGCGCGTAGATTGATATTGCTGATAGCCTTTCCTTCACAGGCAAGTTGGATGGTCTTGCGGCAACTGAGGAATGCATTGCCGAGCCATGGATCTCACCGTCCAAGTACCGGTAGATCTCTGTTACACCCTTTGATTTATTTCACAGGCTTCCAAGGCGGTTGCGCACATTCCATCAGTTCGCCTATTTCGAGAAAAGTCCATGGGCTTATTGATGTCACAGGAGAATCGTGATTTCCCCGTGTCCCCGTATCCCCCACTGTGAAGCTTTCAACCAAGCTGGATGATCAAGCTGTCCGGGAATCATTGCCTCATTTGATAGCATATCGCTGCTTTCCATCATCCTCCAGGTCGGAACAACCAATCTGTCTCTGGCGTGGGTATCAAGTAGTTGGTGATATTGAACTCGTTCGCATTCACTGAACCATTGCCGTCCATCATGGACCCATTGCCAGTGAGTCCGTGGATAGACATGGGATTCGGCACAGTTTCAGACATGCTGAGATGATTGGCATTCGCACCATCCGTGGCGGTATCCGGGACACAAGTTGGAGGCACACGCGGGAAGTTGAAGAATCCAAAGACATCGAGATATTCCAGTTCATTGGGCGCCGGGTTGCGCGGTGTAATGGCTGCCAACGACGGCCGGCGTAGATCGTTGCTCACGCTCGACGGGGATTCTCGCGGTTGACGGGAAATTAAAAAGTCGAGGTCGAATGCGCATCGCCGCATATCGGCCAGGATTTTGACGGTAGATGGAGTCGTGCGCTCGCCGTCTGTTGCGCCAGACTGTTGATACTCGCTATATTCGTCGAGGACCCGCTGTAAAATATTGCTGTAACGCTCGGCGACTTTCCAGTGCTGGCCCATCTGGGAGAGGGTGTCAACGAAGAAGAGAATGTCCCGGCTGACAGTGTGCGCGATCGTCGAGCCGTGGACCAGGATAAGGCGGGCTGAGACCCAGAGAGAGAATGCGAATGGAGGACCCAGTTTGTTGAGCAGGTTATTCTCGACCACAATCTTGGTGACAGACAAGATGTTGTCAACGGCTAATAGACATCGTTGACTAGCGCTATAAGATGGAGTGAAGATTGGCGAGCGGGTCGTAGGATATGCGGCAGATGAGTGCAAGCGGATCACGGCTCTAAAACAACAGTGTGTGCAATTCGGTTAGGGGGCTCGAATAATTGATAATGAGACGGGGAGAACAGTGAACTAGACTCACGTTTGATAAGTGGCATGAAGCTGTACCCACTCGCTATGGAGCGATCGATTTTGTTTGCCTCCGGCGAAGACTCTTGATGCATTTTCGTACGTGTACTCAAAGGGCAGATTGAACTCCCACGATGTCAGCTCGCTATCAAGCCTGCGGTAAGTCGCTTGCCAATCTTCAACGTCGGACAGCGAGCCAATGTCGACAGGCTTTTTCAAAAACACATGTATGCGAGTGAGAATCCCGAGGATTTCCATATATAACCCAAAGGAACCAACGTTCTCTGCATGGTTGTGGTGGTCCACTCGATCGTTGGTGCTTCGAAACCTCCGAGTCTCGACGGGCTGGTTTTTGAGGAAAAACTCTTCCTTGCAGGGTAGCTTGCGATCAATGTCCTTGTCATCCAATGCGAAATCGAACGCAGTCGCAATGGTGGAATAGCGATCAAGTAGGTAGACCATCCAGAACAGTCGACGCCGGCTTTCATCCTCAATCCAGGATTCAGACTCAGGTAACGTCACGGCCCTAAGCGTGTAAATAGAGGGATATACCGGTGCGATGAGAGCGGATTTTGCTTCGACAGCCAATCCAAGCCGAACTACGGATCTGGTGATGAGAGCAAGCAGTTTCCAACCTGGTGGCCCGTTGGATGAGCCAACCAGGTCAATTGCAAGAATGACGAGAGCCTGGAGGGCCTTCACTGAGGAGCTCTCCAGGCCGTAGAGAAGAACTTTTTGCTTCGACGAGTCGTGATACCGCTTCCGATTTCGATCAGTCAATCGAGAATCAGTAGAGAATCGCAGGGTGGTGGCCACAATTGCGTAGAGTACCATTCGATCTGCTTCCTGCAATGGCGAAGGGCCAAAGAATGTGTCCAAGGTGGAACGGCGATGAAGGATGGGACACCACGTGTTGATATGCTCGAAATAAAGATCCACCAACGCATACAGCAAATCGTATGGTGGAAGATCCAAGTCTGGGTCTGCGAGGCTCTGCTCTTGATTTCCAAACAGACTCACGGGTACCTTTAGAGATGATTCATTCCCAGTATAGTCGTTATTCATCTGTGCGTTGCTTGCTGGGGGTAATGAGCCCAGGGATGGTACTGAGCCTCTGCTGCCCACACCATTGTAGTTCAAGGCTCTCCTCGAAGATTCGGACGGCGTTGCAATCGTCGCATCCGCTCGGTGATGGGGCAGATTCCCCGGCGAGGCATCATTACAATAACCTCCCGTGCGCGGACTAGGGCCGGGCACACCTGAAAGCTCTGGCGGAGAGTTATAACATACGGAAGCAACACACGGTTGGCCATGGCTCCTTGATGCTCGGCCCTGCAGTATATGAGTTTCAATGAGGCGTGCCTGCGCCTGGATGACTTCCTCCAGCTTGTCTGTGAAATAGATTTGAGAAGCAAGTTTCAACTAAACCTGATATCACAACTTACCCAGTCGCTGCTCTAGTTCCTTTCCATAACCGGCTCTCAATCCAGGTTTCTTTCGTTCTCTGTATTCACACAATTGGCCATTGCGTGTACACCAGCCGCAGCTGGGCTGGACCCGATCTACTTCCAGTCCTCATTTTTAGTCTTCAGAGTCTTCGCTTGAGACAATAACGCAGATCTTACGTACCACATTTCACCTTTCTCTGCTTACACAATTCGCACCTTGAATTCCTGGTCAGTCTGGCGTCGTTTCTAGGTGAAAACACCGTGCAATTCACAAACGTACGAAACAGTTAGGGGCCGTTTTCGTTTCAGGGTCCGCACTGCACTGGAGCCATCCAGCTCGTTCTCTGATTCCACCCCGGAGGAGTAGTCACCAGGGCTATACCCCTTTTCGGTGCTGGCATGGTCCAGGGTCGAATGCTGGACCGATTTAGGTGCAGCCGTGTTCGGCATGTTGTTATAGCGAGATGGTCCGCGATTCTTATTGGACAATGACCATCACTCGCGCTTGGCCTAATGATCGTCGCAAGTTTTCTCATACCATAAATGCCCTCAATTCTCCGCGGAGAGTCTCTGGTAAGAGCAGTCAGAGTGCGCTCCCTGAAATGGCGACAGACGGCGAATTTGGACAGAAGCTCAAAGGGCTCGGGTTCGCGGAGTTGCTTCACCGAGCACGTGGCCTGAGGCAGAAAGCCGGGGAATGTATGGGCGACCCCGCGTTTTTGGGGACCTAAAAGTTCCGGTCTCCACTTTAGTAAGGTGAACCGGGCGAGGTCGACTCGCTTCGGTGCATGCAAGATTGCATGAATCGCGATATATGCATCAATACTGGGCCGATTACACATTGCAAGCTAATGGATGCCACTGAAACAATATTCTAAGTTCTAGAGAGATCTCGGGTCAATAAATAAGGCCACAATTCAAAGGTTAATATCATACGCCTTCACGGCAACGCCACCCCAAACTCCTGCCTGCTGCGCAGGTGTGAGCCCTCTTTTATCCAGTATGCCTTCGACTACTTGTATCCATCGATTCCATGAAACCTCATTACCGCCCCCTCCGAGGTTGCAAACTGGCCAGTCGGAGCCGAACATAACGCGCTCACATCCGAAGGCATCGAAAAGAACATCGGTCCAAGGTTTCATGTGAGCAACAAGATCTTCAATGGCAAGCAAGCCGTTGGCTTCTGACAACGGTAGTTCTGAGAAAGCCCCCGAGAGTTTCATGTATGTGTTCGGGCTGGCGTTCGCCATCCGAAGCATCAAGTCTCTCCATTCCACGAACTCCGGGTGAGATGAGACCTCCGAGGGCGCGAGATGCAAATTAGGCTTGCACATGTGGTCTTCAAATTCCCGCTGGTTAGCCTTGCTTTAAACTAGAGGTGCAGGATAGGCGAGGGAGAGGAAACTCACTAATGATGATTTTTACTGGGCTCTGATCTCCCAACTGGCGCATCATCTCCACTGCCTCGCGCAGCTGGTGCAGCCCTCCTTGTCGGGCGTCTACTCCTAGGTCAAAGGTGAGCCCTTGCCGGCCCAGCCACCGTAAACCCTCTATGAATGAATGCTGAAGCATCACACCCGGTGGCTTGTCTTGGACTAGGTACCTGACACCCCGAATCTTGCGCCAAATGGGCTCTTCTTTGGTTCGCTCTTTGACTCGTGCCATGTATGGAAGAAGAGCCTCCGGTCCCCCTGGCAATGGCGCCCATGGGATAATTGCAAGGCAGAGATCTTTATGAGCGGCGTCGTGCCCTTCCCCAGTGATCGGTTCACCCAGGGCGATTCGGGTCAGGAAAGACACTTCGTCCAAGGCATGCTGCCACCCGGGTCCATCAGATTGGTTGTCCGTCACCGATGAAAGGCGATCTGTCTCGAGGAAGACGAAGCCTCGGAGATATTTGGAATCCGGTGCATCATCTCGCATGGACATGGTGGAAGATGCGCGTCGGTATTCGTCAACGCTGTGCTGAGACCCCAGGGGACCACCCGGCTTGTACCATGTCAGCGTTGACAAGTGAGACGCTGGAAAGAGGTGAATGTGGGAATCGACGACGGGGATCGCCATGTTGCCAGATGGCCACGATCACGGGTCTATGCTCTGACGGATGGATTCTGTGAGCGTTGTCTTTGTTGCACCCTATAGGTGAGAATTGTAATCCACGAGATGTAGGCTTTGTGCGACCAAGCCGCTGCTGGTCGGGTCGTCGACGAAGAATTGATGTTATCGCCAAATTGGATTTCCAAAACGTAGATTTACCCTCGGAAGGCTTTGACCCGAATGAACTTTGTCCGGCTCCGTCGGGATACCTAATCCCTGGAATATGTTGAGTGCACAACGTCAACCTGTCTTTAGTGAGTACGGTCCGAATACCAGCTCGATTCAAGATTCTCCTCCATTGAGCGCGCAAATTGGACGTCGTACTTAAATGAGAGCAATTCTGTAGCTACTCCTCTTGCACCTGTCAAAGACCGGGAAATTTCACCGGATCACCTTTACCCGATAGGCCGCAGCGACCGGGGAGGATTCTTGACTCGTGCACGTTTTGCCAATTACCCGATGGCTCAAGACAAACGGAAGAATCAAGCAAGCAGGGCGATCGCGGATAATCATTATGTGCTATATCTCCACCTGTTGAATCTGTCGTGTGCTTACATTTCTTCATTGTGAATGTACCGCAGTGGTCTTTCGAACAGCTCATAATTTCCCATAGTCAACGATGACGTGCTAATGAAAGGTGAACTAGGGACTTTCCTGTCACAATGATCATAGATGGATGGAGCTTTCTGAGGTAATCGAGGGACCTGACTGCGGCAGAACATGTCCATTGATTTTTTAACTTCTGATTGTACCACTCATCTATCTCATTAATCATAAAAATGCGCTGCGTCTTCCCTCCTTGTTCGTTTTCTTCCGAGGGCGACTCCTTATCGCTATAAGGATACAGCATGGCCAGCGAGCACGGATCAAGATGACTTTTATTCGGACTTTGAGGCTGCCCCAGCCACCGCTACTGGTGTCAGATGCATGATTTCAGCCACTTCCTCGTCGATCAGTGGCCCTGAGTATTCTTTCCTTGCACGGGCAACATACCAGATGCCACTCAGGATGAGCACACCTCCGGTCACGACTATACTGTAATTCATGGTCGTGTAGTCAACTGGAGTTGCAGGAGGCCAGACGCTCCAGAAGATGACGAAGACCATATACACGCAAGCGTACGCATTATTTATGGTGCCAAGTATCCCGGGAACTTTCCACGGACCCCAGATCAAAGGTGCTTGGGCAATATCATACTCCGTCGGTGGCGCATGGGGCCGCTGGGCAGTACTGCGTTCGGGACTGTGGGCGGAACGGACTCCCTGGGGAGTTTCGGGATTCTCTGGGCTCTTGGGGCGCAAGGGCATTGTGGATTTCTCTGTCGAAGTAGGCGCAGATGCATTGACGAACACACCAGCCTCGGAGAGACCATCCATCATGGTTCCGTGGGGCAGAATGTGTCCCCTGACTCGATGGTACAGAAGGAAGGCGCTGGGGACAAGATACGTGCCATAGAATCCTGTCACGGTCAGGGAGATCACATCGTTGAATGCAGTGGTGGATCCAATATAAATGAGCGTCAGGGCACAGGCAAGCCCACAGACTACGGTGACAGCTACAACCGGAACGTGAGTGCGACCATTTACCTGCATCAGCCAACGAGAGAATGGGAGACCCCGATCCCGGGCAAAAGACCAGGTCATTCGGGATGCGGTGGCTGTAATTCCGGTCGAGCAGGCCATGGTGAGTACGATGATCAGGGCCGTCATGACTGAAGCAGCTGCGTGTGAGTGGGTGACATTGTAGAAGATTTGGATGAAGGGGAATCCAGTGGCCGAGTTCAACACAGACTCGACGTCTCCGATGCAGAAGAGAACGGTGAGCATCATCGAGAAGCCAAGGGCACTGTTGATTGACATGCCCGCAATGATCGCTTTCGGAATGACGACGGCGGCATTGGCGACCTCTTCGGCCATGTGCACACTGGCATCGGCGCCGACAAAGGTTGCGATATTGCCAATGAAACCAACACAAAACGAGATCCCTTGGGTCGGCCAATTCCCTTCATTGAGCACAGTGTGGAAGACGAAGTCTGCGGATTTCTTCGGCGACATAGCCAAGAGCACCGCCGTGATGGCGATGAATCCTGCCAAGTGGAGGACGAGCATGAATATCTCAAACCGGGGCAAAATGTTGGGTACCACGACATTGATGAGGAACGTGCCAGCCACGCTCGCCCATGCCAAGAGCGTGTTCTGCCAACGCTTCTGGGCAAAATCCGGGTTGTTCAGGGTGATCAGGCCTTCGATCATGGTGCCGAGGAATATGGTCTCCGTTGCGATGGTGGCGATCCACGCCAAGGAAGTCAGCCACCCGATCAGGTAGCTGCAGACTTTCTTCCATCGCATCGGCGCAAGCATATAGACCCAGTAGTATTGTCCTCCCGCAATCGGTGCCATGGACGCAAGCTCCGCGATAACCGTGTACGTGGACAACGTGGACAGACAGGCGATAATATAACCAAAGAAAGCTCCTGCAGGGCCGCCATTCTCAAAGGATTGAGAGAACAAAGTGAGAACCGTCTCCCAAGTGATCAGCTCGGCCATTGCGAATCCCACGATGGCCAGGAAGTTGAATCGACGTTTGAGCACCTGCTTCTTACCCAATCGGGCAAGCGCCAGATCATCGCTGGTCTTGGGACCCCTCTCGGCCTGCATCGTGCGGTCTAAAAATATGCCAACAGCGGGCGTTGAGCCTCTGGTGTGGTCAATGCAACTGCTGAAAGACACGCCGTGGGAAGTAACAAGGAAGCAGGGCCGATTACGCTTCAAGCTGAAGCATATCTCTTTCCCGTGCACAAATATCTGCCTTCAGAGGTACTGTAGATCGGGTATCTTTTTGCGACAGGACAATTGGAGGGGCAGGAAAAAAAAGACAACCCACCGCCAGGATTTTGGGGCAAAATTGCTGTTGTGCAATTTTTCATGAGTGATGCGCCGACCGACAACCGAGGCTTGTCGTGCTGCGGCTCGACATGCAGGAACCTTCGCTAAGCACCTGCCAATGCCGCCGTCATCTCCACTTTTGTTTACTTGGCTGCTTGGCCAATAATCCGGGGACCCGTGGTGGAACTGTTTGACCACTCCTCGAGTCCAATCGCAGCTTCGAGGTTAACTAATGGCAGCCTTTTTGCGTGGTGCACACTGCAAGTGCACACTGCAAAGTACAGTGATTGTGGTCGATGAGATATAGGGGATCAAGAAGTCGACATCAAATTCCAGGCAGGGAGCAATGAGCAGAACATTCTGTCATCTAGGAATCTTCACTCGACAACCGACGAGCCAGGATCTAAGATGGGGCCCCATACTCAGCTGCACTACTACTAGTCTACTACTACTACTACTACTACTACTACTACTACTACTACTACTACTACTACTACTACTACTACTACTACTACTACTACTACTACTACTACTACTACTACTACTACTACTACTACTACTACTAGTGCTGAGTACTGACACGTGAGTGTACGGCGGATTCTGTCAGTGACGGCCTCGACATCTATAACGAGTCAACAGATACTGCCAGTTCCGCGCAGAAGCGATGAGTGGATTGCTTTCTGTCACTATGCTGACAACCATAAAACGAGTCAATGTCAGTCTTACTCTGTGCTATCTGTACGATTCCCTGAAACAAACCACCGCGGCGCAAAAGGATATTATCGCCGTAGCTCTTCGAATGCATTTTAGGAGCTCCTTACGGGCAAAGTAAACCGAGTCTGCCTCATTCGTAAATGTTCTCGATTACAGGTCATCAAGAGGCAGTCCTGGCTTCGTAAATCTTGTTATTGATCTCCAGAGCCTGGAGCGGTCTTCCCGGAGCATTGAAAACGCGATGCAGCTCACAACGTCACAGTTCCAGTTGACCAGGTTGCTTCGATTGCTTCTAGAGTGATCTACAGTCTACACATTGTACAGTACAATGACAACCACGCGGAGAAAAGTGCTCAAAACGCCATGTCAACCTTATGAAGCGAACATTACCTAATAGATTACCCCGTTGGCTGGTTTTAGCGTTCGACGGCTTCTCCCTGTGCATTTGCCTTGCACCATAACAAACTCTCTTTCAACGGCAGAAGCAGAAAGCCTCTCGGAGTCTTGCCGAGAGACTTGACTCTGTTCACCCCAGCATGGGGCTGTCAAGGGTGTTATTTGCGGGGTTTGAGACTGAAGAGTGGTACCCCTTCTCCAAGTGTAGATGATTGGAAGGGACTGGTATGTCGGGGGAAAGGAGATTTAGCTTGCGGGGCCTGCCATGAAAGAGGCAATCTAGGACCGATTGTCTTATTCGTCTTATTTAATTTATTCATTTTCTAACAATGGCGTGTCATTGTTTCATGACCCGGGCTCCTTTTGTACTGCATAATGCATACTGCATTCAGTATTGGCAAAATTGAACTTCGCTTTCATTCAGGAACAATGAACAGTCTAGGATGCGCAGCCCGTCCATCCTGTCTAAAGCTTTGTCTATGCCTCTTTCACCACTACATGGAAGAACTGAAATTCTATGAGAAATCCTTCTGTCTATGGTGACCTGAAAGGGACCCAGTGGACAATGGACACTGGCAGTGTTGCGGTATATAGCCCCAGACAAAAATAATGTCGGCAAATATGACGGCGTCTCGTCCTTTTCGCCTCTGATTCAGAAACACATAGCATTCTGCTCGAAACGCGTAGTCCTCGCTTACCATGTCCCTAACCAAGCTGATCAAATGTCCCGATCCCAGTCGATCGAACAGATCTCAATCACGAGCGAACCTCCGATACGGGGATGTAGAAAAAGAAGGACTGGCATTGCAAAAATGTTTCAGTCCCAGGCCCGGCGACTCCGATCGGGTTCAAGCCCGAGTCATTGAATTCTCCGGCCATTCGCCCTGGTCACCCCAGGATTTCGTCCGAACCGGGTGGGCCATTGAACGTCTGGGCTGGGCCGAGGCAGGTCGGGCACCATCCTTCCCAGGAGGCCGACCGCCGCAGGGCTGGAACCCGGCATCGGCGCCCCTGACAAGCCTGCCCTGGTCCATTCGACCGGTCGCCCGGCAATTAGGTCTGTCGCTTGGCCCCCTCTACAGGACCGTCTCGCTGTTCAAAATGGTCCAGGACGATGCAGAGAGCGACTACAGCGACTACATCATTCAGGTTGGGCCGGGGGTGATTGTGTCCCAGTTGAGTTCGCGATTTCGCGGTCCACACTGGTCCGATGTCGCGCTGGCGGTGTACAAACGATATGAGCGCGCCCCACTGCGGTACGTGTTTCGCGTGGATATCACCAACGAGGTGGTCGAGCGCTTGATCAGTGACAAGATCTATTCGGCGACGACCACGGGGTTGCGGTGGCCGGACTCTGTGCGGCGCGAGTGGACGTATGGGTCCCGTGAATATAGGGCTCTCTTGGGGACGCCGCTGGGTCGGGGAGTGGTCGCCTTGGTTCTGAGGGGGTATGATCGCGGTACGAAGCTTATTTCGAGCATCTCCACCTTTTCGGATGCGCATCATGTCTCGATGCACATGCTGTTCGTCATCTCTGATCGCGGTCCGTGATGGTGGAGGGCATGTGTACGGCAGAGCCACCGCAGAATGTAGAACCAAATTGACTTTTGGAACAGTTCAGCCAGAGGCCATTTGGAGTTGGGACTTGCTCTCGTGCCCGGATAGACACGGATAAAATATAGGCTATTCATCCGCCGTGCGGGAGGTTGCGGGTTTCCAGTCTGATGGGAAAGCCTGGCGTGGCTCGACGGGCAGATGACCTGCAGGGGACGGATGAGATCCGACTTGACACCATTTCTGAAGCGTCCATTTTGCAGCGCAGGTTTGGGTGGGATGAACGGGCCGCAAGGGGTGGACTAGGGGGGGGGGGGGGCTCAATGGAAAGATCCGGGATTCCTGTTTGTCTTGAGACGAGGTAATAATCTATTGATCCTTTATCAGTCCAAGTGTGCCCCCTGCTAGGGTAATGCTAGTTCCGTTGTAGGCTAGGGGCTGGCATACAACAACTCGACGGTAGACTTTCTGTACGTCTGATTCTTATTTTATTATAATTATTATTGTGATTATTATTATTATTATTATTACTACTACTATTGTAGTAGTAGTGCTAATATCCAGTGGTCAATTCCTCCAAATGCCCTCCCCCTACCCTATCAAGACTCCACCACTCGCATGTCGCAGGAGAGCCAATGGCACATATGGCCAGGGTGATGGTCACTCTGGCGAGCCATTCAGATCCCATCAAAGGGACGAGATTTCCAAGGCGTCGCAGAAAGCTTAAATCTGCAACCAAACGCGTGGGATACATTATCCCCGCCAATCAATCCCCATTTATTTGCCATCCTTCTAGAACGCCTCCTCCCCCGATCGGGACTAGACTACTGATAGCGCTGCCAAAGAGTACGAGGTTTGATCCTTTCGCTCGGCCTTATTGGGCCTTTTTGGCCGCGTGGGTTGCTGATAACCTCGTTCTTCTGTTCGGGGTTTCTTTCTCAGCTCTGTCCGCCACTGCTCTCTTGTTCGGGTCGAGCGTTTTCGCACTTGTGGAGGATCGGGCGTTGCCTGGCGATAACCCAAGACGACGGAGACTCTTGTCGTGTGGCCGGCCTTGGCAGAATAAAAGGCCTTGGCAGGCTCTTGGATTGACAGCAAGTGGACGCTGGCCACGAGACGCATTCCAACTGCATGACCTTGAAGATCCAGGTTGCCTGGTCCCCTGAGGAGCGACGGGCCTCCCGACTACTTACAGGGCTCTCGAATGCTGGTCGTGTTATCGACGGGAGCCCCGACGGATGACCCCCAGGTGGTCCGGCATGCGGTGATCAGCCCAAGTGGAGACGGGGTGGCAGTGGGCAGTGGCAGTGGGCACTTGGTAGTTTGTAGTTGTACAGACCGGTGGGCACTGGGCACGGTCGCCTCGTGGAGCACCTGCTCGAGCGGACTGAGGGAATGGCTTTACTTGGCTATCAGTAACCGTTGTTTCGTGTCAACCACGTTTCCCCGATGTTGGACTTGGACTAGGTTTCACTAAACTCACCCATTGGTGTGTACCTGCCGATGGAGAGACCCTTTCGAACTCCTCAAAGGACCGCTTTGGCATCAGTCGGGACTCGGGAGCTGGTGCTTCTACCGTGCTCGAAGAGAATCGGCAGGATCGCGTTGGGATCGCATGGGAGTCGGTTCGAGCACGAATCAGCACCGGGGATGGATCCCCCGTACCCTGATATACAACATGACATCCAATGATTCAACGGTCAGCATGCCCTGTACGACTGTGTAGCAGACTACGCAGACAACCTTACCGCCTCCCCGATGTGGCATCACCCCCGTGATCACAACCAGCCCTCCCAGCTGCCCGTCCCGTCCACCACCCAGTCAAACTCAACACCCAACACGCCACTCTGTCGCTCCGGTTGACTCCTCGAAAAACGCGGGGTGAGATCCACCGGCAAAGGCTCTGGACACGTTCGCTGGAGGCGTCTCTGCCAGCCACGGTGCCACTTGCTAGACCGGCTTATCATCTGACGGGGCCCAAAAGTCAAATCACCACAAAAGCCTGAAATCCCTCATCTGCCACTGGCCGGGCCCGATCACGGCCGGACCGCGCAGCATGCATTGATCCTCTCAAGATAAGCGCATTTTGGGTGACGGCACTCCGCTTTTCATTGGATCGCACCCACGGGCTTCCCATCGTCAAGGGCCTTATCTTCCTAATGCGGTTGGCCTGACCGGGCGTTGGCCGGCACAGGGCCTATCAGAGGGATCTGAGAAGAGTGTCCAACCTTTCTGGGAGAACGCCACCGCTGAGGGACTCGAACGGGCTGAGGTTACTAGCTCGGGTGAAGGAGCACATGGATAGCGGGAGGAACTGGCAAGAGGTGAACATTGAATTGAGGCAGCCACAATACATGAGATGTTATATAACACCATCGGGGTCCCCAACATGAGCGTGCTCGAGCGCATCCCCCTTTCCTCTCTGCCCAGGAATCCGTTCAGGCATTCCCTGATTTCCTTTGGTCTTCCCCCTTTCCTTCTGTCTTTCCATTTCTTTCGCCCACCTTGACAAGATGACCGCCATGGACGAGGACATCGAGAAGAAGGGAGTGACCGCGGTCACTCCCCATGGCGAGGGAGGTGTACCGGCGTACGACGATGTTGCAGTCGGCAGCGCCCCCGAGGTGAAATCTCTCAAGCGAAACTTGCAGGGTCGTCATATGCAGATGATTGCCATTGGTATGAGACACTCTCATGAGCTCGGAGTTGATCAACACAGATTGGTGTGGAGTTGGGACTAATACTTAACTTCCCTCGCTTCGCTTAGGTGGTTCTATCGGTGCCGGTCTGTTCGTCGGTACAGGTAGTGCGCTGCAAAGTGGAGGTCCCGGAGCTTTGGTGAGTCCCGGTCTTGTTGTTCGAGGAAGTGTGATCATCAGCTGACGCAGGCTGCAGTTGATATGTTACTTGATTGTCGGTGCCATGCTTTTGCTTACCGTGCAGGCTCTGGGAGAGCTGGCCACGGTGTACCCTGAAAACGGTGCTTTCTTCACTTACTGTGTTCGGTTCATCAACCCTGCCTGGTAAGCACTCACATCCTCTCGTTCTTTGCTTGTCTTTTCACCCAAGTTGGTCGTCTAACACTTTCACTTCTCTTAAGGGGTTTTGCGGTTGGTTGGGACTACGCCATTAGTTGGCTGATCATTCTACCCTTCGAAATCACGGCCGCCGGTATTACCATCCAATTTTGGCGCGACGATTTAAATGTCGGAATTTGGATCGCCGTCTTCCTCACTGTCCTCAGCTTGATTCAATGGTTTGGCGTCCGTGGTTACGGTGAAGGTGGGTATCCCTCTTCTCACGTGGATTGACTTGGGGGGTGGTGCGTGCTTGAAACATTCGCTTACACCTTCCATTCACACAGTCGAATTCGCACTCGGTTTGATGAAAATCATCGCGGTCATTGGCTTTATCATCCTCGGCATCGTCATCGACTGTGGTGGTGCCCCCAGAGGAGGTTACATCGGTACTGAGTACTGGCGCAATCCCGGCGCCTTCACCACCTTCCCCGGCTTTTGTTCAGTGTTCGTCACCGCGGCTTTTGCCTTCTCCGGTACTGAGCTGGCTGGTCTGGCTGCCGCCGAAGCTGCCAATCCCGCCAAGTCCGTTCCCAAGGCCACCAAGCAGGTCTTCTGGCGTATCATGATCTTCTATGTCCTGGCCACCTTCGTCGTTGGTCTGATCGTGCCCTCCAACGCCGACTACCTGCTCAACTCCTCCGGTGCCAACACCAAGGCTTCTCCCTTTGTCGTCTCGATTCAGAACGCGGGTATTGCTGGTCTGCCCTCGGTCATGAATGCCGTCATTACCATCTCCGTGATCAGTGTCGCCAACTCGGCGACCTATGGCTCCAGCCGTACTATTCAGGCTCTCGCCCAGCGTGGCATGGCGCCCAAGATCTTCGCGTATGTCGACAGCAAGGGCCGCCCCGTGTACTGCGTGCTCCTCCAGATTGCCTTTGGTTTCCTCGCCTTCATCAACGAGGCCTCTGCTACGGGTAGCGTCATCTTCGGCTGGCTTCTTGCCCTCTCCGGTATCAACTCCCTCTTCGTCTGGGGCAGCATTTGTCTCGCACACGTCCGCTTCCGCGCTGGATGGAAGCACCACGGCCGTGACATCAGCGAGCTTGCCTACGCTGCACCCTTCGGTGTGCTCGGTAGCTGGATTGGCTTTGGACTCAACGTTCTCTGTCTGGTCGCCACCTTCTACACTGCCGTGGTGCCTATGAATGCCGAGGTCTTCTTCGAGAACTACCTTGCAGGCCCTCTGATCATCGGTCTCTATTTCTTGTGGATCGCGTACACCACGTTCAACAAGGACCCTAAATTGGACCGAGGCGCCTCATTCGTCAAGGTTCAGGACATGGACATGTTTAGCAACATGCGTGATACGGCTCTGGATGTGGATCTGCCTCCCAAGAGAGTGTACAACACTTGGGGTGAGTGGTTCGCGGCTGCGCCTATGCGTATTGTTCGTTCTATTTTCTGAGATGCTCGAAGAAGCTCTCAGCAGCGGCTATTGTCAGTCCCGACGTGGCAGATGTATTCATAATTACCAATCTACTCAATCAGACTTTTCAAGTCCGATGCTCCCATGATAAGAATGCTGAGATCCAGAGATCACCCCCGTCCCCGTCTCGGCCTCCATCGTAAATGTAGAACGAACCATTGCCTCGCATCGCCAAGATTTCTACAGGCTGTGTTACTTTCCATGTTTGCGGGCTCTATTCAAAGCCCAACTGCTCCTGTCCTACTCTGTAAGAGACACTGCCCATTCTTCCGTCGGCCGCTTTGCCAATGGGGATAGATCAGTCGGCGGTGCGGCACTCCCTTCAAGTCATCTAGCATAGTCAGATCTAACGCTTGACAAAACAATCTTGGAAACAAAGACATATACAAAACACTCCCTCTACTTTAGTCTGTACGTCGATCGAGTCTGGAACATTCTAACACAGCAGTAAAAGTCTACGGTAGGAATGCTACTACCTTGGAGGTGTTCGTAACTCATGCTGCGCTTTACGTGGGGGTAACATCAGCAGGCGGGCGTAACCCGACCATGGATGGACCTTGTGTCAGTTATGTCACCGACCGGGACCAGATTCATCGCTTGGACCTGCATAGGAACGGAACTGGCCCCTTCAGCTCCGACAAATATTTGACCTCACCACCCCGACTTGAAGTTGTTTCGGTTCTTACATATAGTCTGCCATCAACTCTAGTCGTCAGATGAAAGTTTCAAAAACATTGGTGAAGACCCAAGTAACCAGTAGCTACCAATACCCGAGCTCGACCTCAACTTCAACCACGCAACAAGCTTACTTCTCCCATCCATCATGATCACCGGCATCGCCCACGTCAATCTGACCGTGACCGCGGGGAGTCTGGATTACGCACGGCAGTTCTACGGCGAGACACTCGGTCTTCAATCGGCGCCTGTGCCGCAACATCGCGTCGGGTCATTGGTCTGGTATGTTTTGGCTGGCTACACAGTCACTGTGACTGACCGATGTAGTGTGTCAATGTAGTATCTGACACTGGACCGCCCCAATCTACATGTCGAGAAATGAAGGAGGCCTCCTGATACTGAGTGCTGACATTCCAAACTCTCTGACCAGGTTCGACATTGGCTCCAGTGGCCAGCAAATCCACATCTCGTGCGGGTCTACAGACCCGGAGTCCAAACGACACCCATGCTTCCGACTGCCGAGCCGCGAGGAGTTGGAGACTTTGCAGAACAAGATTTACGAGCACCATCTCCGTGGTGGTCCGGCTGCGCCAATGGCGGCTGATAAGCCTGGGGAGGGCAGTTCTGGTACGTACGGAATGGTTTTTGAAAACGAGAGAAAAAGGCCCGAGACGATTTGTCATTCAATTTGGTGGCTTTCGAATATCGATGGCTTTATTTTTTTGGGCGTTGAGACCGAATGAAGGCTAATCGGGTTTGGTCCCTGATATTATCAGTCTCGACGTCCGGTTCGACCGAGTATCCGCGACGGTTTTTTGCGAGAGACTATGCGGGTAATTTGCTTGAGTTTACATTGTAGGAATTTGATGGTCTGATTCATGCTCTTGCATTCATGGTCCATGGTACATGTCGGCGCATAGTTCGTGGATACTAGAGTTATAGAGTAAGGTAAGTACTGGAGAACACTGGAGTCGGATATAGAAAGCCATGCAAATAAGTACGAAAGAAAACGAAAACCAGCGGGGCTGATTTTCAATTACCACTACTGGTCCCTCCCACCTAGCGGTCGTGTCTAGTTCTGTCTACAGTATCCAGTCCGGAGTGGAGAAACCGGGGATATACAGCATAGTCATGTATAAGCAAAAGAACAAAGCTCCATCCAGGGTTCGAACCTGGGACTCGAGAAGACCAGATGCCTATCCGAAGACGGGATGCTGTCAAAATCTCACGTGCTAGACCACTACACTAATAGAGCGCTTTGAGTCTTTTTCCCCACAATTGCTGTATATCAAGCGTCAAACTTCAAGCTTCTCGTAATTTGTCACAGGTTCTAGAAGTGCAGCTTTTTCCCAGGTTTAACCATATTATCTATACCTACATTTATGGACTGCCCTATTTGAAGTTTTGTACAATAGTATACATGTACTTCTTTTATCCATCAGATCCTGGGTCTAAGCACAGTACATCTATCTCCGAGACTGTAGTACTATAATCATCGCGGGGAAAGATGCGGGGTAATTAACGGATGTGGAGGCCATACATTTCAAGTTATGTCTGGTGCTAAACGATCATCATACCATCCATTCTACTTCGGTACTCTACGAACTCCAGCGTGCGGGGTCACCGTGAGCTCAGCTCGCGGACTCGGTATCTTGTTCAAGTCTGCCCACGCGTGCCTTGAGGGCAATTCCCATATAAAGAGAGCAAGGTGCAATGCTCAATACAGATCTCGCACGCCCCAACATACTCGCATGCCTCAAGGATGGGACAACAGATGCGCAATTTCGATGCTTCATGGTACCCCGGCTGCACGATGACCGAGGTCCAGCATTGGCGAACTCCACCGATGACCGATCGCACCCCTCACCAACGGTCCAATATGGTAGCATCTGTCCGCGATCCCTCAACGATCATACCAGGCTTTCAGAAGCCGGTCAGACTTCCGAGTCTAGCCCCCTCCTCTTCTTGTGGAATGTGCTGTGTAAATGGAGGAATCGGATCATCATGCCAATCCTTGACCCCGCGATCGTATGCCTCCGGTCCCCTCCACTCTGAGGTGCCCTGGCTATCTGGCTTTTGATGTAGTTCGGTCTTGGTACGGACGGGTGGCAAAGAGATAAATAGGCTCCAGTCAACCAACGGTAAGCTACTGCTTTCATCACTTCTGTGCTTCGCATATTGGAGCAGTGTCCGAATCCCCGTATCAATCAAGCTCACCATATCGATCGAGCTCAAAATTCAGTACAAAAAGACCGCACCACTCATTCTCAACTACTGCCCTACCTTGTCAACTATGGCAACTGTGGATGTTCCTCAGAAGCAAAAGGCGGTCGTCTACGACCAGCCGGGAACAGTCTCTACCAAGGTCGTAGAGATCGATGTCCCTGAGCCCGGCGCTGGCGAGGTTCTCATCAACTTGTAAGCAATTCTACCTACCTTGGGAGGTCGTGCACAAGATTGCAATGGCGTGCTGATTCTGTCGGGGTTTCACAGAACGCACTCTGGCGTGTGCCACTCCGACTATGGCATCATGACAAACACGGTATGTCGTGCAAGCTCTCAATCTGTCCTCTTTAGGTTCCGATGGCTGACCCCTTCCCAGTGGAAAATGCTCCCTTTCCCAACTCCCCCCGGTCAAGTCGGAGGACACGAGGGCGTCGGTAAGATTGTCAAGCTTGGCGCGGGCACCGAGTCCTCTGGGTTGAAGATTGGAGATCGCGTGGGCATTAAATGGGTAGCGAGTGCCTGTGGAAATTGCCGTACGTATCGTCGAACTTGACCCTACTGCTTGTGTGAAGAATTCCTGGTGGCTGATGGTGATTCTCCCCAGAACCATGCGGAGCTGGCTTCGACGGATTGTGCTTCAACCAGAAAGTCTCCGGCTACTACAACCCAGGAACCTTTCAGCAATACGCACTAGGACCAGCCAACTATGTGACACCAATTCCCGACGGGCTGGACTCTGCTGCTGCCGCCCCCATGCTCTGCGCCGGTGTGACCGTATACTCCGCCCTGAAGCGAAGCAACGCTCGACCCGGCCAATGGGTCGTTATCTCAGGCGCCGGAGGTGGTCTCGGTCACATCGCCGTGCAACTTGCCAGTCGAGGCATGGGCCAGCGCGTGATTGGCATTGACCACGGAAGCAAAGCAGATCTGGTCAAAGAGTCCGGTGCGGAGCACTTCATCGACATCACACAGTTCCCCAAGGACGACAACGGCGAGGCGTTACAGAAGCACGTCAAATCCTTGACAGAGGGGCTGGGTGCCCATGCGGCTATTGTCTGTACAGCTGCGAATGCGGCCTACGCTCAGGCGCTGCCCTTGTTGCGATTCGGCGGCACTCTCGTCTGTGTGGGCATCCCCGAGCATGAACCCCAGGCTATTGCGACGGCGTTCCCGGCATCTTTCATCAATCAACATTACACGGTGACGGGGTCTGCGGTGGGAAATCGCACGGATGCGATCGAGACGATGTCCTTTGCCTCTCGTGGTATTATCAAGGCTCATTATCGGTTGGAAAAGATGGAGAATCTCACTTCGGTGTTCCAGGAGATGGCAGAGGGAAAGCTGCAGGGTCGTGTGGTGCTAGATCTTACTCAGTGACCTATCTCGTCATCTGTCTCTTGAGTTATGTACATATCCTGCGAACAAAGACATTGCGACCCCTTTTTGATTATTTCCCAAGGGATCCCATGACATCTGACATCATGAAACCTGTGAGGTTTCTGCATTCATCCCCTCTTGCGACGGTCGGGCATGTCCAATGAGAAGAAGTCCATGGTGCTTAGAGGAAGCCAAAACGATCGGCCAGAGCCAAAAAGATTGACCGACGCAGGGGTCGAACCTGCAATCTCTTGATTCGTAGTCAAGCGCCTTGCCATTGGGCCAGCCGGCCGCTGAGATCCAGTGTCCAGTTGAGCCACCGGTGCGAGTATGACATGTCATAGAAAATTTTGGCTTTATATTAGATCTAGCTCTCTCTTCGTATTAACTCCCAGCACAATTGTTGAAATTCACTCCCGGTTGTGAGAGCTTCTGTTCCTCGTTTCGATTTGATCTCAATGGGTGGATGAGTATTGAAATAAATGCAGATAATTTCGACGACACATCCTTCTTTCACAGCTAAGGTATGGATTTGGTTGCGACAGGTTGGTAAGATATAAATGTAGTAAACCTACGGATGTGGTGTTGACCTGTGGGGACGGGCTGAGCCTGATCAACAGAAATACATTGGGAGATGGGACATCGAAGCCAAATGTCGGGCTATATTATATGCGGGCTTCCACCACCCGACATAAGCTCCAATTTTGTCATTATCGGGATCTGGAAGGAAGATAAACGCATGCACAGCCGGGGCACGATACTTGAAGTTTCTACCATGCGTATCGAATTAAATGAGCATAGCTTATGCCGGAAGTGAACCTTCAGCTGGAATCATTGCCCGATTTATATAGTTGTTTGACACGCGCAGTCTGCAGCACCTCATTTCCACGAGCTAGTCGAGGTAGGTCCCTCCGCGCGGAAGTTGAGAACATCCTCAACATCGATCATTAGTTCTCATACGTGACGTACTTGACTGTTCATATCATCGCATGGAAGAATTTTATCTCCAGTTGACTTAAGGGACAGCGGGACCTAGTTTGTGTAGGTAAGCCTGCTAAGACAATAAGCGTGCAGGAAGATCTTATGGATAGTGTCGGGAGATGTTTTGTGGGAATAGACTTCATGTCATCGATCGAGTATAATGAATGAATTTCAGATATGAATGGATCACGATCTGAATGATATGGGATCATATTGATGCAAACATATGAAACTAACTCCAGCATGGGACAATAATGTATAGGTCAGCTCGGTGGGAGTTAGAGAAGAAAAGGAAAGAATTGAATAAATTCTTTCATACGCTGTACACTTATCATGCATTCCTGAAGAGGTCTAATTACATGAGCAGTAAAGAAATACCAGTAACCTACCTCAAGACTGACCGAAACAGACACCAGCGGACTTCCCTCATGTCATCGAGTGCTTTCCCCATCAAAGACCAGCACGTATGCGATGAAAAGTGGAGTAAGCTTCTCTCACTTCTCAGACAGGCCTGTCTGCATTGATCAGCCAGGAAATGAGAACAACGATGGATTGAACTAATTGGTCTCCCTTGGTCGAACCGTGAATTTTCAGGATCTCTGAATCAATGCTCACGGGAGCCCACGACACCTCTTCGGGACACTCATTTGCGCAGTGTCTCGACTTCATGATTCCACAGCTTCATGGTATAGCAATGTTGCTCACTCTTTTGGTTTTCGGCCGCTGGGCTGAGGGGCCAAGTAAAATAGAAGAAGGGGTTCACTTCTGAATCTCACCTCTCCCTCTCTCCTCCTCGTCCCTTTGCTCCCACATCACTTTGATTCAATTTTCACCCTCTCCATACGAGAAAGTTTCACATTAAGCAGTCCACACACACAGTCGCAATGACTTTCACTTGCGAACGTGTCCAGCCTACCGCTCCACAGCTGTATATTGCAGTTCCCCAGCTGATCTCACACGTGGACTGGCCTCACTGGTCAAACTACAACAGAAGGCTCGTCAAGGTCTGCGGCGTCTGGGAATACTGCAATCCCGAAATGACCAAATCCGAGTACAATGGCCAGCTCGTCGAGCTTCCCTTCATACGAATCCCACCCGAGATCAGCGACTTCCGAAAAGATCTCACCTCGATCTCGGACCTCGAGGACTCGGATATCGATCGCCTGACGGATGCAATCCACCAGTACAAGCAAGGCAAGATTGCAAATGGTCATAGAAGTACGGCCCTCGACACCATCCGCGGCATAATCGTCGTTTCCGTGGTGAGACCGACCCATGACGAGAACAAGAGCATTGAAGAAGATACAGAAAGAGCTCGGCATGTCCTTGTACGGACCCAGGATCCAGGTAACGAGGAGATAGTCGGGACCCAGTCGGTCAACAGCTCGAGATGGTGCACATATGAAGAAGAGGCCATTGCAGCCAAGTCACTGCGCAGCTCGAGATGGCGCGCAGATTCACGAAACAACACTCAAGGATGGAGTTCAGAAGAAGGAGTGGTCACTAGAACGGTGCCAATCTGCAGCTCGAGATGGTGCGCTTTCGAGAAGGAGGTCATTGGAGCAGAGACCGCTGATCTAGACGCTACTGAATCCGAGACGGTCTGCAGCTCGGTATAGGATTTGGCTGATGAAGTGGCCAGTACCTAGGTCCGAGACAGTCTGCACCACGATCTCCAATTGAGAATAGAGTTCAGCATGACGAGGATACAGAAGACGAGACAGCTTCTGCTACCACCTACATGTGATGATTTGAAGATGGAAAAGGGACCCCGGTCTAGTGTGAGGTTGCGGCTGGATTTTGGCTTTATGGTAAAACTCCTGCCGTTATCTTTACCCTCAAGTGCAGCGTTCGATATATTCAGAGTGAGGACGAAAGTGCGATACTCTTCTCCTTGATTGTTCTGATCGTCCAAGATGGTCAGGTTTTCATCTGGCGAGGGAGATAAAAGGGAATTTCCAAAGCAGAATTCAAGAAACAATAAACATTCAAACACCTCCAGTTCGGCTTGAAATAGCTGGACCTGCACCTCCAAAGGCCGTAGATTGCCATGGGCTCCAGGTCACAAAAATACTACACGATCGCTGTAACTTTCATCCACTGCTGTAGAGAGAAGTCGTCACAGTGCTGATCATGACGTTTATTGAGACCCAAGTCCGCCGCCCTGGAGTCCAATCTATTTCTATAGCACTTTTCGGACGTGGAGTACGCGGAAAAAGTATCAAGTACGCTTAAAATCTTGCCTTGAAATCCTCCAGCAAGCCTACTTCCAAGAATACCAAGAAAAAAGGATACCGTGTCTGCGAAGGAGCGCCTGCAATCTCCGTTCCTACAATCGAGCGGTGACTGGCGCCGATGGCTAAGTCATATCAAGAGCACCGCACAAAGCTCTGGTATCTGGGATTATTGCGATCCGACAATTCGATCCGACAATTCGATCCGTCAAGTCGTTGGCAGAATCACTGGCTGATCTGGACCTGTCCGGTTTCACGAACCTGCATTCCCTGGCTGCAAAGCACAAAGCAGAGCTAGCGACTTACCGAGAAAAGCGACGAGCTCTCGATGATCTCTACAATACCATCATGAAGTCGATCTCCTGCGAATATAGACCTCTTCTTCAGGACGTGCAAGACCAACCGTAGTGAACAGTTGAAGATTGCCTCCGGGATATTTGACCGCCCACCACTTCGGACTCTGGAGAAGCTACAAGAAGAATGGGAAACCATCCAGAATGTGGGCAAGTCGTACGCTGTGATCTCACTCATTTCTTAACTTCATGAACATTACGAGGTCTAAGATAGTGTGTAATCACACTTAGAAGCAAAGCTTTTTGTCCTCGGCCAAAAATTTCTCGGTCTCAGGCGCCATTCAAACCCCCTGGCCCCCCAGTGACCCGTGTTTCAGCGGCCATCTTTTGGGAATCGATCAAAAAGTCTGCGACAACAATCATGAATCATCGAGAAAGCTGTCTGTCCAGGAGACCAAGGCCGGGCTCTCTTCGGCTAAATGGGGGCTAGTCCACCCGCTAGATCCAAGGAAAAACATGACTCGCATTAGAGAATTTGGCACGGACCGAGCGCCGCTTGGACTCTACGATCCAACCATACACGAAGAATGTATTAGAGAATGTACCGTGAGATTGTAAATTGCTGACGATCAGCTCTTTTTTTTTCTTCCAAAAAATCACCCATGAAGTTTCAAAGTGTATTAGTCATTAGACAGCGGACAATGAAGGGATAGCCCGAGGCTCGGAGATACTACTACAAACACCATCGGATCGACCAACAAACCCCGTTGAGGAATATGGATCACGACATGATTGTTCAGCACAGCCTATCTCTGCTGAGCATCCAATCTGACGACGCCATCTACATATATTGGCATTGTAGCCTAGCTGTGCTACTTTCGTAAAGCGTGAAGATCCAAGACTCGTCCTTCGGAACACACCCAAGTTGGAATAGACTTACGACCCTCAATTGTATGTAGAACACACTAATTACCTACTAACTCCTGATAGTGCAGTAGTCGCTCCATCATGCATTAGCGGATTAAGCCCATCATTTATTCTTCTTCTTTTTCGTACCAATATGTTTTCTCGACGATCCAACGAGGAACAGATCAAGACGTGTACATTAGCCAAATACCCATCCGACGTTTAAGCCCATTGAAGAAGTAATTGACAGGGGACCTTTCCTGAAGGGGTATCAAATAGCGGAAGTATTCTTCCTCTCTCCCCGGCGCCCGGCGTTCTCCTATTTTTTTTTTTAACTTTGTTTTTGTTCTTTCTTTTTCTTTTTTTCTCCCTTCGCTGCGCCAATGCCGAGGTGATCCGCCACGACTCCACAACTCTCTCGTCTATCATGACCTTTGCTTTATCTCCACTTCTCCCAGTGCACAGTTGCACAGTTGCACACTGTACCACATCTCGAACGGCAACTGTCTCCTTCTCCGCGGTCTAAGAGACGCTCGTGGACACGAAGAACCGGTTCATGGTCACCCGTGCTGATTCAAATCTTAGTCAGACAAACACCACTTGCGCTTTGTGGACATGACTATTACTACAGTATGTAATGGTCTCGATAGAGAACTCCGCGACTGACCCACTCATGCATCCATCAGTTTTCTGCCGGCGCTCACACTACTACTGCGACAACTACTATTATGTACCACTGGCTTGCTTGTGTCAAGTCTGCCGCTGATCCTAAACGCCGCGTTTCGGGGAGGCCTCGGGCTCCTGAGCGCTCAGAGAAGTCCTGACCATGTGCCAAGTGGGTCTGTACCGTCGGCCCTCATGCGGACAACCATGCTTCTGCCACGTCTTTGGGACCGAGTGACACGTCCATGGCGCGCCTGTAACCGTGGACGCGGGGTCCCGAGGCCGGCGACCTGGGCTCGAATGACGCCATTTGGCATACTTAATATCGCCGCAACCCGCATCTGGGGGCCAAGAGCGTGGTATACTGACATCTGTCACAGTAGTGCAGATCGGGCTTTGTCATGGCGAGTTGTGTCAGGAGGCGAGCCTAGGCTTCCGATTCTTATCAAAGTTTCACTGGATTGACCAAGGATCCGTGGAGTAATATTCAATGAGATTTAGATCGATTGAAAACCGACTAACAAAGTCCGATGTGTGAACCACATCGGATAAATTGACAACAAACAGCCTCCCAAGTATGTTCAACCAGACGCAGAATTTGCAAGAGACAAAGGAGCGAGATGTACAGAAACCTGACACAAAAAGCCCGTCGATCGAATGAGTCTTGACAACTCGCTGGTGACATCAATGCAGGGGGGTATTGTAATGAATGAACAAGATAGCCGCCCAAACATAAGAAATAGAAAATAAGTGACAAAAACAAAGCGTAAAAAGGAACACGAGAAGCAAGTCGTGCCCGGGAAAGGGAGAAAAAAAGGACGGAACTCATCCCAAGGCAAGCGACTTGAGTCACTAGCACCTCAAATACTAGCGACTTCGTTTCGAGTATGTGTATGGATTGCTAGCCGCAGGTCGCTTCTGTCCGGAACCCATCTGGCCCATTCCGGATGACGATGCGGCGCTCGCCGCTTCCACAACTCGGATGAGGGCTCCCAGGCGAATGAGGTATTGCTTGGGCGCGCGATTGACTTCAATTTTGCTGCGAATCTCAAGCAGCTTGGGAAGATGCAAGGTGAGTTCCGCGGGAGGAAGGGCATTGAGGGCATCAAGAACGAAGAGTTCAGAATCAGTTTCCAAATCCATATCGTCAGATCCAATAAGAATATGGTACAGGTTACGTTGATCCTCATCCTCTCCATGAAAAGAGGCCCTACCCCAAGTATTTCCTTCCAATGCATCCTTGTTGCGTGCGGCCACGGCCTCGAGAATAAAGACAAGAGCTTTAGCAGCACCCTCTGATCCGTACGGGGCACGGAGTGCGATATTGGCATGAATCAGAGACACAGAGCGACGGAGCTGCTGCACCACCTCGTCGACCTCGAACAGACCCCGGCCAGGACTCACACTTTCTGCCGTGGTCTCCCCCGTTGTGCAGTATCTATCGAAGTCGGCTAGGAGACGACGCAATTGCTCCTGTATTTTATCGAAGTAGATGACCGCACAGGCACCAGAGGGCATGGCTTTGCAGATGCTGGTAAAGACGCTGTCATCGTGCACGGCAAGGCGAAAGATAGTCGCCTCCAGATCGCCCTGCACCACGCACTGTTCGGGCGTGCGTGACTGGGCCGTAGTTTCAACCAAGTCACGACGAAAATCTTCGGGCAAGACTTTGGGACTGAAGGCAGAAAGAACATCTCGGACCTTTTCAGCCCGAGTCATGCCGGTCCTGCGTTCATCTCCCTCGGCGCGAAGGCAGGGCCAGTTCAGTCGATCTGCCACTGCTTCGAACTTACCGCTGAGAAGCTCTTCGATCTGTGGATGCATACTCGGACGTCCATCGTGAGACAGTGCTAGTTCCGTTGAGGCAGGGTCCGCGAAGAAGCAGCTATGGAGTTGATCGAGAAGCCACTGCAAAGTTTTGCACACGTCAGTACCAACGTTCGATTTACTGCTCGACCTGGAACGGGCATCTCCCTCCCTTAAGCGGGGTTGACTCACAAAGATATGGTGACAGGCCACATTCGGGTGACTTTGAAAAGTCGTGCAAGTGCAGGTTGGAGACTTTCCGGGCCCGATGTGCACACGAGGCCGATCAAGCAGTTGGAATGAATAGCCAGTAGAGGAAGTGCCGCAATTGACCACCTCAAAATGACCAGTCAAGCCAAGTAAGGCCTTGGCTCCAGACTCGGTGTCGAGATTCGTCAAGTCATAGGTGATGCCTGACCGAGTCCGAATAGTTGAGACTTGAGAACTGCTTTCCTCGCCACTCTCCTCGTCCTCCTCTTCTCCTTCCTCGTCTTCCTCATCCTCGGATCCATCCTCCTCGCTGGAGCTCTCGCTGTCGGGTTCTGCGTCGTCGCTTCCTCCTGGACGATCAGAGCGCTGTCTCTGCCCCGCAACGTGAGCGGCCCGTGAGGATTCGGCCCGGGTAATTTCAGGCATTTTTTGACCAATCGAGAGCTTGTGAAACTGTCTCGTTGGAGGTGCCATGGCCAATCAAGGCCGACAAAGGGGGGAGAGGTCAACAATTTGACGGGATAATTCCGTGATGTCAGGAAGATGAGGAATCATCGAATGGAGAGAGGGGCTACCGCAAAGAGAAGCAGAGAGCCGTGCTGAGTCTCCCAAGGAGCTCCGACAGCTTGGAACCACCAGACACGAGGATCAGAAATGCTCGTTGCAAGCTGCTGGACTTGTTCGGACCTGTGGGCGAAAGCGGGTACACCTGAGCTTTTTGAACCATGGAACGGCCCTTCCGCCTTAAATAAGTTGAACGAGACTGGCGGAGTCCTCATTTCTGGAAGACCCTGGAACTACAACAAGTTGAACCATCCCCCGCGGCGCGCAAGTAGTGGTGGTGGTGGTGGTAGTCGGTGGTCGGTGGTCGCATGTCGCTTTGATGCTTTTCGTCCTTGTTCATGGCTTTCCGCGCTTGTGCCCGCTGTGCTCCCGGCCCCCGGACGCATGAGGTTGAGTCAGATTTGAAGTTGAAATCGCAGCGATGCTCCGTCAACCACACGTCAGGTGGAATGAAATAAGTTAAATGAAAAAAAAAGAATAGGCTAGGAATAGGATATCCAGAAACACGACATGCTCACATCACTCGTTGAGTAATTAATCGCCAACGGAGTATTCTCGGGTCCACGGGGGTCGAGGCACAATGCAGTGGCACTTAGGCAGTAGTCCAAAATGCCGCGAATTTCCCCCAACGGCGCTTAAAGTTGGCTCTCGGGGCACCAGATCAATACGGCAAGGTTCACAGCTGCATACAAAATTAAGAGGGAAGCTGTGATCCCCACAGTGCCGTACGACTTGTTGATCAATGCCTTGTTCAATCATCGATCTGCCTTGCCGCGTCAATGCACAGAGACTTTGCTCACATGAATCGAAGATGCATAGTCGAACTCCAGTTGGGATCTCCGCAATTCTTGTCCTCGGAAGCCTAGTGCTAGTGAAAAGGGGAACAGGGGTGGGAGAGAGGCGAAGCAACTCCATCATGCACCACGAAGGTGACGTCGGTTCCTGTCAAGGTTAGACAACCATTCCGTAGGATGGAATATTGCACAGCTGAGAATTCTCCAAGATCACACGCAGAACCAGCAAATGGCTCGCCATTAGTCTCACCATGAAGGATTTGGGCGTCTGATTCCAGAATACTTCCAGTCTGGGCTGACTCAATACTGGCTGCCGAAAACTAGCTTCGGCCGTGCGGCAAAATTGGGCCGCTTCAGCGAAGATGGTCCTCCTGATTGATCGGCCAACCAGACCTAGAGGGTGAGTTGTCCCAACCGAAGCAAACTCATCGTGTTGGGGAACAGGAGAAATCGCATCATGGCGAGCTGTTTCCAGCAGCTGCACCAAGCAGCGACTGAGAGGTTTCAACTGGCTGGTCTCAAATGAATTTCTGCTTCGTGATCTCATCACGCCGCGGCTCAGGCGCATGCCCCAAACATGCTAGTTCAGGATCGCCGTAAACCGGGTCCGTGTCTCTTGCGTTCCCCACTCCTTTCCTTTCTTTTTCGTTTCTTTTTTGTTTTGTCAGTTTCTTTTCTCGGGTTCCATCTTGTTCATTTTCCTTTTCCCACTCCCGTTCCACTTGTTTTTGCGATCACGGATTTGATAGACAAAGAACTTGGTCTGAAACACGTTGTGTGCGCATTCCGCATGCGGCCTTGGAGGTCATCAGGTTATCGACCTGAAACCTTGCCGCGAGGGAAAATTCGGGGGTCCAAGCTGGACTGATCCTGGTTCAACGAGACTGACATGACCACATCGTTCACGGCTGCCATCATGAGCGAATGAAAGGAGGCTGATCCTTGGTCCAGATGATGGACAGTTGTACAAGGTAGACAACGACACACTCTTCAACGACACACTCTTCAACGACACACTCTTCAACGACACACTCTCCGCTCGAATTTCTCCGAGAGACCCACGGCTGTCAGGGTTAAAGATAAAGGACGGAATGATTGACGAGTCGGTGGAAGGCGCACGAGCCCTTCTGGCGTTTATGATTCACACGGATAGTTGGTGATCCAAAAGTCGCACACTGCAGACTGAATATTCCCCTGAATCATTCGTAACTTCGTAAATGATCATCTTCCTACTCCTCGTCTCGAGCCACCGGGAGAGAGGAGCGGTCAAAGCTGCAACGACCACAAGAAAGACCCGGAAGCAGCGGAGCCAGCCAATTTTTTCTCTGCTCACAGCAGATTCTGTAGTTTCCCACTACATCGTCTGCCTTGCGTCTTGTGCCATAATCTAAATACTCAGTTTCTCACTTTCGACACCCAATGGACAGTCTGTACGCTTGCTGATAGGGTGTCATTAACATCAGTCCATGTCTAATTGCAATCATCATGGCTATACGCACGTTTCGACCCGCCAGATCGGGACAACATGTCCGGGTTGCTCTCTCATCCATCCGAACCTTTCGGACCCTCGTCCATGGTTGAGATTGTCAGTCCCCGCCCGTTGCTTGTGGAAGAGCGAGAAAGAGAGATGAGCTCCACGTATGTCGGCTGTTCGGTGTCCTGGAGAACATGTCTCGTGCAAAAAAGAGGCTGCGCTCACCGCATCTGGCGTCTAATTCGCTCGAAAACGGCCGCCCGGGAACCAATCACTGTGGGCGGGCGCCTAATGAGTCTGCCTTGTCTGCAGATGCATCGGATTCATTTTCCACTTTGAGGTTCTGGAAATGGGCAAGCCTCTTGCCCGACTCCATCGAGATTCTCTGGCCCCAGTAAAGCGATCGAAGTAGGGACGTCTGTGCGTCCGCTATCTGTCACTTGACCATAAAGTTCCTGCACGTTGTACAGGAGCGTCGGTGGCCCATTTGGGCACGTATGGAGGGGCAATGCAGGTAAATGACGTGTGGCAGATAGGAGCGGTCAAATGTGTTTCGCGAACTGTCCATGTGCGTCGTAGGAATGAAATAGAGAGGAGTGGACATCCAAGAAGAACACAAGGAAACCTCGCGAGTTACAGTCTCGGGCCCAAGGACATGAGGGAAGAGTATGTCCCGCACCTCAACATCGCCATTTACAGTGTGTGACTGCGTGGTCACATGGGCCCTGGGCACAGGGAGGGACCTTGGCTGCCGTGACCGACACCTCTTAGAATCAGGTGATAAAAAGAATACCATATATTAATGAGGAAAGAAGGTGCGACCGAATAACACATACAGTCGAACGGAGATAGGGAAGTGCAGTCTTCATTAATTAGATGCAGATTGGTACGTGCAATGTCATTTAAAGAAGGGACAGAAATTTGTAAAGCAATGAAGAAAATCTTATCGCATCGCAAATAGAGCAGACGAACGAAACACAGCAATCGAACTACTTGCCAGACCGCACTGCATTGCGTCTTTTGGCGTCTTCCAATGCTCGACGCAGTCTTTCCTTATGTTCCACTTCCGGATCGATTGTTGTTTGACTAGCGGGGGAGGGTGTCGATACTGAGTTTTGAACAGGCAAAGTCACTGCAGGTCGAAGTTCAAGGGGCAACGTGTCGATTGGAGGTCGAGACGGTGTGACCTTTCGAGAGCCAGTCTCGCCTGGCGAAGCCGTTGAAGATCGTTTGACAGTCTGGCCCGACGTGGGAGCAGAGGCAGCAGCAGGAGTAGGATCAGGACTGGGAGTTCGGCTCGCGGCTCGCGGCGTTTTCTCCAAATTCTCAAGCAAATGACGAACTGTGACCTCAAGCGTTTCTGGACCACTTTTTATGCTTTGCAATTTCTTTTCGTGATCCTCTCGCAGGATGGCGTCTTCCTTCTTCTTCTCTAGCTCGAGTCGTTCAAAAACCTCTGCCTCGGAGTTTGCGTATTGTGCTTCTGCCACGGAGACATTGTAGTCGGCGTTGTTGAGGACAAATTCCGCAACAGCCGAGCTGTGCAAGATTGCCTCTGAATCTTGACGAAGCGAATTTGCAAAGGTCACTGCGGACTTAAGAATATGCTCAATTTCAGCAGTTGACAAGCCGGACGAATCTAGTATGGAGCGATCCAATCGGGCTGTTCTGCTGGAAAGCTCGTCTAGCAGACTCTGATTCAGACCGAGACCGTGAAGTATCGCGTCGTCAAATGAATCCATCAACTGATTGGCGCGATCATCGCGGTCCTTGGCCGCCTCCAGAATATTTCGCTTTTCCATCTGATCGAATTCTCCGTCCAATTTACGCAAACCCGCCATATCACCTATGAAGACAAGGGGCCGACGCTCGGCCTTCTTGCGACGCCGCTCGCAGTCCAGCGCGAGTTCGAGCCTCTTCTGGAAGCGAAATTCCAGCTTGGCATGAATGGCGTTGATCAGCTTCATGGTAACGGAGGGACTGCACTGTTCAAGTGGCGAGCCTGGCGCTTTTCGATCACGCTTCAGCTGCCTAAGAGCGGATTCGTATGACTTGCGGAGCGCCCCAATCTCGCTTTTCAGGCGCTCGTCCAGAGGGTTGAACACCTTTTGGACGAAACTTTCAACCTCTTCCCGCTCCTCATCCAGCTGGACACGTGCTTCATCCTGGCGGAAATCTTCCTCTAATGTATTGATGTCGGCATAACCAATCGCCTTCTCGTTGAAGAGCTCATCGATATGAGCCTCCGACTCCTCCTGACGAGCAGTACGCGCTTCCTCAATTTGCACCCGGCGTTGCTTCATCGAGCTCTCCCACTCATCGATCTGGGCTTGAACAAACTCAAATTCATCCCGATACTTCTCAAGCTCTTTCCAAGTGGTGAAATGCCAAGAGGTTTGAGATTGCCTGTCAAGAGGGGTCAAAACCATCGCCCGAAGAGCCTCGAGCAAGTCATCAGACTTCCGTTCTTGCTGGTCAGACCCTGGAAGTAGTGGGGCTGGGCTATCGGACTTGCGACCCAAAGGCTGATAGGCAGTACTTCTATCACGGATGAGGCCAACGAAGGTTTCATTGTCTCTAACTTGGGAGGGTCGAGTAGACAGCGCACCCGGCAGCGATCGAAGAATGGACGGGGGAATACCCGAAAGTACCCGTCCGCTGACAGCGGAAGCCTGACGCAGTTCAGAGTAGGCCTGGTATGCAGGACGATCAAATGTCAGATTATCTGACCCACGCTGGGGGCCTTCTGTGTATTGAAACGGTGTGTAGATGGGCCGCGGAGGATTTGTAGTAAGTGGCTCGATACTTTGCTTCGGTCCACTTTCCTCGAGTGCGAGGCTGTTCAGAGAAGTTGTTGCTGGACGGCCACTCTTCTCGTCATTTGATGAAAGGGCCGCGAGATTAGGTGTCCATTGTGAGGCCCGATGAGCTTGCTTACCCAGGATGGGCCTGCCTCCTGCACTGTATTCGCTAGCATTGTCGTCAAGATCCTGTGCATCATCTATGGCTGGTGTAGACGCGGAAGACGCCTTCTCTGAATCGACAGGAATCAATCCTGATTCAAGGGCCGGTTCCCCTGACTCAAAAACCGCAGGTGAATCCTTGCGCGGCACGCTTGGGGTACTGGATGCCGCTTGCTTTTCGGGTTGATCGTGCTCAATATTGTAAAGAATCTCGCGCAGTTTTGTCTCCTTTGCTGCAAATGCCGTGAAGATTTTGAAGCGTTCTTCATCTGTATCTGCGACTGCCTCTTTTCGTAACATTGAGACATAGCGGACCAACGAAGACTTGAACCAAGGATCGAGGTCTTCGTAGGGATCCGCTGGCCGTGCTGGATCCCCTTGACTGGGGTTCTGAGCATGACCAAGGCCGATAGTCGGAGCTCCGGCTGGCCGCGAATTGCCTCGGATAGTTATTTCAGACGCAATGAGATCCTCGGTGTGGGGGCTCTGCAGTAGAGTGTTTCCTTGTGGGGGCTCGACTGGGGGAGGCGAATGTCGCTGGGGTGTATCGATCGCTCCGAGTGTGGTGTCGGCACAGAATCCAGGCGAAGTGACTTGCGAGTCAACCTTGTTTGTCTGTGCAAGGGTTTGAGCCTGCGGGATCCCTTGCACGCTAGACGGGCTGATCGGCGAACTGATGTCAGTCCCATGTGGACAAACAGTATGACTTTCGTTGCGCGAAGGACCCTGTCCTGTAGCCACTCTTTCAGGGAGTGGTGTGTCTTCCGGGCCAGATGTTGAAGCATTGCCGAACCCAGTGGAATATCCAGGTGGAGTGGAGATCAGGTGCGGTGAGTGAGGTACGTTGAGACTCGCGACATCATGTTGCGATTGAGGCGATTGGTCCCGCGGGGGAAACCAGGGACGATCATCAAATTCACCTGGGGTTGGCCCAAGATGCTCCCAGTCTGACGGCGTGCCTGGGCCCAGTGCCGAGGAGCTCGTCGAGGTGGCTTGAGCAGCCCCGGAAGCATAATCACCGGAAGAAGTTCCAGTAAAGCCATATGACCCTTGGGTTGCCGCCGGCCCTACACCCTGCGCAAGCAGCGGTGGCCGCTCTGGAGTCTGCGAAGTCTGAGGCGGAATGCTTGGTTGGTAACCGATTGGCTTCTTTGGGGGAGGCGGAGGAGGGGCCAGTATTGGAGACACCGCATAAGGTGAAGTTGGATTTGGAGCTGCATGTTCGCTGTAAGGTGGTGGAAAACTTGGCGACACCGGCGCAGACTGAGGGACTGAGAATGCCTCTACGCCGAGAGTAGATGGTGGGGGGGAGCCGCTGGTGTTCACCGGCGGCGGTGGTGGTGGTGGCTGCGGTTGTGTATAAATTTGAGATGTCTCATCGACACTTGGAGGGCGAGGCTGTGGTTATTCCAGTCAGCGCGACGGATTTCGGCGATATCTCGTGACTCGACCTTGAAAGCTCATGAACTGACTGGTAATGGCGGTGGAGCGTAGATCGGATGTATCTGCTGGTTGTACCGCACACCCCACGTTCGCGGATCTGCGCCGGGCCCCGCCAGCTGGGAGGTGCCTGTGTTTGTTGTCGGCGTCGAGATGGGACCATATGTTGCTGGAGAATATGTGCCTGTTGTTGGCGGTCGCGGTGGAGGCGTTGGCCCAGGGGCTTCTGACTGTTGTCCACTTGGACGCCGCGGAGGCTGTCGCCATTCAGGCTGCGGCGGACGGTCGGGCTGAGGTCGTCCGTACATCTTGTCCACGCATCCTAGTGTCCGGCGAGATGGCTCACTGAGGATCAAGAAGACAAAGAAATCAGGATGGGCCCGGTCAGGTCTCACCTTCCTTCATCGCACGAGATGAAAGCTCCGGCCGGGGTGTTCAAGGCGTCCTCGCCGATGTGGATCTGGGGATCGAGCTGAGACCGTGACACGGTCATGCCTCACTGCCCCACTGACGTCTCCTGAGTCCTGATTCTCGCACTAGCACGGACTTGATAATCGATAGTCGATATTATGGAGTCTGGAGTAAAGAGCCTGGCGGTCTATTTTTATTGCACGAGATGTTTTCGGAAACACCATCTTCAGTGACAGGCGACCTTATCAGGAAATACGTCTTTCTTTAAAAAGACGAAAAAAAAAGGGGAAATGTTCAACAGAGGATTATCATGTGCGGCTTTCCAAGCCATCATCAACTGAGAAATATGCTTTGTCTTTGCGTTCATCCAAACATTGATGACGTTCATGATCGCCATTCGTGTTTGTCGACTAGACTATAAGCTCTGCAACATCACTCATCAGATTGACTGACGAGAGACAGCAGCACAAGGCTGCGGAACAGCGACCATGCTCCCATTCTGTGTGTCTAACCAGCATTCACTCGACGTGACCTGGCGACTCGGCTATCGAGAAAACTTGAACAGCTGAAACAGGTATGGACGCCTTATTCCAAGCGAAGAAAGAGATCCGTGAGCCACCACAAAGAATCAATGGAACCAGCCGTGGCTGAAGATCAACGATTAAGAAGAAACTCGTCCTACTTTCTTTGTGACCCTCGTTCCAACTTCGCGGAAAACGTGGACAGAATGCAGTGTGTCAGTCTGACTCGGTGCACTTTCTCTTTGTGAATCTGCGCGACTGGCTGTCCTATCAGACACATCGCCCATGGCGAGTGTAAAATGTTTCAGCAAAGGAGCCCAGGGCACTGGATCGTCCGTCCAGATGCCGAATTTCTTTGTATGAGAGCCATGCGGCCTTCGTGAACGTCGTGCCCTCCATTGAGGATGACTTAAATCGTGTTCACAGGCAGGGACAACTTCCATCTCTTGTTGTTCGAAATCGGTTGGTACAATTTACCTGGAAATTATCGAGTACCCTCGAGTCGCCTTCAATCTCTCGTTTCAAGCTCTATCTTCATCGTCTGGTGGGAGATTCTGCTCGATTCGTTCACAAGACCCTGCCCTCTGTGCGAGCACCAACTTTGCACACCAGTTTTCAAGCAGAGGTGTCTCCAGAATTTCAATCATAGCAGCCATGGAAAACAAACAGGACCAAACTGTCGAGTCCTCGTCGGATGATGACGCTCTTCCGCCGAGTCGCCAACCCTTCCTGTTGGAGCCCCCATTGATAGCTATTCTTCCCCCGAGTTGGCCACCGCGTCCAGACATCTTCGACGAGGTTCTTCTGCGAAAACCCATGACTCCCGAGAGAGCTCACGACGCTTACATGGCCTGGTATCATCCAGATCAAGACTTGGGCCAAGTCTGGCGGCTGTGGGACGCAAAGAGTCAGCGTCCATATCCGCGGCCGCCTGAGAACGACGAGGATCTCCACATTCTGGCACACAATGTCTATGAGCATCTGATGAGCGACCCTCTCGTGCCTGCGGCATGGGAAGAAAGCGAGCAAGTACTGGCTGAGCAAGCGCTGGACTCGATTTACGATCTCTCGCAAAACATGCAGCAAACCAAGAAGGCAGCCATCCAGTCGGGTAGTCTCGGATACCTCAGTCTACTCAACTTACAACAGCTTCAAATGCACTGCAAGGAACTCGGTCTGAGCTGTCACGGAGAAGCCACAGACCTTCGACTTCGTATTGCTGCCGACTCGATGAGTGAGTGGTCTGGTATGCTAGCGCAAAGCGATCTTTCGCATTGGGGAATTTCACGCCCAGCAAAATTTGACTTGGAACCCTGGAAACAACCGAAAGCCGATGCTCTGGAGATGTACACTGTCGCAATTCAGATCAGTCCATACAATCCCACATATTGGGTGAGCCGCGCATACTGCCATTACCTTCGGGGCTTTTTTGACCTTGCCATCGGCGACGCCTATCGCGCTGGTATTCTTTGCGACGTTCTGGAGCAGGCCTCCGAGCGCAATCGAAGACCCGGATTCTATGTACGCATATTGGAGGCAATTGAGGCCCACTTGATGGTCAATCCTCGCGATGAGAATGGTAACCTCAAGCCCGAGGTGGTCCGTATGCGGCGGGCGAATGGTATCAATGCGTTCGTTCCAACGCTCCAAAAGGCTCTTCACAGCATCATAAGCCTGAGTCTTGCGGGACTCAATGCTTGGCATGACTACGGTGATCACATCAAGATTCTTGATCAAAGACTGGGTATGCCGGACCGTGACGTGCGAGTTCCACAGCTTCGCGCCAAGCTGAGCAGAAAAGCGGCCAAACTTCACCAAGATCACATTCGTGTCGGAAGGAAGCCTTTCTTCCACGAAAAAGGCGCAGGTGAGGTCCCTGCGAGTCGACCATACCCATTCGAAAAGCAAGATGTGCATCGCACTTCGCCGGCGTTTCTTCAAAAGCTCAACGAAGCCATATTCGGAGAGGAAAGCTCTGCGCACGAAAAAGGGTCGCCACTTTGCCATATCGACAGGGTTGACGAGGACCATGAATTAGGGGTCTTTGCTATTGGTAATATTCAGAAAGATGCCATCATTCACACCGAGGAGCCCACAATACGGGGGCATCTTCCACCTCGCCGTGTGGGAGAGGATCTCCCGGGAAAAGCTGCCGACAAAGACCGATGTGAGAACTGCTTGAAGGAAGTCGAAATCAGCGCAACCAAGCCCAAAGAGTATGAAAGTGCCAATCAATGCGCTTGTGCTACCAAGTGGCTTCGCTATCCTGAAGGCCCCGGCCTGTCATTCTGTGATTCGGATCCGCAATCTACCGGGAAGAAGGGGTGTCTAGATATTGCACGTGAAGTTCATCACTTCAGTAGCTGTGGCAAAGACTGGCGCTGGCTTTACGACGCAATGAGGCCCGTCGTCGGCAAATGGGAAGGAAAGGAATATTTCACTCACACAAACGAGGCGCACGGGACCGTTCTGATGCTGCTTTTGCGCAATGTATTTGAAATCGCGCTCCATCGTCGAAACGAGGAGCCAGAGGAGGACATGCGTCTGAATCCTCACGAGATTGACGAGCTTCTCGTCCTCGACGGTGCGAGCACGTCGTGGAGGAACAGCTGGTTTCCCTTCACCATGGCAGCAAATATCAAAGTTCCTTTCGACATTCTGGAAAGTCTCGGCGTTGATATCTTTCAGAGACCGGAATTTGACACTTGGGTTATCCAAGTTATTTTACGGAAGCTTTTGGTCAATGCTGTACCCTGGGATCCACGCCGTCAAGGCGAAGTATCCGATCGACTTCCGTTTGATGGAGACAAACAGCTTCTCACTCCCAAGGCGCAATTGCAACTCGTCAAGAAAAAGAAACCACTCACGAACCTCGACCCATCGTTCTGTAATCTTTACTTATTCCCGGGACTCAGTTTGTTCAACCATTCATGTGATGGTTCACACAACGCTGACTGGGGCTACGACGAACTCATTCCAAACCGCGTTGTTGTGTGGGCGACAAAGCCCATTGCCCCTGGCGAAGAGATTCGCATCCGGTATCGGCCAAGCGCCATCACTTCTGATGACTGCGCAACAAGACTATTTGGTCGGCCCTGTCGATGTACTCGCTGTCTCCAGAAGGCGACATCGTATCAAGACTCTGATGCCGACACCTTTACAGATCAGCAGTCAGTGGACGAAGAAACATCCGCGAATACCAGACAGTCAAGAGATGAATCCTGGCGGGCAAGCAACGACCCTGACTCTGACTCTGACGAGCCCTCGTCATACTTTGACGCGTCTGATGAGATTGACTTAACCGAGTCTCTTCAATCCGGGCAGGATACAGACCATGCTGTTGTCGATGATGGAAGGGTTGTGGTCTACCGCGAGCTGACCAGTCCGAAACCCGCGAAGCCTTTGGTACGCAAGAGGCAGTCCATTGAGTCCGAAGAATACTTTTCAGATTACTCAAGACCAAAAATGATCAGAGATCTCGATGACAAAACATGGCACATCCCATCGGATTCACAGAAGCATGCTCAATGGGTTCGAGAGTACCGGGAGAATCTGAGGGATAGACTGGAGGGTAAAGAAGTGAAGGAGAAAAGTCCACAGAAAAAGGCTGTGGGGAAGAAAAAAGCGGTTAGGAAGTTGGGCAGAAATGGCAAGAAGAAGTGATTGCTGAAGATGTTGATAATCTTTTCATGCGCTTGTCATTGCTTTCTTAGGTACTGCTGTCATTCGTTTGTTTTGAAATTTATCTTTCTTCCTTCATTTGGTCATGAAGCAGGATATTAGGTAATTATTCTCGAGTGGAAGCCAGTCCGGTTTCGAAGATCAATAGTCTTTCCACGATTTAACGTACGCTAAGCTTTCTGTGCGATCCTCGGGGTTTGCTGGGTCATGGCAGGTCCATAACAGTGACACTATGCCACGATTTCGCTCTTGTGAGCACTTGATCACATATAGATTGAGTTTTGGAACGGGTAGCCTCCTCGGAACAGAGTGGTAATTCCACAAATATACAGAAACTTCTGACCATGCAAAGAAATCGCCAAGCTTGAGTTGTTTGATCCTCTTGCTTGAACAAGTGAACAACGAGCCATATCAACCTCAGCGCAGCATACCACGAGAAAAAGCCTGTGACACTTACAAGCCCTGAAGGACTTGATCTGCATACGCCAACCCTATGTAGGCAGGTCGAGATTGATCGGACTTAACCTGACCGACCACGTTGCTTAAAGCCGAGCCAACAGTGCCGGCTTCAGCGCCAGCAAATCAAGCATCAAGGGGGCCGTCCCACTTAAGCTTCACGTCGAAATATCAACCGGTGTTATTGGTGTATCGCGAGCAAGCTACATACGTACAATTTATTACCTAGTGCGGATTGTCGCCAGGATTAATAATTACGGTGGTACTAAGTGACCCGAATGCGAGATGGAAAACCTGTTTACATCATTTCCCCGCAGATCGAGTGCTTAGCTCGTGGTTTTCGATCTATAAAGGCCACTCCCATCTCTTACAAAGCACTCCTATCCCCTCCTCAACCGACTGTCCATTCTCCAGTAGCCCTGATCTAAATCCACATTATTTCAATTTATTCAGTTGTGACTTCTGTATTTTCAAAATGTCTTTCCCTCCTGCTTCTGCGCCCAAATCACGCCTCGGTCGCTACCGCATGTTGGCTCCGAGTGCGGGGGTGATGGTTAGCCCGCTATGTCTGGGAGCAATGAATTTCGGTGAGGGCTGGTAAGTGAGCCTTGTTGTCTATTGGGAATAGGAATATCCGGCTCGACATACGAACAGGGCAGTCTTGTGTTTGAGGACTCGAGCCTCTGTCCTCCGATTGAGGATCTAAATGCTTACCAGTTCTCTTCTCCGTTGCAGGAAAGCCCGACTGGGTGACTGCGACAAAGAGACGTCCTTTAAGATTCTGGATACTTTCTATGAGAATGGCGGCAATTTTATCGATACGTAAGTGACGTATAGCTCTGAGTCACGGGCACTCAAGTGGTAGCATATGGACTCACATCTCCAGTGCAAACAACTATCAAAACGAGGACTCTGAGGCTTGGCTCGGCGAGTGGATGGAAAAGCGCGGCGTCAGAGACCAAATCGTTCTCGCTACCAAGTATACCTCGGGCTATCGTTCACACAAGAAGGATGAGATCCAAGCAAATTTTGTCGGCAACAACACCAAGAGCATGCGACTGTCTGTCAATGCCAGCTTGAAGAAGCTGCGCACCGACTATATTGATCTGGTAAGACTGTACTCGCTTTGCAAAGACACCGTCACAGATTTTGCCTCAGTTCCACCCTGCATGCAACTGACAAGTTCATCTAGCTATATGTCCACTGGTGGGACTTTGGTAGCTCGATCGAGGAGGTAATGACCTCTCTCAACCAACTGGTCGTCGCGGGCAAAGTTCTTTACCTGGGTGTGAGTGACACCCCCGCTTGGATCGTCAGTCGTGCCAACCAATGTAAGAAACTGCTCCTTCTATGACCCGTCAAACAGATGAACTATGTACTCAACATCTTCAACCAGATGCCCGAGACCATGGCATGCGCCCCTTCTCTGTCTACCAGGGCCAGTGGAATGCCGCCAAGCGTGACTTTGAGCGCGAAATTCTCCCCATGTGCGCCGCCGAGGGCATGGGTCTCTGCCCTTGGGGCGCCATCGGTGGCGGCGCCTTCAAGACGGAGGCGCAGCGAGAGGAAATCAACAAAAATGGCAACCAAGGCCGTCAAATTGAGCCCCGCGAAACCGATGTCAAAGTTTCCAAGGTCCTAGAGAGTATCGCCAACCGCCACAATACGGCAATCACCAGTGTTGCTCTGGCGTATGTCATGAGCAAAGCTCCTCACGTCCATCCGATTGTGGGCGGTCGAAAAGTCGAGCATCTGCTTGGCAACATTGAAGCTTTGGGGCTGAACCTGACCGACGATGACATCAATGAGATCGAAGGCGCCTATGAGTTTGATCACGGGTTCCCGACAACCTTCCTATTCCGTGGAGAGAGCAAGGAGGCGCACCCAGGGAATATTACGTTCAAGAACAGCGCTGCGAAGTTTGACTATGTTGACCCGGTGCGCCCTATTAAGCCGAAGAGCTTGGATGCGTAAGGGCGTAGGCGGTGATACAAAGTCATATTAAAGTTGGCAAAAGCTTCAACGGCAAAGTTATATGGGAGATGCTCATCCAGCCAAGAGTAAAACTTGAATTGATGTTTAGTTGTGTAGAAAGCAGTAGCATGACTTGCCACTGGTACAATATGGAACTCTAGACTCATATTGCTCTTGAAAGCTTGTTGCATTCACAGTATCTATGAAACGTACAAGGTGGTTGGTTGATAACACGGTTTTATCTGCTTTCTTGAACACCACAAACGTGATTTTGGGGGCTCAAAACACGATAATAGCGCTTTAAGAATAACAAGACACGATAAACCTCGAATGTGACTCCAACAATGCAAGCGCTAGAGGTATAATTGCTAGTGACACGCTTCAAAAACTTCAGCAATGTAAGTGAGGGATCCAAAGAATGCAGATCTATGTTCAGAGCCCCTCACCACGGAGCAGGCGTCTCAGGATTCCTTCTCCGGGACCCACGATCTGACTCTCGATTTCAGACTGGGACACGAAACAGACGAGACCTTGCTCGTCTAAGCCTCTATGGGGCGTCGACACAATGTTTCCTGACTTGGAAGGAGTGCGGCGAACAGCCGATCCGCCGCCTAGGGTACCGCCTTGACCGCGACCTTGATATTCCCCCACAAGGCCCATGGTCTCGAGATTACTCAATACATCTTTGAACTCAGTTGATGTCAAGGGATGCAGAATGTTGTCGTTTCGGCAAAGAGCACAGTATGTGTCAAATGCCTGCTTGACAGTCGGCGCGGAGCCTCGAGACCTGGATGGTGTGCACATAACGTCGACCTCGCGACGTCTTCGCTCTAGTGTTACCAATGCACAAATCGCCGCCTTCTGCTGCAAATTGAGACCTTTCAGTCGTTGTACTGTGCCTTGACCAAATGCAGAGCTTGTAATGCGGGCAATATGAGCGATACTCGCTCGAGGCGCAGTAAGAACAGTGTAGCTTGACATTGTTGATGGCCGCGGGACATGTGCACTGTTAGTTGGTGATGATAGATTCGCGTTTTCTATCAGAATTGCGCTGTTGGACTCGGAGTTTTGTTTTTCAAGCTTCTGTTGAGTCTCCTGCTCGATAGTGTCAATGGCCCGTTTGATGAGTTCGAATGCTTTTCGAAGGTCGCCGGTCTGCGACGCAACTTTCTTTGCACAGAGCTGAATAGCAGCTGGTTGCAAAAAGGGAACAAATTTCGGATCGTTATCTTTCGCAGCGGGAGGCATTAACGACCGGAGTCTGTTTGTAATGACTTCGGCAATTGATGAGGAGTTGTATGGTAGGAACGGCAGGAGAACCGGTCTCAAGTTCTTCGCTTTAAGTTGAGGCAGAGAGCGATCAGTCAGATCCAAGGCATTGGCAATACCAATCAAAATCAGAGACGATTGGCTTGACAGCGACCACTCGAACAGGGTTTGCAGAACATCCGCGTCACCTGTAAGCAAGTGGTCCATTTCGTCAAGCGAAACCAGGTACAGGCCATTAGGTTTCGACGGCAAGAATATGGACTTCAACCGGTCCGCTTCGCTCTTTTTGAAGACATCCGACCCTTCATCGAAGTCCTGAACAAGTTTGCTAAAGACATCACGCGCATTACGCATGCTCACACAATTGACGTGGGAGACCTTCGCCGTCGACAAGTCCAAGTCCCGGCACACTTCGTTGACCATTGCACTCTTGCCCGTCCCAGGTGGCCCACTGATATAAAGACAGCCACCTCGGTGAGATTTAACACAGTCATGTATAAATGTGGTCAATTTCTCTCGTTCCGAATCTCTGCCGACCAATCGTCCTGCGTTGGATCCTCGGGCAAACAGCTGCCTTGCTTGAGAGTACACAGTCTGCGCAGTAGATGGAGTCGCACTATGTCGCGGAGTTGGAAGGAGGTCGGCATGACGAGGAGTTCTCGGTGTCACTGCCTTTGTGCCGACCTGAACTCGGTGACGCGGGGTGGAAGGCGAATCCTGCAAAGCATCACGAAAGCGAGCCTTTTGAGGTGTCTTGAATTCAACTGGAAGGGTTATTTCCTCTGGGAAGACCTATCGTCAGCACATATCCCTCTATGTCATCGTTTCTCGGCTTACCCTTGACTAGCTTTGAGGTACGGAAATGCGCGTTGATCTTTGACGGTGACCCATCCTGCTCCTCCCGAATTGTGTGTTTCGAGAGTGTCTTCTCGGCGACGTTGACAAGATCACCATTCTCTTGATCTGAGGCATTTGGTGCGAGTTTGGCGCGTGATCGAGTACGAGGGATCGTCTTAGTAGCGGGCGCATCCTCAATGCGAGCACGAGGGGCCGCGGTCCGGCGTCTGCTCGCCGTTCGCACAGGCAGGCCTGTTCGCAAGGCAGGATGTCAGTGTCTGATCAATGGCTAGGGAAAGGGTCAAGTAAGAATTTTCACCTTCCGAATCGGCGCCATTACGAGCGCGCTTGCCCAATACTGATGCTGCCATGATTGTTCCTGATTAAACACGAATTCGAAGTTGCAAGAGCATTTCACAGAGTGCTTTCCTCGAGACTGTGGCTGGCCCACATTGCAAGCGGGACTAGGCCTTCCGGGCGCGCGTAACGCGACGCGTCGGGTTTCCCAATCAGGTAATTTCGATACGGTCAACTGGCCCGACCAATAGTGCAGATACATCATAGGTCTCTATACTCCGCCGGACTTTTTGCGTCACTGGTCGACATGTGTCTAGGCAGTGGATGATCGTCCCTACAGCTAAACGTGTTCCGCGGAATACTTCAAGTGCTTCAATACTGAGGTAGATCTTTCTCCCGCCATCGCATCACTCTTTTCATGTGCCTATCACCCAGCCTGGACTTCTAAAGGTGCGGGGCAGCTCGGTTGACACGCCTGTCTCCAGTTTGCAGTTGTTTGCATAGCAGATCGCTCCCCACACTGCTTGTTCAACCCTGTGGAATCGTCGTCCGCGTCACTGAGCGTGCCTCCGAACTCCCAACATCTTTTCCTCTATTCAAACAGTGCACTTCGGCAACCTCTCTTCCTTCAAATTGAGGCTTATTCACTGCACTGCATACCAACTGGAATAGAATCTCTCACTCATTTGACCCTCAGAAGCTCACCCCTCACCTGCCCAAGATGAACGGCGAAGTGGTTGCTCAGTTCGCCGAGATCACCGGTGCGACACCAGAGGTCGCAACACAGTACCTGCAGCTAGCCGATTTCGATATTGAGCAGTCTATGCAACTTTACTTCGAAAATGGGGGTGCACCGCTCACTGAATCGGCCCGGCAGCCATCAACTCGCACTCATTTTGAGGATGAAGCTGGAGTGGTCCATGTTGACTCAGACTCCGATGATGACAGCCCGTCTGCCCACGCCCGAGCTAATGCTGCCGCCACAGGAGGCTCAACCTTCGAAGATGATGCTGCCATGGCTCGCCGCCTGCAGGAGGAAATGTATGGAGGTAGCGGTACTGGCGGCGGCATCGGCGGCGATGATGAGAACGTACGGGCGCCCCTCGCACGCACGACAGAGACGCTCGTGGGACCCAGTCTCGATTTTGACGATGAGGACGAGATGATTATGAGCCAGTTGCGCACTCGCCAAAGAGGTCCCGGTGAGTTTCCCCCCCCCCCCATATCTGCTTTTCCATACACCGAAGACCAATGCGACTAATTTGATTCTCCATAGGCCGCCCCGGAATCTTCAATCAGACCACTGCACCATCAATATGGGGTGGCAGCTCAGCCGAATCGCATCAGGAATTGCTCTCCAGAGCTACGGGCGGTGCCTCGGAAACATCCTCTAAGTCGAACATGCTTGCGGAAATGTACCGACCTCCATACGAAATCATGTCGCGCGTTCCCTGGGACATGGCTCGGGAAGAAGGACGGGAGAATGAGAAGTGGCTCCTAGTCAACATTCAAGACACCTCAATCTTCGATTGCCAAGTATTGAATCGTGACTTGTGGAAGGATAAACTCGTCCAGGACACTATCCGGGAACACTTTATTTTCTTACAATTCTCGAAGGACGATCCAAAGGCTGCGGCATACCTGCAATACTACTTCCAGGCGCATGATGTCTCTGACAATTACCCTCACATCGCCATAATCGACCCCCGCACTGGCGAGCAGATGAAAGTGTGGTCTGGCCCTCCAGTGATGAAGGCTGCTGATTTTCTGATGCAACTCCACGAATTCCTGGACCGCTACAGTCTGAATCACAATGTGCGCAATCCCGTGGCAAAGCGCAAGATTGACAAGAAAGAGAAGTCCGTGGACGCCATGACTGAAGAAGAGATGATGGAAATGGCAATCAACAACAGCTTGGGAGCTGAGCCCGCTTCCGGTCCCAAGCTGGACGATCCTGATGATCTGACTCGCAGTGTCGAAGACGTCAAGGGCAAGGGCCGCGCCAACGAGGAACAAGATCAACTCATGGACGAGATATCTCAGGGGCCCCCTGAAGATGCAGAGGAGTCATTGTTCTCTTCCATACCAAGCAACCGGCCACACACGGAACCCGAGGTCGATCCGGCCACCACGACCAGAATCCAATTTCGTCACCCTTCTGGCCGTGTCATTCGGCGATTTGCCCTCTCCGACCCAGTTCAACGGATCTACGAATGGCTCAAGGCTGAACCTCCATTAGAGGATAAGGCTGGGGTCGAATTTGAGCTGAACTCTATGGGCCAAAATTTGATACACAGTCTGGCCACGAGCATTCAAGATGCTGGATTGAAGAATGGAACGGTCATGATCGGCTATCTCGAATAGTAGATGTTGCCAAGAATGGGCGGTTTTTATCACGATTACAAGAATTTTAGGCGCCTCGACGGGGAGGTCATTTGCATTTTTGGGTCAGAGAATGGAGTGTTGTCATTTTTCCAATGCTGTCCACGATAGACTTCAGGACGCAGAACTCACAGAGACATGCTGCCGTTTCGTACCATTTGAACGAGGGCCAAGGCCATATTTGCTTTATAATGATTATCTTTCAAGTCATTGACCTGCGTAAAATCTCCTTATATTCAGCAAGATAGGATATCGTACTCGTTTAGGAGATTATCAAGCATGCTCTCGCTCCAGCTGTTCCATGCCATGGAGAAGTGTGTCTGTGCCGAAGTAGGCTAATCTGCGGAGACTGCGTACTTTCCAGCAGTCACCGCCTTCCGACTCGGTAACTTTTGCTCCCAATCAGCGTGGTTGCGCGGGCAATCGTCGGTTCTGCGATCGATAAGAGCGACTCCACCGCCTGGCACAATTAGCCCCGCATCGATAAACAGATGCAAGGGAGTGTATGCTGCGTAACAGTTCAGTGACCTGGCCACACCTTTCGGAGGTCAATCAACACAGACTTTTACCTACCTGAATCTTTATGTGATCAGGGACTATGGATCTTCATTGAGAGGTACAGGTGGGTTGTCGTTGTGGAAGTTTCAATACCCATGCTTTCTAACGAATACGTGCTTACTTTGGCGATTGACTACAGGTACCTAGAAAATAGCTTGCGCCTTGAGCTCTCCTGTACCAACAACCCCACCGCGAAGAATAACGAATTGCTGTCACTTGTTGCAAACGTCAATTTTCTTGGCGAGTCTTACCAACCACACGCTGCTCGAATCTTCATTGTGTTTATACTTGACCGAAAAGACGCGCTTCTTCAAAACACGGTAAGCGACATCCAGCTTATTTTCCGAGTCCAATATTGGACAATTTCTTCCTTCTTTCAGGTGATGATCTGACTTTGAGACAGGGATTCTATCTGAGAGTGCACTGAAATGAAAACATAGGCGGGTTTTGTCCTCTCATAAAGAGTGTTCGTCGGCTTTCAGGCCCACCCTTCAAAGCCACCAGAAAGCAAGATGGACGGCCCTATTGATCCCGAGACCATCTACACCAAGCAATCGTGCATAGGTGAGAACAAACCCGCTATCACAGCGCGGGGGAACTTGTATGCACATGCTAAGCTAACGAAAATTCAACCAGGCGGGGGAAGCTTTGGTAGAGTCTACAAAGGGTATAGAATGAGGACTCCATACAACCTGAGAAGAGCTCAGCTGACTCGGTACTTCGTGTGGAACAGGGTAGACCTCCGCACAGGAGAGTCGGTCGCAATCAAGATCATCGATGTCGAAAGTGCCGAAGATGACGTCGACGATATCATTCAAGAGATCGCAATCCTGTCTGAGCTCCAGTCTCCGTATGTGACAAAGTATCATGGCTCTTTCTTGAAGGGATCACATCTTTGGATTGTGATGGAATATTGCTCAGGCGGTAGCTGTCACGATCTATTGCGGCCAGGAGCGATTCATGAGGAATACATTGCGATCATCCTACGTGAGCTCTTGAAGGGACTAGACTATCTTCACAGTGACCAAAAGCTCCATCGTGACATCAAAGGTAGGCTCTCGGGGTTCAATTTATCGCGATTCCAGATGTGATCACTAACCGAAGTTTAGCGGCTAATGTCCTCCTCAGTGCCAGTGGTCAGGTAAAACTGGCTGACTTTGGTGTCTCTGGCCAATTGTCCGCAACGATGACCAAGAAAAACACCTTCGTCGGCACGCCTTTCTGGATGGCACCCGAGGTTATTAAACAGTCTGGATATGACTACAAAGCAGATATCTGGTCATTGGGAATCACTGCCATCGAACTGGCTCTCGGCGATCCCCCCTACGCGGACATCCACCCGATGAAGGTGTTATTTCTGATCCCAAAGAATCCTCCACCAACATTGAATGGAGATTTTTCAAGACCTTTCAAACAGTTTGTAGAGCTTTGTCTACGACGAGATCCCAGGGAGCGCCCCACTGCGAAGGAGCTGCTTGAGCATCCGTTCATCAAGCGAGCCAAGAGGACAACTTACCTGACGGAATTGATCGAGCGGTCAGAGCGATGGCAAGCTACTCACAGGTATGGTGACGAGGACCAAGAATACTATGATGAGGAAGAAGAACCCGTGAAACCACGCGCTCATGAGAACGAAGACCTGTGGGACTTTGGAACAGTCCGTCCAGCTGGAAAGAGCGTCGCTCTTCCTTTGCAGTCTCTGAAAGAAGCCGCCACCAACACTCGGTCCCAAGACAAAGATGACTGGGACCTGGGAGAGAATTCGACTAGATCAGGAAATTCAACTCCACAGCCGAAACAACATGCCAACTCTGCAATCAACGTTTCACCATCCAAACACCCTCTTCCCCCTTCTCTAACCTCTTCCCCTTCCAAAAATGCCCCTTCCGCGCAATCAGGTGCATCGTCCCCACATATGCGGACTTCTCAATCTCCTGTCAAGTCAGCCCATACTGAGGAAGCGTCTCCTTCAAAGGCCAGCCGAGGACAGTCCAAGCAGTCTAACATGGGCTATCTCCAAGACGCCACGGCCCCTAAACATTCCCCCACGGCAGCGAAAACGCATGCTGCAAGACCGAACAGTTCTCTCAAAAATACAACCTTGGAGCCACCACGCTCGCCAACCAACCTGGTGAAGAAAAAACCAGCGCCGCAGCAACGTCCACTCCCCGAAACCCCTCCTAGCCCAGTGTTGACTAGACCATCTTCTCATATCAATTCGCAAAAACAAACGGACGGACCATCCTCACCATACCCCACAACAGGACTCAAGTCCAAGCTCGCAGCGTCTCGCACAGATGAGCGATCTTCAAGAAAGCCGACTCCAACCCAGATGCAAGATCGCTCGAGACAGTCCTCTCGTACGAGTCAACCTCAACCAGAGCACGAAGAACCAACAGCCTACGGCTCGGTCATCATTCCCGCTTTACGGGCCGCGATGAATCGACGCGGGCGGCAGCTAGCTCGACTCGAGCCGGGTCGCAATCGAGGAGATAGGGAGGTTAGCTTGGAGCAGATGCAAGAATGGGAACGCGGCGTGCAAATTCACCGCGGCATGGAGCAGATGGCGGATAGCATTGCACAGTCCTTTGCCAACATTCATCTCTGGGACATGGAGGCCCCGGTGTCGATGGGCGGAGGCGTTGACGCCGTGCTTGATGTTTTTCTTGAAGAAATTCTTGTTCGGCTACAGCCGCAGACACAATGAGGCTCGACCTTGACTCCCGGTTCAGTTAGTACACGACAAACCCGGCAGTCTTTCCTTGCTTTAGAGTCAACGAGCTGTTTTACGAACTGACGTCCGTATATGTGTTCGAGTAAATTGGATTGCAGCTTCATGAATGTCTTTTGTCTATCCTTGTTTACTCGCAAAATCCTTCCGTCCTCCATTGACCCAATACATGGATAGTCCCCGTTTCAAGTCTTGCTCTATGTCCCGCGCGTAGTCGCAAAATGGCACGCAGCGCAATTTGGTGATGATATTCGTTCTTCGTACTTCACTACTCCATTCGTGTATAGCTCACAGGAATCGCTCCTCGGGTCTGCGTTAGTGGTGGAAACAGCCTTTGCGATGGGAATTGCTGTTCGGTTGTTTTGGGGGGGTTTTTTTTTTCCAAAGCGCGAGTTAGTAGGCCCTTGGTCCCGTGGGGAACTGGCTGATGGATTCCTCATAAAGAGGATATGGTAGTGTATGGGCGTTCACGGGGCATGGATTGCAAAGTTAAGGTATAATGTCAGTGTTAGTCTACAAGTGACAAAAGAAATACACAGGAAGCGATCAGGACCAGAAAAAAAAATGCCGTGTCAACATTGATCATGGTCATGAGGATTGAACTAGGAGCCCGCAGGGCCGGGAGGCAAGAAGAAAAACTAAAATCGACAAAACATGCGCAAACCCAAGGTACAATCAGTGCTGGACATCTATACAAAAAGAACTTTGTGTGCACAAGAAATCCATCAAGAACAAAGAGCAGTTGGTATTGGCAGGCAGGTAGGACAAGATAGAACATCTAATCATCCATTGGCCTATCCTCCAAAGTTACACCTTTAGGCTCAGTCTCGGCCAGGCTGCTTCGTTTGCTATCTGGCTCGGAGCCGGCGCCTGCCCCGACAGGAAAGCTGGAGAGACTACCAAGGCCGGGCTTCCGAGTGTACCGACCGGCCATGGATCGGGGAATTGAGCTTCGTTTATCGAACTCCGCAGAAGTGAGAGCAGGAGTGGGAGTGGGAGTGGGCGAATCGTCCGAGACAGTCTCCGGGGGAGGTGGTGGGCTGGACGTTCCCGACGAAGCAGTGGAGGCTACAGAGATCGGCGACTCGACTGCTGCGCCATTAGTGGCAGAGTGGGTACCTGTCTCTGTCGATGGCGGTGAAGCGTGCTCGGTCACAGTGGGCGATTCACTCTTGGGCGGAACATCCAGACTAGCGCTCGTTCGCGCAGGAGTCCGAGATCGATCTGTAGGGCTTGTCACGTTGATGGGGAAGCGAGTAGCCGCGGAGGCGCCACTTGAGCGATCTCGGCGGTGTCGTGGACCGGGAGCAGGGCTCGTTGCGCGGCTCCGGTTGACAATAGCTCGTTGACGAGCTTCCATGGCGGCTCGACGGTTGCTCTCATCAGTGCTAATAGCGCGAGGGCGGCTGGAAGTCGATAGGCCAAGAGCACTTGACTGGCGCTTCAATTCGCCAAAGATCGCGTCCTTGTGAGCAAAGAGATCACGGATCAACCGATAGCTATGGCGTTCATCCATGGTAAGACTGCTCTCAACGCGAGGTCGAAGCACACATGGAGACAAGGTCTGAGCCAGACTGGCGATGTACTGTTCCTCGGCTGAGGTCAAATCAATCAAACGCGTGAAATGGGTCATGATGGCATCAAGCGTGGCAATATTGACGAGACGGAGCTGTCCAAGAGTACTCTGGAGTACCTTGATCCGTCCCTCTTCCGTGGTCTCGTGAGCGGTGGTCGAGTAGATCGTTTTGACAATCTCATAGACTTGTGAAGAAACAAGGGAATCTGGGACATGGTTAGCACACAGCCAGGTTATATAACCGATCCAATTGAGAGGGGATATAGCTCACCTGGCAGTTCAAGAAGGTACAATTTTAGAACGCTGGCAACAATGGGTATCTCAAATTTGGGCAAAACATCGCGGTAATCAACCTTGCTATTATTCAAAGCGTGGCGCAACTGGTGGGTCTGGGCAAGAGGAGGGTTGTGAAGCCAGATAGCGCGGCGAGCCTCATCTCCCTCCAGTTCAGGGTACGCGTTGTCCAAATAGGTCAAGATCGTAGTGACCAGAATCGGAACACGCTTGCGATCAACGCGAGCGCGGGCTTCGAGATCTACGCCAAAGTTCTGCTCCTCAACTGAGCCGTAGTAGTTCTCATATGCCTGCACGCGCGGGACGAATCCTCCGGTGCGGTAATTCTCGAGCAAGTACCGCAAGTCTCCCAATGGCTGGATTGTCTCTTGATAGAGCATCATATGGTCGACGGTGCTTTGCAGGTTGGGAATGACATTGCTAATAGCACCAGAGAAATCGAGCACCACAGCCTTGATGGCCTTGAGACGGTCAAGCTCGCACTGTTCCATGAACCGCAGATTGTCAATGATTTCCTCCTCCATGCGGCACCGAATTTGATCCAACCTCCGGACTGCGGCCTTGTATTTTTCGTCAGCCTCGAAAGCTTCCCTCCGCAGTTTGTCTGCGGGGGTCTCGTTGGGGTGTTGGTTGTTGAGAGGATTCCAGCCAGCCAGCATCTCCTGAACGGAAGAGATTGGCGACTCATTGCCAGTCCCGTCCTCGCTGGAGGCCACGGAAGTCACGCGCATCAGCGGCTTCTTCTTCTCCGGAATGCCAGTAATCTGGAAAACCTTTGGGCGCCACTGGTAGTTCATCTTTGAGCTGTTCGCAAATGTGCTACCCATGTTTCCGACCAAGCGTAGAAGCCCGTTGTCCACCAAATCCTGGCCAATTAGCTCTGCCTGGGCGAGATTCGTAGCTCCCATGTTCTTTTGGATGTACTCAACAATCTCCGCGCCAGTCGAAGTATTCTGATACGTGCCAATAATGGGTACTTTGGCTTCACCCAGTCTGATGTTGTCCAGCATGTGGATGAGAAGCCGCTTGATCTCCTCCGGAGAATAGATTCGGTCTCCAATCTCATAGGGATCTTCCTCCGGCTCGTCCTCGGGGGTAGGCAACACAATTTTGGGCGTGGTCAACGGTTTAGGACTTGTGTCAGGGTCCTGGAAGGCGAGTTTGTTCTCCTCTTCCAAGTCCTCGACTACCCGACACTTGTTGAAGTAGTGGCTGCGCAGCTTCTTGACCACATCCACCTGCTTGGTATGCTCCTTGATCCTGGCCTGGAGATTGTCATGGGAGGTCTGAACACGGTATTCGTGCTGGTCGCTCCAGCGGCGGAAAGGAGCTACGACGAGCTCCCGAATATTGCTGGCGATTTTCTGGTGATTGCGCGCAGCCTCGACCATTTCCGTTCGGACGCCCTCGTAAGCCTAGAGAGTCACGCAAGTTGCGCCGTTAGCTCTTGGCCTCGCACAGGTTTCAAGTATTCGATGCGACATTACCTTGCGAACACTGGCACCGTCATCCTTCCCAAACCCCACAGTTGACAAGCGATCAACGCTCGGGGCGATTTCACCCATGCGGAGGCCATATTGCTCTTCCGCCTCTGCCCGCATGGTCGCAATCGTGAGAATTTGTTTATTCTCCACGACTCCCTGCTGCAGCTTGCCGTACAGTACCCCCAGACCAGTAGCATAGTCGGGGGTCCAGAAGGAGTCGGAGAACCCAGGCATCTTGACAACCACCGAATTGAAGACGAACGTAGAAATTTAAAGACACAAGTGGATGTGAGAAAAAACCCAAATACTAACTCGCGGGAGCGTTGGGAAATGTGGGAATCGATTCGACCCTCAGAATCAAGCAAAAAGGGACAACAAATCGCCTCTCGCGATGGCAAAGTCTGCCCAGTGCCACACGTAGCCTTAGCTTGCTAGAACAAGTGCAGCGATGATTTCTTGCTTGTGGTAGGCAATGGATTGCACTCGCAGATGTGTCTGTTCCCTCAACGCCAAAGTTGCACGTCGAGCAAATCTGCTGAAAAGGGACCCGAAGCGCGCAGACGAGGCGATTCGGGGAAAGAGGGTGGTTGCGCGGTTATCTTAGGCGCCCACGCTGCGGGCTCCTGCACGGCCGACACGAAGAACGGGAACGAGTGAATGAGGCGCCAGGACGAGGGGGAGCGTGTAGGCAATGCGAACGGCAGCGAAAGCCACAGAGCAGAATTGTATCGTATCTATGGCAAGACAATGAGTGAAGGACGTAAACCCGTACTGTAGTTAGAAAATAGGGGTGGAGAAAGAGAAGATGGATGTTGCAAATGAAGATTCACGTTGAGCAGTCGTCAGGTGGCTTGTAATCTTACCGGGCGGGCGGTACAGCTGAGTGTACTTCTCCAAATTTCCAGTCTCCAGTTGGCAGTCTCCACGCCAATTTACCCACCAGCCCAGACTGATGCGCCCGGAGGTTGGTGATTGTGTGGTTGTGTGTGTCCGATGAGGAGGGATCTTTTCTATTTTTGGAACCATCTTGCCCTAGTCTTCGATCCATACTGTCCATAACAATATTCACCCAGGTTCGGTGTTGCAGAATCTTGGCTTCTCAGCCCAATCGATCTAGTCCACATGAGGGTCCTGGTGAAATGGCTATGTGTACATGATCATAGAGGAAAAGGCGCTGCTACGATCTGAGAGGGAGGGCCCCCTTGAGCACTACTGACTCGGGGTTATGCAGCAGTGATGGCCTTGAATGCTGTAGGTGTGGCAGGTGCAGATCACCTGCATGATCGCAGCTCAAGAGTCAAGAGTCCAAGATGGCGCGTACCGTAATCGCCAACATGTGTAGAAGGATCCGGCGTCGACGTACGTTGGAAATTGAGCTCATTGCAAGAAACACCCTAGCCTGATAAGAGGATCAGAAACAATTGATCGACATGAACTTGTGCAACTTCCAACCACAGACTTCCAGTAGCAGGCTAGCAGCTGGCAACTGGTCAGTACAGTATGGTATTCAATTTACCAGCCTTTCGATGATGAACGTGCCACAATAATGCCAAGCTTGTAGCCTCCGGCAACGTGAAAGATCGGCGCCGTTTGTCAGCGACGTCAGAGGACATCCGTCCTTAAAGGTGCGCATTCCACGGCTGAGGAATTGTGTCGAAACCGCGCATTCTTCTCGAGGCTGAAACGAAAAGCTTAGTATATATCATGGTAAGTAAACAATAGGTGTTTTGTGCGTAGTCTTGGTCTGCCGGGGACGTGGACTATGGTACTGCATTGATGCATCCCACTGGCACATATGTAGGCACATAGGCACATAAATACAGTACGCACTACAGAGTGTAGTTGTACTGCCACTAGTTAGTACGAGTATGGCACTTCAAGTCACTACCTAAGTAAGTACTAAAGTAGGGGAACCTTACCTTCCTTTAGTACTTTAGGTGGCAGGCACTGGAGGTCGAAGTGGAGGTGCTGTACTTTGCAGATGGTCGGTCGTGAGCCTGGAGCAGTCGGCGACTCGGCGGGTGTACCTTTCCCGACCCGGAGCACGTGGAAAGCTCAACTAGAGGGAATTGGGCCAGGCGGTCGATTGTGAGGTCTAAGTCGTGAGGCAGAACATAAGGGGGGTAAGGAAAGTTGGACAAGCTGATTGCTCTATTATGGGTGTTCTCTTCTTGATTGTTCATGGAGTAATTAAAGAGTCATAAAAGACATATCATTGATCAGAGTTTGGGATATCAAAATAGAAACAGCTGGACCGATCAAGGCCATCGCCAGTCCAAGGTTAGAAGACGTATTAAATATGAAATACCAGCGCTTTAGATTAACAGAAGATCTTGTAAATCTTCTTCCAGCGAGGCCAGGCAGCCTGCTCCGCACGCTCCTGCTCAATCAGATGCTGGATGTCAAGATCACGGCGACCAGTGCTCAGGTCCATCTCGTGAGACCGAAGGATCTTGGTCTTGAAATAAATCTTGTAAGGGATGTAGAACAGCAAGACCACGGGAGCAGCGAGGAAGGCCGAGAACCAGGACTCGACCAAAGCTCCAGTGGTCATCTCGCCGTACCCGATGGGAGCGAATCCGACCCAGAACTGGGCGACCAGCACCAGACAGTTGAAGATGAAGCCGATCCAGGATCCGATGACACCAGGCTGGGACTGGAAGGCGAGCTCGTTCAAGCTGTGGCCCTGAACTCTCCAGGCGCGACGGAATCGGATGTGCGCCAAGCAGACAGATCCCCAGGTGAAGATGGACGAGAGACCGGAAAGAGCCATCATCCACGCGAAGGCAACAGACTGCTTGTCAGAGGCAGCCAGGAAGCAGAGGAGACCGATGACCGCGGACACACAGATAGCCCAGAGAGGACGACCCTTGCGGTCGATGTAGGCCAAGAAACGCGGGGCTTGGCCTTGCTCGGCGAGAGCCGCCAGGGTACGAGAGGAACCATAGACGGAGGAGTTACCGACAGACAAGACAGCAATCAGGATCACGACGTTCATCAGGGAGGGCAGACCCTGGATACCAGCGTTCTCGATGGCAATAACGAAGGGTGATGCCTTGGCATCGACAGAGGAGCTCTTATTCAAGAGCCTTGGGTCTTTGAATGACACCAAGAGACCCACGACCGTCAGCGCTACAACGTAGAACAAGGCGATACGCCAGAAGACCTGCTTGACAGCACCGGGCAGCGATTTGCGGGGATTGGCGGTCTCGGCTGCAGCCAGGCCGACCAACTCAGTACCAGCGAACGCAAAGGCAGCGTTGACGAACACGCTGCAGAGACCCTTGAAACCATTGTTGAATGCACCTGGGTTGTGCCAGAACTTTCCACCGATGTAGCCTCCCTCTGGGCCACCGCCACAGTTCAGAACGATTCCGAGAATACTGGAAGTGGGATGGATGGTCAGCAAGATGCTCATGAATAGAGGCTTTCATACGCCAGAGCAGAAATCACATACATGAATCCGATAACGGCAATGACCTTGATGAGCGAGAAGACGAATTCGGCTTCACCATATCCCTTTACGCCAAACATGTTGATCGAGACAATCATCACCCAGAAAATGGCCACCCATGCGGCGTTTGACACCCCAGGGCTCCAGTAGTCGATGGTGATGGACGCAGCGACAATTTCCAAGGGTAATACAACCAACCACTGTAGTGCGTAGTTCCAACCCATGGCGAAACCCCAGGCCGGGTCGACAAAACGAGTCGAGTAATGGGCGAACGAACCAGCAACGGGGAACAGCACAGCCATCTCACCCAGAGCATGGACTGTGCAGTAGAGCATGACACCGATGAGCACGTAGGCGATAATTACAGAGGCTGGACCACCTGCAGCCAACACAGACCCAGAACCAACGAAAAGACCGGTACCTGTGCGAGATTAAGGTTAGTGTTCAGCGTACGTTTCACGGACTCGTATTGAATCCCCATGTATAGGCTAGGATCAATGTCCTTGTTACGTACCGATTGAACCACCGATGGCAATCATCTGCAAGTGACGGCCCTTCAGACTACGCTGAAGGGGTGACTGTGCGGTATTGACAGCAGCCGCTTCGGCGTCGAAACGAGAGCCATCAGCACCAGCGTGGCCTCCCGAGCTCACTCGAGCATTAGGATCTTGCTTGAAGCTGTCCATGATGCGTTGACCAAAGCTACCCTTGGTGGGCTCCGACTCGCCATACGCTGGCAGGCTTTCGCCGGCGACCTGGGGCACTTTACCCCCAGACTCGTGCGCCTTCTCGTCCATGGCGACAACGGATATGTGTATGAGAGTGTGTCGTCTCTGTGGTGATGAATAGGTATATTATATATGGGGAAGGGCGAGTGTAGTTGATGGGTGGTGAGCACGAGACAGCTCAGAGCAAGGTCGATGTAGTTTCTCACCGGGCAAGATATGCGCCTTGAATGATTGAGAAATGGGAAGAAGGAGGGGAAGGAAGAAGAGGATGATTTTGTACCGCACACGACAGATCAGACCATCCGAGGGGGACTGGATGAGGTCTTTAAATATGAACTAAGGTGAAAGACCGTCACTTTCCATTATGTGAATCTCCTAGTCACTGGTAATCTGGGCATATTTTGATTAAAATTAGGGAAACAATTATCATTATTCTCGCTTTTTTTTTTGGTTTTGGAAAATGATATTTCCTTAAAATTCACTTTCCTCTGGACCAGAATTGGGAAAGTAAAACTTAATTCTTTTTGGGTACAAGTTCCATGAACGGGTCGACCGCCACGGCTTTCTCTGAATGCGCTAAGATCGCGGGTGGTCTGCTCTCTCACGGCTGCTAGACCAATTCCCCCCTCCAAGCACCTCCGCCACTGGCCATCTTCCGGGGCTTTACGGGCCTGGCTGATCAGCGGAGGTGATAAGAGAGGGAAGGTCATTCCAGGATACTGGCCAAGGGTGCGGTCGAAACTGGCGGGATGTACAAGTATACCATTACCCGGTGATGTGGTGATGTGGTGATGTGGCCTGGTTCATTAAGGTACTCTGCATGTACCCCTCGTACCTCCATCGGGGTAGCATATCCGCCGGGAATAATTCCCTCGTTATCAGCTTCGCCTTCGACGAAATATCGTTCTGTGGTTGGTAATGTGCTGCGCACTTTTACACAGAACCCCGAGTGACAATCTCAAGGCTCTGAACTTGCAGTACAACTCTACGATAGGCCCTTTAGACACTGGCATTCGAGCGACACCGTTCTTCCCGACGTTCGCCGGGTCGGCCGGTCGAGCGAGACTAATACTACAGCAGTCGGACTCTTCAGTGCGAGTGACCTAGCCTGGTACTTCAGACTCTGGATCCTGGGCCACAGAATTAGCTTCTTCCCCAGTCTCGTCGGCCGGATTGTCAGGCTTGGCGGGATGGCTGTTCATCTGAGTTTAGTAGGATCCCCGAGAGCGCAGTTACCCCGGTCCGCGGGAGGCGAATTAGCGCGAGAGTTTCAAGACAGCTTCCACGACCCTTCTTCGGTCGGTCTGTTGCCGGCCTTTTAGTCTTTTTCTTCTCTTCAGTCTGATTTGAACTTTGTTGGATCGGGAGGTCCAGTATGCAAGCAACTACATGAGTACATGTGGTCGTCGATGTATCCTCTACTGCACACTGCACCAGTGCCCATTGCACAATGCGAGTGAATAGCTACATCCAGTCTCGGGGTCGCGTTTGAGTCGTGCGATCGAGGCCCGCCTCACATGCTTTGCCCCACCAGCTTGATCTTGATTGGAACAAGACACAGTCAAGCTGCGTTGACCACGTGCAATGGAGGAGGATGCAGTACAAGGCTACAAGGCAACGACCAATGTCAGCTTCTGTAGTCTTGACCTCCAGCTAGTAGTAGCTACTAACTAGCTACTAGTTTACTAGCTGCTAGCAAGACCAAGCAGTAGCACTATGGATTACCCATCGCCAATGTCGGAACCCAAGGCCACCAATGTTCCAACCCCCATATCATACATCGAAACGGCTGGGTGTTGATCGACCCCATCGTGAGTGTGGATTGCCCCCTGCTTGAGCACGATAAGCACGAGGAACCATGGACATCACGCATGAGATGGCCTCGGACGTGATAAGATACGACACTGGACGAATGAAACGTGAAACACTCTCGGCCCCATTCATCTTGTGTTTTTTTGGGCTTCTTTTTGTTATCTTGCTTGCAGCGTGGCCCACCAGGGCATCCAGAGTTCCCGACTCATCATGAAAATGGACCCGATGATATGACCTTGACACTCTACAGAGTAGACTCAGGATACTGGAGTATAGTGTACAGTTGTGCACTAGTACATCCTCTCAGCCAACAGCCTTCGGATGACTGCCACGCCACCGTCCGTCATTGTTTTAGCCCGTCCTGTCAGTCGCGCGACCGACTCGGAGCGGGACGATCCCATCGAGGCCGACCATCGCGTGAACTTTCAGCTTGACTTTTTTTGATTCCCGCCTGGAACCCAATCACCGGCTTTGTAGTACATGACTACAGTACGTTCCAATGAAACTCGGGAAGTCACTTCTCTACCGTCACATACCCAATACTCTAATACTGTCGTCGATACAGGACACTTAATACGCTCTTCGGCGGCGAGCCCGAATGTCAACAGCACTGGGTGGGAAGGGAGTGTACTGTGTCAGTGTGTAGAGCCAGAGCCAAGCTTCTGTGAAATTAACTTTCCCGCCTCCCCCACTTTCTCCCAGGTCGATTTCGCCCTCCTTGTCAGGATTTGCCCGGCCCCAACGGTGCAGCACCGCGCAGTGCGTGTAACATTTCTAGTCCCGCGACATACCGTACCTCCTGTGGAAGGCCCACTGGGAAGAGGGGAAAGGCCCCATTCGGCTTCAAAATCAATTCATTCAATCCTACTCGAATGCCATCCCCTGGCCTGAGATATCAGGAGTTACCCGCTCTTGTTGATTCCACTTCTCTCCATCTCCATCATCCCTATCAGGCCCAAGTCCCCAACCCTGCGCCCCACCGATACCACCATCTGTTCCGTTCTCCGCATTATTGCGACGATAGCATACCACCAATCAGCGGGGCTCAGTTCCACTCCAGGAGATAAGACATCATACTGCGGAGGAGCGGGCATTCGTTGGTCAGTGGCGGTCATCGGGGGGAGCGATGACCAGCTGATCCCGTCAGTCGATGTATATCGTGGGGAGTGCCTCATCGTGAGGTTTCTGGAAGCATGTCGACCTCGGGAGTGAGGGAGAGGCTGACGGGGACTAGGACTAGGGTCAATCCTGGGACCCTGTCAAGGATACAGACTTTGAACTAAGATCCCTTACCGAAACTTTCTGTGACGCCTCTGAGGCGATGGGCTTGCGGAAAATTCAGAAGATCTGGGTGGCTTGCTTGAGTTTGGGAGGGACGAGATCACCTGCAGTTCGCATCGTCGATTCTGGCATAGTCGCGTCTTCTGTTCCGCCGTTGAGGGACCGGCGCCCGGGGTCTAACCGGGGTCACAGTGACGACGTCGGTCCCTCCCTGATTCGCATTACACTTCCCCTGGCTCCGGTGTCATGGCCGCTCAGTCAGTAGACTCGGTAGAGTCAGTACTACGACTAGTACTACTACTCAGTACGACGTAATCTCAGACTGCCAGGCTACGTCGTGCATCGTACACAAAATACCTATTGGAAGGATTTCCGATGCAGGTGGCCCGTGGCCCGTGGCCCGTGACCCCGGAACCAGAGACGCTTGCGCTGAAAGGGAAACACGTCCTTGCAAGTCAAACCCGCTAAAAGGACTCAACTGATAAGCCCCGCCGCCCTCTCCCTGAAGTCGGACAGATTCGACCCGTGAATGATCCTTTCGACCAAGTCGACCCGGTGTCCGCTCTTCAATGAGACTTGGGAGGAGGGGGCATGGCGAGATGGTGTCCTCCAAAGTTCAGCCTCCACCAGGTGTGGACTTGGCACGAGACCTGTTCTCACAGCCTCGCTCATGAGGCTGGAGTTCCCGGGTGAGGGGGAATGGGGGACGTGTCCAAGAAGGCTAAGCAGCGGTTCAGTCTCGATGGGGATAGGTGGGCGACCGACTGGACTCGGCCTCAATTGGCGTTTTTTCGGGGATTATTCTGATTCAAGAGGAAGCTTGGCCCGTCGGAGCGGCGGGCACAAGCGACTAATCTGGCCTCTTCCAGCATTGGCATGGCGGTCTGGTGGCTTTCCAAGAGAGACTTACCGCAACTATCCTGGCTTATGAGCCGGTTGCCAAGTACAGTAGTACCTGACTCACCCACAAAGCGTTCTGTGACCTTTCACGTCTCAGGGGATACGGAGTAAGCCAAGCATAGCTTCGATGGTAAGGGGGATCACAAGGTGCACATCTCGTCAGCAATCATCCCACGTCTCCTCACTACCACAATCTCGATCAGTCTCGACGCCCCCCCCCTCCTATTTTTACAACTAGAGACATGGAAGGTATTCAGGATAATATGTCAGCCTCTTGACAGTGTGTTTCAAATTGTGAATGGAGGGTCAGATGAACTAATGGAGCGGAAATGCTCTGAGCTCTCGAGCATCCCGCTGCCCAGTCCAAATGCGCAGAGTGAGATTGACCATGTAGCACTACAATAATCGCCAGCTCGTCTACGACAAGGGTGGCGCTGACGGTAAGTTAGGTACTAGGAGGTAGAGACCTATTCTGCCGTGTGCACTGGCAGTGAGTAATGAGTATTAATGAGCAGTGAGTACAATCCTAACGTCGCACTTCAGATATATACGAGAGGGCCAAAATCATTCTGCTTAGCAGTATACAAGAACACAGGTCCAACAAAGCCGTAAGTGGCAAAGTGCAGCACGATACACGATCCAGTACCTCCATCCCACGAACCCTTGAGAAACAACCTCGCTCACCGTCAAATGGTCGAACCACTGAAATAACTGTCTCCCACATCTATAGGACCAAAGTCCTACGCAGAGAGGCTTTCGCCTCGCATTGGTGCAGTTGCCCACCAGTACTTCACAGTGGCACCTCGACCGCCACCGCCAGGCAAAAGAAACGATGGCTTTCCGCCAGGCCCGTGACTGGCTGCCCACCGTAGCACTCTTCTCAGCCACCGTAGCATCGGGCGAAGACTGGCACACCCCGTCCAAGAGTTCATCAGGTCACGCCGAGGGCTAAGTTCTCCCCTTGGCGCTGGACCAACTTCTCAGAATGAGTCCGTTCCAGGCCACATCGGTCTTGGAAAATCTTGGCGAGTGGAAAGTTTATGGCAAAATCGAGGGAGAGTTGAGGCGCTGTCTGGGCTCTGGGAGAAGGGGCCCTAGAACGTTCGGCCTTCCGAGGCTCTGATTCTTGCCCCTCTTATTCGTGAAGTTAGTCATAGTAAGTAGGTAGTAGTGAGGCTGAGTGCCGACTCTTGCTGAGAGTGTACACAGATTCGCATGTGCTGCAAGTGAACTGGTAGCTTACCTGGTCCGTTCGTATCTTGGGGGGTTGCCGAAAAGGGAAGCTCGCTATGGATGATTGGTCTTGGCGGGCACTTACTTGCTTGTGGTTGTGTTGCAGAGCTCAGAGCTCTTTTTTTTTGAAACTTACATTGCGACAGATTAGTTGCGCGTGGTTTGGTTACTATTTTGCGATTTGGGGCCGCTTCTGCAGGACCTCGGGAGCCTGGACTTGACAAGATCCAAATAGACACCTTCCGATGTACCTCGGCAGTAGTGACATAGGTACCAGGTAGGTACTAGGCAGGTACTAGGTAGACATTGGGCATATTCCTAGCAGTAGACACTAGCCATTATAGACCAAGTTGTTTGTAGTGAAGTACTTGGCAGCTAGCACATGCGACACTCAAGGATCAGGTGATATACAACACTTACAGCACTGAGCACACTCTATACAGTATCACTATACACTGTACAAGTGTACACTGTACAGTGTGGTGTGTACACTACAATAACGTTCCCAAGACGCAATTCATCAACCCCCAAAAGCCGACCGCAAGCGACAAATTCGCCCCGCCACTACCGACCTAATTGACGCATTCCAACTTCTTCAAACCTCGCAACTTCATCCCCCGCCCACATGAATCATCCAATGCGCCTCAACTCGAAGACCAACCTGCAACTTCGTCCTCCCCCTCATATCTCAGGCTGGGTCGCTTTAGAGTTGTCCCACACGGGGCTGACGGGGGTGTTGATCCAGTTTTTCCCCAGGTTGAATGCGGGGGAAATGAAGCTCTTAGGTAACAGTTTCCACATCGCCAGTCCGGGGTAAGAAAAACCCCAAAGGGCAACTTCCTGGGCAATATCCACAGTTTCTGGGCCGGGGGATGACTAGTGAGTTGCTGAGTCGTGACTACTACTTGCGATTCCTGAGTCGTATTCACTAAAGTTGGTGAAAATTTATGGTACGGTGGGTTGAGAAATTATTGGATCAGGCGTGGGGACAAGATTTCTTGGATGAATCTTGTCTTTTGTGAAAGAAGGCACTCATATATGGCACTGAGTAGTGTGTACAAACTACTCAAAGACACAATAGTAGTTAACTGAGGCCGAAAGCTGTTCCGCCTGGCTCTAGGGACAGGCACATAGTGATTGCGCGGTTTCTGAACGCGTCTGGAATAGATGCGTGCCGTCAGACAGTGTCATTACGAGCAGATTCGTTGCCATTGCTCACTGGGTAAGCCAACTGACTTTGAATGTTTACCGAACCGGGCTGGGTTGCGTAATAGTTTGTTGCTGTAAGTTAGTCAATTTTGTTCCACGGTCCAGTGCTATGGAGGTACTTGGACGGGTCTGACCCAGCCTTACTGTAGATCAGACTCTCTAGGAGATGAGATCTCCATCTGCGGCCATTCCAGAATCATCTGAAAGAGCATCCGTAGAGCCGCCAGATTCCGGCTCCATAGTCTCCATCCCTGATCGCTACACATGCCCATTCGCAGTCTACTGACTACATCAATTTCCTGAATGGGTTGCCGTTGAGCTTCGAGTCCAGCGCCCGGGTGAATATTCGGAATGAACCGATGGACAAAACCTCGAGCAGACCCCGATCGAGAACAAGTGTTTGAACCTCAAAGCGAATAACATCCGTTTCCTCCTCTAGCACCATCTGCCAAGTCAATCTCGAGCAATATATGAGCGGGCCACCTCCCGAATGGAGTTAGAGCTGCAAGTACCTGACAGCTCATAACAATAAGCACAGCCGCGTCGAGAGCACAACGTCCGCTAACCCCGGAAAATCGAACAATCTTCGAGGATAACTCTATAGGCGATCACTACCCAGGTCCTTCTGCACTCCACATATTAGACTTTGCACTTCCCCCTCCACATACTGAAAGATGGGCAGTAATGATCACCGCTCTGATTGCCTGGGACCTATCACCTTGGAGCATACGCGTGGGATATAAAATATCCGATGATAGACTGCAGGGAGCGTCTGTGGAATCCGCGAGTAGCCGACGATATGCTCGGGGTGCCCTGCTAAGCGTGGCTCGGCAAGAGTTTGGGGTTTGAGAGTTTTGCGCGTGGTTGGACCGAGCTGATGGCGCCAGAAAAGTGACTTTTGTCCCGTGCTTTCGGTACTTGGCGGGGCTTGGGGTGCCTGGAGTGGAGGTTTGATATGGACTCGATGAAGAAGGCCATTCGTGGTGGGTGTGGAGTGAAGCTGTCTGTAGATGAAAATGGACAGTGGTCTAGAAGGAAATGTAGATGAGTTGCTGGGAACTTCTGGTTAGATCAGTCATGTCCGCTTAGCTTTCAATGACACGCAATTGGGTGCTGGAGAAAGAAGCTGACAGGGCAACGTAGGTTTGTTTCCTTGAACCGAAAACGTCACTTTTGACATCAAATTCCAGAGTGATCGGGCAATAGTTCAAGGTTCAACAACCAGGTCTCGAGACGACGGCGAAGACACGCAGATAGTACTGAGTCGCGTAGGTTACGTCTGAAGTTGTACAAAGGTATATATTGAAGACCTCACTGTATTCAGCGTCTGGACCCAGTCAAACGGTGCACAGAAGACTCAAATGAACCAAACACGTCTCTGATGACACTAGAGCTGTTCGCCAGTCTAGCAAAGTAACTGGGAAGGCCGTTCGTTCCTCGACCACAAGTATCCTCGATTGAGCGGATGCTCTCTCGCCCTGACGGGTACCCAAGAGATCGATAGTGCGTTTCCTTCGTGGAGTTCAATCAACAGACACGTTCAAGCCGAAACCTCAGATGATGTGTCGGCCAAGAACGTCTCTCAGTCACTCTCTCCATGGTCGTCTCGGACAAACACATTACGAAGATCAAGGGCGTCGTTTCATGCATTCATTGAATATGTTGAAATGTCATAACAATCGGTATCATTAAAAGAAAGAGGCAAGTTTATCAGTCGGTCCAGCCTTATGCGCTACCGGGCCCCTCGCCACCAGGGATCAACTAGGCCAGAGTTAGAGGCAATGAATATTGAAGGGGTAGATGAGAAGGACATACCATGCAAACGTTGTTACCGTTCAGCAGAAGCTTGGGCAATTTGATTTGCGCACCGGTGTAGTCACTGCATAGATATCAGTGGTATGATTCCATGTTTAAGAAACTCGACTGCTGATCGCGCCGTCAAGATCATCGTCGACAAGGTCATCACTAAAGAAGCAGTAACCCCGTCTGATGACCACGTTGAAGAGAACCAGGCAAGACAATTTTCAGTCCACATTGGCGAACGGGCGCTTACAATTCAGTCACGTCTTCAAGAACCATGTCTGCGATCGGGTCAGTATGTTGCATATTTCAAGAAGACCAACGCAACACGTGGGATACTCACTGACGTAGTCATCAAATCCCAGCAGAGTGCCGGAGAATTCTACATCAATGTCAGCGCGCTTCGAGGTATCATGGATGTCAAGCTGCACCGGCCTTACCTTTATCACCCTTCATGACAACCCAAATACGAGAGCCGACACACTTGTCGATAAGCTCTATCTGAATATTAGAGGGGTCTCACAGTGGGGGGCGATAGTCAAATCTGTTCACGTACCAAGGGGCAGCAGTTGAGACGCCATTGTAATGGGAACGTAATGGAAACGGCGAGTTATCGGGAAATTTCACGGGTCGATTCTCTGGACGCGTCAAGAAGGCAGTCTAATATAATTTCGAGGTTATACAAAGCTGCGCCGATGCTCTGCCCTCCAGCGACCGGGTTTTTTGCGGGCCGAGATATCTGTCCAAATCAGGAATAGCGTGTCTTTCTGTAGAAGACGAGTCACCTGGCCCGGCCACCGCTTGCTTGGAAAGTGAATTAAACAACACTACTTCGTGAGTCGTCGAAACTTGCTCGGAACCAGGCTGAAAGACTCGAAAAGTGTCCTACTCATCGGCGTGCCAGAACTGGCTCATTTCCATTCGCAATTCCCGAGGGATCGCGCTATGCAGACGAAACAGCATGCGGGGATGGGCGACCTTTCCAGCAGGTCTGAGGTACCCGCCCTTGGTCTCAAGTGCCTCGTGCGATGCACTGGGTCAACGCAAGAGCAATCTGGGTCTTCGTTGCCTTTCAACACAATGGTAATTCAAGGGTGGCTCTCATAGACAAGGTTTCTGTTGTTTGACAATTTGCTCCTCCTAGTGATAGAGACACTTTCTTATCTTGCTCTCTTGCCCATTCACGCGTTCGACACAATCGATGTGAGTCCCACCGGCCACGGTCTCTCAAACATGCACCACGAAGAACATTCACTGCTTCGAGCCGCTCCCAAATAATCATCATCGATGAGGAGGAAGACGAACATGTCACTCCGTTTCCTCAACATGCCTCCATTGGACTGGGCGTCGCCCGAATCGCGCCAAGAGACATGAACGACTTGATCCGGGCACGAGGAATGAGAGCTAAACAGCGACTCACCAGACCGTTGGACCCAAAGAAGCTTCGTGAGATTGAGAGGAAAGCAGGCGCTCTGGACAGAATCTCGACACTAGTCAATGAGTACTTGGAGACGAAGTACGCTCCTGTCGAGCGCCATCTTTCACAGAGCGCCAAGGCTGCTGAGATATTGACGATCGAATGTAAACAACGGCTCTCTGTTGCGATCTCACGTCATGAGCAGTTGGTGAGGAAAAGTCAAGGAGTCTGTCAGTTCCTGGAGCATCAGTATTGCAAGATAGTGTTCCGCGACATCCCATATCTCAGGACAAGAGTGGCAAAGACGGCGCGTGTCCTTGGAGACTTGCATCTTAGCTTTATTCGGTTGTCCCTCCGTATATTGAAAGAGGAGTCAGACCTTCTTCATGGTCAATTGAATGAGCAATTTTTGATCCCGCGAAATGCCGCCAGGGCCAAGATTGATAGAGCACTTGAACGGACAGATCTTGCAGCTCAACAATACGTCGAGCTGCAGGGTAAGGTGGCCGAGACGCTGAATGGTCTCAATTCCCTGAGGCCCATTTTAGCCTCCCTTGCATTATCCGATTCGCCGTCCAGTGCGCGCTACCAAGAATTTCTAGACAAACATCATGTCCACACAAATGATTTAAGCGGGGCAGGCCATGCCTACCGCTGGAGTTGGCGCAAGTCGAGGAGATCCGAGACGGAACTTGGCGAAGCCTATCAGCTGGAATTCTTCACTCTTATACACTTTTCCCAACTGGGTGGGATCAATCCACCGGACTACGTTTGGTCAATCATGTTCGAGGACGCAAGAAGTCAGCGAATTCGAGCGTATCGGCATAAACATAATCTCCAAATCATCGATCGCATTCGCAGAGCCTACCTACAACGGTGGAAAGGTCCGAGGCCAAGTTGGTCACCCGAGCTAAGCAACTACTGGCGCCAGCTTGATGTGATTGCACCTTTTGATATCCACCGAATGCATCAGATGCTCTTGAAGAACGAAGTGCTGTATCTGATCGCCACTACTATGGGTACTTTTGGGCCCATGTGGGAGGGCCTGCAAGAAACCCAGCACAAGAGCCTCCGTAACCGTCTTGTTGACTGGCACAAGTCCTACAGAGAGTGCACAAAAGAGTTTCTGATTGAGCTGGAATCGTACAGATACATCAGCTGGTATCGCTTCGGGCTTGAGAAAAGAATGATGATGCTGAGGGTGCCAAATATCATACAAGCCGAAGGCCTCTTTGTTCCCGATAAACCCATGAGTCAACAACTTGAACGATTCTACCGTTGGATCCACCAGATGATGGATCTTCGTGATCGGGCTTATACAGCTGAATCGGCCGTTCGCCTATCCAAGCAGCTGAACATAACGGATACTTGGTCAGCGATGACAGAGAGATTCAAGTTGGAAGCGGCTGCACGAAAATCCCAAATTCTCGATCTAGGTTCTGTCAGAGTTCGCCGCCGTGGAGTTTCGCGGAAAATTGCAAGAGCATCTCGGCAGACTAGGTTCAAGAGCCCTCGAAGAAAACTCAAACCTATTGTTCGCTCCAAGCCTGGCTCTGATCTCATATCGACCATCCCAGCGAATATCGTGACCGTGAAAGTCGACGAGACGAAGGCTGGACGCACTACTCTATCAAACCAGCGCCGAAAGAGCAAAAAGTGGGCTCAGGCCCCAATTTCGCCTCGTTCGCAGGAACAGGCTATCTCTGCTAGAAAAAAACGCAAACCGTCAACGTCCACTGTTGCGCCGCACAAGCAAGCAGACAAGACCGAGCAGGGTGCCCTGCTCAGTGACATTAAGACCCGAGTCAAAAAGCCAAAGACCGGTGAAGATGAGTACGACGTTGGTCGAACATCAGAAAAGTCCAAGACGGACAAGATCAGACGTCCTTCAGACTTTAAGACCAAAGACAGCCAAAACACAAAAGACCAATCATCATTGCCTCGGAAGCGCGATGTCGTTTCGAAGGGAAAGTCTTTGCGCTTACGCAAGTCATCTCCTCAGCGTAATTTTTGGGAACCGAACCCCATCACCATTCCCGGTGGACTCAATCCAAAATCTGGTGACCGCCCATACAGCACCGCTTCTCGCCTGTATCGGGATTCCAAGCTTAGTGTGATGGAAGAGCAGAGGGAGTGCACTTTGGAATCACATTCCTTCGTCGTCGAACCCATCAAGTCTGTCACTGACGGGAGCCCAGACAATGTTGAGACAAGCACAGTTCCAATGGAACAGACTGCATTGTTCTGGACACATAGTGACCAGCTATCCCCGAATGGTCGGAAACCAGTGGTTCACTATTGCAAAAGCCGCGAGAGCACTGAGCGCATATCGCAGCATTTCCTGGACAGCAAGGTCATTGGCTTTGATCTGGAATGGCAAGCACAGTCCTCCGCATCCAGCAGCATTCCAAACAATTTGTCGCTCATTCAAATCGCGGACGAGACGCGCATTGCTCTCTTCCAAATCGCTTTGTTCAGACCTAGTCGATCTCGTGACGATCTCATCGCTCCAACACTCAAACGTATACTTGAATCACCTGACATTACCAAAGTTGGAGTCTCCATCAAGGCAGACTCGACCCGGTTACGCAAATACCTCGGGATTGGAGCTCGATCTATCTTCGAATTGAGCCACCTACATAAACTCATTCAATATGGACAAAGTCAACCAGCGCTTGTCAATAAAAGACTGGTGAATTTGAGCGATCAAGTACATGCACACCTGGGACTACCGCTTGACAAGAGTGGAGATGTGCGGTGTGGCAATTGGACGATACCATTGAACCACAGTCAGGTCAATTGTGAGTTCGGACGCTGTAAAAACTCATCCTAGCACTGCATTGCTGACAGTTATGTTCTCTGGATATTAGATGCTGCCACAGATCCATATGCCTCCATTTGCCTGTACTATGCTATGGAGCGGAAAAGGCTGGGAATGAAGCCTACACCTCCTCGTCCAGCCTTTGCCGAGCTGAATCTACCTATTATCCGCCCAGCGGGCCAGACCGTGAATGTGGATGATCACGACCTTGTTTCTGGGATGATTGACGGTGATGTTATCGATCGCTCGTCATAAGACGATGCATTGTGGAGACAAACCTGGAGATGTGCGGACAGCAGCCAAACTTGACGATACATTCAAACATAGGTATATATTGTGAATGCATCTAGCATCTTGACTTATCTTCAATGGATGTTCCAGATGCGTTTGAGAATCTGACTCGAAACTCAAAGAGAAATCAAGATAGATGCCTTGAAAAATGGGTCAAATTATTTGATACAAGTGGAGATGAACACATGGGCTAAGTGGCATTAGATATCAAGAGACACTCTCCGGGGGTATGATGTAGCATTGACAGGATCATTATATTTCGAGGGTATATTTCAAGGCAATCAGGTCCACACTACAGTCCTGTTACCTGCAAACATCGACAGGACAAGAATATACATCAAAAAGGAAGGTGAAAGCTCCCGTCTCTCTACCCCCGCAACGGCAGTACCTTTGAAATAAGCACCTCCTGCCGACAAAGGGGACACTCCGGCTTCTCTCGCACCCAATCTCGGACACACACCCAGCAAAAGACATGCCCGCAGGTCGTCACACTTGGATCCTTGAAAGCTTCCAAACACAGCGTACACTTCCGTTGCTGACCGTCTGGAATCCACGCCACGGCCCCCCGGATTCTCGTCCAGGTCATATCGCGCGGACGAGGCTGGAAGTAATGGTACTGTTGAGGGATTCTCAATTGTTGCCAGGAGCGACCCTGCTTCTGACGAGGATGTTTCCCCAGTTTTTGTGGCGGACTCTGCTTGTTCCTCCTGCATGCTTGTTGCTAGCTTGCGCACGTGCAAGAATCCCTGTACGGCAATTTGTAGGACCATTAATACGCCCAACACCTCGTATCCGATGCGTTGCTCGCTTTCCTCGATCTTCTTGGTAAATACATATCGCAGGCGCCAGATTCGCTTTGAGAGATGGTAGTAGGAGCCGGTGAAGTAGAAAGTGGCAAGGCTGAGGGCATAGATGGGAGAAACCGAGGTGATCGAGTCCAGATGCTCGAGGAGATACTGTTGGACTCGCAATTTCGTGAAGAAAGGCTTTGAGGCGGTTCCACCCGCCGTGTGAGTGCTGAGAGATGGTTTGTTCAAGCTGAGCAAGCTCGCTTGCTGTGCTTCGCGGAGTTGCTGCTTGGCGACGCTCCGTTCAAGCTTGTGACGCACACGCTGTCGCAGCGATGGCAATAAACGCTGAAGGGACCACGGGACGAGGATGCTGCTTAAAATGTATCCGACGCGACGGGTTATAGCCGGTAGACGCAGAGTGTCATCTTCTAACTGGACCAGATCGCAATATTCCTCGCCGAGAGTGCGATTGCCAATGGCGGTGGTGAGGGAGAAGTAGAGGAGTTCGGTAAGATGCTTGATCGCATCTGAGTGAGTGTGAGCATATCGCGCGCCTCGCAGGGCTCGAATTATCGATTGGACTTGTTGCACCAGCCCGCTGGTGAGAAATGCGTCTTTTTCATGAGCGCGAATGATATCTGGTGACGTGGCGAAGGGGTAGAAGTGAGATGTTGGGGAGCCGATGGGCGCATCTGGGGTTGTCAACGACAAGTGAGGATCGTCGTCGGCCATGGTTGGCAATGGAGTGTACAGAGGCTAAGATGGAGTGGCCGTTCCGATTAATTATGTGATTTGATCACCGAGCAAGTCGAAAAGACCAGCTTGAGAGGAGTCTGTCGAAGTAACGACGATGCGGTGGAATTCTGTCACCTCGCTCCCGCGATCTCGTTGACAGTGACACTCGTTCTCCACGGCTGGCGGAAGACGGGCTTCTCGGACCTTACCCCGGATTGCCTCGGCTGAGGTCATGTGATGATCTCGGGCGGAAATCAATCACATGATCTGAAGGAAACGAGACCCGAGTCATGTGAGTGGCTGCCCACTATCTAATCAGCGACCTCCTGCCCCTGAATCACGCGTCTAAAAATAAAGTCGGCAGATTGGAGGTCCACTCTTGGAGAGAGATGGCACTCTTCAGTCTTCACAGGGTCCTCAGTTCCAGTAGAATCGGTATCCGCGATGATTCGGAACCATCGCACCGCCTCATCGCACTGGCCCTGCTTAAAACACAGTCTGCGACTTTCAATCTTGACCCGGGCAGGACCAGTCACTACCGCCATTTGCGATCTGATGGAGCGACGTCACTGACAACAAAGCGTCGTAATGGAGTGGATACAACGATCGACATGATGCCACGATGAAGTCGGTCCGTCGTGAGTAAGAGGGACAAACGACTTGGCTTGTATGAGGATGGAAGCATGCAAATCTGCATCAGGACGGTCTTGTCATGATATGCTCATCAGTATGACTATGAGAGGGAGGTTTCCTGTCTACGAGATCTATCGGTACACTTGACGTTGTTGGGTTGATTTATGAACAATGACCACCTACGCTCATTGAATACCATGCTTGGAGCATACCAAGTAGACTCGGACTGTACGGACTATGGACTATGGAGAGTCTAGAGGACACTCTGCGAAGCTGTCGAATGCAAGGTGCGTTGGGTAAACTGCGCGCGACGATCGTAGTAGAGCGACAACTCCTAAGTTTGCTTGCGACCAAGGTACATGTTATAGTGACCGTAGTCTATATTTTATAGTCTGAAGCATGGATGTACCATATACGCTTCTTAGTACTGTCTCTGAGGAGAATCGTCTGAGTGTCCTACACCTACAGTAGGACTCTCACAGTACTATTATCGCCAGTCCTCACTCCTCACTCCCTGAGTGGCTGCTATGGACACTCTCTCGAATGCACATCTTACCAACTAGACCAAGAAGCACTGACTTCCTTGAGAGTCGAGACCATGGAAGGCTCGACAGACTCGACAGACTCCACGAAGCGTAAGGGGACTTTTTCCACCCTTCAGCCACTGCAGGTGACTCCACTCCGCCCTGCGCTCCCAATGAAAGCGCAACGATGTTCTCTCGCTCGGACACGCAGGCCCAAAGAAGAGTCAAATTAATGAAAAAAAAAAAAAAAGGGTAGAGGTTGAAGAAAAGGGAAAAGAGACACTCGGATACATATCGTCCCTTTTAGTCGCAACCTCCTCGTTCAGAGACCACCGCTTCGTTCGAGTGCCCATTGAACCAGATCCGAAAGCGGGCGAAGACACTCTACCGTGTCCGGGTAGGGTCGCCATTTTCACGTCAGAACTAAGTTACTTACCTCTGAATCCTGATCAACCCCCGTCGCCGACGACACGACCGTTCGGACAGGCTTGAGTGGGACTGTACCTCAAAAGATAGTCTCGAGGGAATCCCCATTCTCTTCTTTCATGCACTCGGCCAGATCGCCAACGGAACATCTCAGCCGTCTCTCTCTCTTCACCCCTCCATTTCACCTCCATTTCCGCGTCTCCAGACTGTCTCTTCCGCTTCGAATTCCGCATCTCCGGAGGCAAGTCAATGGAATAAAATGCCCAGCCCAGATCGACAGCCACAAATCGATGGCTTTGGGCTAACCTTTCCGTTTCCCTTACGAGTAGCGACCCTGTTGGTTGCTGGTGCGTTGGCGACTTTTCTCAGTGCCCTGCATATCGATAGTTTGCATGGCACGCGACTCAATTTCGCAGCGGCTGACTTGCAGCGATAGGATTTTGGGGATGGGCGATTAACCTGCATTTGTTGTCCAAAACGGAGATTGTACGTCAAGAAAGGCCCCCTATCTTTTGCCGTGAGGACCGATCTCCAATGACTTTCTCTCAAGACTGACAGCCGCCCTTTTACTTCGGCCTCGCTCTAGGATGTCGCTGCACTGATTCGATACCCCTCCTCCGCCCCTCAACGACCACACTATGCCTCCGCATACCGATTAGCCTCTCTCTTGACACTACCACTCGCAATCTGGACAGTTCTCTTTTGGATCGTCACCCACTGTCAATACGAGCTGGTCGCGCGCTTTGATTACATTCCGCTCTCCGTCTTCACCCCTCTCCTCCTCATCCTCATCTGGCCTTTCAATCGAGCGTCTCGCGCAGGTCGCGTACGACTCCTGCTGACCTTGAAGCGCGTCATCATTGGAGGCCTCGCTGACGCGCAAGATGGCAAGTTCGGGGACGTCTTGCTAGCGGATGCTCTGACCAGCTATGCGCGAGTGCTGGCCGATCTGTACATCAGTTTCTGCATGTTCTTCAGCGATTTCTTGTTCGCGACCTCCAAGCCGGACCGAAGCTGTGGCAAGACCTTCATTACACCTCTTCTCATTGCGATTCCGAGCCTTATTCGGTTGCGCCAATGTTTGACCGAGTACTTGCGCTCCCGCCGAGCCACGTCACGCCGTGAACAGAGCAAGGGAAGCCAGCATCTGGCCAACGCTCTGAAATATTCCACCGCGTTCCCCGTGATCTACCTGAATGCGAAGCTGCGCAATTACAACCCGTTCTATTTCCACGGATTCAGCGAAGTGACCATCATTCGATTCTTGTGGGCACCTCTACACCACCCATCCCTTGTCTGTGCCCATCACGTACTAATTTCTTGCTTCCGCTCAGATTTATCTTTTCGTGCATAAATTCAGGCTACTCTTTCTGGTGGGACGTGGTGAAAGATTGGGACTTTACCCTCTTCTCTTCCAAACGATTGGACCGCGAGCATCCGTACGGGCTACGACGACATCGCATCTTTTCATCTGATCGCATCTATCACGGGGTGATTATCGCTGATCTATTGCTTCGCTTCTCTTGGCTTTGGCGTGTGCTACCGGGGCTCTCATGGCTTGCCGAGACCGAATCCGGCCTCTTCTTGCTTATGTTCCTTGAAATTGCACGCCGGTGGATGTGGGTTTTCTTCCGCGTGGAAGCTGAGTGGAGTGAGTATATGGCCCCTCCTCATGTTGTCGACTCATTGCTTCTTGTATTGTTTCTTGCAATGGCAACCCCCAATGCGGTTCTTTCACAACAATTATTTCCCGAGACACTCTTTGCTAACTAGTTCGTCTCACATAAGTTCGCACCACCCAAGGCTCCGCTCTGGATGATATTTTACTCGGCGACCTCAACCACAAGTTCGATGCCGACTAGATCGAGCGTTGCGCTCTCGCTTCACAGCATCGATTCTCCCCTGTCCTATATAACCCCCTTACCACCTTTTCTCTCACAACCGAACTGTAAACCACACCAACATTTGTTCTTTCCACCCCTCTGCAAGCATGCAACGAATCGTTCATGTCAATCGACTATATCATATCGTCTCTGATTCCTTTTTCTTCTTTCATCTTGCGTCATCAAGCAGTTCAGCCTCTTTGAAGCAATTATAGACACGAGCTTTTGATAATGAATATACAGTACTACGTCTAGCTTTAACCCTGCAGCCTGTGTGGTGTCCTGGCTATCTGAAACATTTACTCTACAGCTTGGTATTTGACCATATCAACGCTCGGAGTTGGCGATGCATCGGAGCGCTTTTTGCGTGGTCTCATGGGCTATGCATCATTGCAATCCTTGTAAAGCAACCTATCATCTCAGATGGACCACCTGCACAATACAACATGGAACGATGTTCACTGCTCTAACTGGAGCCATTTTGGAAACTATTGGATTGTTCCATGGCCGAGTGACTATCGAATTGTTATGGATATATTGACAGAGGGCCCTGCGATTAGCTACAATCGTGAAGAGCAGGCTTTCTATAGAATAAGAAGCATGGGAAAGAAATTATGCAGGCTGGTGGTAGATTAAATGCAAAGCACGACTCGCTCCCGAGTACAAACGCCCGCGCAATTATTATGGAATATTGGAAAGTATTTTGATCAGGTATGATGACTGGGCTGGGAATATGGCACACCGAAAACTGGGAGAAAGTAAGGACTGGTAGCAAGAAAGAATGGACAAGCAGAATAAGAATCCTGGTTGGTGGAGTTATTATACGGTATGTTTGATCGAGATACGCCGGTGATTCAAAGAAGAACAGTCGCAGATTTCAATGACGATCAAGACCAGACGGAGAAGCACGCGGAGATGTGTGACTCTCGAACAGATCTTCCAAGTATGCACTTGGCGCACGGCCCTGCGGCGGCTGATTCAGATTCAGCGAGCTCGATGACGCAGCCATATACGAGTGCCGATTTGGGGGCACGTCTGAGTAACCGCCAACGGCGGGCAGTGACGGAGACGACCCCGCGAAATATCCCCCGCCAGGAGACACGGGACCGCCCGTGCCTGTCGGAGAATAAATATGAGGTTGAGATCCATTCGGGTCCCTCGACGGCGTCGATACACCCGCAGCAGCGTAGTAACCAGCAGGCAGATATGTAGAGCCCCGGTTCCCAGCATTGGGAAGACTAGCATGTGAGCCCGTGCCACCGGCTGTGGGCGAGAAGAACAGACCACTGCTTGAGCTGGGGACTCGCTTGGAAGACTTATATGTTGTGTGGGTCGTTGTGCCGAGTTTGTCGAGGGAGACGTCGTTGCCTGGTGCCGCCGTCGTATACACGCCGTGTCCCTGCGATCGCTTCCTGCCTCCGGCACTTCGGCGTGAAAGGCGTCTCTTTTCCGAACTTTGTGCGAGGGCGGCGCGGCGCACAGAGCGATTGACCGACCATGCGACTAGGGCTCGCCAGGCGAGAACGGCGAGCCCGATCAGTCCGAGGATTGCCCCGACTGCGATGAAGACAGTCCCCTCGGGGATATTTGACATTTGCATGTACGGCGCATTGTCGGTAGGGGGTACGGTGACGAGGGGACTGGAGGTTGAGGTTGAAGAAGAGGAGGACGTTGAGTCCGTCGTTGTGGAAACGGAGGACGTTGATGTGGTATCGGTGGTTGTGGACGAAGACGACGAGGAGATCGTCGTCGTCGTCGTCGTGGAATCCATCGTGGACTGTGAATTCGACGAGGAAGAGGTGGTTTTGGTGGAGGAGGACGCCGAAGCGGTGGTCCCGCTTGAAAGGCTATCGGTGTTGGTGGTGGAGGAGGACGAAGAGGAGGGATCTGCAGTGGTGGTCTGGGCGGCATCCGTAGTTGTATCTTTCCCCTGTGCGGAGACTGAGACAACAGTGACCAGGACAACCAGAAGCAGCAAAATCAATGAGGACTGGGAATTCCCAGCCCTGCTGCGAATGACCCTCATCGAATTGAGTGGTCTTGTACTTTTCAGCTGTCGGGAAAACTAGAGGTTTCCAACAAAGCACGTTTAGTGCTGGATAGCAAAATGATCGACCTGGGGAGCAGGCGGGAGAAGAAGAGGTTGTGACGATAGCGTCAGTCTCGACAAGATATCAAGGGTAAGAAGAAGTCAGAATGTCTTGCTCCAGAAAAAGAATGCAGCCTTCTACTGTCTTAGCGTGTGTATCGGGGGCTGATGCTGTTCCCCTGATCGGATCTGGTGGGTTTCTCCACACTGACACGCGGGGTTTCTGCGAGATATTGTATGTAACTGTCAAAGCGAGTGACTGGCTCTTGAAGACGGCCAACGAGTGAGGTTTTGTAAAGGTTGATTACGCCGATCAAGAGACTTCCTCAGTCAACGAGCGAGAGAATGCAGTGATGCAAAGTCAGCAGCAAAACCAACGAGCAACGGGCTTAGGCTACAGCGCTTAGTGGTGAAAGAGACTAAGATCCGAGGCGGCTTGAGCGTGGATCACATGATGATATTTAGACCCGAAGATCATACTCTGATGTATCTTACAAGGGTAAATGTAGACAACATTGAATAAAGGGAAAGACAGGGTTCTGAATCCAAGAAGAAAAGAGTAAAAAGTCAATCGGTCCAATATAGTGAAATGCTTAATCTTGCTCTCGACGCCTAACCACTCATACCTCATTAGTTCCACCTACTGCTGCTTCTTTTGCACAGCAACAGATGTATCCTTCTCAAAGGCAGCGTAAGGAACTTTCAAGCTGCTGATGGCATTTATGGCAATGTATAAGATGATGAGGCACAGGAATGAGGCCATGAAACCCATGAAGATGCCTATGGAGTTCGGAGAGATTAGTCTGTGGTCCAATATCATTGAAGAAATGGAGCGTACTAACCGGGGGTGAAGAATTGATACTTGTCAAACAAAGACGTAGTACGGTCCGGATTGGACTCGCGAGACTCGCTGGAGTGAGAGGAATAGTCACGCTTGAGCTCGACCCGCACAGAGTCCGTATATGCGTCCTCGGATTCGTAGACAACGGAATCGGTCTCAGGGAATTCTCTCGGGGAAGTCACGTAGAGCAGAGTATACTTAGATGAGGAGGGGATTCGGTCAATGATATCGGCAATCAAGCCATCTATTAAAGTGAGTCTTGGAACTTCCATACCAGACAGGGCTTCGCGTACCATTGTTGGAGAGCTGATCGGCCCGGTCTGAGCCCAATGAGAGCATGGGAAACTCAACAACGATGACTCGAGGTCCAGTCTCAAAAGAGGAAGGATATTGTCCGGCTATGACGACTCTATGTCAGCTGCAATTTGCAAGGAACGAGTCCTAGAATCTACTGATCAAGGCTGCTATGATCACTCACAGGAACCGTTGATGACAGTGGTCTGCGCCTGGCAGCCTTCTGTCAACATCTCCTGGATCTGCTTCGCCTCCAAAAGTCCAGAGACCTCATTGACGCTCATCTTTGACCGAACAGACTTGTCCTTGCCCAGCATCTTCGCGCCGAGGCGGGGTACCGACTTGCGAGTCGCAAAGTCCGAGCTATGGACACCCGGTTGATTGACGATCACATAATACTCCGAAGGGCATGACTTGAGCGCAGTCGTAAGATCAGTGAAGAGGGACGCGCTGGCCTTCACATTTGCGGAGGTCGTCAACAGCCTAGGTATGTGAGATAGGCAGGTTAGTTGGTTCAAGCCTATAGCTTCAAAGCTCCAGGTGCCGCAAGAATCGCTTACTCTGAGGTTGAGGCGAGGAAGAATGGAGATGTATCCCGAAAAGCATTGACAGCAGTCACCCCCAGGGCCAGTAGCCCAAAGTTGCAAAGATACATTATGCTTGGACAGGAAGAGGCTGGCTGGAGAGGCGGAGGGTGATGATGATGATGCTGGTCACGGGAGGTCCGACATGTCTACGGAGGCGGTCGCCCGAGCGGGCCCGCTGCGGCGATGGAGCTTGAGATTCCGCCCAATTTTTTTTCTCGGGATTACTGAAGACTACATGCTGCGAACTCGTACCAGACAAAGCTGCACAGAGACCGGGAAAATCTGCCATAAGATTCATATCCATATTACAGCATGGGACCAGTTCGCAAACTTCGCAAGATCGCCAAGGTCGAAGAGGTCAGTTTTGACCCAGCAGACCGAGAGGAATTCTTGACTGGATTCCGAAAACGCAAGCAGCAGCGCATCAAGCATGCGCAAGAAATTGCTGCGAAAAGAGCAAAAGAAGAGAAGCGCCTTGATCGCCAAAAGGTATGATCGCCGCACACCTGCCTTCAAGACTTCTTCGTATCTTTGTTGGACTCGTTCACTCATCACATATTCCGGCATGTCTAGATTCGAGCAGAGCGCGCAGCCGAGTTTCAACATGCGATAGAAGAGCACAAGCGACAACTCAAGCTCCTGAAGGCGGAGGATACCAGCGATAACGAGATTGGCGAATCTGGATCAGACGACGAAAGCGACGAGGAATGGCAGGGGATTGAGGAACCACCCGCGGTCGACTACGAAGCCGAATACATCGACGAAGACAAATATACTACCGTCACAGTGGAAGAGATAGATTCTTCAAGAGACGGTCTGCGAAAATCAATCCTTGGGGAAGACGTTGAGGCAGAGAACAAAGCGAAGGCAGAGAAGGCGGCGAAGCGTTTGGCGCAGGAAGAAGAAGAAGCCGCTCGATTGGCCAAAAAGAGAAAACCCACGGCGGACAAGCCCAAGAAGAAAAAGAAGCAATTCCGGTACGAAAGCAAGCAAGATCGCAAGCTTGCTGCAGCGAAACAGCGTCTGTCCAAAGCAAAGAAGGCTAAGGCGCGGCGAGAGAAATGATTGTTTGATGGAGGACACGACCGGCAGGCTTCTCCATATCTATCTATGCATGCGTTCCACAACGTGTCTGTCGCACTTCTCAGGTGCCTGGCCTTTCTTGGGCTCCAAGTGCTTCACCAGGTCTCATTTCCTTCTTAGATCACTAGTCTCGTATACCCATGAAGACTGTCGAGGCGCAAGAGAAACAAAAAGGGATTAATTTGCATGAAGAAAGAGCAGAGTAATTCAACATCGCGAGTGTGCTAATGAAGACACGGTCACCAAATGCGTGGAATGAGATGGTGATCCAAGTGGGGTCACAACATCGAATACATCAGACATGTGGAGAGGAAAGTAGCCTGCACCCAGCCCCAATGTCCCTCCAAGTACAAGTCCCAGGAGCCAGATCTTGTTTTGATCTAGACGTTGCTGATAGAGACCTCCAAATCATGCAGATCTTTCTGCAGCTCAGCGTGCTTCTTCGCCATTTCCTCGTACTTGGCCTCCCACTGATCGCGCTCGGTCTCCAGGGCCTGCACCTTTCGCTCGTAGTGGCCGGCCTTGACATCAGTCTGGCGGAGCCTGGAAGAAAGAGAGAGAAAACACGGTGTTAGTTCATCTATGTGAAAGGAAACCCGCAATCAAGACACAATAGATATGAATTGTCAAAAACATACTTCTCGTTGGTCTCACGCAGAGTGCGATCGTTCTCCTCGGCCTCCTCCTCAAGGAGTTGTACCCGACGCTGAAGAGCTTCGTTCTGGGTATCGTGCTGGGCACTTTGGTTGGCGGCGTCCTTGGCGTCCTTGACGGAGGACTCGAGCTTCTCAACTTCCTCCTCCAGGAGCTGATTGCGGTGGTTGAGAGATGTGATCTCCTGTTCCTTGGACAGATTTTCCTGTTCCAGGGTCTTGACCTTCTTCTTGAGCTCCTCGACTTGCTCGTGAGCCTCATCGGCCTCCAAGCGGAGGGCGCTCATACGCTTCAACAAGAATCATGATCAGTGCCGGGTTCCACATTCTGAGTTGAGACTGCGTAGAAGCAGTCCGAATGGCATGCATCGGCCGGAGGTGTGGCCTAGAGGGGTCACGCGGAAGGAGCCCAAGGAGACAGCTCGTCCAAGCTACCCCGCCAGACAAGGGTGGGTAGACGTACCTCTTTGATCTTTTCCATGGTGAAATATGTGAAGGAAAGGGTGGGGTGGAAAGGGTCAAATATGTAAGGATGAAGAGAAACGGTAGGCTTTCGCTCTGCGAGCCGGGACTAGTAGAAAGTAGGATGGAGGGGAGGTGTAGAACAGCCGTGGGGAAAGAAAGACTGACTGTTTAAAGGGGAGGAATTATTGCTGACTATCACTGTACTGGGTACCCACCCCGTGGCGGCCACAATCGCCAGCTGCAAAGTACCGAGTACCTGCCTCCCCCGTGACCTGGGTTTACTGACGGAGGCAGTGGAGGGTACATGAACTTTCCGTGGCGTTTACTTTTTCATTTAGCCTCCCTTTAGCTGCCTACGGTCCCGTGCTTCTCAAATGGTACTGAAGTCGTCAGCCTCAAGACCATTTTGACCTCCAGACGCTGAGCAGGGCAAGCGGTATGAGCTTGTTGACTCTGTTTCGCTGCTAAATTTGGGACTTGCAGCCCACGCTGTCACAACTCACGGTACCTGCCCGAGTACCGTACCATTGCCCGCCCCGCCCCTTCCTGGCGGTCTCCTCCCAATCACTCGGCTCCGATCGCCACGTCTCCACGGGCAACGGCTTAGAACAACACTCTAGCCTCGTTCGATCTCATACAAGCTCGCGCTGGACCGGCTCCGCAACAAATTAAGACTATCTCAAGTTCTTCACCGATTCTTCTCATCGTCACCGCTACCTCCACCGTTGAAGTTTATCCTTGTATGCGCAACATTTACAACCACACGCCGCCATGTTGGCCGTCCGCGACCAGGAAAACCTGGTAAACACTCACCAGACAGCCGCCGCGGCAAAACCTTTGAACCAAGGACTTCATAGAGTACCACCGAAGACCCCCGGCAAGTCTGTGCCGCTCAATGATGAGAACAATCCGCGTCTGTTTGGAAAGGGCACTATCAAAGGCAACAAGAGTCGGCAAGAGAATGGCAAGCCAGCGTCGAACGCGTTCGTGACGCCTGGAGGTTCGTACACCTTGCTGGATTCGATCACGCGTCATGACTGATCTGACTGGCTTGAATTAGAGACCAGACAACGCGCAGTTCTGGGTAACAAGACTACCAATTTGAAGACCAATGCCTTCAAGACGCCTGGCCCATTTGGAGGAACGGGCAAGCAAGAGAAGACCAACAACCGCAGAACCTCGACGGCGCAGAGGATCAAACGAGCTGCTCCCGTCACTCAGCAGGCTCAGACCAAGGTGTTCACGGATGTGACTCATGATGAGGTGCCGGACATTGAATACATGCCTCCCAAACCTACTGGTGCGTGTACTTACCCTTTAATCGCCCTTTTTACTCCCTGGGCAGGTCACTCACAGCTCGTAGATCTTCTGGATGAACCCGATGATGTCACATATGACACAACATTCCCTCAATTCCAGCCTAAAAATCGAGCTTTGGGACTCGAAAGCGTCTACGGCCAGCATGATCACGGTAGCGATGGCCTGACGAAGAAACAGCGCAAATTTTTGGAAGACTCTGCCAAATGTGACGCTCTGGTCAATGAGACAATTATGAGACAGCTTGAAGCCGTCAGATTTTCGGAGTTCACCGAAACAGCGCCTACTCAAGCTACGCGTCAACCATTACAGCACACTCACCGTCGGGCCCCTTCAAGCAATGTGCGACCGACTCGACCCGTTTCCACTTTGCGCTCGCGCGAGGCCGCTGCGGCTCTTGCCATGCCCCGTCCTAGTACCGCTCCTGGCCAGCCCATAGCAGTGCCCAAGTCCCGCGTGGTGTCGGCTTCATCCAGCCTCCTCTCCCAGCAGAAGCCTCGCGCTCCAACCAATCCTTCTTCTATGCGTAATGCTGCAGCTGCAGCTACTTCTAACACGACTGTGGGCTACTCTAAAGGTCGCAGTGTCTCGTCGACCTTGCGTGAGACTACTACTGCTCGGCGAGCTGCAAGCGCAGAGACATTATTGTCCCCCGAAACCTACATTCAGTTGTATGGTAAGCCTCCTCTGGACTCGGACATGTGGATTCGCTGCAAGGCTGCGGGCTGCTTTGATGCTCCCGAGGAGTCTACTTCTTCACCGCAGCTGGATAGCGAGCTACCCATCTTCGAGGAAGATGAGGATGCCGCAAATTTCCAGCTTGCTCTGTAAGTTGGGTGCGACCAGAGCTCGTTTGTCGCCATGCTTCTCGGACAGCATGACTGTTGCGTATTGACTCGACTTTTCATGAACCGCTGAATGAATTCTGTGTAATGACTGCTATTATTCGTTTATTTATTATCTTGTTCAATTCGGCGTGACTCGGAGATTGGTGTATGGCATATCCTATGGATGAGAAAATCAGGCTCGCATTGCAATATCGGCGCATTGTTTATCGCTTTCAATGGATACAATTCCCTCATGGGCGTGGCCCTTGGATGTCAACCACGGTTCGCACTGTTTCAGAACCTAAGCCATGATGATCAGAGATTAGAACACAGACTGTTAAACATGTTCGATGGTAAGCCATGTTCAGCACCAATCTCGATTCGACGATCACACTAGACAGCCACCTTCGATACGGTCACATTGTAGTAGCAAAGTAAGCATTTGGGTAGATGGGTGGTCTTCAGACTCTTTACAACCTCAGGTACCGTCCACTAGGAATGTCGATCACCTGAGCGTGGCTCCATATTGCTGTGTCCGCGTGTACGTCCGCTCCGAAATCCCTCCGCAGACTAAGTAGAATCTAGACCGATGCCTATCTAAGCCACCCCAACTGCGAAAGCACTGAGAAGGGAGCACAGAGCCACAGACAACAGAGTTCTCACCCATGCACCATTACCATGTATTATATACACGATGTTCAACACAGTCAAAATGCTCCCATAGCCCTAGAAGCAGTGTGCTGCGTTCTATGATAACATCTGGCCGGCCAGGTGAGCACTTTAAATTATTTTAGTGTCTTCGGCCGCAGCAATAAAAACCTTGGCGCCTGTGCAGGGGTGCACAGATCACGGCACGGGCACGAGCACGAGCACGGGCAGCGGAACCACAATAATACCACAAAACTGAATACCCACTTCACCGCCCCCCGTTAACTGCCACGATGCCATTATTATTATTTACCCCCAGGCTTCTCCTTTTCAGAATTTCCATTCTTCTCAATTGAACTCTCGCCGCCATGACGACTCGCCACCCGGAGTCCACTGAGGACTTCGAGTTCATTCAGACACCGGAAGCTCCTGTGCAGACCAAGCCTGCCTTTGACTGCGGTGTTCCTACTACTCTGGTATGTCAATTGTCGATTGAGCTCCGGTCGAAGCAAGCTCACCCCCTGGAGCTTTGCTCCCACCCCCGCCTTATGGCCTTCCATCTGTCCTTTACGGTGATATTCATCTGACTCAATTCTGTGTAGTACCCTGCTATCAAGAATGCTCCCGTCCCTGCTGATTCGCCTGGCAGCGACAGCTTCTCCAATGCCTTGATGATCTTTCTTGTCGTCGTGATCCCTTGGTACCTTGCTCGCCAAGTTGGAGGTGGTTTCTACACCACCATCTTCTTCGCTGTGTTCACCACTATTCCCATCCTTATGGCCTTCTGGACTGTTGCTTCCTCAATCTCCCCTCGCAAGACTGAGAAGGCCAAGTACTGTGGCCGTCCCGTCGAGTACTATCTGAACTTCCACAGCGAGCATGACCGTGCCACCTATCATGGCAAGAGCAAGATCCCTATGGAGACTTTCTACGAGAAGTACTTCAATGGCGAAGTTGACTTCAAGATGGATGCCTTGGAGGCTCTGGAGTACCGTCATGACTGGGCCAACTTCAAGTTCACCATGGGTCTCTTCAAGCACTTCCTGTTCGGCTTCATTCCTGAGATGCTGATGCACACTCGTTCCCAGGGTATGCTTTCCCCGTTCACATTCAGCCATTTTCCTTTTTGAGTACAAGTGTTCATACTAATCTGGCCTTTCTTTAGACGAGGAGCAGGTTCGTGACCACTACGATCGCGGTGATGACTTCTACGCCTGGTTCCTCGGCCCTCGCATGATCTACACCTCCGGTATCATCAGTGACATCAACAAGGAGGAGTCTCTGGAAGAGCTCCAGGACAACAAGCTTGCTGTTGTTTGCGAGAAGATCGGGATCCAGCCCGGTGATAAGATGCTCGATCTCGGCTGCGGCTGGGGTACTCTTGCAAAGTTTGCTTCTGTCCACTACGGTGCTCATGTTACGGGTATTACTCTCGGTCGTAACCAGACTGCCTGGGGTAACAATGGTCTGCGGAAGGCTGGCATTGAGGAGTCTCAAAGCCGAATTGTCTGCTCCGACTACCGCGATTCTCCCCGCGTTGAGGGAGGCTACCAGAAGATTACCTGTCTTGAGATGGCTGAGCACGTTGGTGTCCGTCACTTCGCTAGCTTCTTGTCCCAGGTCTATGAGATGCTCGAGGACGACGGTGTGTTCTTCCTGCAGATCGCTGGTCTCCGCAAGTCCTGGCAGTACGAGGACCTCATCTGGGGTCTCTTCATGAATAAGTACATCTTCCCCGGTGCCGATGCCTCCACTCCCCTTGGCTTCGTTGTTGATCGTCTTGAGGGCGCTGGCTTCGAGATCAAGGCTGTTGATACCATTGGTGTTCACTACTCTGCCACCCTGTGGCGCTGGTACAGAAACTGGATGGGCAACAAGGGCAAGGTTGAGGCCAAGTATGGCAAGAGATGGTTCCGCGTAAGTAATACTACTTGGCCGGGCTCGACGCCCGAGGCCCTCTTTCTTGCTCACTCCCCCCTGCTAATCGGTTGTCAATAGATCTGGGAGTACTTCCTTGCTTCCTCCACCATCACCTCTCGCCAGGGCGGTGCCACTTGCTGGCAACTCACCCTTGTCAAGAACATCAACTCTACTCACCGCATTGACGGTATCAAGACTCAGTTCGGTCTTACTGGTGCCCGTCAGGCCGCCATCGAGCGTGCCAACGGTGTCCTGCCCAAGGCCCACGTTGTCAAGAAGGACCTGTAGAGCGTGGACCTCCCTCTCTCTGCCTTCTCTGGGTCTTTTACTAGATTGGTACGTCTGAAAAGTCTCACTCAGGGTGGGATCACCTTGAGGAAATCGGTGTGCTCTCTGAGGGGCAACCTTCGCAGTCACCGCAGCTGTGATCGTCGAATCCGCCTCCCGTTGGATATGCAATTGACGAGTATGACACGAAGCGAATAAATCTATGAATAAAAGCGGCTGCGATGAATGGAGGGAACCATGATGAAGTTGGTTGGAAAAAGTCTGTTCTGAGATCCTCTTTTGTTGTGAACGCCTCTGCCCCGGTGGCAGCATCTTTCTGTTCGAATGTTCGAATTTGAATGGGAGGAGAGCACCTATGAACTACTATCAGCCTGAGAAAGAATGTCATGCTTACGAAGTTCGCATGAGTGGTGTCTGCAACGTAACGTCTCAGAAGAATGTATGATTCAAGTGCGTAGTCAAATAATAGCCTTGAGCATGCAATTATATGCGGTTGCGTGGCCAATCTTGAAACCCGGCCCTGGTGGTGTTCGTGGGAAAAGCTTGCTAGTGTCAACATAGTGGCTATGTCTTCCTACCTAGCCCTTGGTGGTATACTGATTTTACTAGTGCCTGTCGAGCGTACCTAGCCGCCGCTGTGAATAGATCGATTATCTCGCAGGCTAACCCCGGGCGGTTAAATCACGTGGGATAAGGCGCAGCTCTTCCCCACTCGGGAATGGTTTCCTTATATCTGCCATTGCGATACCATCAGTCGCGGGGAAATCGTTTCTTTTGGGAGAGTACATGTCGAATGCCGTCAAGGTCGTCTCCAATGCCTGGGAAAGGCCGCACACGTCGCTCGGGTACACCTTGGACCCGCGGTGGATGCATCACTTGCAAGACGAGGCGAAAAGGTGGATGCGATCGAGCAACCCCGAGGTATTTATGTGTCGTCCAATCACCGCCCCCGCTGCCCCAAGTGTATAAAGTAACTGACATGGTAATATTGAAGCTGCAATAATTGTCTCAAAGTTGGCCGAGTTTGCGAGGGATATGGCGACCTTTGGGTGGCGCCGCTAGGTCCATCGGCTCCGGTGTTCAAGACTGACAGGAATGCGAAGCGACGACGCTTGAATTCCTCGTCGCCAGTGTCCTCGTCGCAGTCTTTATCAGCATCGCCGTCCCCGTCACTATCCTTGACCTCTAATGATCAATGGGCCAGACGAGAATGGCGGACCGAAGCAGTGACGCCGGGGATCGTGAGTCTCTCACCGTCTCCGTCTCATGGTCGGATATCAGAGCTCGAAGCAGAGAATGATGGACGGGAGCAAAGCCTCGAAGATCAAAGCCTCCGTGCATTGATCCCGAGGCCACGAGGCTTCCGCAGCCACCTCTCCAGCGAAGAAGCTCACTACCTGCAGTATCACGAGGTGATGGGCTCTCAGCGACTTGCAAATCTAGACAGCGAGCATAATCCTCTCCGGTCCTTTCTGATACCTCGCGCCATGACTTCACCACTTCTCATGAAAGCCGTGTGCGCCATCTCAGCCATGCATTTGTCGAACAGAACGGACAATCCTGACGCCAAGTATGCGTCTCTTGACTTTTACGATCGGACCTTGAAAGGGCTGCGTAATGTCATCGCAGAGTCGGCGACCGAGTCGATACCGGATGATGCTCTGCTAGCCGTCGGCATGATGTGTAAATATGAGGTAGTCCGAGGCAGTGTCAAGCAGTGGGTCGTGCATCTAACGGCGCTGCATAAACTTATCTCTTCTCGTGGCGGATTTGGAACGATGGATCCCGAGGCAGCGCATTTCTTACGCGGGTTGTACGAGCTTCCCTTTCATCGGTTCATGAGCGGTTCAGCTGCATTTTACCATTCTATCTGCCTGCCAGATGATCATTGGCTGACAACCTCGACACAGGTACATATATGCGTATAGCATGGGCCAAATCAGTAATCAGAAGAAAGTCTCCGGCAAACTCATCCTGCCAGACACGGAGACTGAAACACCGAGACTCAGTATATACCTTGGATTTACCGAAGAGCTCCTGAAACTCTGCGCCTCTATCGCAGAGCTGCCATCACTTCGGGACGACGGTATTTCCTTGCCTTTGACCGTTACCTCAATGTTTGTTATCTCCTCTTCCAATGCGAGTATTCTAATTCATGCCTGAAGCGCTTTTTGAGCTAACACAATTTCCTCATTTATCATCTAGAAATGATTCCCTCCTCAATTGGAGACCATGCTCCACTCACTTAAATATCCCCCAGGATCTGACACCTGACACCCTCTCACGCCTCAAGCTTGTCGCCGAATGTTTTCGTGATGCCGGCTTTGTTTACTTGCATTCTATCCTTGAACGAATGAAGAAGCCCGCCTGTACTCCCGCCGAAATTCCGGTTAAACCGACATCGGAGTCACGTCCACTGTCATCGTTGATCACGACACCGAAAGACATCGCGATCCAACGACTGCTGTGCCGTATTCAGGACTTTCCCCTGGACGATCATTGCGAATACTCCGCTCTTACCTTCCCGCTTTTCATCGCTGGCGCCGAAAGCGAAGAGTTTGAGCACAGAAGCCTCGTGTTGCAATCACTGGGAAAGTTGCAGGAAAACTTTGGGATTGGCAACACTATCCGAGCCAGGGAAGTTCTATGTGCGTTGTGGGTCCGGCGAGACGCCGCTCAGTGTGATGGATCTGCAAGGGTGCATTGGATGGATATATTAGAGGAATTACAGTGGGATTTGACTCTTGCTTAGTGGGACATTGTTGGCCGTTGAAGGGCCCGATTGTTCATAAAAGTGACATCTTGTTGATGATGCGAGTCATTCATGAAGTCATGATGTACGATACCTATTGGATCAGGCGCGAATGGATTTCTTCCTGATCATGGATGCTTCTTGATGCTAGAGTCCGTCTTATCCGCTGTCGAAATGTAGGTGTATGTTTACAGGCGTGCAGACTTTTTTTTGCATTTTTGAAGAGAGCTGAGAGCAATCATTTTGGGATACCATCTAATCATGAGAGCCAGGGCGTCAAGTCAATGACGTGAAAAGTCATTGTCAACTCAGAGCCATCTGCACTTCATCACTTAGTCCCATTTCTCGTTCCGCGCGTTCCGTGCCCCCGGCGGCCCGAGTGCTCCATCTGTCCACGCGGTCATGTAATTTGGCCGCGTCTTTCTCTCGCAGACTAGCACTATCACTCGTCGTCAGACTGCTTCCTTCTCGGCCGCTGGCACTGTAATGTGATGACCGACGAGAACCCTGAATACTGACGGGTCGCGTGGGTCGAGAATGGCTTGAGCCGGGGGTATCCGTCAATTTGGCACCACTTGTGAAGCCAAGGTCGACGGAGGAGGATCCGCGGCTGGGGTGTTCTACACCCTCTTCTTTCGAGTCTTCTTTACCGCTGAACCATCGCCGACGTCGTGATTTTAGGGGTGAGTCGTGAGAGAGACTCTTGGCTTCGATATCATCTTCCTTCTTGTCTCGCGCTCGGTCTCGGTCTCGGTCTCTTTCTAGGGCTTGTGTGAGGTGAGAGATGGCTTCGGAGGGTTTCTCCTGGGAATCTATCAATTCGGCGTCTCGATACCACTTGCGCCGTCTCGTGTACCGATCCCATCCGTCCTGGCCTCGTCGGCCGTCGTTCCACTGCCGGATATTGTTAGTTGTGTTCAGAAACTCGAATGGGAGTATTAACCGGGCTTATGATCTTCCGAAGGCGTACCTTATTATCATAATAAACCCATCCTTCACTGGAACTTTTTTGGACAGATTTTCCTTTTCCGGAATTATCGACTCCTTCAATGCGCCACTCGCTGCCTTCCACCCATCGCCACTTGGCATCCCCGGTTTGCACATCAGGCAACTCGAAACTATCTTTGGGAGAGACCGGGTTCAGGTGTTCATCTGTCCAGGGGGCCCGCTCAGATGGGAACAAAGAATATGTCCAGCCAATTCCAAGCCATCGGCGCTGATTTTCATACACGACAAATGTAAAGCGCACGCCTGATGAGTTTCCTCGTCGTCGACTGGTAATATTCAGACCCTGATTCTGGGTGCTTGACTTTTCATTGTTGGTTGAGCCGTCGGCGATCGACAGCCCTGTGATTATCGACAATACGCGACGCACGGCTCGCGAGCGCCACAGGATCACGCGCGAGACTCGGGCGGGTCTCGAGTGATAGGTGAGAACAACCGTTCCGACGCACATGACGACACGTCTGCTGGTGATGATGCGGAAAGGAGGGAGGGTCAAGATGATCCACACAGGGGTCACTAGGAGAATGCGCACGAAGAGGGCCACTAAAGCTGGGCGTGTTGTCGCTGAGGTCGGCGTCCGTTGGGTCGAGAGGAAGTCTGTTAACTCGAGTAACGGCTCGAGAAGAATATGACACCGTGTGGTAAAGATACGCAAAGTCTCCACAATATCATCCAAGCTCTTCTGCTGCCGGCTGCTTTCTGTGGAGGCTTTTCGCCGGTGCTTCTCGCCTGTCGAGGTGGTCGACGATAATGGGGAGTAACGACGGCTGTACATGCCGAGGATCAAACCAACCACGACCAGAATCGGACCAGTCCGTAGAATGATCACATCGCTGTAGAGAACCACGGTCCAAAATGTAGCGACAAGCAAGAAGCTTTGCCATGGATCCCCCGTTGTCCATGTGAGCAGGCCGACCAGCTTATTCAACGGGAGAAGGAAAGGATGGGAATATGCGAGCGCTCTGGTGATGGCGGGCGGCGTGGCCACCAGTAGGGGGGATTTGCGATGGACGATCACACTGGACCGTTGCCGTGAGGTCGAAGCCGAACCGGCGATAGTGGAGGGAGAAAAAGCCGCAATCGTGGGAGGCTGGGAGGAGTCGGCCAGGCCATCCTGCGGCTGCAAAGTGGGTGCCATGGACATCCACGGAAGATCTTCTGCTCTGAAGCGTGAGTCGGACGGTCGAACAGCATGAGCGAGAGGGAGAGGGAGAGAAAGCCGTATCTGGACGCGGACGTACCGAAAGCTGCCATCCAATTACAAGAACTTCATGGAGTGCGGAGTCAGCTCATGAAGCTGGGGAGTGAACATATTTTGAAATCTTGCTTGTTTCCTGCTTGACTAGTCGAGTGTTCTTAAGCGAAGATGAAGAGTTGTTCATCTCGGTCCCCAAGTCGATCTGCGGGGGCTGAAGTGGTGAACATGTGACACTCCCGGTATGATGCACTTTGGCCGCTCTTCAGAGTCAGTAAGACGGCTCCAGTCCTGACACCTTAATGCTACCGCGCCGGGAGTCAAGATCTACAAATTCAAATCCGTCGTTTCGAGGGGGCACACTGAATTGAGGAAATTGGCCGATTTCCAGCCCATCCATCCATCTGTGAGCCTTACATGGCTGCGCTAAATGCGAACTTCCGATCATGGTCATATCCTCGGTCAATTGACCTACTGTGAGGAATGTGGGCCTGATCGTCGTCCTCTGCAAGTCGGAGTGTATCACCTCCTCTCATGATAAACGATACATGTTCAAATAGTGCACTATCTGACTCAGTCATGCCGGAATGATTGCACCAGGCAGCTTGACAAGTGTCGAGGAAGACTTTCGGCTTCTACACACTCTCTCAAGCACCCGACGCCGAGGTCTTGGCGATCTACAGCCCAGACTATCCACAACCTGGAATTATGCTGCGGGAAGCATAAGATGGTCCTGGTGTAGCTGTCGCACCCTGCATCCATCATCCATGTAGATGTTTTGGAGCCGATATCGTGATCGGTCTAGACCCCGACCGAATGACCGCCAACGCTGGCACACGGTGACTTTCAAGACTGTCTGAGTTCTTGCTGGAAGAATGCCACGTCTCGCCTGAAAAGCAGAAGATGACGGGTCTTGACGAGGAACGACCGGGACGCTCGAGCTCCTGCTCAGATGTTAGCACACGAGATCTAATGCGATGTTGATTGTTGAGAGCTCACTCGAATGTACGAAATTAAGGTACCGGCTGCTTAAACTCGGGATCACTACGTCATGGACGAAGAGAGCAAACTTCCACGTGATTCCCAAGTCGCTCATCGCAGTTCCGTATCAAAATAAAAATACCGAGCACACGGTCAACAGTGGCACAGTCGCTAAGCGTTTGAGCAGGCCTCTCCAAATCTCACACATGGAGAGTTGTGAGGGATCGCCGTCTTATCATCGCAGAGGTATCAATATCTATCCACCACCAGGAGGCAGGAGTTTATTAGTTACTAGTTACAGTGGTTGTACGTAGAAACGGATGGATGCCTTGACACCTTGCTTGTCTGATAGTCAACAAGTGCCTGGCATGGCGAGAGTCATATTGTTCAGTGTTCAAGGTTCAGTGTTCAGTGTCCGGTTGTTCACTATGTCGGTCCCAAGCTGGATGACAATCCAGTTTTTATCGAAAATTACAAGACCAAGTGGATTGAGAGTTGTGAGGAGGAAGAGTCAGTGTAGTACTTCTCATAGACAGTGTCTGGCAGTCTGCCACCAGATATGCAGCAGTACCTGCTCGCCCATAGTAAAAGCCAGTCAAAGTAAGTACCTTGATGTTGAACCTCAATTGGACACTCATTTGGCAGGCAACCGATACCCGGGCCAAATGTACTTGGGCATCAGGAGCAAAGCGCAGACCAGACACAAACAAACAGTCTCGAAAAGAATGAATATAGTTGCAGAAGATTTCTGCTCCCTTGTTTGAAGACCAAGTATCTGCATAAATTGAACTGAGTTTTATTGCTAGAGTGATCGCAAGCTTACCGACGTGGTTCGGCATAGTCATACACCTCGACACCCCATACTTTCAACTCGCCGACTCCCGGCGCTAAAACACGCCGCCGAAATTTTCCCCTTCTTCTTCCTTCCATCTCCTTGTGACTCTTACCCCTAGACCCGACACACCCCGATTGTCGACATGGTAAGAGACTTCTTTTCCCTCGTGCAAGATTTTGCGCTTTGATGCACAGACTCCAAAATTGCTAACATCCTCTCGAATCCTCCCAGGCTCACCGTCTCGTCACACAAGTCGTCGTCACCGGAGCCCGGGTTTTCGGCCGCGCCTTCGCCGAAGCCTACAAACAAGCCCAGGCATCCGGCAAATACGCCGCACAGAAGAAGAACGGCGGCAGTGCCTTTTCCTCCTCGGGTGGTCTGACTCTCGATGAGGCCTGCAAGATCCTGAACGTGAAGCCTCCGGCGGCCGGCGAGACCAGCCTCGAACATGTGATGGAGCGCTTCAAGAAGCTCTTTGATCTCAACGACCCCAAGCAAGGCGGCAGCTTCTACCTTCAGAGCAAGATTCTCCGGGCGCGAGAGCGGATAGAGATGGAAGTTCGGGAAGCCGAGCGCAAGACTGCGATGGACAAGGAGCTTCGCGAAGGCTGGAACCCCAAGGTCTACAAGGACCGGTGAGGGACGATCTGCTCAACCCTGTGGACATGGTCATGAATCGGATTCTTGCTCTTGCCTCGATGCGCACTTTACGATTCTACGCGTCCGACTGTATATGCTCGTTTTTGCATCGATGCGACCGCCACGTATCTTTGACCATGAGGAAAAGAGAAGTCAGCACCCCGCCCCCAGTGTCTGCCGGGCGAAACTTCTGATTTTCGACATCAGCTCAGCACTTTATTTCGATTTGGCATAGCATGGCGTTATGATTTTTGGGAGGAGATGATTGCAGAAACGAAGAGCCCTCCAAGAGACTGGGGGAGGAGTGTCTTCATATTGAACTGAGGGTTTTCGATGGTTCCGCGATCGCCGTGTTTTTGTTCCTCGGGAAAGACTACCTCTGGAAACGATCTTTTCACTTCCTACTTCCCAATGTCTTCTCAACTTCGCTGGTGTATACCCTCTGCGAGTCCCTTTTTTCCATTCCACTTGTATTTTACTAGTCACCTCCTCCTTTCTCGACTCTCCCCGCTCTTCAAGCAGCCTGAATCTGGACCAGGCAATGCAGGAAAAATCACATGTACTATACGATACTGCTGCGATGTAGATCATTGGCTTATAACAATTTGTTCACCTTCAGTCTCCCAACGTAAGCCTAGACCTTGACGAAAGGTGTCCAGTGTCCACCGTCCACTGACCGTCGACCTGAGTCCACACGTCTGCCTCGGAGTGGTACTTCTACTTCCGTAGAGCAGACAGTACAACAGTAAGTACCTCGGTCGGAAGGCCCACCACCTTTTGAATGTCACTGTGACTGCAGACCTCGGGGCTCAATAAGGTAATAATAGTGAATGATGGACCAGAGCCAACGTAGAACCACTGTTCTTCCATTTCTTGCGTACTTTTGCTGGCCCCGACCGACATGGCCTAGACTTATCGAGCTTATCGTGGCAGGGGAAGATGCTGAATGACCGTCCCATGACGAGTCATGCTGCACTCTGCATCGTCCCGTCGTACCTCGTCGCATCTCCTCTTCTCCTCATAAACTTCCAGGAACACGATCGGAGGGTGACCAAGGGAGGATTTCCACCCTCCACACCCTAGATGCGGCCCATCCTCTCGATCCCTGTTTCTCGTCTCTGACCGGACATGGTCTCTACTCTGCAGGGTCTACGATAGGCCCATCGATCCCGTAGGGTCTCATCAATCGCAGCCATGGCGCCAACCCGGAAAGCGGAGCTCGGGACAATTCAATCGAATCCGATCTCTTTCGCATTGGGCGCGATCTCGATTTCAAATTCGATCTCGGAGATTAGGAAACTCTAGATTCTGTGGTTGACCCTGGAAATAGACCGACCGCGTTAATAACTGATACACAACCATGTCCGGGTCTGCCGATTGATGCTATCGTGGTTCTGGACTGCTCGAGCCTAGCTGTGCATCAAATACGGCGACTTTCCCCCACGTCATCCGAACCAACGAGGAGTTCCAAAGACAAGAAGAGAGAAAGAAAAAGAAATCTCCCCCATCCTTCAAGAGACCTCGCCGGGCTTTTGCGTTCAGATTTGACGGGGCGTCGTTGCTGAGCAATCAACCACTTCTGCTGCTATCCCTCTTCCTCCGTCTCACCCTCACCCACCCCAAAATACCCCCACCATCTTCTTTCCCTCCCAAATCTCAATACATTCGATCTGTTCGGACTGCTCTCACCAGCATATTTCACAATGCGGCCTCAATCCCCGCTCTCTGCGGACCTGCCCCCGCTGATCATGGGCACTGCGACATTCAATTCGCAATACAATGCTGATCCGTTCGCTCTTCCCACGACCGAACTCGTCCAGCGCGCTCTGTCGCGGGGAATCCGAGCTTTCGACACATCGCCCTACTATGGTCCCGCCGAGGAACTCCTTGGCCGCGCCTTAGCCACCGAGTTTGTGCAGACCAACTTCCCTCGAGATTCGTACCGCCTCCTGACCAAGGTCGGCCGGGTCTCGGGCGCGTCGTTTGACTACTCCCCCGCCTGGGTGCGACATAGTGTCCGTCGCAGTTTGCGCCGTCTGCATACAGAGTATCTAGATGTCGTGTACTGTCACGACGTGGAATTTGTCTCTCCAGCCGAGGTTCTGGCTGCCGTGACCGAGCTGCGCCGCCTGCGTGACGAAGAAGGTCTGCTGCGCTATGTCGGAATCTCCGGATACCCAGTCGATGTGCTCAGCTCGTTATCGGAAATGATTCTCAGGGCAACAGGCGAGCCTCTCGATATCGTCATGTCCTACGCCAACTACACCCTGCAAAATACTCGGCTTCGTTCGCTCGCCTTGCCCCGACTACTCGCGGCCGGCGTTGACGTGGTCCCCAATGCGTCCCCGCTGGGCATGGGACTTCTTCGCCGAGACGGTGTGCCCATCGGATCAATGGGTGATTTCCATCCCGCGCCAGATGCGCTGCGAACGGTGATCCGCTCCGCCGCAGAATGTACCGCGCAGAGTGGCGAGAAGTTGGAAGTGGTGGCTATCCGGTTCGCGCTCGAATCGTGGCTGCGTGCAGGTGCAAAGGCCGGTGCGCTTGGTGCGCCGCTAGCTCGTTCGACGGATGCCGATCCGGGCTTTTTGTCCGTGGCGAACCTCGGCACAGGCAGGAGACTCGGTGTCAGCGTCATGGGCGTGAGCAACATTGACGAATTGGATGAAACTCTCCGCGTCTGGCACAGTATCCTCGACGGACTCGAGAGCTCGGTCGAAGGAGATGAAGACGTTGAAGACGACGATGACTCCAACCTTGACCTTGAAAAGCAACTTCTCTCCCTGAAAAAGTCCCCCCTCTCTCCATCCTCGTCATCACCAACTCTCCAGACCGGCGCCGTTCCATCCCAATCCCAAGCCCCCGCCATCCTCACCCCCTCAGAAGGTCTGATCACAGACCGCGCCTGGTCACACACGCGCCGGGCCAAAATCCTCCAACTAGCCAAGGAGGTGCGCGACGTCCTAGGCCCAGAGTGGGTGGATTACGTCTGGGCCAGCCCGCCGCCCAATTTCCAGAATACGCTGTCCGATGACCATATTGCCGCCAGGCGGGCGATGGAAGCCGAAGAAAAGGAAAGTACAATGGCGCTGCCGTCTCCGGCGGCTTCGGATCATGATGAGTCTATGTTGACGCCGCCGCTGGATGCAGAGGCGCAGTTGATTTGATCGAGAGAGGTTACGAGTTGTCGAATAGAGAGAGAATCCGATTTACGAGACATGGAAGCAAGACGAGCACTCCTTTTTTTATTTTACTCTTTTTGCCCGGGTGGCATGACGCCTTTACACCATGATGCCCGGGGAAAACCTTCGACGAAGGGGACCACTTGGTTCTCTTCATCAAGCGTGTTGTTGATTGATGTAAAGCAGATTTCGTCACACGTATATAGATTATAGTGACCACCTTACCTTTCACAGGTATCGCTGAATCTCCTATCTTAATCCAGCCATTCCATTCAATCAGGCAACACAGCTCAACTACCGCAACCTCTCTCACATGCTCCATTTCCTCTCCGAAAACGTGCATATAGCACATGACCGATGAGAAAGGGGTGGAAAGAGGGGGAAATTTGGGAAAGTAGGAGGATGAGCGGTAGAGGCCAGTCCGGGTCCATTGAGAACTCACGCTTTGGGCAGTTTCATTGATCACTAGAAAGGAAGAGGAAAATAGTAGATACCAGATCGGCACCAGGAATCAAGCTCATGTTCGGGACTTTCGTCGCGTGCCAGGGACTGAGCTCGTCGAACTTTGCGTCGAGAGCTTCTCGAGGAGGCGAACTGATTCTGCTGGCGATTCCGAGTCCGAGAAATCTGGGTCGTAGCAGGCAGATTGGGCCAGTCAGACTACGCTGAAACGCCGAGCAAGAGCCCCATTGAGACAAGTAAAACAGACACCTGTCGAGCACGTGGCCTCAGCTGGGCAATTTCGAGTTCAAACCCTAGATGTGAGTAAAAGCGGCCAAGGGGTTGCTGAAAGTGATCATGACAAGTAATGATAACAAATGTATATCATATGTGAGCGACGGCATAAACACAGCCGAATGCTTATGCAGACAAAATGCTGACCCTAAAGGCCATAATGCGTAATCCAACGATGCCAGTAATGATAAGTTGTACAAAATACTTCCAGGCGACTCTGTCAAGTAGAAAGAACAAAAAAAGGAAATAAAGATGGGTATCTCAAGGGGTGATCGAGCACGCAGGGAGCAAACACACGAAATGAATCATCCTCGTCGTCAGGGTCTCCATGATGGCGACACGTTATAGCGTTTCTTTATCTTCGTGCCGCCGGCCGAGAGTGCCGAGGCCCCGTGGGAGGCGGTGGTGGAGGGGATTCAGCCGGCAGGGGAGGTGGAGGCGGAGGTGGCTGGCGATATTTTGCGAATTGTGGCGCCGTGTCAAAGATCCGACGGAGCTGATCACGCTGATCAAGATACTCATCGTAGTTTGCTGCGGTGATTGCGTCCAAGATACTTGCGTCTCTCTTGCCGTGGTCATTGATCCAGTCCATTCGATCCCGCAGATTCCAGTATGCGGAGCGGAAGGTTCGGAAAATTAGCTCAACCTCTTTGGTACCGCCGGAGATGTCATTCGCCGGGTTGTTTGGATCCTCAATGGACAATCGATCGCTCTTCTCGAAGGTCTGTGAAAGCCAAGACTGAGTTAGCACGTACGGCCTGGGAAGAATCACAGGATAAATTTGAGCTCCCACCTTGTTGTAGTATCCGGGGGGATGCATGCGAATCCCCGTCTTCTCATAATTGAAAATCTTCCCGTAAAAGTAGAAGAATTCCATGAGAATAGCCCCGATATTCTCTTGCTCTTTACGGGGCATATGTTGAAGCAGGCTTGTAACGATGCAAGTGATCGAGAAACCACCAAGACCACCAGTGGGGACCTCGTTCAACCCTCGAAGAAGCAAGAACTGCTTCACGACAGAGACCAGGACGGGCATCATGGGGTACTGCTCACTCCACTCCTGAAACGTTCGATTGGCCAGGAGGCCGCTGTCATTGTCAAACGAGAGATCGACACGCAGCCCCGTGAGCTTGTCTACCCATTTGAGAATTGGTACCCGGGCATGGGCAATGGCTTCCACGGTACCGTCTACTGCGAGACCCGAGGTCCTGACAAAGGCAGCGAATGCGTAGATTTGACCTCTCCTATCGCCAAAAGCACGAATGCCTTTATTGGCAAAAGACGTGGAAAGAAGGACCAGATCAATGTCCGCAGTGGGGAGGTACATTCCAGAGGCGAAAGAGCCAAAGGCATGCACCGTCACTCCAGAGTACCGCTTCTGGAAAGCACGCTCAAGCCTGTCGACCACGTCCTGGCGCACAATCTGCTCAAATCGCTGTGGTTTGACCCACTGGTAGAATGCTAGAATCTCATTTTGCAAGCTAGAATTGAACGTTAACACGAATTCTCACCGCCTTGAAGTAATATGAGGCAGGCGTGCTTACCGCGCAGCTACATTCAAGGATGGCTCAGATACCATCCACGGCGTCGCATTCTGGTCCTTGAACGGCAACCATTCATTCAGGATCGAACCATCCATCTTGAACCGCCGGAGAGGCTTGCCATGCTTGGAAGTCAAGGGCTTGGGCTGGTCGTCCCGAGTGCGCTTGCGAGATTCGGCCGCAGGCTCCCTGACTTCCGAGGCCTTGGGGCCCGTAGGCGCATTTGCTGGTGGCTGGTCCTCGGGTTCATCAGGGCCTCCAGCAGTGTCTCCAAAGGCACCTAGGGAGATGAAGTCATCATTGTCAGCGACTGCATCTTTCGCCTTGGCCTCGGCTGGGATAGCAGCCAGTCTGGCCTTGCGAATGAGCTTCACCACGTCGACTCGCTTGTGTTGGCTGTCGTCAGGAGGAGGAAGTGCCGTGTACGGGTCAGGATTTGACCACTTGGGTTGTGGAGGGGTTGGTGCAGTCACGGGGGCTGGTGTCGGAATGGATGCGAGGAGAGGCTGCTCAGACTCATCTTGGCCGTCTGTGCCCACCACGCGCTTCTTCCGTGGTCGAGCCTCAGCGTCTGAGTCTTCATCGTCTGAGAGCTCCATCTCAGCCTCTTCACTGTCACTCAGATTCTCCAGGGATGCAAACTTGGGAGCCGGCTTTGGCTCTGTTTCGGGAAAGAGCAGCTCAGGCGTTGGTTCCCTCACACCTCGCAGCAACGGGCGCTCCGAGATGTGACGCGGTGGGGGGCGGAATGAGAACTCATGTCTGGGATTTCGCCCTCGTGCACCACGCGAGGGAGGGCCATTGCCTCGAAACTGAAAAGGGCGACTCATGACCAGACGCGCACAATTCGGACTGGGCTCTGAGAAGAACGCGACAGGCGCAAGACGCAACGCGGAGGCAGTCTTATTTTAACAAGGAGCCAGAGCGCAGTGACAGTTGCGAGTTCTTGTGAGAAGAGAGTCGTGCGAAAGACCCGACGTGTCGTAATGGTGTTGTGGACAGGGAAAGGCAAGTACAATAAGGAAGATGGTCACCGCGCGTGGGAGAAAAAAAGAGTGGTGCATGACGGCAGAAAGCATGTTGCGGGATGGCGGCGAGCGGATCTGCTCATGCCGGATTGGTCTCAGTGGGCCGACTCGACAGCCCCACCTACAGATTTTCAAGACGATTGAAGTCCAGTACAACGGTACAATACCATTGTAGTTAAGTAATGGATGCACTTGGCTGTGGCACTTGTACGGCAGTATACGATACAATTCTATATTCAGAGCATCAGTGGGGTACTACTATGTAGCTACAGTTGGTCTGCTGAATAGGTACGACACACCTTATTTTGTGATGAGAACTATTCAGAGACCTACCTAGTTAGTTGGTAGACCTTATGTACATATCCAGTGGTCTTTACGTCAAGTTAGAGAGGTAGAGCTACACAAGATATGTCGCCTGGAAGAGGGCTTTGATCACCACAAGCCCAGTAGAACGGGATCCATACGCTGTCGCAGCCTCTTCTGATGAGTAGTAGACGTGGTAGATATACACCCTACTTGAAAACATGACTTTCTTCAGGTACAACCGTACAAAGTGCACTACACCTTCAATTTTCCGTTTTTCAACCCAAAATGGATACATACTAGTGGCCTATTCTGCGATGTCTACCACACGAAATTAAATGCATTGACCATAACAGTTCTAAGGTTGACGCTCTCGACTTCCATGAGGACTCGTACTCAGGTTCATGAAAACTGCCAGCGCCATTGATTGAGAACTCTACCTTACTTAGAAAGAATGCGGGATGCAATATTGTCGAAACTGGCAGCAAATAGGTAATATAAGGTACCTATATACAAGCTCAATCAGAGTCAATCTCTCTATTGAGGTAACGAGTGACGCTGATGTCCACCCATTAGTCCATGCTCTTTCGCATGTGTTGCCCTGCGTGATCAGCACGGTGCCTCGTTACCACCTATCGAGACGTACCTGACTTCTCTGGGAGGTATATGTACTTGCTCCTTCCACGTTGGTGAAGCATAACACCAAGTCACTAGACCTCTAGGATCTCACAGCCCACAGCCGTGCATCAAGTATGCGCTCAAGCGGAGCTGGTCGTCCACAAATCTGCTCAAATATACGCAAAGGGGTCGAGTCTTTCGCCTCATCCGCCGAGACAAGTATCTGTGAAGTGGTCAATTACGGTCAAAGACCCTAGTCAATATGAGATCCGATACCCATTCATCCACTCATAGAATGAATGTCTGTCTGTCCATCATTTAGATGAAACTGCCCAGTTGGCCATCTGAAGAAGAGAGTCACGGGCGGGGGGGGGACCCGATTATCTATAAAGAGTGTCGGACCCCAAGACTTCAACATCTTTCGTTCCCTCCTCTCTCTTCTTTCCCCACTACGAACTCACACCCCCACTACTTCTCCAAGACAACCTCGCCTTTCCATCCGCTTTCTCCAAAGCCACACCTCTCAGTCAAAATGGGTAAGCACCACAATCTCTCTGGCAAACCCGGTCTCTGATCACTCGTGGACCCAACGAGCCACGGCCTCGATCTGAGTTTCAGCCGGCATCGCTCGAGCTTGTGGCTTGTCGCGGGGTCGTGGCGGGGTGAATGATTGTCGACGGAAGTGTCATTCCTGTTGGACCATCAGATAACACCACCATGGAACAGATTCCTTGCTTGACTGGCAAAGACTGACCAAGCATGATTCTCTAGGTCCCGATCACACCTGCAGCTGCGGCGCTTCCTGCCAGTGCCCTGCCGGCGCTTGCCAGTGCCCCGTAAGTGTTCTCTCCGTCCTCCTCCGTGACGACTGCACCCGAGGAAGTTGATCATTGTTCCCCCGCTTCATCGGCTGACATGAACGTGCTCGAACGCAGAAATAAATCAAAAATGAATCTGATTGCTTCTTGGATTGTATGCCTTGATCGCTCTCAATGAAGATTGTGTCGTTCGCTTGGACCTTACTTCTCCAGTCGATGAAATGAGGGAATGAATGTCGGGTCGACAATGGCGGAGTCGATCAGCTGATCTGGACACGGAGATGTAGGTTCGAGGTTACAATGACATGGCCGTTTCGCTGCACTTTATCGAGTATAGATTTGATAGTTGTAGAAAAGTCGTTCAGGTTGAAGAAGACAGTACGCAGATGTCTTCCATTCTCGGGAGACTTCTTATATGACCACTGTCATTGACCGCACTTGAAGGACCTGGGGGGCTTTACTGCAACCCCCCTCACATCCTCGTGCTGTCTACTAGCCTGGCTCCATGTAGATACTAAGGAAAATCCTCCTCTCAGTCAGGTACGATAGGCTGGTTGGCATACAAGCCTGCTGGAAACAGTCTATATATCGATATCTCTTGATCTGTTCTGCCGACAAGTCCCAGGCGGATAAAGAGAGACACAGGACGTGAATGGCGATTATGATACCAAATATAGCGGGGCAGTAGTACCTTACTACCTTCCATGTTAGCTGAAAGTGACCGATCTCCCGGGGAGAAAAGCATCAATCCTCAGTATCTCATACACGGTGACCTTACTTAAACTGCACAGCTACGCCAGGAACGACCTGACTTTCCCCTCGAGCCAGGACGAATTTCACCCGCCCACCCAACTCCAACGATGGAACGAACAACGCCCTCCCTCTTCGAATTCACTCACTTACCTACCTGACTTCAGCTAAATAGCCCCCTCTTCGCATCCAGCAAAGCTCACCTCATCCACCATGGAAACCAGTCCCCTGGTGACTTTCTCATTACCAGCTGGTCGGCACGCCTTGGAAAACGCGCTTTGTCGGCGATGCATCTCAGCCAAGGGTCCGTGTGGCAGACATGCACGATTACAGCGGTACTCCCTAGGTAGCGACGAGGTATGCCAGTAAGATTCGGACACGAGTCGGATGAGCTTGGCTATGACTACCAGTACCTATCCCACTCTGGAATCGAAATCGGACAAAGGGGGATCCACGCCGAGACTTGTTGATGATGCCCTCTCTCGTGGAGAGATCCACTATGCAGATGTCGAAGTATCCGGTCTCTTAGTCCTGGCGCCTGGGCTGTCCTGTAGATCTACTGACTCGTCGGCATCACCGAGTACAAGACTTGCGTAGAGGTAACCAGTCAATGATCATGCCACATAAAATCGAGAATCCCATCAATCGAGCTGTGATTTCTTCCCGAGAAAGCGAGCAATATGTATGAATATCGTAGTCGAAAACATTCGAATTAGCATGACTGTTCCGTGCCATCTCACAGGCTCGCAGATGGGAACCAAAAGCATGCAAGACGCAAGATAAGTGCAGCATACCCCCCACCCCGGCACCTCCCCCAGCAAGACCTCCACATGAGCGACTTTCGCTGCCCAGAAGCAAAGAAAGTACCAATCCTATCTTCTTCCAGACATGAACGCTTCAAATGGCGCGAAAGAAAAACGGACGCTCCGCCCGCAAAGATCAAGAATTTCGCCGAATTCGGGCCTGATGCATGCATGGGGCATGCAGAGGGTGGCCACACGGTGCGTTTGGAGGGAAGGAACTCTATCGGTCTACAAGAACTGGACTTGGACTGTTCGGAGACGATTCTGTTGTGAAATCATAGAGTCATCTTGGGTGGGGGTTTCCTACGATACAGAGTCCAATCGGGCATCTATCTGCCTGCAACTAATAATTATGTTGAGTGTCGATCTTAGCACGACGCTCAAGACCTCTGGGCTCAGCAGAAGGTCTAGATTGGAAAGTCAGCAGGACGCATTGCAACCTTCTCATATTATTCCACACCACGCTGACGATCTGAGACTGCGGTGTAACACATCCCAAAGTGAAAGCGTGGTGACAGCATAAGGGTTAACGCTCTCGAGAACCGTTCGTCGTCAGAATGCCCTAGTCTGATCTCCACATATCTTCGGAGATCCGCGCCAAGTACATCATAGTAACCCTCGACGAACTACCTGAGCATGTAGGGCTTAGGTAGTGATTTTGTCACTTGGTGGATCTCCTCCCATTCTGTACCGGATAGTCGGCTTCATCACCTCTCGTGTGTTCTGAGAGACTACAGAAGCACTAGTCGTAAGTTGCAACCCCTTAGTCTATAGTGTATACATTAGTGGCAGAGATCTCGGCAGATAGACTACTTGTAGCTTGACAAGATTTGGTGTACTTGACTACCACTCATCTGCATGGACATCGGACCGTAATCTGCGAGCGGTTAACGCGTGAAACCCACACTCAAGAAAAGGCCATGTCAAGGCCAAGTCTACAAGTGAGGGGAAGCTGAAATGCATGCAATGCCCTTCGGAGCTGAGTCCTTCCCTCAAAGAAGCAAATCTCGGCTTCGACGTGCTGTAGATTGAGACGGAGTAGGAGGTGGGGAGGGCAAACAGAGAGGGGCAACAGCAGTTTGGGTGCAGGGCTGTAGCCTGGACTGAGGCAACTGCGTCGTCGGACGGGATGCAATGACTGATGACTTGGTCACGGGACGTGGACAGCGCAGAATCCCCAAGGCGTTTGTTTTTGCCGACTCGCGTACCGGTGAGTCTTCGAGGAGGGTTGAGAGGGTCTGGGTGTGGGCTCGGGGAGGTAGGAAAAGGGTCGAGTGGAGGCGTATAGAGTATAGACTATAGACTGTAGTACATCAGGTGGTTGTGTACTCGTGGTCGTGGTCATGATGATGTAGCAGTAGGTGATATACATGCGCAACACGACAGAGGTCATATTGAGAAAGGCAACCAATCGTCCTGGGATAATCCACCGCCCACACGTGTAGATCTCTATATGGCTGGGTTGGTTCTCTAGAGGGGCTTGAACAAGTGGGGATCTACTATGGACCAGTACACTGGTGGACTGGAAGGACTTGGAAGTACACCAGTACACCGACGAGTGTGTCCATGTACGCGCCTCCACACGGACAGCAGATGGAACAAGAAAGTCGTGAAAACTCATCCCCAGGTAGATGACAATAAAGACTAAGTACCAAGTACTGATTGTCTCGAAGACTCCGATTCCCGCCGCGGAGACAGGCCCCCCCAGGTGTATAAAATCCTGCCCTTCTCCCACTCGAACAGCTTCCTGTTTAAGAATCTTAACAACTGCCAAATTACATCCCAAACATCTTATCAGTATACCACTTCAAGAGACCATATCTCCCCCCCATCACAACATCGATCAACATGTCTCCCTGCTCCTGCTCCAAGTGCTCCTGCAGTGGTAACTGCAGCGGCTGCTCTTGCACCTCTTGCGGCGTAAGTCTATCAGGGGCCCTTGACGAGAATAGGGACATGATCCCTAGCCCAAACTTGAGGGAACCCATACTGACAAAGTGTCTCTTTCTACAGCACTAAGTACTTCCCATATGTCGTGACTACCATCCCCTTCCACCGCCATTAAAGCACCACCGTCGATGGCAGGCCACTCGATTCACATAGTGATGCACAGAATCAAAGGAGGATGAGACCGACAAGTTTGATTGCTGATTTGGATTCTATCATTATGGCCTGTTTTTGTTGAATTCAGTTTGATACACAATGCCGCAAATAACAAATGCTTGTTCTACATCGCTTGCGAGACTATCGCTTCCCGCTCGTGGTAGAACGTAACTATTATACAAGGCATCAAGCATGGGGGGTTCTTAGAGGCTGGCTTCAAGACATGAGCGGGTAAAGTTCGTGGGCAAAGACTGCTCCAGGTTTATGAGGGCAATATGAAGGGAAGGTGAGACTATAGAAAGACTTGAACGGGTTTCTGGTCTATATGAAATGCTACAGCAATAAGCGTCCCGTGCAACCTTCGGAATGTGCACCACGGCTCCGCGTATACTACATCTATTGCCAGAAAATTCAAACGGATCAACTCCCTCACAGCTCATCCTTCGACGGAGACGCACCGACACTTTCTTCTCCGCCAGGACAGACCGCAGGGGTAGTCACAAGCATGGAGTAGACACACTTCTCATCTTCTGCCGTCTTCAAGATTTCGTTATCCTCACCACACTCGAGAACAACCTTGGTAGATCGGTTCGGGCCGTTCCAGCAGTGCTGGCCACGATCATATTCAATGGCGACCTTTTCAATCAACACAATGTCCCCCGCGTCATTGAGCTCCTCGACAACAGTAGAGGCGACTTTGTTGAATCTGCCCATGGAAGTAGACGATCCACCCTTCTTGGAGATTTGCTTGGTCTCCTGGAAGAAGCAATGTTCGTAGGTATATTCGCCAGCATCCCTGGAGATACACTGACCCTTGAGGGCTCTGAAAATGCCTCCAGGGCCGTAGTCGGTCTCAAGATCAGTCCGCTGATCGCGTAGTTTGTTGTTCAGATCTCTCAGAGTATCTTCCTGAGATTTGAGAGCGTCGCGAGCCTTGGTGACTGCCTTGGATTCCGTCGGACTGTTGTTTTCGGGCGCGGTGGCGAGGAAGCCGCTCGTCTCGAGGAACGAGCGGAAGGCGAGGTACTTTTCCTCGATGAATGCCACGACCGACGGAGGCAGATAACCAGCGAGTTGATAGACTATGGTAATGATCAGCTGGCGGACTCTCCTTTACAACTCGATTTCTCATGGGCGAGAGAGCCCTCAGGACTTACTCAAGTCGGCCTCTTTACAGCCTTCATCTTCATTCTCCCAGTGCTCCCAGTCGACTCCTGAGCTCTCGCTGTCGGTCTTCGCAATCTCTGTCAGATCGCGATCCCGCGCCTGGTTGACAATTTCCGTCTTGTCACGGGCTGCATAGTCCTCCCAGCTGCGCACCGCGCGCTTGACGCCCTCGTCGTTGAAGTTCGGGTTATATTCGACCTTGAACTTGGACAGGATACTCTCGAGCTCCGCCAATCGTGACTGGGCCTCATCTCTCTGCTGACGGACCTCGAGAAGCGCATCACGTAGCTCTTCCACACGAGCCTTGGCCACGCCTACCAGAGCGCTGACTTTACCCTTTCCTTTACCACCACTGCGAACAGTCTTACTACGTTCGGCCTCCTCAACAGCCTTGAGTTCGTTCTCGAGAACTCCAACCTGGGCCTCCGCATCCTTGACCTCAGCCTCGAGGCGAGTAGTCTGGTCCTCAATCTCCCGATGCAGACGCTTAGCTTCTGCCAGCAAGGCCTGCTTCTTCCTCAGTGCAGTAGTCATTGATTTTTGACGCTGTTCCTCTTCCTTGCGCCATTTCTTGCCGATTTCCTTGCAGCGATCCTCGCACTTGGTACCTCCGACACGAGCCCACTCGTCACTGCCGTCGCAGCAAAGCTCGTAGTCGCAGATTCCGTCATTGACTCGCTGGAAGGGTACGTAAGCTGGTCGATGACCCTTGTTCTTGCAGTAGAATCCCGGGAGAGCATTTGCGACAGAGCCGTCGGTGCTTCCGAATCGATCGGCGACGTCGAGCGGCGACTTGTGCGAGAGATGTGAGCATGCAGAGGTACCAGGCTCATCACTTCCATCGGGACAGTCGCAATAGTCGTCGTTCACAGCGGCAAATGGAACTTGGATTGCGGGATTGGAGATACAAGTGAATGTTTTGGAGTCCTGGTAGTATTTGGCAACTAACAGGGCATCAGCATTGTTAATCACGTTTTCTATAGCGATCACTTGCATAGATGCATCTCGCTGCAATCGAAGAAATTCCACACGGTTACAACGACAAGCCGTAGACATGGACGCCCTCTCCATCTAACTCAGGTGTGGAGATAGGCAATGAACAACACTTCTTGCACTCACAATCAGGAGCCACACCTCGAGGACGGGCAGTTTTATCGCTGCTAGCTCGGGCTCCAGACCCGGCTACAGCTAGCAAAAAGAGCGACTGAGAGAATCTCATGATCGAGGCATTGGGCTCGAAAGCTCACACTGTGGAGAGGGCTTTCCGGCCAGCTGTTGACATACGGGCCCGGGCCCACTACAATAAGGGACCAAGAGCGGTCCAGCCAGTAGAGGCCTTATCGGAGGCTGACTCAGCGTTATCGAGCGGGCGGTCAAGCCACGGGCGGGCCGCTTGCTTTCGTTGCCCGGCATATGGCCTTTTGTCGCCAGTATGTAGTGGCGAACCGGCGATAGTTTAGTTTAAATTGATCGATCACTCACGCCATCGAACCTCTAAAACAGAGCCTCTTCAAGATGGGTAATGACGGTGGAAGGTAGGTACTCTTCATTCCTCTGTTCTACACGATGCGCTTGACGGTCTTCAATCCCACAACTCAAGATTTCGCAAAGTCCACTCACTCCATAATCCTAGCATTCCGACCCGCCGTGAGCTCGTTCGCGAAGCCGCCCGCGCCCCAACCACAGCGCAAATCAAAGAAGTCCAGCGTGAGCAGCAAGAGCACAGCTGGACCACATGTCCCCTCTCGCACAAGACACTAGTCCGGCCCATAGTCTCCGACAGCATTGGAAACCTCTACAACAAAGATGCCGTTCTTCGGTACCTGCTTCCCGGCGACGATGGCGAGGGCATCAGCTCAAAATCCGACTGCGAGGAGATCCTATGCGGACGGGTGAAAAGTCTTCGGGACATCGTCGAGCTGCACTTCGAAGTGGACACCGAGCGGAGCGAGCACCCCTCCGATCGCGTGAATGCGCATCGCCATGAGCGCCGGGAAGGCTGGATCTGCCCGATTACTGCGAAGCCGTTGGGTCCGAGTGTGAAGTCGGTTTATCTTGTGCCATGTGGGCATGTCTTCGCTGAGGAAGCTATGCGTCAGCTGAAGGGTGACAAATGTCTTCAGGTATGTCCTTGACACGTTGAGTCCCTATGTCTACTATCCTTTTCGTTTTTTCGCCTGAGGGAAAGTTCTAAGAGAATCTCCGCAGTGCAACGAATCTTATACCGAAGAGAACATCATCCCCATTCTACCCACCAAAGAGGCCGATAAAGAGCGACTGATCGCGCGCGGTGCCAGACTCGCCGAACAAAATCTCACTCATTCCCTCAAGAAAGCGCCGGGGTCGAAGAAGCGCAAGAAGAATGCTACCGAGGCCGCCGTCGACGGTACAACATCCTCTGCCACAGCTGCAGACTCCACATCGACATCCAAATCCAAAGATACGAATAGCGGAATCAAAAATTCAGCGACGGCCTCGCTCACAGCACGTGTGCTAAACGAAGAGAACGAAAGGAAGAAGAGACAGAAAATGATGGGCCGGAGTGAGAGTATCGATAGTTTGTTCACAAAGGACAAGAAGGGTGGTGGAAATGGCGACTTTATGACTCGTGGGTTTACTATTCCGGCTTCGGCGAGGAGATGAAAGGGAGTTCGGGGGGTCATATTACTTCCTTGTCCTTTACTCGGCCTTTCCAAGTCGATTCTACAGGTCTGGAGTCATGGAACCGCTGGATGCAGAAATATTTATTTAGCGTGTATGTTTATTTACGATTCCTATCGAGGGCACTTGCGACGTCCTTATATGATCTTCAAAAAAGTCCACGCCCTAATGGAACGAGGTCTGACCGACCAATTTTTCAGGCTCTATGTTGATATCCAAGTAGCGTAGTACGCGGTAGAAGTGACGCGGGCGTGCTATCCCATCTGACTAACATTCATTGATGCGATTGTTAAAGTGCTCCTAGTATACACGAAGAATAAAACTTGCTGTCAAAACAAGGATAATACAAACTACTTGGCTGATGCAGAACCATCACCGCAAGCAAATTCCTGGGCCACGCACACTTCAGACCTCAAAAGGTTTTCCAGGTATCAATGCCCGGCTCCAAGCTAACACCCCATCAGTAATTCTGACCCGTCGAAATGGACAAATTTACTCAATTTTGAACATAGCCCCGACGATAGAACTCGGAAATAATGGCCTTTTTCCGACCAAACTCCTCGTCTACGTGGTGCTTGCTCAAGCGCTTGGGGCTAAAGTTCAGGTTGGGTGGTAGCTGCCCGGCGGCGGCTTTTTTCTTGAGGACCTTCTTGACCTGGACAGGCTTCTCCTTCAACTGGATGGCCATGCCGGATAGAATCTCGCCGACGGTCCAAGAGGAGGTGATGGCCTTGTCGGGAATTCGGCGGCCGAGGAGCTGAGACAGTCGCTTGACGAACTTTTGAGATTAGCCAGGATTAGTATTATGGGGCCCCCAGAATTGCTCAAACTTTTGGAACTGTAACTTACGGCAAACTTGACACTAGGGTCAAGAAGTGAGAGCTCGCGGTGGGAATCCGCCTTGCTTGACTTCTCGGTGATCAACTTGTCGGATGGCTCAACCTTGGCTGTTGATTCTCCGCCAATCTGGTTGAACACAAACATAAGCGCCTCCATGGTTTGCTGGTTCGGGAACCGGAGAGCAGTATTCCATTGCTTGGGGCTCGACGCATCCACGTAGCACGAGTCCAGCATGCTCAAAATTTGGGGGTTATGACGCGGAACATCGCACACGCTAGTCAGAGGCTTGCCCAACATGCTCATTAAGCATAACTCCACGGTTGTTTGATGAAGAGCATACGGAACAGATCGGGTCCTCACTTCGGCGCCGTATCTGAAAAAGGTTTCAAACAGAGTTAGCCTGGCAATTTCGACGATAGTAGGAAACGACCACTTCAAGGGCTTTGAGTGCCGAAGTCGATTCGACGAATGATGCGCAACGATGAACATACCGCACATATTTGTCGGCCTTACTTGTTCCCTCTTGAAGCCATTGATCCTTTTGCAAGAAACCGATAGACTCGAGCCCATCCCAGGTCTTCGCTTGCTTATAATCATCCGCCGCGCTCAACTCAGCCTCTTCTGTTTCGCCGCTCGCGAGACCCTCCTCATTCTCAGGCTCCGCTCCACGTAGTAGTTGTGACTGTCCACTGTAAGGATCGGCGGGTCCAGGTGGCTTCTCTGTCTTCCAGAGCTTGCTGCGGGTGCGCTCAAGGAGACTCGGGGAATCGGAGGAAGCGTAGCGTCGGAAATCTCGAGTCAGAGGGGAAATCGCCCGTGGAATAGCTTCCTGTCTACAGCCAGAGCAGACATACAAAGCTTCCCTCAGGGGAAGACGCAGAGCGGGTCGCATTGTTGGATTGTATATGTGTTGATAGTGCTCAGCAACCTTTGCCCGGCGAGACAAATCTTGGGATGTCCTTCACGTGACCTCGATCCGGACGGTTTGCCCGCAACACAGCCCGCAACACACCACATGCCTGTTAGCTGCCCCAGCGATCGACCTTGATCAATTTTGCTCAGTTGGGTTAAGATGTATTCCTCGAAATCCCATTGTCTAGAAACCTCATCTCCAAATGATTCTAGATCCTGAAAACAATATCACTCGACTATGCGTTTCGACTTCTCATCTTTCCCATCCAGCAGGAACCTCCAGCCAACCCGTGGAGCGGGACGCGGCTAACATCTTAGGAGAGATCCAAAATGACATGATATTCATAGATTATGTACAAATACATCGCTTGTTTCCAATTGTTGAAGGCTCAGGAAGTTCTCAAACGGCGATACAGGGTGTGACCATTGCAGGTCTCTCGCCTCTATTCCCGCACAAACATACCGGCCATGCCCATACCAGTGCCAATACACATGCTCACAACACCAATATCCTGGCCGCTGCGCTCCAGTTCAGGCAACAAGTCGGCAACTTGGCGGGCACCAGTAGCACCGAGCGGGTGACCGATAGCAATCGCACCACCGTTGGGGTTGACCTTGGTCTGGTCAATACCCAGCTTGCGAATGCTGTACAAAGCCTGTGAAGCGAAAGCCTCGTTGATCTCCCAGACACCGATATCAGGAACCTTCAGTCCGGTGCTCTCAAGCAGCTTGGGGATCGCCACGGCGGGACCGACACCCATCTCGTCGGGCGCACATCCTGCCACGGCCGTAGCCACCCAACGCGCCTTGATGGATCCTGAGAGTCCCAACTCCTCCGCAGTAGATCGGCGCATCAATAAAGTCGCAGCGGCGCCATCGCTCACCTGTGAGCTGTTACCAGCGGTACTGGCACCATCCGCAGAAAAGGCGGGCTTAAGCGAGGCCATCTTCTCGACTGAGATGTTGTGCCGAATACCGTCGTCCTGGGAAACGGTGATGTCCTCGGGAGCCGCATCCGGGTGTTCAGCAGAGTACGACTTGGTATTGACGGAGACAATCTGGCTGTCGAAGCGGCCGGCCTTTTGCGCAGCGGACGCCTTGTGGTGTGACTCGGCGGCAAAAGCGTCCTGATCCGCGCGGGAAATGCCGTAGCGCGAGGCAACGTTTTCTGAAGTAATTCCCATGGGCATGATGCAGTCACGAGCATCCTTGGAGTAAGAGTCCTTCAGTTCCGGCCAAAGGACTGTCGGGATGGCTCGAGAGCCGTAGTTGCGGGTCATGGACTCCATACCACCACCAACACCAACATTGATCGCGCCTGCGCGGATACCGTAAGACACCGCTGTAATTGCGGCCAGACCTGACGAACATTGGCGGTTGACAGTGTTGAATGGTACTGAGTGAGGGAATCCAGCGTGAATCTGAGCCATGCGGCCAGCCTTTGCACCACCGAGCTCCTGCAACACCGAGCCGATGGTCACATCGTCAATCAGAGCCGGATCGAGGTTGGGATTGGCCTTGAGTGTGGCCCGGAGTACATGGGACAAGAGCTCTTCAGGATAGGCATCTTTGAAGCCGCCCTTTTTGGCGCGAGTCACTGGCGTTCGCAGGGCAGAGAGTATGACGATGTCATTGGGAGTCTTCTGCAACACCTGCTTGAGACCACGGGGAATTGGAGATGCCATCGCTATGGAGATCTGTCAACAACGGCAATTGAGAGTGTCTGAGTTGCCTGTGTTCGAGTCGAACCAACAGATATGTACAAGCCCTGGCGATTTGGGTCAAGCTGCAGGGTATGAAGTAGGTCTATTCCAGTGAAGACGGTTCGTGTCTGAAACAGACAATCACGGCTGGTTTGTCTCTATCGAAGATATGCCACGGGCTCACGAAGTGCAGGAAAGCAAAAAAAAATAGGAAAAGATCAGGAACACCGCCTCACGTCCATAAGATCTGATTAAATGTCCATTTGTAAGGTACAAGCCGACTCCAACAGCCTAACCGCAGTCCCGCACTCTTCTCCGCGCGGCAAGCGGGTAGCCCAGGAAATGCCGGGAGCCAATTCATTCCCCGGGTTTCGGATGGCGGGCCACATCTCTGAGGCCGACACTCTTCCCCGGCATTCGTCGTCGGTTAAGGGCTCTTCCGCTGCTCCGCTCCAGTGTGAGACGATCAGATTTAAGGTCTCGACCCGCGATCACTTCTTTTTTATAAGAGAGCATGATGTCTGAAATTTTTCAAATCTAATGTGCATCAACTCAAAAAAGTGCTGCCCTTGTCTATTCTATGTGTAATGCATGCCTGCTCAGGGCTATTCGAGGCAGATCAGCAAGTCACGTGAGTAGTGGCTCAGCGGCATCGACACGGAAGCGGGTGGAGATCACTTGGAACGAGCGTCGCGTGGAGTCTAGGGAAACGACGACCTTTATTTTCTAGTGATTGAAGAGACAATGATGTGACTAAAAGAAGGCAGTATATCTGCCCGAGATGATTACTGTTCAAATGGAAGCATATCCAAACGGCTGATAATAAATTGTGTCGGCTTGAGGATCGTTCTCGACAAAGAGACCTAGAAGCTTGCGTCGGCGATCGAGCTAACTTGGACAAATGTATTGAAATTGAGAAAGAGCATTTGCAGAGGATCACTTCTTTTTTGTTTTGATATCAACGTATCCATGTTTTGCTGAAAATGAGTACACCTCGAACAGGGCGTCATTCAGTAATATACAAGTCATTATACTGTGAATCCTGGAATAGGAAATGGAAATCGGTTCATAGTACATAGTATACAGCTCACATAAATGTAGCTTATATACATTTGTACAGTAGTATGCATAACACCATTTTGGCTTTCACACTTTCATATTGATCAGATGGAAATACTGCCGTCATCTGAGGCTAGAAAATCTCATGCAGCTCGGATCGATCGAGCGCCTGATTCATGTTTGGACCCATGGTCATCGCTCGTGACGTCAGGTCCAACGCTCATCGGGTTCCCTGCGTCGCGGACCAACCTGACCAGGCTGACAAGCAACACGACCACAATTATATACAAGCCTACGCAGAACAAATTAACTAATTGAACTGGCGCGTCCGACATTCAACATGGGTGATAATGAGCAACCTCTGAATCGAGAACCCCCAACCAAGGCTTTAATCAATCAGTAAGTCGAACGATGACCGAACGCTTTTGAGAATTTCCTCTCGCATTGCTCCAATCTAGAAAACACGATGACTGATATGAAGAGAACAGCTTTCTCACTCCGCAAGACATAAGTTACGATCGTAATCATGGGCCTTTGCCGGATGTCCTGGATGGCGAAAAGCACTCTGTCCAAATCAGCGGCTTGGTCCAGACTCCTATCACACTCACTGTCGACCAACTGCGGTCCGAATTTGAGCAACATGAAGTGACATGTGCCCTAGAATGTGCAGGGAATCGGCGCCATACAATGCGCACGCTCATTAAAGAAGTCCAGGGCATCGACTGGGGCGATGCGGCGATCATGAACTGCAAATGGAGCGGACCTTGTCTCCTTGACGTTCTCGAACGAGCAGGTCTACCTCTGGGACCGGAGGCATCTCGAAACAATCTTCATGTTGCTTTGGCGTCCCATCAGTCAAAATGCGCAGATGAGGATCATTTTGAGATTAGTGTCCCGCTAGATGTGTGTGTGCGACGGGGAAAAGATGCCATTCTTGCTCTTGGTGTAAGTCGACCCTCGCAAGTACCAGGATTGACTGTAAGAGAGATGTTCATCCGAACTCCACACTTACCCTTGTCACTCGGGTCCAGGTAAACGATACCGTCTTGGACCACAAGCACGGCCACCCCATTCGTGTCGTCCTTCCCGGTGTCGTGGGTGTCCGATGGGTCAAATGGCTCGATCAGATCCTCATACAAGACCACGAATCACCCAACATCTACCAACAACGAGACTATAAAATTCTGCCCCCGGATGCAGTGGACAGCGAATCCGCAGAGCAGCACTGGCACCGCACTCCCCCCATGTACGACATCCCCATCAACTCGGCCATCGCAAGTCCAGCCGATGGCGAAACCGTGCGTCTCTCTCCCACTGGCACTGTCAAGGTCCAGGGATACGCTATCCCACAAGGGGCGGATGGGCCCGTGGTGAGTGTGCGGGTTTCGGGGGATGGTGGAGAGTCATGGACGGAGGCTGAATTGGCCGAGTCTGAGTCAAAGTCAAAATGGTGCTGGGTGTTGTGGACGGCCAATGTCAAGATGATACCGGGGGAAGAGAGGCAGATATTGAGCTGTGCTACCGATGCGGCGGGGAACTCACAGGAAAGTGAGCATTCTCAGTGGAATCTGAGAGGCGTGGGATATAGTGGTTATGGTCGGGTTATGAATCTCACCCTTGTACAGCCTTAGTATGCAAGACACTGGTGTTTCTGTGTCGTGTTGTTTTACGCCCATGAATGTATATTCATGGTGCTGAGACTCGATTCAAGCAAGCATGATATTTAATCTTCTGCTTCAATGTAAGGTATGATAGCATGGTTTATAAATTGACCTTGGCGTTTGTCTACAGGCTTCAAGTCGTTTTCTCGAGTCGAGTAGATTCCTAGTCCAAATCACCATCATCAAAAGAGCTAATACAAAAGACACCTCTATCTGAAAGTCAGATATGAAAAGAGCATTCATCACTCGCTTCACGCCGAAGGAGCTATGACCGTGACCCGCTAAAATGCCCACGCAAACCGCCAACAAATCCGTAAGAATAACAACCTCACACGATCCTATCTCGCAAATAGCCCTCGCCGAATTCGTCGAAGAAACTTGTTCTCCGAACTAACATGCTCATGCTCATGCTCTCTCTGATCCGCTCGCTCAATATGGTGAACCGACATTCGCGAGGGTTTCATATTCCGCAAATGATAAAAGGTCTGCCGACAGAGCGGACAACTCGCATCTCCCGTCGTCAACCACAAATCCACACAGGGCGTATGGAAAATATGACCGCAGGGCAGTTGGCGAAACATCGAGGAAGCGGCCATGTCGTCGAGACATAGGTCGCACGTATCTGGAAGGGATACATCTACGCCATGAAGCAGTGAGCGAGTTGATTCCTAAAGGCTGGGGGGAATAAAGGAAGGAATCTTTTTTGCGTACCGATGTTGAGGTATTCACAGCCGAGATAGCATGGCATATGTATGGCCTTCATATCCTTTGCACTGAGCGGACCATGGGCCACATCTGTTTTCTGCATGATGTCCTCGTTTTCAAAGAAACTGCCTGTGAGACTGTGGTGTTGTTCAAATAGTGTGTATGTATGTTCGAGTATAGGCCAGTCGTTAGGGCATCACCCGATGATCGTTGAGCAGTGTAGGTGGCGATTCATGAAGAAGAGATCTGCGCCCTTTGTATGTAACGAAGCAGACCCGCTCAATCACTGACAGTTGACTGGAAGCTTGCGTGGCCTGACGAAATTTAAAGTTCATTCCTGTGATGTATTGACGTCGATCTCGCGGGGTTCTGAATTCTTTAATTGGCGTGGGCATGGTTCTGCAGTACTCGAATGCCTGGTTCGGCGGTACCACAGATGATCTACGGCTGTCATGTTTTGCTGGATATGATCGGTCGGACGGGCGGAAACAACCTGATTCTTCAGATAACAGGGCTAGACCAGGCTATCCGCGGGCTGTTCTAATGGAATGGAGGTACAACGAGGAAAGCCTTGATAAAAGTATCTGGCACGGCTCGGTTATTCAACTGGTAGTAATTGAAGAAATGTATCCCTTGACATGATGTTCCACAAATATGACATTTTAAATACAGGTGGTCCTTGCGACCTCCATAAGAGCCAACGATCAACGCAACAGGCAAGCAGACTATAAGCACTGTTCCGGCATAGCAAAGCAAATAGGAAGGTGCCAGGAATTGTCTTGAGAACGAGGCGACGTAAAAGCATCCAGCATCAGATTGATTGGATCGATACACGGTTATGAAGACAATGGAAGACAAACGTCCACGATCAGAACTCGTCAATGACGCCCTTGGCCATCGTGGAAGCAATCAGGTTCAACTCGCGTGGCACATGCCAGAAATTGACATTGATATCGTACTCAAGCTGCTTGAGTACGGCATCAATGACCCGCCAGAGCTCCACGTTGGCAACGGGCTGGCCATTGCTCTTCTTCCACCCATTCTCCTTCCACTTGGATAGCCACTCCGTTGCACCCTTGACCAAGTACTCTGACTCGGATTTGATGACCACTGTGTGCAGCGGGTAGCAGGGCTCGTGCTTGGTCGGCGGCTCGATCTGCCACTTGGTGTGCATGACGAAGATCCGGGTGAGCGCCTCTAGACAAGCCTTCAACTCGGCGGTCTGCGCGGTGTGCTTGTCGCCGTCGAGTTTCACAGCAAGATTCTTGTTGTTACCGCGACCGAAGAAGACACCAATGGAGGAGCGAGGTGGCTTGTCAGATGGCGGAATTTCAGTCGAAAGAACACCGCTGACAGAGATGACCAGGCACCCAATGTGGAACACGTGGTTCATGCAGTGTGGGCACTTTCCACTGGACTGGTGACAAGCAACATACACCCAGCGACCATCGAAGACTTCAATATCTTCGCGCTTGAACACACTAGACGGGTATGGCAAGGTCGAAAAGCCTCGAGTGCGGATCTTGGGCTCTTCCTGTGAGGGTGGGTCCAGATGGTCTGGAGAATGCCATGGATCTCTGTGTTGTAAGACCGGAGGGTATTCCTAACTTCCTGTTCAGCTCTATTCTGGATGGATCATTTGGGCATGATGATGAGGGAAGGCTTGTATCACGGGAAAGTGAGGTGAACTCTGCGCAAGGACAAGTCTTCCGTGTCTTGGTGTTTTGAGAGGGCAAAGTGTTTACTCGAAGAGAAATGTTTAGGTGCTCTCACTCATGAGTTGAAACATTCTTGTTAACTCTCTCACTTACCAGCATTGGATCTGGATTTGCCACCTTGGTCTTTCGTTTCTGTCGCTTCAGAAGGGAACGATGCATTTTGGTAGGGAGGTAGTGGCTATTCGAAGAAGGTTCTTTGTTGGATTTTCGGGTGTAGACCAAAAGACCACTTGAAGCTCTGTAGGTTCCGGTGCGAGGAGGGTTGGGAGAGAGAGGGAAAGAGTGTGTGAAGTGAAATTAGCTTTCTTTTTGTATGTTGGTGGTTGCAGTGTGTCAAGCTGGCAGAGGGCAAACAAAAACGTCGCCAACTCCGCGTTTGACCGTGCCATGAAAGAGAACAAAGACTCGACCCCACGAAGTCGCAACGACATGAGTTATTTGTTGTGTCAATACTCTGTGCATCACGTGTACATGGTAGTAGAGAGATTCAAAATCAAAAATACCAATAACCCTTAGAAAAGATGTAAAGAAGGTAATAGCCAGGGTAGTATGAGTTTCAGATCTGCATCTTTGATCATCATTCAACTTTTCCATTGGTTCAGTCTATGGTTAGAAAAAGGCACAATTGATGAACTTGCTTGCACGTTCAATTAAAAATAAAAATAAAAATGAATTGGGAAACCCCCCATCACCTGCTGTCTGTGGACATTTTTCCAGCTGGACACCGCAACCCCTCCAAAGCCAAGATCCGAAATCAACAGGACAATCATCGCATCAACCAGTGCTGAGGGTGAAAGATGGACGCCGGCACCTGTACCGGCGAAGCACCACCAAGGACGAAATCATCGGTTCCGTTGATTTCATGGTACAATTCATCATCTTCTTCCCGAGACGAAAGTCCCATCCACATCTTGTCCTGTACCGCCAGATAAGAATACCTTTTACTGTCTGGGTTTCTCAAGGCCCATCGAGCAAGATCATCTGCCTCCTTATTCTTGTCTCGAGACACGAGCCAAAATTTGATGCACATGCCACCAGTCTCAAGCATGGTGAGGAGCCGGTCAACCTCTCGCCAGAGCTCCTGGTTTTCCACGGGACGACCGCTGGAGTTGATGTACCCATTTTGAATACATTTCGGCATGTATTCGGTGATTCCTCGGACAAGATATGCAGAGTCAGACTTGAAGACCACGTTCGGTCTGTCACCGTAGAGAGGATGGCCTGTGGACGTCTCATAGCGATCCTCGAGTAAGTCAAGTGCGGTTTTGCAGGCAAGCAGCTCTGCAATTTGACTGGTAGACCTTTTTTCATGCTCGACAACCTGTGCGGAGTTGTAGTGTCGCTCGTATCCTTTATTGGCCCAGAGCACGCCTACTGACATCACTGCATTTTTCCCTGCCGTTGTTGGAGCAAGCGCTATCAATGGCCATGAGAAGCGTGTGGGACGGGACGTCATCCTCGTCAAAGTTCTGGCATCGTCTCCGGGCCGCTACGTGGAGGATTGAGTTAGCAATCATGCGCAGTCATGACGCTGACAAGGTGCGGCGTAAGTATGGTACCTCGAGAAGAAGCTGAATTCTGATCGGAGGGCATGTTGAGTTGAGCTGGGTGACTCGTCTCTCTCAGAGTTTGCTGCGTAAGATGGCCACCAGATAAGTCTCAGTTGATCCTCGGCCACTTCGTGAGCCGTTCTGCAAGCCGCTTGGTCAACACAACACTCTTGGATTTCTTCGTCCCTCCCTTATATGAGGATGTACCTTCTGTCAATCTCGTGGTGGTGAATATTAAAATTTCGAGTAGTTTGAGATGCTACTAGCTGCGCGATGCGTTGTACCTTGCCAATCCGGAAATGGAAATGGCGCTGTGGAAAGGACAAGAGCTCAAGAGGTGGGCTTATGCTTCTTATGTAGGAATTTGTGGGGACTGGCGGAGTGCATCACATGGTTCAAGTGGAAACTCAATTGGCATAAAGCTTTCGTGACGCTCTGAGAGTACCAGCACACAAGCCTATCATCGGTTGGGAGGGCAGGATCTGTGGACTTGACACGGCCGATATCACCCAAGTGGACGACGAGTCATCAGCCAAACGTTGTCGCGGGGTGCTCTGGTTGGTCAATTCTTTCGCCAGTTCCAGCAGGGCACCTCGATACTTTCCGTTGATGATAGCTCTGTTATGTGCTTATTGTTATGTATATAAATTGAAGTGAGACCGCCCAGTCATACCTACTAGCTCGCTTAGCTCAGTTGGTAGAGCGCGTGACTAGTAATCACGAGGTCGCTAGTTCAAATCTGGCAGTGAGCATTTCTTTTTGTCTGTCTTTCACGATCACTATTTCAAACCAGCCTTGGGTTCATCATCTGTGGCATGTTTTTTGCGTGGTTTGGGGGGAGACAATATATGTCGCAATAATATACAGGTGGTCAACGACTCAACAGTCTATTGAAAGTGAAGGTAGACCAATACGGCTGTAATTGACCCGGAGGTTCGTGGAATCGTGAATCCCTTGTCGTCGGCACGGATACGTCCACCACCACGGTCTGCTTATACAGTAGTGCCTCATGATGTTGAAATCCTGCACCCTCCTACGGATTGCGCACGTTGCACCACCGCAACGACATCTTTCATCCAGTCCTTTGGACCAACCTGGCTTCATCTTGGAGAGAGGTTCCTGCAAGAACACTAATGCCAGCACCCAGTAGATCTACCTGGTCAAGCTTGAGAAGTTGAGGCCGTCCCTTATTGAGATGTTGTTTTGGAGATTAGTTGTTCTGTAGGCGGAACTGAGATTGGGCATTAAACCATCTGACCCCCGCCGCTGGGTGATATTTCTTGTAGAAACCCCCTCTATCTCAGTTGCTGGATGTTTTCAATTCCAAATGGTAACATTTTCATTATACTGCAATTTGTTTCCACAGCTAATTGTGGAGCGAAGTGACGCTATACAACGGGGCCGAATTCTCACTTCTGGCAGAATCTTTACCATCCGATTAGTCCACTGGGCGGTTCCCCCGTCCGAAACACGTGACTATTCTTTTACAACAGCTTTACAATATTCCGCTACCCCAAACCTCACTTCGATCTGATTCCCTGTCCATGGATTGGCTGCTTTTTCCCTGTTCGAAAACACGTGAGTCGTAATGTTCAAAAATGTCCAGACATCAATTACAGTTTGGTTTTGCTTTCACCACAGTGTTACGGTCGATGTAAACCATGAAGAATCGCGCCGGGGCCCGGCGGCCAACGGATTCATTGTAGCAGTTGCTTCACTCCGCAGTCCCTTCCGAGGGGGAGGAAGTGTTCCTGGGAGGAACACTCGTAGGCTCAGAACTCAATCTGTCATAGTGCGCTATCTCTTGTCCACCGGGACCCTGCTCAGCCATGCCTCCGATCGAAATCAAAGCCAACGGGTTACCTGACCTCACCAATCTGGTATCATGGGTTTATATGAGTGCCAAACTGGAACCCGAGAAAAGGAAGAAGAACCCCCAGTTTGCGTGGATAAGGCCTCGCGAAACGAAAGTGCGGCCATTCTTGGCGAAACTAGGATACGCTAACATACCGGTTATTTACTTCCGACTAGGAAAGAAATTCTTCCTTCCTAAGCTATACCAGAAGATGATTCTTGATCTGCGGACTAAGGTCATCCTTTTCTCAAAGAAGAAGTACCTTTCCTACGGATAACTTTGGTCACCACGCTGAATTGCTTAGCTACCGAGGTTGAGATTCCTTCGTCTAGACATTACAAAAGCCTGTGACGGGCCGCGGGCTCTACGGGCTTTTGTAATGTCTAGCCCATCGTGGGTCGTCCTATCTATCAAGGATGTACGCTTAAAAGATCAATCGTACGCAGAGATGTACATCTACCGACAATAGCACAAGGTACAAACCGACATTACGGATAAGGGGCAGAATCTACCCGCCGCGGTCAGCCAGCGGTGGACCGACCGGAGAGACGGAAATGCTTAGAAAAGACCAACCTCAAGAATGCGCAATTATACTCGAAGGATACTCGGCGGTTACTAGAAGGATGTATTTGCATGCTAGTATGATGCCATGCGACGTGCCAGGTCGAGATTCTGACCCTCGTGAGTAGTACTTTGACCAGGAGTGTCGGTGCGTCGTCATGTAGGTCGTCGGGAAGGAGACTCAAGAAGGTACCATTTGGAACTCATATCGTGTCGGACTCGTAGAGGGTCATTCATCAATCCAACGATTTTAGACCCCACGGTCGGAGGTCCTCACTTGAGAGTTGATGCAGATGATGGATGCCCAGTAACATAAGTACGACTTGAATACGAGTGTACTGACTAAGTGACTACTGAGTATCGTGAGTACTCTCCATGTCCATGACACATGTAGCAGTTTCCTGGTGACAGCCTGACAGGTAGCAGTTCTCGCCCTACAGGAGGAGTCTTCAAGTTTCACACATGCAAAGCTCGGACAAGTCCAGACCAAAAAGGCGGAGCTGAAGACTGTCAAGGATTCACGGGCTCCAGCCTCGCCATCCGACCGGACGAGGACTCCGACCAGGTTGTGATGGTTACACGGCCAGGATTTCCATGGGGGCGGTCACCACGTCTCTCGAGTCGGTCAGCGTTAGCACTCAGCACCACGGGGACCGAACAGAAGGTTCAGTTCCCGGTGCTCATCGGTCGAAGGTCGCAAAGGAATCTGCAGCGGACGAGGGCTGCAGACGAACGAGCAACGAGCGCCGTGGAGGAGGGATGATTGGGTCCCGCGGGGTGGAGGAACGATATCGGCGTGGGTTTGCAGGTTTCCTTTTTGGGCCTTTCCTCTTCAGAGGTCCGCGGCTTTACCGGAGGAATCTGACACATCAGACGAACATGGACGCGCTGGAGGCCATGGATGGGAATGGGAACAATGGACACACGGTTGCGCAAGAGGGCTCCTCCTCAAGATTTAAAAGTCGACGCCGTGCCTGGTCCGGGTTCATTGCTCCAATACCCATTGTTTGAATTGTAAGCTCCCGACGCGGACGATCCAGACTACTTCATCGCGACGCCGATACCCACCCCCCGGCCGATGTACTCTTGAGTCTTGACCCTCGTCAACTTGTGGAACCCCCCACCTTGGCCATCAACCTCTTTTTTTTTTCCCCCCATCTCGTCCACCACTCGCCTCCGCTACACGACATTGCATTGCTGCAAGTTATTTGAAATTCAAAGGTACGTGTGATGAGGATACTCAAAAAGGTGGCTCCGCAATTGCGATTCCCATCTTCACACCGGTTGCGCAGCTTGAATCTACTCTCTGAGTCAACAACCTTTTTTGCCCTCTCTCCCGCAGCTCAGCCACCGCCAGTATACTGACAACATTCTGAATTGAACAGCCTCGCAATGCCTCTTGTTAGCACTACCGAAGTCAACGAGGACACTCGTGGTAAGTAATCGGCACGGGAATGGAATAGAAACGCTCGAGAAACATGTCAAACTAACCTTTCAATGTCCAGTCCTCGGCTACGACCCTTTGCTGTCGCCACAATTCCTTCAGACTGAGATCCCCGCGGTGAGTCATTCCACTCGGTCCCCAAAGTGCGATGCGGCGACCTACCATCGGTCTCTTGGGACGAAAGATGGCCAGATTGCGAGAAACAGACTTCCAAAAAAAAAACAACAAGATTACTGATATATCATGTTCCTGATGTAGCACGAGCGTGCCATGCAAACCGTCCGTCGCGGCCGCAATGAAGCCATCGAGATCATTGAGCAGCGCGATGATCGTCTGCTCGTCATGGTCGGTCCCTGCTCTATTCACGATCCCGACACGGCGCTCGAGTACGCCCGCCGTCTGAAGGAAGTCTCCGATAAGCTCTCCAAGGACCTTTGCATCATCATGCGGGCCTACCTGGAGAAGCCCCGCACCACCGTGGGCTGGAAGGGTCTGATCAACGATCCCGATATCGACGAGACCTTCAACATCAACAAGGGTCTACGGGTCTCCCGCAAGCTCTATGTCGACCTCACCAGTGCCGGGCTCCCCATCGCCTCCGAGATGCTCGACACCATCTCCCCCCAGTTCCTTGCGGATCTCATTTCCCTCGGTGCCATCGGCGCCCGCACCACTGAGTCCCAGCTCCACCGGGAGCTGGCCTCTGGCCTCTCCTTCCCCATCGGGTACAAGAACGGGACCGATGGCAACTTGGGTGTGGCTATCGATGCCATCGGTGCGGCGGCCCACCCGCACCGTTTCCTCGGTGTGACCAAACAGGGTCTCGCGGCCATCACCAAGACTGCGGGTAACGAGCATGGTTTCGTCATCCTGCGTGGCGGGAACAAGGGCACTAACTACGACCGGGAAAGCATTCGCGCCGCGCGGGAGGCTCTCCGGGCCAAGAAGCAGCGCGAGGTTCTCATGGTGGACTGCTCTCACGGCAACTCCAAGAAGAACCACCTCAACCAGCCCTTGGTCGCCAAGGAGGTCGCTGATCAGCTGCGCGAGGGCGAGACCGGCATTATCGGTGTCATGATCGAGTCCAACATCTACGAGGGTAACCAGAAGGTTCCTCCCGAGGGACCCTCTGCCCTCCTGCGCGGTGTCAGCATCACCGATGCTTGCATCAACTGGGAAATGACCCTGGATGTTCTGAACGACCTGGCTGATGGTGTGCGCGGTCGTCGGGCCTGCCTCGCGGCCAAGACCAACGGTGCCAACGGCACGCACTAAAAGCCCAACCCCAAAACAGATATACCAAAGAAAACGTGTCATGCCTGTGATACCTCCTCCGTCTTGTCAATGTTTCCCTTTTACCCTTTTTCCCCGTTTCGCATCCTCCGTCCATATCCCCTGCATCGATGCATTGAATCCGCTGGTGATGAGAAACCCCAGCGGAACACTGGCCTGCATCCACTTATTAACTCCCACACCCGCCCAAAGTTCTGTTTCTTGTTCTTCGCCCCGAAAAAGCAGGGCGCGGTTGAGTGCACAGCTATCGCTATCTCGGCTTTCCATGCTGCCATGCGGACGAGCGTTGATCTTCTGGCTCTTCCGGCTCTTCTGGCTCTTCATCTCCTGTTCGTTTTTGCCCCCTTTTCTTCCGTTTTCGCCTTGGATTGGGTCGCGGGTGCCCTCTGGTTCCGACTGTTGATATGTTCTTCATTTGCTGTACTTCCAATCTTGGGTTGATACGATGAGGCTCCCGCTTTGTGCCTCATTTCGTGAATGTGATGATTCCCTTTTTGAGTTTTCTAGATGACTCTCTCTCCCCCTCTCTCTCCTAAGTACCGGTAAGGTTTTTAGTCAAAAAAACTCGTAGTTGGAACATAGTCCAGACGACGCGGTAATACGGGAAAACCCATAACCCAGCTTAGGCGGTACACCCTTTCCCACTTTAAAGCTCAAAGTCTAGGGTTTTAGGAGAAAAAGCTCGAATTTTCTATATACTGTACACAATATACAATGGGATCCACATCTCCATCAGACCACAACTCAACGCAGCCTCGAACAGCAAAATCAAGCAGAAGAGTCTTTTGAAATGGGCAAAGTTCCAGACTGGATCAGACCCAGACTCTCAAAGACAAGGGCGTTGTTTCAAAGAAAAGGAGGACGAAGACGATAATGATACACGCGAAACAGGATGCAAACGCCATAAACCCCTGTCACGATGAGAATTGCATGCTGCGGATCCAGCACTTCATAGAGCGCCAGCTCCATGATGGAGAAGGGCCCTGTATTTCCTTTTTTTTGCCCGTTCTGTGCGGTGGAAGGAGAGGTTGACGCTCTCATGGCTCATGGCTCACCGCTCGACGGAGCACAAGAAGGGACGGGAGGAAAAGGCCACGAGGAGAGATGGGAAGCTGCGGATTGAAGAATGAGATGAGTAGAGAAGAACCAGAATCCAGGTGCAAGTTCTCGCCGGCTCAGAAAAGAGTTCAAAAAAAAAAAAAAGAAAACAGAGGAAGATATTCTTATGGTGTGTAGAATGCCTTGGGGAAAGATTTATAACACCCTTACAACGACATTGTTGTCATTCCATTTTCCTTTTTCATCGACCAGTAATCCAACTCGTCCAACTGCGTGTGTTCTGCTTGGCCGCCAGCTCCATATTCTCTGCCAGAACGTCCAACTGTCCCGGTACGAGTACGGGCGCACCAGACGTGGCCTGAGCCTTGGTCTTGGCTTCATCAAATGCCTGCTGAGCCTGGACGGCCTCGGTCACACTGGGCGTTGAGCTCTCAATAGCAGCGGGCATTGATGAAGCAGCTGCGACTGAGCCAGCGGCAGACGAGGAGACAGAAGCATCCTCGGGGCTTAACTTCTCGAACAAGAAGCGCTTGGCCTTGGCCCAAGGTCGCTGTGCCTTTTCCTCGGCGCGCTTGCGCTTGACAATCTCCCCAATCTCTTCCTTTTCGATGATCTCTAATTGTTCGGCGGTGGCGGTACCACTGGCCTGAGCGAGACGGGCTTGCTTGAGAGACTCGACTTCCTTTTCGATCCACAGCGCGCGTTGACGTCGGTTGTAGAGGGTCAGTGAGACCATGGAGTAGACTGTCAGAACACCACATACACCTAGTAAATTGAGCACCATTAGTATCTGTACAGGCGGATTTCATTCTCAACGTAAAGTTAAAGCTTTGAAAACTTGTCCAGAGCCGAAAGAATGAGGCAGACAGCTCGTCATCGCCACGAACCTTCCCCCTTCACAGGGTACCGGAGAGATAATCGTATGATCCATAATCACTGATGCTGAATAGTACGTACCAGATGCCACAATCAACGTGTAAACCATGCCTTTGTGTGCGCGATTCGCAAACTTCCGTCCAGACTCGATCCACCGATCCATGCCGGAGGTCTGTTGAGCCATCCGGGCCGCCCGTGCCTGCGCCCGAAGACGCTCAACTTTTTGTTTCGGTGTCTCGGGTTTGCCATCGGGACCGGTCTGAGGCGCAGAGGGCTTGATGGGCTTGCTGCTGTCCTTTGATTGCATGAAGCTGGGGAGCTCGTAGGGTGCACTGCCGGCCTTGGAGCTGGCGTAGGGCCCCGTGGCCGTGAACCGCGTCGCATCCGCTGCGGATCGGGACATTGTGGAAGAGTCGAGCGCGGAGGTGAAAGTGGGCTCAACGATAGGTTTCGGTTATCGGAGTCAGAAAGCAGGACTGGTCAAGAGACTCTTTTGTCGTTATGGCGTGTGAAAGACGGTGGATGTTGGCGGTGGCGCGAGAAGATCGTTGACTCGAGGACCGGGAAGTTTAGGTAAAATTTCAGGCGGAGATACCGCCAAGACATTCAATTCCCAATAGCCTCATGGGCTTATCGATACATCCGCTTATCCTGTTTACCGGCACCAGCTTCCAGCTTCCCCAATTGTCTCCGGTGCTCACCCACTGTGACATTTTGATCCTTCGGCATATTTCCGTTCTTATGTTCATCTGAAGCTGGCATTCCCAAACTAAGGATACGACATTGAAAATGTCCGAACATCTGTATAATTCATCGGACCTGAATTCGGTCCTCCGGACACTGTCAACCTTGACTAACCCAGCCGTTACATCTGGGGACGTGCTGCCCAAGAAGGCCGAAACTCACGATCCCCAGAGGAGTCGGCCTGGCGTAACTCAGCTTGTTCAGAGCGGCCCAATCAGTCCAGCAAAGAAACCAGCACCAAAGTCAGCCACACTTGATCCATCCACAATCATTACATGGCCTGCCGCCCTTCGATATGTGATGACAACCGTTGGCCAAGATGAAGAGACCCAGCTTCGTATTCGCGGACTGATCACCAGTCAGCACAAGCACGAGAAGCAATGGTGGAAAGCCCGGGAAGCCCTGCTGGAAAGACAGCGAGCCCGTGGGGATAAGAAAAAGGAGCTTAACGCCGTTCTGTGAGTCTTGCTTCCGCCCGGATTGCGATGTCTTTGTTTTGCCATGGCCACGACGTATCTAGCTTTTATATTGCTTTCAACTGACAGGATACTGGCGACCAGACGTTCTATCGGTGCGCCGGTTGACTCCACAATGGCTCCAGTATGTAAATGTTCACCGACATTGCATTCCGCCGAGGTTCTCATTATTTATCTAGCCCTTGCTAACCTCAGAGAAGGATGAGAACGCCGATGAGCTAGAGCTCGCAGAGTACGATCGAAAGGTCTACAAGGCATCTGTCACCATGGCAAATGCGCTCATATCCGAACTTCGTGGAATGAAGATTCCCTTCTTTGTAACTCAGAAGAGCCTGATTCGCCAAGAAGATGCACCCGCTAGCTCAAATGAGCAGACTGGTGATTTGTTGACAAATTCAGATCTCTCCGATCTTCAGCGACGAATGCTCGGTCTACTCGAGGACATTTGCAAGGAATGAGAGTGCTAGGAAATGAACATTGCTTTGCATATCGGTCCATGTCACATTGATAAAGCATATGTGTCAATACTGGGATCTTGACAGTACTGGGAGTATGCTTGATACGACATCCATAGCATGCCTTTATCCACCCTGAACCTCTCACCTTGCGGGACCTCGCTTCGTCTCATTCAAATCTCTGAACCCTCTGACCTCCACGCTCGAGAGAGCTATAGCGCTCACCAGAACCTACACATCTCAGTCAGCTTGGTCCGAGAACCCCCACGACATATTACTCAAGCATACCGCACAGCATAAGGACAGATGCTCTCGCCGCCAGAAGAAGTCCAAGTCGACTGTTCTCGGAGCGGCGTACCAGCGTGTGCCGCATTGATCATCAACCCATCACGAATGAAGATCCCGACACGAGCAACGCCGGTAGCGCAGTTCCCATTCTCACCTCCAAAAGAACAAACCAACCTTTTTGAGCCTGAGCCCAAGGAATGCGCCTACCTTGACTCTCTGGCATCGTACTGAGACTACGCATTGCGGGCAATTCTCTTGTTCAACGCCTGACAGAGCGAGTACTGCGTCGAACCCGAGCAATCAAAGCCACCACTAGAGGGACCGGCACAGCCTTGCCCCTCCACACGCATAGGAAAGATCCTTCTCTTTCTCGGGAGCCCCGACGATTGCTGCGCCAGAGCCATAGCCAGAGCCGGAACTGGAACCACCGCCGCTTGTACCGGTCTTCACGTAATCATCACTCACGTAACAGCCACCGGATGTCTTGTCCCAGAGCTCGTCCCCGCTGACCTCGATATCGGGGACCTGGCAGGTTGTGGTGAGATGAATGCGAGTCTTCTACGACCGGACAACAACATACCTGGGTTCCTGGACCCGAGCAACAGTGCAAGTCATCGGTCTTGACTGGTTAGGCCTTGACAGTGAATGGAAGACCGGCCAGAGAGAATGCGAGACGAGAAGTGAAAATCATTCTCACCATTAGCGAAGGTACCCCAGCATGAACAACAACAAGAAGATAGAAATTGAACGGGCGATCGAAAGGATAAAGCACATGTCAGATAAGAAAAACTGCTACTTGACTTCGCTGTAAATGTCCGACATCCTCATGACCACAGTCTCTTTTATACGTCTTAGCATTCGACCATCATCCCTCCTCTACCACGAGAAACGTCCGTCTTCTCTTCTATCCTAGGTGCCTACTCGTAAAATCGTACCTGAACCGGACAAAGGCCGGGCTGGCCACACTCGCAAAGAATACCACCCCAAGATGGAAACAACTGAACAATGTCAAGTTGGAACACTTCAAAGCCAAGTCATAGGGTGGCTTACTACGACTAGCTTAAGGTATTTAACTAGTAGCTGAGCTACTAGCGCTGAACGCGGAGCTAGCACTGAACAGGCCTAGCCCTCGCATGATGCAAGAGTTCCAACAACTTGGATAGAAAGTCAAAGTACGCATCCAGCCGGTTTGAGGTTTAAGGACCTACGGTACCTACCCAATCTCCCGCCGGCACCTACTAGTACTAGTACTACTGTTAGGTGAGGTAGTAGCTTCAAGTCCGAAGGTAGACGTTCGTGGACCTGCACTGGCTGGCTGAAGTACCTACTACACCTAATGTAGTAGCACTAGCACCCCACTGCACGGTACACGGTACATACTGCTGACTGCACATATATTTATCCATCCCTGAGCTAACTCTTCCTCATTCGACATCACTACTCCGTCAAGTCCACGATTCACCCAGACCTCAGCTCGTGCGGCTTTTAGTTCGACTTGTCGCCCAGCTAGACAGATTACCACGCAGACCGAAATCAATTGTTTTCATCTCTGCGTGGGCTGGAGGAGGTCGCTTCAGATGACGACCACGGCCAGCTTTGGAGAATACACCTTTAGATCGAAGCGTTCCATTTACGGTAGACATTACACCGTGCTTCGGCACAGTCACCCGTGGCGACGGACCGGACGATCGTGGACAGTCTCGGTAATAGTCGCCTAGTTTTTGTTTTTCCCTACTGGAGAGAACTATGAGATGGGATAGAGCGATTGAAGAAGAATAGATTGACTGCCCCCTCGGAGGGCTTGAATACCCAGACGGATTATTAAACCCAAAGCCACCCATGTCAATTGAACGCGTAAAAAGCATTGAAGGGGGGAATCAAAAGAAGACGTTCCACGAAAAGAGATCACATATCCGTGTGCTCATTGTGCACATGCATCAAGTAAAATGACGAAAAGTAACACCGATAAAATGCATAACCCAAGAGGTCCGAAGAAGATGATAAGAGAGACCAAGCAGCATATCCTGCTTGCAACGAGGAGGCCACGTGCCCAGGACAATGGCACGCGTATTGAGAGGTGGAACATCAACTGAGGAATAAGGAAGAATTGCAGAGACCAAGAATCAATCATGAAAAAGAGCCAGAAGATGGAACCAGTCTAAAGCCACGATTGCAGCAGAGCTCTACAGAAAGAGCATCGATTTCGATTTTTCTGACCAATGTTCCTGATAATCATGACTTTTGCGCTGGAGCGTCTGCAATGGCGACGGCCACAGCCACGGCGGCACCAAGAATAGCACTCTCAGGCGCAGCTTCCAAGCGAATGGCCGAGCCCACAGTGTGGTGAGACTCTGCAGAAAGTCGATCCAGATAGGTTTGACAAGTATCTCGGAAGCCGGGGTATTTGTTAATCACCGTACCGTCGCAGGCGATCGAGACAGCCTTCTCGGTATCATCGCTTTCCACGACTGTGACTTCAGATGTACTCTTCACCAAATCGTCGGGCGTGGAGAGTGTCGTGGGGCATTCAACCTCATTGCGCAGGCACCACATGCTGTGAATGGCAGTTGCGAGGTAACCGGCGGCACGCCGCGAGACGACCTGGCAGACCCGGCGAAGGAAACGCAAGTCCTCGATGGGAGGGAAGCTCGGGAAGGTGTGCAGTTTTTGCAGTAAAGCGGCAGAGGCAGACATGGAGGCGGAAGAGTCATCTTCAATGCAAGCAACGATGCTCGTGTCAAACGAGTACGGCTCGCGCATAGAATGCGGAAGCTCCCCGCCGAACAGGCCTGCTGTTTCAACGGCCTCGACGATGATGAGGCGGACAATTTCACCAAGATAACGACCTGTGATCATGTATTCGAGTGGCTGATAGTCAGGGCGCAAGTGTGTACGGTTGAGCACCTCGTCCCATCGGGTCATGGGAAGCACACCACCACCAAACATGCTCATCTCGCTGTTGATAATCACATGCTTGGCGTAGTCAAACCAGCCCTCGGGACGCACGCCAAATTTACTTCGGCCGATCTCAGTGACTGGGAAATGGATGGCCATGTTGGTGCCAGTGCCCAGGATTAAGGACATGCGAGTCTTAGGTTCCACATAGGCGCGAGACAGCAAGGCCGCGGAACTGTCGTTGACAATCGCCGCCATGGAGACGTTCAGACTGCGCTTCCGACAGGACTGAATCAGCAAGTCACCCAGCTCCTGTCCCACGGTACCTTCGGAGCAATGGAAGCCTTTGCCCATGTGGATCATCAATCCGCTGCCCAGTGAGGTCTGGTCAATGGGGAAAGACCACGACAAGCCCATGGGTAGTGCCATCTCGCCCCGACCATAGTCTGTACCAACATCCTGCAACATCTTCTCAATGTGTCCTGCCATCCAGTCGAAGAATTGTGTGCCTTGCAGAAGCTTGACGGTATTATCGATGTAGCACGAGGCCACTTTCACAATGCGCATCTCAGCGTCCCGTCCGTGCAGTTCGATCAGCGCCACACGGAAAGTCGAGCCGCCCACATCCAGCGCGAGGAACGTGCCTTTCTCGGAACCGGTAGGTAGAGCGTGATTGTAGGACGGAAGCATACAGACGGGGCTTTGCTGGAGACACACCCGGAATTGTGCGCGGATCTTCTTCGACATCTCCAGCATGGTGGGAGTCGACAGCGGGGTTGTAAAAAGGGTCTCGACTTCCTGAGCGAAATCGTCCAGCGCGCGTCGGCGCCAGTGAGCCCCAACAAATGGCTTGCGCTTCCTGCGCGAAAGACCGCGGAATAGTGACGGAAACAGGATCATGGCTTCCAGGGCAGTGACCACATTATTGAAGAGCTCCTGTAATCGGTGCAGGACCTTGATGAGTGGGGCCGACATGGCCGGCTAAATCGATAGACGCACTAGAGGTCGAGAGAGAGAGAGGGACAGGCCGTGTTCGAAGGTAATGTTCGAAGGCGGAGAGATCACAAGCCCAGCTCTGCGAAAGAGGGTGACCGACGTAGTAAGGCGGGTGTGTTATTGTCGAGTGTAGAGGAATCGGAAGTATGGGTTGCGGTGGAGTCTCAGTTCATCCTGCATGGGCCGAACGGAGCGCAGTGGGTGTGCTTTGAATAGAAAAGCAGTCGATCGAGAAAAGGTGCAGCTGCGAAGTGAAGGTTCATGTGGGTGGAAAACAACCACCGAGATCCATGAGGAAGTGAAGAAAGAAGAAAGAAAAAAGAGCCGTAAGGTGACACTCCTTGCGGAGAGAGTACAGTGGTAGTGTTGAGGGTGGATCGATAGCGTAGTAAAGGTAGCAGTGGTACTTGTTAGTGGCAGCCGGCGCAGGCGCAACACCGGTCGTACTGGAGGTACTGGAGGTACTGGTGACTCGTGGGTCGCGACAGTTCCGTGTTCACTGTACTCCAAAACTGGGGTTACGGGGGACAAACGGCTCCAGGGCCAAGTGGGTGGTGGTTAAACTCCCCTCACGAACCCGCTCATAAAGTATCAATGAGTGACATAAGACACGAGACGAGACCCTACCCGACTCCACTGCAGGTGGCTACGTGACGGGCAACAAAAGGGAGTCTGGGAGGCAGCTGTGGGAGGTTGAAGCATGGATCAACACTGGCCCATTCTTGGCCACCACTGTAGTGTTACGGTGCAACTCGAACGCCCTTGCGGTGGTCATGTCGGGGAGGAAGAAGGCGGTCTCACGTATGGTATTGTTATGGAGTCAGGGTCACCGGGCGGTGAGTCTCCAATTTCTGAGCCTCATTAAGGATCTTGCCTCCCCAGTGCTCTATATGATTGGATCACAGGATCTCATCTTACGAGATTTCAGTTACGAGTCTTTCGCATTGATCGTCACATTTGGTCGGTGCATTGCGGCTCGATGGCAGAAAAAAAAGAAAAATAAGAAATCCAAAAAATGATGGCCGAAAATCAAAAATCTCACACACACCAAACTTTAAAAAAAAAAGACCGAGTTAGACTGAAAAAAGTAGGTTAAACTCGGCACTTTAATTTTGTACTGAGGGTTCACGTTCCTCGATGGTTATCTGAAGATGGTCCTACTGAGGGGATCGGCCATGATCTTGTCCCTGCCGCATCGGCACTGAGCAGTAACAATATCTCTCAGCAAGCGTACGACCGAATCTAGAACCCAGGGCTGCATAACCGACTACACAGGGTGACACTATTGACATTCATTCACATGCGTATAGGTTGCGATGACCAGCGTCCAGGACACAAGAGGACTAGGGTTTGTGACATTCCACTGCGCGGCATGCCCCATACTTGGTTTCGATGCCCCCCTTGAGTGCAACGGTGGTAGTCGGCCCAACCGGTCGGGACGGTTACACTCATGTGGGGCCACCTCTCCAATCACGTGTGAAGATCACAGAGGGGGGGGGGGGGGGGGGCGGTAAAGGAGTGAGCACCTGAGCAGCGAGAAAGGGGACACAAGTGGTACGGAGAGGGACAGGAGATTCAACATTCATCAATTGATTACCACGTTTGCAATGTGCAATTGTGCACGCTTGGTCCGTGATATGTCTGCCCGGGCAGATGTAGTAGTAGCAGACTACCAGGAGTCCAGTACACATTAGTTACACATTGACACAGTAGAACTAGAAAGGTTCGCAACGTTGGCCCGAGTCCCGGTTCGACAGGGGCGTCTGTGCCGAGAGGTGACCCCGACCCCGAGTGGTACATCCACGCAACACTGTTTGATGATTATCCGCCTCCACTCCTCACAACACCAGGACTTTCTGATCTGACACCAGGATAGTCTGGAACTGGAACATGGCCCATCTTGCTGATCATCATATTTCCTGGTGCTGCTGGCAGGTGTTCGGGAAGAGTCGATCTTCACTACTGCCAATGCCTTGCTCTCGCATGAGGGTCCTCTGCCATGTAGGTATCTGTCCTCGATTGGTTGTGAACTTGTGACTCCATTGACCATTTCTGCTGTGACTGTCCGAGGCGATGTACTTCCCTGCAATTGGGTACCACTGTCATTCTCTTCTCTCCATGTTCCCCTCTCACCTGGGCAACATGCCCCGACGTGAAACTTGTGATTACGGGTGTGGGTTGCATCGAGTTGCAACCATGAATTTTACGGGTATAAGTGATGATTGTCGCACTCGCAGGAGACTCGCAGGGATCAGATCTCATTTTCGTCACGTGAGCCAGCTCCTCCACGGAGGGTCAACACTTCCCCGAGATCTCCCTTTGGACAATGCCCTAGTCAATTATATGGTCAGCTTGAGGAATGCCCACTGCTCCTATCGACGAACACGAGACAATGAGCCTGCAGACTCTTCACGGATAGATTAGACTCACAGCAGCTGACAAATGCATATCAGTGTCTTAAGTCCGAGTTGTGTTGTTGTACTGGCCAGAAGGACTGATATCGTTCGATACGGAGACGACTCTGGCAGTATTGTGGCTGTGTGTTGACAAACGTGAAGGAAGAACAAAGCTCTGATCTCTCCTTGTGGCTCTTTGAGAGAGAGTAGAGGCGCCGTTTACATCTGCGAAGGGGCATCCTCCAGGGTCAAGGAGCAGAAGGAAGCTGATGACATCCCAGAGGACAGCATCATTCCTCAAAGACTGTCTTTCAACACCGCGGCCGGCGGAACACATGGTACATTGCATGACGATGCTTCAAGAGAGGCAGCAGGTCGCCAGCACTTAATGTATGGACTTACAGTCCCCTGTGTGAATACATTCAGTCGGTCGTAGACAACGGAAACGATCCCGCTGGGCAAGATGGTCTTGTTACTTGACAGAGATACTGATCCGCTGAACGAGGACTTGTAGCCGAGCTTTTGATTCCAGACACGTTCAAGAACGTCGATCCAGTACATGTTAGCGTAGTGCTCAGACTGAGAGCACAGAGCCGTTGCAAGCCCTGAGCTTCTCGTCTAGGGCGGCCCAAACGGGAACGAACGTATTGTTAGCACATGCACTCAGACAGAGTAAGCTCAGAAGCTACACAAAGTAGTGGCACGGCTAACAGGAGTATGCACATTACCCTAGCTCGTTCTGTGGACATAAATTCAGCACTCGTAGGCTGAATACTAATCATACGGATCTCTTTGTGCGGTCTCTTGGAAAGCTTTTTGGAGGCTTTTTGGAGGGTTCTTTCAAATCACACTTCTGAGGATTTCCTTTCTATTGTTCTCCGTAGAATCACGTTGGCTCCAACCTTGAAAGGCTCTAATCACTCGACGTACCCGACTCGTCGAGATCTCCACATCAAAAGCTTATCTACCTGACGACAGTGATCGGTCGTCGGCCAATCCGTGACCCAATACTTCAATTCAGCGTCGTCTGAACAACATCTGTGAAATACCTGATGAGATATGACTACAAATGTAGGGGCAGCCACCCGATATGAGAGAGGGATGAGGCTGATATTGCTACGGAGGAAAGATTCTATCCAAGCTATGGACTGCGGCGAGCGGCGGGATCACATGGCATACGAACAATATCATGAGATAAATGTGCTATGGAATCTCATGCTACTATACTAAACTCCTGATAGTCTTGCGGATTGATGTTGGTGACCGAGCTGAGCTTAGAATGGGAAGACGGCTGTTTACTCCGAATGCCAAGAACCTGATCATCTTCGAAGATACCTCTCGAATCGGGTTTGCCATGACAGACAATGGCAACGAACCACCGAAGGCTTTTTGCTACATAGTAACTTGTTTCTTATCTGGAATCGACTATATAACACAAACTTAGATTGTCTCCTCCATGACACTGACAGCTGCAGCTTTTTCATTTCTTACTGCAGGCAGGACCCTCAACAAAATGACAACCCACTCGAAAGACTAGGTCAGTAAATCTGCCTTTTTAGAGCTCTATTTCGAGAAACTCAAGCTCGAATTTGCCAGTAACAGAGTCCATTCACTTATCATAATAAATTGTTGAGTCCAAACCGTAGTCACCTTGGACCAATACATCTATCGATTGGAGATTTCATCATGACTACGGCATGCTCCGTCTGCGAATTGCATCAAAACAGCTACTTGCTTTCAGCTCTGCTCCCCTAGCGCCTCTAAGTGATATTATTGTCGAAAACTTGACGTCTATTGGTAGAGTTATTCAGACAGAAGTAGCGTAGCCTTCTTGATGCGAATTCTTCTAGTCGCCAATTTCGGACTTAGAAAGTGGGTGTCAAGAGTGAGCTTCTGCCAGACTGTATTTCTTGCCCGGCTACAACATAAAAGCTAGGTAGCTCGCGCCTACGAAGATGTCCCAATATCAACTGTCTTCTATCCATGGTTCAAAGTCACCCCTCGGTCTTTTCTAGACTCAGCCGGCATCCGCTATTGGCAGTTCTTCATGTTCGACACCCTGACGGGATCACTGCAGTGACAATTGCCTGATTGAAAATCGGAAGCAACCGCTGGAAACATCCATACGACATCTCTCAAATCACAAATATCTCCATGTCTAACATCTTAATGATATACCTACCTCTATGACAAAAATTGCTTCATTTGAAAGCGGGCACACCTGTTGGAAGCGTCTAGCACCTCTCATCACTAGCTCCCCTCCATTATCTATACGTCACACCTCATTTCATTCATCCTCTTCTTCTACTTCCCTCCCTCTTTTAAACCAGGGTATCACCGCGGTTTCAGCTCACTTAGGTACGGCTAAGCTACTCTCATAAAAGATTCTATTCACCACATCTTCGACAAAGCTGAGTTTCAAGTACCGTCTGCTTGAGACTTCCGTCACACTCAGCCTCCTACTACCACCCCCAAGAATTCCACTTCCGTACGAAGACCAACTCACTTCTTCACTGTACAAGCTCCGGAGACTTCGAAACCTACAGTGAGGCAATACTATAGTGAAACGAGGGATAGTGAGTATTCGATTGGTGTGATGCACTACACCTCATGGCAAGATCTGCAGATCGACTGTAAAAAACCCAGGGGACTGTTTCTCGAACCGTCGTATTACCTCCTCTTCCCAAGATCAGATTCGCGCTTCGAGCTTCCGATGATCCGGTTCATTTCTCCTTTCGACACACAGCTCTACCGCTACAGAGACCGTCACTGTTCGAGATGGCGAAGATCAGCATCATCTCCAACGAGCTCATGGACCCCATCGCGTCTTACTTGGGCAAGAATGATGAGTCTACCTTAGTCATAGTGAATAGGCCCTGGTATAAGCCGTTCACCTCTGGTCTCTTTAGAGATGTGTCGCTCGGGCGCGCGGATTAATTCGACTTCCGTGTTTAGGGTTCCACCATCGCGGAGCACCTGCAAATCCGTCAACTGGCCGTATACATGACCCAGAATCTGGCTCTGGGACAATCGATTCGTTCTTTGAGAAGCTAGATACAGAGCACAGGGATAACAATGAGCGCAACCAGCCACCGGGGACTCCGTCCGAGGAGAGCTACCGAGCTGTGATGATGCCCCATGATCAAGGATATCAGGCATGGAACCGAGCGGGACCCTAACAGCGAGAAGTTCATACATGAACAGGAGCGCGGACATGCGATCTTTGATCAGTGTAGATATCTGCCTTCAGAAGGATTTAAAGATGCATGACTGGCGTTCCATTTCTGGCAGTCTACTCAAAGAATCTACACCAAACGTCTATTGGGCTCAACAAGGCGTGCCCTAACTGCCGGCAATCACTTGACGACATTCGCCTACCGAGGTCTGAAGTGGGCAGAGAATCCCCAACTTGAAGTTCTTCCGCGTTTGTCCACTGTATTGCTGAGACATCCACGGTCTAGAACCCGTCTTCACCCATGAACCCTTTTTGGGCCGCTGAGACTCATCTTCCGTATACCTTCTCGGCGGCCTCTAAAGACACGCATCGACTGCAAATTCAACGGATTGGAAGTCCAAACGCCCCTGAGCCTTTCGATTGCAAATTTGAACTTGGAGAGTCAGACAAAAAGAGCGAGTTGCATCCCTCAGATCGCAGAGAGGTGCGAGCCACTGAAGTCGCTTGTCTTTGTTCAGCATGACAACACTGGGCAACCCCAAACTGGTCCTGACATCCCATTCAATTATCAACCAGTGCCTAAAAAGCACATACGCTCCGCCATCTAAACCTGAGCGTCGCCGTGAACCATCACCAAGCGCGTGAAATTGATGTCCTACATCGCTTCTCTAGAAGGCTTGCCTAGTTCATGTCTCTGGAAAGCCTTCGCATGTGCAGGAAGAATTTGATGCCTCTGCGCGAAGAAACAGCCGAGAAACCCGCAGTGTCACTTTGGCAATTTCTGCTTAGCCCCATTTGTTATCTATTCATTGACGACTGCTGCCTTGGCAAATGCGGGTTACTGATGAGGAATTTAGCAGGATTTTTATGGCGCCGGCGCTACAGCTTCCCCGAAGTCGAGGCACTGGCGCTTCGGTTTATCTCTTCATGGGTGTGATGCCATCCGAGGGGCAGGTTGGGATACCCTATTCATGCACAGAATTCAAAGGTCCCACAGTTGATTCTACATACAAAGATCTTGTTCGCCAGGTAATAAAGTAGGCACGTGCAATCGGGCTGAACATCAAAGCCCACGAACTTTCTGGCTGGCAGCATCCCGGCTTCCGCTTCCTTAATTACTGTCGCAGTAGAAGAGCGGCCTATGTGGATAGGTACTCAGCTCGGTGCCCATTTTCGCCTAGTCCTATCTGCCCGTTCTTCGTGAAATCTACATTACCGGCATGATTCTTGATCGAAATCTCATAGTTGCAGTAGGCCTTGCGAGCGCGGCTTCTATGGCCTGCGATTGTGATGAGCCTCGAGAACGATGATGATAAAGGCACTTACATTCGAAGCTCATTACACGCCTCAATTACAAGAACTATCAATCCAGTGACCCTAAAGATCCGTATTCAAGCTTTAGTAAACGGGCGATAGCTTTGGATCGGGCGAATGGCTCAATTCAATAAGACTCGGTTACGGGAAACTGCGAGAGGCATCTCCTTAGCTCCTTGAGACCCAAATATGTTCAGCCCGACGCCTGATAGGATCCGTATATGGTCAAACAGCCCGCTGGAAGCATGTAGACAGGACATCCGATCACTAGCTCAAGTCTCAATGTTATCAGAGATATTATAATGGGAGGAGTGGGTTGTCCCGTCTCAGCTTTTCTATAGATCGTTGTCACGTGTTGAATCAAGAACGCGGTCATCTTTTGCCATGTGAGGTCTTTGATTGTCTCGAAAGGGATCTACGCGCGTCTTCCTGTCTGCTCAACGACTAATTCTCTCTTTGTCAGGTGCGGCCTGCTCCAGGACTTACGGAGAAGTATCCGAGTTGACCTCTGCTGTGCCTGTGAGCTTTGTCTAATATCTGGAAATTGTACAGAAAAGAGAAATCTGCAACATGCCTATTCGGTGAAGGTGAGCTTCCGGAGGGAGAGTAGATTAGATACCCATTCGATTATAGATTCAGGTGAGCGTGTACGGATTTCCCCCGAATGTTCACTCTTTGACATTCTGGCGATCTTTGTGACAGTCTTTCTGTTGGTCTTTCAGCTGATCACTCCTCTCAATCGGCTCTGGTGGGGGCTGGACATGCCAGGTCAAACCGGTGCTGTTTGGGAATATTAAACGGGAGTTCCACGGTCCGCCTAAGGTAAGACCAGACTGCCGGGGACTTGTTGTTGAGGATGCGCCTTTTCATCTCACTAGGACCTTTGCATATGCAAGCTAGCGACAAAAGGTCTTTCCTGCTGGAGTGGCTAAGTCCTGAGATCTATAGTTATCGGTCCAAGCGAGCCCTCGAGGGTGTCCGAGCTCACGCCCGTGCTTTGCTGCGCGGAGTCGGCTCCATAAAGTCAATTCCCACCGCAAAAAGCGGAAGAGGTACAACCAGAGATTGACTGTGATCGATACACGTGATTGATCTGTAAATCGTTCCTACAGTACAATGCTGATTGAGATTCAGATCCGTCACGCATGCTGGATGTGGTTTGTTTTCAAGATCGACACCTTCAATCGAGTCTCCCGAACTCGGCCATGGATACGAAGTCGCGCCCAGCTGTCGTCATGGCGGGAAAATAATCAGGAGGAGGACGCGAGGCCGCTGACGCCTCGCAGAGGGACTTCCCCCACTGCTTTTTCGCCCGCTTGCCAGTCAGTGAATCGCAAACCCTCCGGGCTCCACCGTTCGAAACAATGCCAAGGCCGGCCCTGAGGGATTCCTGGCTTGTTGTGGTGCTCCGCATCTGTTCCCCTGAGTCTCCAGTCCCGTCTCTGAGTCTCTAATCATTGACAAGTGGACTCGCCCTGACGCCGTTGACGCGGTTGGCCCAGATCGTTGTCCAAGTGTCCACTACTCGCAGCCCTGTCCCAGTGTCCTCCTCCTGGCGAGCGGAACTTGGTCAAAAATCGTGCCGCGGACCTCCTGGTCTATTCTATCCAAGTGGAGGGGGCCTCCACTTGGGGTTAGAGTCTCTCACCCGGCCTTGCGACGCCGTTCATGATCGCGTTGACGAGACACGACACTAAAGTCAGAGGAAAGTCTCCTCCGGCCGCGACGGCAATCTCGCTTTCGTTCCGCAGAAACAGTCTGATCGCCAAGTCTGATTCATAACTCGCTCTCTTCTCACCCTCCGCGTCGTGTGCGGACTTAGCTCCTTGTCCTTCCTCGTTTCCCCCTTCTCTGCGCGCGCATCGGGCTCGTCGTACCCTCATACCGAGCCACGTTTTGGGAGACATTCTCTCCCAGCCACTCCTTTGGCCTACCATGTTTTTTGTCGGAGCATTGTCATTGCTATTATTGCAATCAACGAATGCGCAGCGTCATGACGCTGATTTGATGTCCTTTGTGACTGTGAGTAGCGACAATTTTGGACTACTTAAGTCACACTGCGCCGATTGCGCAGCTTAGGATTGTTGTCGCTCGAATGCTAACACCTCCCGTTGTTTTTCTTGATCAGCTTCCCGAAGTACGCGCCTTGAAATGGGAAATCACACATCATGACCTCACAAGAGCCGCTCCGGGGTACTGGTTTGTGGCACCGTACGGACAAATTAGCCCAGAAGAGCCTACCAAGAAATACCAGCAATACCAGGTTGGCCCGTATATTTACGACAGCGATGGTGTACGTCAAGATCAATCTTAACCCAGAAGCTAGTCATTTTCCTTTCACAATGAGATGGATGACTCGGAGAATGTGAGTTCAATTGCTGACGCGCCAGCTATTTGATTGAACAGATGTTAATCTGGGCGGGAGCACCACTTTACGATAACCGAAATGTCTTCGACTTCCGGCCCGTCACCAACATCGATGGAGAAACGCATCTCTCGTTCATTGTCAACTGGGATATCGACTACTCGAACAAAGGCCATGGAGTAGTGTTGGACAAGAATTACAAGGTCGAGAAAGACGTGAATATGCTGCTCGACGTCCACGATTTCAACATGCACGAGTTCAACGTCTTGCCCGGTGGTAAATCGGCGCTAGCATGCACCTACAGAGAGCAAGAGGTGAATCTGGCGGACTTTGACCGACCGGAAGAAATGGGCTGGGTGGTCTCGGGTGGATTTGTGGAAATGGACCTGGAGACCAACGAGATTCTGGCTCAGTGGGATTCCTTGGACAAGATTCCGCTCCACGAATCCGTTCTTGTTGGTCAGTCGGATGCGCCAGCTGGCCAACCAGGCTGGGATTATGTGCATATCAATGCCGTGGACAAGAATGAAGCCGGAGACTACATCATCTCCATGCGCTTTACCGACACCATCTACGGAATCTCAGGCGAAGATGGCCGCATTATGTGGCGTCTCGGTGGGCGGGAGAGCGACTTTGAAATGGATTTTACCTTCTCGAAGCAGCATGATGTCAAATTCGTGTCATCAAACGGAACGCATCATGTGATTTCCTTCTTGAACAATGCTTCGTTTGAACAGAGTAACGAGGAGAACCTTTCGTCCGCGCTCTTTGTTGAACTCGACACGACTGCGATGACTGCCCGGGTGGTCAGGCGCGTCAACCGCCCCGACAGTGGGCTGACGCGTCTCCGCGGCAGTGTTCAGCTGCTTCCCAACGACAATGTCTTTGTCGGCTGGAGCGAGTGGGGCTATCAAAGTGAACATGCGCCCAACGGAGATCTCCTCACGACGGCTCGCTTTGCCTCTGAGCGCTATTCGACCTACCGCGCTTATAAAGGCGAGTTTGTTGGTCGGCCGACTTCACCCCCAGACGTTGTCGCCTCTGTCTATGGTACCCGTAACGATGACACCACTACCCTGATCCATGTCAGTTGGAACGGTGCAACTGATATTGCTCGATGGAACTTTTATGCCCGCGCTCACGCACAAGGCTCTTCCATTCTGATCGGCCATGCCGAGAAGCACGACTTCGAAACCATGTACATCCTAGATGGCTACATGGATTGGATCACTGCAGAGGCGATCGACAAGGACGGCAAAGTTCTAGGGACCTCACAAGTCATTCGAAGCGAGGTGCCGCAAAATTGGAAAGCCGTGGGCTTCACAGGCTCAACAATGGGCCCCACACCAGATGACCCGGCTGTCATCGCAGCAATCGACAAGAGCAATACTCACCCATCCTCCTCTGGTGCGAAGGCCGAGGATCAGGCATCCACCGGCTCATCAGGTTCGTCGTCCGCATACGCAGATGCCAAGGAGGTCGCCAAAGCTGTGAACCAGGCTTATCAAGTGGTTCGCAATGTGGGCGCGTTGCTCGTTTTGATCCTTCTTGTCTGCATTGTCGCAGGCATAGTAGTTGGCGTGCGTTTCATCACCAATCGCCGCAAGACGAGATCCTACCAGCATGTCCCCGCTGAGGAGGGTATGCCCGTGGAAGCGATTCCATTGCGCTCACAAGGCCCGGAATGATGATTGTGTTACCTACACTTTTCCGCGGCCTCGCCCAGATCCTCCTTTCCTTTTTTTTATCTGTTGTTTCGTTGCATGGTCATCAGCGTTGCATATTTCATGATACCTTCCTGTCATATCCTTTGCGGATTTTTTTTAGTTCGACCAATTGCTTTTCGTCGATGTGGCCGCGAGTACAGGAAAGCCTACTGCAAAGACAAGCATAATTGAATGCTGTTCCCCTAGTCGGCAAGGGAAAAATCATTCGACCTAATGAGGTTCAAAATCTGCTTTTATCCAAGCCGGTCATGTCATTTTCATGTATATCATACCCAGCAGGCGTTTTGATTATCATTCTTCGCGTGTTCCGTCTTCGCCTCCTGTTTGTTTCCAGTACCTAGACTACCATGGATATGCACGAGGGTTGATTCAGGAGCCTCGAGAGCATTCTTGTATTCTTATCTAGTTACACCCATGCCATCTCAAACATCAGTGGTGATGGATTCCTGCTGTACTTGATCAGATTGACAGCATTTATCTGGCTGACCTCCACTCTCAGCGCGACATGTCAGTCCTTATCCAACCAAGAGATTGCCTACACTAAAATAGACCCCAAACCTAAACCGCCTGAATATCGTTATGACAACTCGGTCATGGGAGGGGGAATGGATCCGGTTCCAGGTCGCAGGCAGGAACTTGGAGATGCATTTTTCCGGTGCCACCCTCCGCCCCATTGTTTGGATGGTTCTGCCTCACCATCGAGGAATCTGCCGACTCACCACCGAGAGACCTACAAACCCATATGTTAGATAGCCTCTCTTCCTCCCCATACCTTTCACACCAATCAAGTTGTGTTTCACCTTTCTCTTTTCCTACCAGTAGATCGATATCTACGGATAGGTTATGAGCCCTGTGTAGCGCGCTGGTGAGGGTATTCGCATATCCTCATCATCCTACAGCGCCGCTGTCGAATACGCCACAAAGCGCGTTATTCGATGCGTTCCTGACGCACTTCAACACAGTCAGCAGTCAGCGCAACCGCGATCATCACATCATCAACCTCATAAGGCTGGGGCTACCTACTCATCTCTTCAGGGGGGAGAGTTAGAATACCCTCCTGTTCCAACAGTACAACGAATAGGTTTCCTATTATTACCGCCAGGGGGGCAACCCGGCTGCCTTCGTTCACAAGTGGAAACGACTGCTTCAGGAAGCGCAGCAGTTGGATCCGAATATCATTCGTGCCTCATGGCAACGGGCTCAATTTGTGTATGCGATCAGCATGCACCCAGGCACTGAATCTTTGGTTACTCGTCTTCGGCCTAACCTGGATGATGCGCATATTTTGGAAGATATGATTGCCGAATTCCAATCATTTGAGTCTTGGCGTCATCATTATTTGGCTATGGCCACATCTGCGAAGGAGAATTCGAATTCGAATACAGCAGGCCATACTTCGAAACATTCAAAGTCTCAGGACAAGAAGAACGATTCGAACGAAAAGCACTCAAAGAAGAGCCATAATAAGTAATGCCATTTCCACAAGCAGAAAGGCAATCATACCACTTTCGAATACTTCAGAAATCCCAAAGGCAAGAGGTCATATGGTTGTATCCTTTCCTGAAGGAGCTTGAATTTAAGGTGTTCCTAGATCTCACGGCCCTATCTGTCTTGCGGAAAATCCTGAATTCCACCAACGTACGAAGCACATTTGATGTGAAATATCACCACATTCGCCATCAAGCCTCCAAGGGAGTCTGCAAATTTGAACGCGTCCCTACAGAGGAACAGGCTGTAGACGGCTTCACCAAACCTCCTGGAAAGATTCAACATGGCTCCACAACATTAGATAGCCTCTCTTCCTTCCCATACATTTCACACTAATCAAGTTGTGTTTCACCTTCCTCTTTTACTTCCAGTAGATGGATATCTACAAATAAGCATGGGTTAGGATTCATGAACTTCCAAGCAGTCTGTCTTTCGCGAAGGATCTGCAACTGAGTGCATTATCTTGAGACCAAGCGTAGAGATGTAGTCAAGTGCATCTCTTAATGTATCGGCCCAAGGGAGAAGCTGGAGGATCCGCGTTCGTATGCCCTGAAACTGAGCTTCTTTGAAGTCAGGCTCATGCGGTTCAGCATGGATTGATACAGTGCATTCACTTACACCTGCACGATCTATCAATTACTGACAGCCTCCCAGCAACCGCGCATGTTACCGTGCAGTAGTGACTTGATCGACTTCGATCTCCAGTAGACCGATTCGCAACTATAGGATGGGTCGATTGTCGTGATGCATTCGGCCTCGAAAACTGATATTCTACCTTGATCGCGTTGAGACGCGATTGTCATGTTGACTGCGGTCTAATTTTTCTCAAGTATTGCTGCCATCCATACTATAAGAAACTTTTTTTTTTTTTGCATGAAGTGCTTCTACTAGGTAGGTATGGGGGGTTTTCGCCATTCGATACGACCTTGCCTCGCCCTCGAAAGTGACACAAGTTAGATTTATTGTTCGTGTGGTCTCGATACCTCAGTACTTTCCAGCTTCCACGCTACCTTTGAAAAGTAAGTACGTCAATTCTTCGATGCTCCTGTTGAGGAGGAGTTTCTTTAAATCTCTATTATCACAGCATGCGAAGGAGAAAGAGCTTGAACGATGGTATCAACCGGCTTCAAAGAGTGTCACAGTCTCAAAGAACATAGTTCCTCTTCGCAGAGTAGGAGACATCCTCAGACATAGGTATTCCTTGACTGATTGGCCTTCCGGACAGGTGGAAAATCTGATGCGTAGGTATCATATGAGCATCCGTGACTCTGAATTATCTACCTTGCAACGAGTATTTGAAGGGCGGTTTGAATATTTTGAACCTTTGCATGTTTTGATTCGAATCACGAATAGCTACCACCTAGCGAGTCAGTATACCTCGTCAATCGAGATATGGATAGCGGCCATGCCCTGTGGTGATTGGAATGTAGACCTCGTAATCCTAGGTATGCAACGATCTGTTTGTTTTACTCAGGGGAGATCACATGGGAGGCTTCCTTAGTCACATGCTTTGTCTGTTTCCGTTTATTCACTTTGGTTCAGCTACAACTGTATCGAGATAGATCCACTCTCCAAGATTCCAAAAAAAAAGCAAGCTATTGTGGAGCCAACATGAGGTGAATGCTTATACCTGCCTCCAGGTACTCTATATTTCCACTATTTCACCTTCCACATGCAGCACCAGCGAAGAGCTACCACCCTCCCCCTACCAACTTCCTCGTCTCCGCAAACAGAAGTCAAAGGAGCAATCTCCGGAAAAGCGGGCACTCGGGCTGGTGACTGCCGTGGTCTGTGCAATAGTGTATCCCCCCACGGGGAGAGCTGCCCGAGGGAAAGGATGCCGGGGGCGGATAAGAGGGGGGGGGAAGGGGGGCCGGGATGCCAGGTTTCGGAAATGAAAACGGGTACTGTAGTAAATTATTAATAGAAGTTAGTTAACTAACTACTGTAGTAGTAACTGTACACCTGACTCTTGAGTCATGAGCATGGAGTCCGAGTGTAGCACCCGAATTCAGCTTTCCGGTTGAAAAGGTCTCGGTTAACTTGCCCCGTGTACTGTGTAGTGTAGCAGTGTTGACTTTGTGTAGTACAGGTCAGTACTAGTCTGTGCGGGCCGTGTTTCCGAGACAAGGTTCAGGTCGACTTGTATGCAATTACTTTAATTCGATTATTTGCATCAGCATTAGGAGTTAAATTTCAAAATTGGGATCGACATCGAGGTTAGTCCCGTAGTCAAGGCACCAAGCAGTGAGCACAGCCCGATTTTGCCGCTTTCGCCGCTTGTAAAGGTCCAAGCGCTGCGCCCGAGCCGGGGTCTCGTTCCAACCGAACTCAGCTCGCTTATCTTGCCTTTTTTGTCGGGGTGTAGTGAAGTCTCCAATATCTACATTCTACACTAGTAACTACCTACTTCTACATACAGCACCAACTCTTACTAACTAGCACAATTTCCCCGGTCTTTGTCCCCCACCCCCGCGCCACGTCTCCCCAAGTCTCCAAAGATTCCGTCCTTGTACTAGGCTATTTACCCCGGAACTGAACAGAATCCCGCCCTTTCCTGGACGCCTAATGAACAAGTCGGCCAACCCCCACCAGCGAGCGAGACCGTGGAAATGGAAGGCTTGCCGAGAAAGGAAGATGTGCGTCGAGAAGTGCTTATGCTGCCGAGTATCGAGCGTCCAGTGCCTCCAATTTCGGTGTCTAGTGTCACTGTCCAGTGTACTGTCTAGTAGTCCACCGCCTACAGTGCCTACTGCCTACTGCCTAGTCCTACTACTAGTGTCTTGCAGTCTACTAGTAAGCCACATGCACCACTCAAGCTGGGTAGATAAAGAGAAAAAGTCCGGGGCAATGACCTCAATGCGTGTCCGCGCTTTCCCACGTCGAGCCCTACTACTACGTGTACCGTATGCAATCCACATCTCGAGCCGATGGAGAGAGTCATACCTGTACGCCATACGTCATGCGCGAGTGCCGATATGCTCAAACAGGTGGTGTGTAACTGTGTACAGCGCACATTCGCATAGTCGGTTCGTCGGCGTCGGAATAGATCGTAAGTACTGTAGTGGTAGGCTTACACGATAACAAGGAACGACACGTCAAGTAGTCTATACTCTATACTCTATGTAATGCATAGCTCCTATCGACCTACCTCGTAGGTAAGTAGTAATATCGGGGGGCACAGCAACCACAAGGCCCCTCCCCAGATTTTACCTAGTGGACCTTGTGCATGAGTTCTGTTGATCATCTCTGAAATTCTGGGGTAGGGGAGTTGATCGTCGCTGCAAGAGTCGGTGCGCTATTATCATTTATGATTTGAGGCTTGAGTCTTGCTTTACTATGATTGAACATTGTGGGCAGATTGAATCATAGGAGTATATTGAACGAGATGTCAAGACAAAATTCGTCATTTCCGCGTGGTTCCCCTGGGTTTGTTTTATAGATTCATTGAGGGTGCGGGGATGTAGGCGGGGTTGGCTATGTAAAAAATTGCATTGAAGCCGCGTCTCGAGTTTGAGAAGAACCTCCAAATGATCGCATATGCAATGAAGGACGTGTCGATATCCAAGGGGGTAATTCGAAGATCATGGCTTACTAGAAGTTAGCTCATGAGCCAGTCTGGACAAACTCATGACAAGAGGCAAACTTGCAAGATACTAATGTGTACAGCGGCGGCATTAACGCATGGTTCTATTCTTTCAAGTTGCACTAGAAAAGGATTTGGTGAAGATTTATTTCTTGATTCAATCTATCCACTAAATGAAACATCGAGATCAAAGATGCTCAAGACATCACCGCAATAGAAAGATCATTCAATCGTATTCCGACACAAACGTCAGAAAACAAACTAAAGCCAAAATGCGCAGTATGGGGGGAATAATTGTGCGAGACATCAAGAACACTCTATAACAAATTCGAGAGTGAATCACAAGTTTCGTTGCTTTCCGTCGCCAGGATGGATCATCAAAGCAAAGCGACCGGGAACAGGACTGGATACAATGAAAAAAAAATTTGGAACAAATGTCATGAGAACAAGCAAATCATCGGATGATTGCTTTTCCAGGAATTCTCTTTTTTCTTTTCTGTTTCAGCTTTAGTTCTTCTCGTTGTCCGAGTTTCCACTTGACATGGCCATCTCGGCCTTCTCGTGCTCGGCAGAGTGGCGAGGGTCCGAGGAATCCAGACCGACTTCGCGGAGCATGGAAGCAATCTCCCCAGGAGAGAGCTTGGGAAGAGTCTGGGCGATCTGGTAGGGCCACTTCTTCTCGATGTGAGCCTTGGCGAAGATAAGATCCATCTCCTCCAGGTCACGACCGGCCGTCTCAGGGTAGTAGAACCACGCGAAGGGCAGGCCGATGAAGTTGACCAGAGCGAAGAAGAGGTAGATACCCCAAGGGGAAGCGTCGGAGAAGACGGGAGTGAACATGACGACGGCAAAGTTGGTGATCCAGTTGGTACAGGTGGAGGCGGCGGCAGCCATGGTACGAGTGCGGAGAGGGTTGATCTCGGGAGGGTAGATCCAGGGGAGGGGCAGCGTGGTAAACGCGAAGAAGCAGATGAAGAGGAAGATACCGACGACGGCGCCCTTGGTAGGGCCCTGGCCACCGGCGATCAAGCAACCCATGGTAATGACAAAGGACAGACCCTGACCAGCGAAACCGATGAGGAAGAGCTTGCGACGACCGACCTTCTCAATCATGAAGAAGGAGGGGATGGTCGCCAAGGCGTAGACAGTGGCGAAGACACCACCCAGAATCAGAGACAGACGGTGCTTCATGCCCAGGTTCTGCTCGAACAGCAAGGTGGAGTAGTAGATAGCGGCGTTGCAACCGGTGAACTGCTGGAAGAACTGACCGGAGCAACCGATCATCATACGCTGGAACTCCTGAGTCTTGCCGCCAGTGAACAAGGTCTTCCAGCTGGCCTTGGCACCGTTCTCGGCGTTGAAGTCGGCCTTCATCATGTTGAAATCGACGAGCACGTCCTCGGCATCGGGAGAGCTGTCGTTGAGCGCGGCCAACACCTCCAGGGCCTCCTGATCCTTGCCCTGCATGACGAACCAACGGGGAGACTCAGGAAGCATCATAGCGCCGACACTGACGAGGATGGCGAAGAGAATCTGGAAGGCCACGGGGAATCGCCATTGGACGGAGCTCTCGACGTAAGACAGACCAAAGTCGATCCAGTAGGCGATCAAGGTACCGACAGCGATGATGGCACCCTCGAAGCAGACCAGGAAACCACGGTTGTGGGCGCGAGAACATTCAGACTGCCAGACGGGGATGGTGGCAGTGTCCATACCGTTGCCGAGACCCGAGACGACACGACCCACGACGAATTGCCCCAGACCCCAATGCGGGCCGAAGGCGGCGCTGGAGATGACAGTGCCGACGATCATGAGGATACCACCGGCGACTAGCAGAGGCGTACGACCGATGCGCTCACCAAAGCACAGGGTGAATATGGCACCGAAGAAACAACCCAATTCGTAGCACGCGGTGACGGCACCACGGAGGACGGAGACATGTTGAGAGTAGGAGGCAGAGTAGTCGGGAGAGCTCTTGCTAGGAATGAAGAGCGCCGGGAACTCCTGGGTGAACTGGTTACCCGAGATGATACCGGACATCAAACCCTGATCATAACCGAAGAGGGAGAAACCGATGACCGAAGTGAAGGTGATGGCAAGACGGAGCTTCCTGCCCCGAAGGCCAGAGGTGGTTGTCCACATCTTGGAAGGTGTGTTGGTGTGTATCTATCCCTGTGTATTGCCTTCGCGCGATCCAAAGAGAAACATGCGAAAGGGAGCACAAGAGAGAGAGAGAGAGAGATAGAGAGAGAGAGAGAGACGCAGGACGGATGGGGGATGAGAAAGACGAACGGAGGAGAGGGAAGATCGATGATAGAGAAAGGAAAGGATGAACATCGGTGGGTGCGGGACGAGGGGGTCTTATGTATCTCTTCGCTCGCTCTCCCTTTTCAGTCAGTCTGTCTTGTCTCCGTCGGTCTTGTCACTGCTCTTTTCCTCTCCTTCCTATCGAAGCGGAGAAAGGCCGTGTGCCGCACCCACGGGTCATATCGGCCAAGACGAGGGAGTGGACATGACGTCGGCCGGGATGATATGAAAAGGCAGGTCGGGCGGATCACTATTTTGACGCCCTAAGCCAATCTGGGGAGTCATCGCAACCAAGGGGTCCCCGCAGCAGAATTTTACGGGGCCGCGAAGGGGTGGGGGCTGCCCAAAGCGGCTTGGGATGGAGGCAAGTCTTGCGAGCCGCTCAGGCGCCGAGACGACTTTGAAGGAACCGAACTGTACTACATCTCCGAGAAGAAAGAGGTGAACCGACCGCGCGAGAGAGAAGGGCGGAAGTGGCAGAGTGGAGAAGGAACCATTGAATGATTGATGAGAACGACAGGAGGATCCAGCGCTTAACGGCCGGCACACTTTGGGGAGGAGATCCGCCACCAACGTGTGATACCGTGATTGAGATTGCTGGTTCCCGTGGACTGTGTAGTGTGTACTCGGACTCGTGCAAGGACCGTAGTACTGTTCGTTCGTATGTGGTACTTTAACTGTCTGTCAGTGGCGGCGGATATACCGAGGGAGGCATACGGGTAAATCAGGTCGAAGTCAAGTACTGATCCGTAGTACAGTACTGGTCGACAATCCAATACCCCCGGGTTCCAAGTACCGGACAAGTCCATCCGGCACAGTAGTGCTGAATCGAGACAGGCAAAATGTGGAAGCAGGGACTCCGACTTGACCACATGCAGAGAGTCGAAAGGAGTACCTGCAACTTAGGGAGTACCGAGTCACTGACTCTACTGAGTACCAGCACAGTCGCGAGTTCCCAGGCTAACCCTAACTTGGGTAAGAGCAGTGGGTCCCACCACGCCCAAACAGTGCCTGAGAAAAAGGACTGTCCCGTGCTCTGTGCCCTTCAAAGTTTCGGGTGCTTGGCCTGGTGCAATGATTGCTTGGGAGTGCTTACTGGGCGCCACCCGTTCTCGTCCGTCAAGCCACCCGTGGGTCCCGCTGGGACGCCTCTTTGTCACCGCTCCCGATCCCAGCCCAAGTCCACCCCGTTCCCCCTGCTGCCCGGTCCCCCATTATGGGAACTTTTTGCCGTCTGCGAGGATGAAGCACATGTATTCATGGATGAGTGCATGATTTATTGATTTTTGGAGTATGTACCTTGTGTCACCGTCCGTCAAGAACCCTCGGAAGCCTCGTGGAGACAGATCGTCATCGTCCTGGCTCAATTAGGAATCTCTCCCGATTCTTGCATCCCTAGACTCTGCTTGTAGCCTTGTACTACGTCCGATCACAGCGAATACGTCGCTGTGGGTGGAGTCTTTTGCTGGACTAATCTTCCATGATGATGATTCTGCATAGGTAAATACTGCCTCCCGAGTCGCTTCAGCTCGACCATACATATGTAGACATTCGCTTTGAACAGATGCGCAGCATCTTACTCCAAGCCATCCGGGGCTTAGTTGCCAATGTCCTGCGATTCCTACAGTAATTGCGCCATTGACTACCAAGTCATCGCCAATAAAGCATTGGGAGTCATGGAAAGAATCAATTTCCCGTGAAAAGAACAGTTATAGGGTACGACTGTACGCGACTGATCTACAGTCTACAGTCTACACACCCTCACACCACTCCTCCTCATGATGACTATCCGGGTGTTCTACTACTGCGTGGGAAAAAGATTTTTTCGCCTCCCCCACACTCCGCTCCATCTCATATACTGTACCAGACGTCCCTTCCATTCCTCGCTCTCTCTCTCTCTCTCTCCTCCAAAAAGTCGACAAGCCCATTCATCATCGCCCAGAAACCCCACAGACTCCAACCCTCCAAGCCGATGACCGGGATGGTGACCGGACGGCGAAACCCAGACCCACGGAGCGGGTCACCGAGATGCGAATGAAGCCACCGACGCGATCGCATTCGGCTCCCCGTGGGGACCGTGAACAGAAAAGCGGTCGTCGAAACGGGAAGTTGCCCTTTTGGCGAAAGAACAGAGGGAAATCTCTGCGTCGGAAGAAAGTCGACTCTGGGTACTGGTACAGTAGTAGAGTACTTATGGAGAGTCTTGTTTGAGTGGGTTGGTAGTGGTACCCACAGAATAGGAGCTCAAATTTTCGGGTCGACTTGGGGTGATATTGTGATGACTTGTTTCTGCCCAAGCGTGAGTTTAAGATTCTGGCTGCAGCGCTGCAGCCAAGATCACATTGTTTGCAGTGGACTATATTAGGTTACTTGGTACTAAGCAGTAGGCACTAGGAGGAAGCTGAAAGGTTCAAGTGACAGACATGACTGTCCATTATGAGAACAATCATGTTGAGCCCCGAGGGTGAGATGGACAGAAAACATGTGATAGTCAAAAATCATTTGGCGGTGGTGGTGCTGGTAGTGGGTGACAGAGACTGTCGACTTTTGAGTGCAACAGGTAGTCTTGGGAACTGTAAGGTGGGAATACCCATTTATTTTATTTTCTTTTTTCTTTTTTTTTTCCCTTTTTTTCTCGCGCAATTCCCACTTTCCGACCCTTTTGTGTTTGGTGGCCCGCTCTTTTCGATCTCAGGTCCTCTCCACGATTTCCCCTCAAACGCACATGCGAAACCCACGGACGACGGAAAGATGGGACCTCGGATCTGGAAAATGGTTCATCCGAGGCAATGAGTGCTGCTCCACCGACACGTGACTGTGAGCCATCTCGTCATCCCGTCGGAGGGTCCGAGCCACGTCTGTCAGTGGCTGGAGTGGTATAAGCCTTGTCAGGGTAGGGCCAGGGCTTCGACCATGGACTGGATGAATCCTCCCAAGTAGTGGAGCTTGCTATCCTAAATTCGACTAGTGTATAAGGCCAAGACCGGCCCGGACTGTCCCAGTGACTGAGTCTCCAGTGTAACCTCAGCCGCCGGGAAATTACTTCCAGCCCCACTAGCACCCGTAGACGGCCTTTTCGGTCAAATGTCAGTGTAGCACTGGGAGCATAGAAGGTTTTTCAATAGTTATCTCACTTCCTTCGAAGTGAGACCCTACCGGATTATTTAGGTAATTGGGATGGTTCCTGTTCCGAGAGTGTTCAGACTTGGCAGACGTCTTCCTTGTTCTACCACCAATGAGGGCCGAGCTGCGGGAAAGATTCTCGGGGTAATTCTGAGTGTCGGGCCGACTTCTGGACGCGATGCGCTGCCGCTCTGATCCCGCTGCTTGCATGTACCTTACTGTACCTACTGTAATTGTTCTACTGTGGTTGTAGAGGGGGCCATTCGATCAAGCTCGGAGTTGTCGACTGCCAAACCTGTGGATATCTGCTGGCGGGTGATTCTTCCAACTCATAGGTGCAGGTGCAGGTGGAGGCGCATTTGCCAGCGAAGGACTGCATCTGCATCTGCATCTGCAGCTGCTGGAACTTTAACAGGCGAGAATAGCTTGAGTCCTACCACTGTTCTGCTATGCGGGTGTAGACCATGCTGCAGATGTCCACCACTGACTACGTGCAGGGTATCATGCGGTTGCGTCCTTCTCCTCGGAGTCCTCTGTGGCCTCGATGAAACCGAGGGCGTTCTCATCCCTGGTTAGTAGAACTATACAGTATACACAGAAGAGACGAGACACTAGAGTCACGAGTGTATTCACCAGGAGACAAGGTACACTGGACACGCGCGCCAACCCGGTGGATCACTGGATGCAGCCGTGTCACATGCCCCTCGTGCATTCCCCCAGTTGTGACGTGAGACAAGAACATGAGGCTCTGGATGACCTGTCCGGGGTACCATACAATTGTACATACTTTGCCTTCTACCACTGAGCACATGTCCTGTCCAAATGTGGCAAGTTTGTCGAGCTCCAACACCATGTGCTAGAGCTGCTACGGTCAGTGCTCAGTGCTTACTGCTTAGACTACCTGTACCATTCGGGTAACCCCTTCTCTTCTTTCGAAAGATCGTCCACTCCATCAGCATGCATCTACTCTTAGGTGTGTGCCCCAGATCTACACTGTAGCAAGGTGGATCCGGGGTTTTTGGAGCAACCATTTCACCTCAGGTTGACCCTTGTGTAGTCCACGGGAGATACTGTAAAGGAAAGCCCACGTGGTTGATCAGCAATGGGTATCCGGTGAATGTACTACCCCGGGATCTCTGGAATGACGGGTAGAATCTCATCGTTGATGGGGTGCCTTGCTCGACAACGGTCCCTCCATCAAGCTTCTGGCCAGATGCATCGAAGCCATTTATGTCTTGTTGACCGTTGTGATCGACTCTATATATTCAGGTACAAAGTCACGACTCCACACTCCACAGTAAGATGACCACGGCACTTCCATGATCACATTGGTGGTCAAGAGCTTTCACGTTCAAGAGCGACAGGAACTAGGTTGAGCCACGCTTTCATCTCGCTTGGATGATAACGCCAAGAACGTCCAAGAATTGGAAGTCATCGCTGTCGCCCTCAATCCAGTGGATGTCAGCTGCTCGCCATTCCTGCCATGTCAGTCGAGGAGTATTCTCCCGTCCTTCCAATCTTAAACATATCGAACCTTAATCGTCCATCGCGTTGAGCCGTGTAGCCCCGAGAGTCTCCAAAGAGTGGTATTACCTTATGTACAGCTGTACATGGGCTACATACTCGATGAGCGCAGGGAACATCCATTTGCACGAGCAATTACCCGAACTTCCAACTCGGCTATTGTCTCTACCCGCCTTCAATGGCCGAGG